AATAAGATATAATAATAAGATATAATAATAAGATATAATAATAAGATATAATAATAAGATATAATAATAAGATATAATAATAAGATATAATAATATATATAATATAATATTAAGATATAATAATATATATAATAATATATATAATATAATATTAAGATATAATAATAATAATAAATAATAGAAGTAATAAATGGAATATATATAATATAATATTAAGATATAATAATAATAATAAATAATAGAAGTAATAAATAGAATATATCTAATATAATACTATACTAGTAGAGGAATATAATCTTAGTAAGTCTGGGGACCAGACTATGGAAGGGGGGGAAGAGTTATAAGGAATAGAGTAGGAATATATATATAGTATAGCTATGCTTAGGCTATAGGTTATATACTTTAGGGGGAAGCAGTATTTAAGCTATATATAGTATCTACCTTAATTTTACTCCTTAGTCATCAGTTTTAATACTAATCCATATTTATTGCTCCCCATCCTGATATCATGCTTACATTCACCCCTTATAAGAAGTGATTATTTTACTTAAGAATAATCAAAATAATTGCAGTAAATGAGGCAATAAGGATACTAAGAATAAGGTTTATATAAATATCCAGTCTCTACTAGTATTACACTTCTTTATAATTTAACTGTCTAGTTTACCTAGTAGTTAGTTTAAATATATTCCTATACTCTTGAAGCTCAGACTATTCTAAGTTATAAATATAACTATCTTATTATATTCCTTCTATAATAAGCTCTTGTTATGCATTATTTCTTTGCTCTAGGAAGCTAAACCCTTCCGAAGTGGCTTACATTAGTGAAGCTAGTCGGTACTGGGAAAGTATTCCTAACAATATCTTAGGTATATTAATATTTATAACTATTAGCTGTATTAGGAGGTACAGAGGCGATATATCAAGGTTATCTGGATGGAATCAGTGAAGATGGCAGCAGATAGATTAATAAAGGTGTTGCTAAAGATTAAGTTTAATAGCTTTAGAGAGATATATGGTCTTAAGGTAATTAGGTACTTGATAAAGGATGCTGAAGCAGATAAATAAGAGATAATAGACTGAGTAAGATCTGGTAGTGTACCTTACTAGATTGGGGGTATATTAGTCTAAGTATATACTAAGTATCATGTGATATAAGTAAACGCTAGCTAGATAAGAGAGGAGAGCTAGGGGTAGGGGATAGGAGAATAACTATATAATCTATTAGTTAAGATAGCATATAATGAACTAAGCAGGTTTATAATCTTACTTATACACCATTCATCGCTCCCGTGATCTTCCGTACAGACATTAACAAACTCTTCCTTATTATCTAATTCGGAGATATTATTTATTATCTTAGGCTTTAATTTAGGGTGCTTTATCCAGTATTTTTCTTCTATATACCCTTTTTTATTATAAGATATATATTTAGGTTTCTTAAGCTTATTACTTTTAGTAGGTAGAGTTATTTCTATATCTACTATATCTTTAGTATCAGCCCTTTTACCTAATCTTTTGCTCTTATCCAGCAGCTAACTAAATATCTAATCTAGATCTATTTCTTTTTTAGATAACTTTATAGTATATGTAATTATAGCTACTGTATAATCATAATCTGAACTTAAATTATTTAATATAAGTGCTACTATAAACTTAGGTAGTAGTACTAAATTTGATAAAGCTAAGGTATTTAGGAGCCTTTTTATATTATAGATATAAACCTCTATATTATTTTTACTAGATTTAAGTATAGTATTTATTGGCTCCTTATAGCTAATAAATTCAGCACTAAATCCTTATTGACTATATAGTTTTTTTGTTGATCCAGAATGAGATCTATAATATATTTCTTAAATAACAGAATGAAAATATTAGTCATTTAGGTATTAGGTAATAACCGAGGTATTAAACTAACCGAGGTTGTATGAAAAAGCGGGGTAATCGATCTATATAAGCAATAGGACCTACCTTAGTTTTGTAAAGTAAGTAAAATAAAATATATATCTTAAATATATGTTTTCTATATAAATCTTACTAAGCTTCCGCCCTCCATTAGAATAGCTTAACAATAATCACTTATTTATGTTCTCTATAAAAGAACTTTGGTTTTCCTTAATCTTTAAAAACCATACTTAAACTATCTAGTTTATTAGTTTTAATCTACCCCTATTTATTAAAGTATAATTATCTGAAGTTATAAAGACTCCTATTAATATATTTATCCTCTTCCTATATACTATAGAAGTCCCTTCCTCCCTCGCTCAAGGAAGCTCATCCCTTCCGAAGTGACTTACGTTAGTAAGGTCTTGTCGGATTATGAAAGGGTTCCTAACAGTTTTGTCACCACAGTTAAGCAATAAAGAAGCGTAAGTCAACACTCTCCAGATTCTCGGAAATCACTAGGACCCATGTCCTACAGCATGAGGAGTTGCCAGTTGACACTGGAAAATAGGCCTTGCTATACGAAGATTCCCTTGTCAAATATTTCTGAACGGTACAAATCTATATCTCTGCACAAAACTCTGATATCTGTTCAAAACTCTGATATATGCAGAGCTTGACGTCTTGAGTTCAAGAAGAAGCATAAAACTGTACGCTTTAACTAAGCTCTGACACGAGCATACTCCTCGCGCTCCTCGACTTTCAAGAACCCATATGGATTCTTCTTTCGCCTGCCCTTGCGATCGCCGTACTGCTCGTCGAATTTCTTGATCTGCCCTAGGCTTGACATGTCGCCAGTGACGCTCGCGCTTATCTCGCCAATTGCGTTTACAAAGTGCACTTTTTGTAGCGTTCGCTTCTCAGGGAATTGGTACGGTTCACCCTGCGCATCTGCTTTCTTCTTTGCCTCCAGCTCATCCTTAACGGCTGCAAGAGCGGCAGAGACAACGACATTCTTCAGATCTGACCCAGAGTAATAGGGAGTCTGCTCGGCAAGCTCGGATATGTCGACATCGTTGGAGATGGTTTCGCCCTTGAGGTGGATGCGAAGTATGGCCTCGCGATCGTCTTTGTCCGGGAGGTCGACGAGCACTCTGCGAGGCAAACGGCGCAAGACTGCATCATCCAAGTCAAAGGGGCGGTTGGTTGCAACCATCAGAAACACCCCGCTCTCGTTCATGCCGTCCCATTCAAGAAGGAACTGGTTGATCGTGTCTCTATGATTCGGCCTGCCACCGCGCCCGTCCGAGCCTCTACTGGCGAGAAGGGCGTCGGCTTCGTCGATAAAGACCACACAGGGTGCTAGCTTGCGAGCTAGAGTGAAGATTGCTTTGACGGTCTTTTCACTCTCACCGACCCACATTTGGTTGACATCGGAGCCAGTAACTGTCAGAACGGCGGCTTTGGACTCTTTGGCGACAGCTTTTGCGAGCATAGTCTTGCCTGTTCCTGGCGGGCCGTACAATAAAACGCCCGAAAGTGTGTTTTTTGCGAGAACACCGTATTTGAAAGCATCTGGCCTCTGCAAGGACAACGATGTGAGATCACGTACGGCTTCAACAGTGCTCCTGGCGACGTGGACGTCTTCAAAGGTGGTGTTAATGCGCTCGGGTAAGATGACTCCGCTGATCAGGCGCTTTTCGTAGCGGTCTGCCTCACGCTGCAGAGACCGCAATCTAGACGAGATGTCAAACAAACCAACAGGCTGCGGATCCAAACCAGCGAGGCTTATTGGCTTCTGTGGATCGAGAGAAGGAAAGAAAGCATCAAGAGGGTCTTTTGGACCAAAGACACCTTTGGTCGAGCTTGAAGCTTCGAAGTTGCGCAAGCTCTGAAGTCTGGCATGGCGCGTAGCGTCCATAACGCGACTATCATCCACAGCTCTGACTAAGTCGTCCAAACCGACGGTTTTTCGCTTCTGAGAAAGTGCTCGAGCGATGGAAGTCGTTGCGAGTCGCTGAATTTCATCCCGTGGAAGAAAAGTCTTTGTAAACCCAAGAGCACTGCCAATTTCGTTGTTCAGGGAGCCAAGGATCTGATGTCGAGAGGGAGCGAGGGCAGGAGCCATCAGACTGAGTACCATGTACCAATTTCGTATATTTATATTGAGTATCCTCTGAGCATGCAATTGACGAAGGCATTGTTCTTGAGAGGTGATGACGCTGCCATCTGCCGAGTGTGGCATCACTATGAATGTTCTCCATATTGAATGATCTGTCTCCCATTGTATTGTTCTGCCTGCGTCTGCTGAAGAGAGCAAGTCCTTATCAATGGAGATGCCCACCAAAACGATGTTCTCTCCATTCTCCATACGCCGCCGGCGGATAACTTGTGCCAATCTTTCTACAAGTTCAATTCCTATAGCCGTCTGCGATATCCTGATCATGTCCTCCAGGCAGACAACAAGCCTTCGCCTGGGTTTTGTCGCTGCATCTGCACCTTGTGCTCGTCTCGACCAAGCAGCGTCAATAAGGGCATTTAGGAATTTGTCCAAGAGTGCTTCGTCCATCAGGGGCTCGACGTCTACCTCTTCTTCTCCTTTCTCTGTTCCCTTTGTGTGCTTCTTCGAATCTGTACCGATGCCAAGACCTGTCGGCGAGAACGCGGCCGTCAGGTTTTTCAATATGTCCTCCACGCTGCCGCCATGCATTGGAATCAGTGTTGGCTGCAAAACCATTGCGGCGGTCTGCATATTCTGCGATCTTTCGCGATCGTCTTCTTCCTCTGTAGTGTCTTCCTCGTCTGCGCTTTCGTCTGATTCGACAGACTCCTCGATAGTCTCACTATATGCATCAAAGGGTAGTGTCTGTAACGACACATCCAAACCCGCATCAGGACAGACGTAATTACCACCAAGCTCTGCAAGGTCCTGTGCGCTGAGTCGCAGAATGCCGGAGTCTTGTGTGGCGGCAATGTGTTCAACAATGTCGCCAAGAAGAGGCATGCATCCTTCTAGCGGGCAATGTAGAGATACAGTTGATCGCACAGAGAGGGGCGTGTCCTTATCTTTGGATGGCGGAAGCTCCAAGCTCGTCCGAATCACACCGTCAATCTCTGCGAAAACCAAGGGATCGAGCCACATCCGCTCCGAGGGGAGAACTTCATCTTTGCAAGTTTGATGATGGAAATTGTTATCAGCTTCCTGTACAAAACTTATTCCAGCGACGGAGCTGTCTTTAGAGGGAAGGGAAATAATCCGCTTCTTAAAGGGATACTTCGACGTCCCCACCTGGTGGTCTGGCCATAGAACGCAGTCGTCGAACCACGAAGGAAGTTGAATTGAAGGGAGCGTTCTGGATGCTTGCTTATCTCGGGCTTTCGTATCGCGTTCGACGATTTCGGCTGAGCCTGTGACCGGATCTACGATCATGTAGCTGCTGTCGAAGCCATTGCGTGCGTACAAGTTCTGCCTTTTCCGCCACTTGCTTGTTACCGGCTTGTGTTTGGCTGCGTCTTCGCCACAGCTGGAATCCCCTCTCTTGCTACCAGCGTCTGATGGTAACGCGGCTTGCCTGCATGCTAATATAGTGAAGAAGCCTCGATGCTGTTTGGACACTGCTCTGTATGCTTTATGTGCTCTCGTCCGACATGCTTGCCAGCCCACACATCGACAAGACGCATACATAAGGCAAAGTGAGGACGACAAGCGACGCGTGAGGATGAGGTGAGAGTCGTAGTATCTGAGTGATCGATGGTGACTTCCCAAAGTTTGCAATAAGAGCTGACGTAATCATCGATATCCGAAAATGGAAGAGCTTTCCGTAATTAGAACTGGGAATCTGCTTTAACTTCTCTGCAAAGACACTGAAGATTCGTCGAAATGCTATGCAAACTTTGAAAAATAGGAACTTGAACAGACCGTGTGTTTTGAGCATATGCAGCCTTTCTTAATCGCACTGACCATCTTTTATTCCTTCATTTCCCCCCCTATTCATTCGCCTTTATTCGCATACGAGACGCTTCCATGACCAGTGTCACTACATGGAATCTAATTACTCGCAATCATTTGTTCTCACCGGATTTTTGATATCCCAAGACTGCGTCTGTACACCGTTGTAGATTTGTACGTAGGAGCTCTATAGGAGAATCAATCCCCTTGGTCAAGTAACCGTAAACTCCACAGCATGCTATACATGCATCCAAGCAAAGCGACAATATCAGCCTATTGTGGTTGGGTCAGTATCGCTTGAGCTCACTCCCTTTTTCGTTTTTACGGATATCTTCATCTCTAGCCCGACAATAAGCAGTGTGAGCTTCCTTTTGTTATCTTTTCAGCATCTCTCAGCCCCACATCGGCAGCAATGACCATGACAGAGCCAGCTGTCAAATTACGCCTGTGCACACGGATCTCTAATTTATTAGAGAACAGTGTCTATGGGTAAGAATTGTTGATGCATGTCCCAGCGCGTTGCGAGGCGTTTATGCTCTAATGCACAAGACATGAAATAAACTTCGTGAGAAGCCCTGTATCATATTCGTACGCGAACTTCATGCTAATTTCAGGTTTTGCAAGTTTCGAACTTGATAATGCACTATAATTAGGATTGTGAAGGTATATATACATATTGATTGGTCCTTGACTTCTGATGGGTTATGCCCGAACTTTCATCACTCTTGAGCGCAATGGCAAATCTCGATGTGGTCATAAATCATGACGTTGGCGCAGAAGTCATAATTATCCATTGGGAGCTCGACTGGAGACTGACTTTTTGCTCTATGAGATGTCTGATTGCTTTAATTTCCTTCTGATTGCCCGTCTAAAGAGCAGACGCAGAATTGGCAGGACAATGCTTTTTAACTTGTTGGTATGTGGCAGAGCATGAAAAGCAATAGACGAAGAACCGGGTCGTTTTGCAGCTACCCCTGGACTTTCTAACAAACCGTAGGATAATGAGCAAGGTAAATTCCGAACGAACGTCGACAACGGTTATGCCACTAGCACAGGCCATATCGTGCAATTTTTGAGCAGATGGTTTGTAACATCGTGCAAGAACTAGCGGGTATTAATGGGCTCGCAGCGACGTGTAGCAAGGGGCAGCTACAGTAAAAGCTTTCGACCTCCATACCTTGATCACAATCATCCCAAAACTACAATGTCATTTCCCCAGTCCGATTGACTCTCGGAGGGGCTCAACCTCATTTTTATACGACTTCTCACTTCTGCAGGTACCCAGCTTAGGGCGGATTATAGTGGCAGATTTCCCAATAAACAATACCCGCATCATTCAAAATCCACTGACTCGTTTCAACATCTCATCAGACTCAATGTCTCACGGTCACTGGGCAGTGAGCGGCACTTCGCCAAGCAAAGATATAATGAAAAAGAAAAATTCGTTTCCCTCCTAATAGATTCTCGTTACGGGACTCCGTTATAGCAGTGAATGCTGAAATGAGCGAGGTTCGTGAAGAGTCTGTTCGGATGGGTCTGCTCTTCGTTGAAAACATACCATAAACGCCGAACCAGTACTCGACGAATCGATGGGTAGACAAGCGAGTGTTCTCAATTTCGTCAATCAACCGTTATTACCATGTCCTCACTGGATGGAGGGTGTGGCCATGTTTAGTTTTGTGCCTACAGCAGCCTTGATCTTGTACCTTAGCTGCATCACTGATTAGTTATATTTATAGAGACTTTCTCATATTGACTCCTAGACTTACTCAGCACTACCAATCGTTGGTTCGCAACATGGCAGAAAGTTTACCCTATTAGTTAATTTTCGGACTGACGTGCTCGCGACTTGACTGTTCGTTCGATTCCGTTTTCTGTTTAATTATAACAGTGATAAGCGTGGGTCTGGGAAATCGCCAAAAGCACTGAGACCTTGGTTACCATTATTCGCGTCTCGTAGACTTTTCGAGCTCGAGCGACCTGTAGAGGAAACGTGAAGCTCAGTACTACTAGGCTCGAGGGCCAAAAGCAAAGCCTCAAGCTGCGGCAAAACCTCGCTCTGAAATCGAAACGCTGGGTTTGTCCCTTGCTCAAGGCTTTCGAGGCATTGGCAATTTAAACCTAATGAAAGAGAAGAGTCTACTTCTGTCTCTAGTGCATAATGTGGCTATTCAGCTATTATGGCCATCTTTGCCCACCCCGATGCAAGCGTCTACAACGAGGGTTGCGAGAAAATACTTCATTCCGATCCAGTCGTCCATCAAATACTTCATCTATAGTTCTAGCATCCATAATATTCAATAGAACAATAGAAGTTATCAGTATAGACAGCTCCGGGGCATTTTTGAAGGTGTAGACAAGTGAGCTGGTAAAATCAAAGCCTCTGGTGAAACCAATGATCGATTTCGCAGAGAACCGACGAGAGATGCCTTGAACGATGTTAAGACCGAACGCAATCATCCGGCACGCCCTTTTCAGAAGTTCACATATGCCTTTATATGTGAAGCAAATGTGTCTCAAAGTGGATTGTCGATGTTATGGAGAGAATGGTTATGAACACTTTATCTACCATCATGTCCTTGTTAGGAAAACTCGAAGATAGGGGCGCAATTATTAGCATAGTGATGGCTCTTGAATTTTCTGGCTTGGATCACGTCCTTGCCACACCGATTGAAGCTTGTACTAATTGCTAGCAGCAAGGTGTCTCTCACATGGTTACGAGCATCACTCTAGTCACAGGTATGCTTCTGGAAGATGTGACTACTAGAGAGGTGAACGGCTTACGACTGGAGCATGTAAAGCCAGCCGTGGTCGCAAATATGAAGAGTAAGGATGTTATGGTATGTCCCACATCAATTAATGCCAGTGAAATTTGTGCTGCCTGGCCTCCTTCTTGCAAGGTAGATGGCAGACTAGTCAATTCTTCGGAACTTATCTGCAAAATACGCATTAAAAGACTGTGTTAGCTGCAAAGCCAGCCCAGTTCTAGGTCAGACGTGTTGAGTATATGAAGCGTACAACGACATAGCCAAATTATTAGGAATTCATCCTACTCTACCAGGAAAACTGATGATAGGGAATGAAAGGCGCAATGGGATGCAATTCTCTCCTTTCTGAGTTTACTGATAGCATATCTATGGTGCTGATTCTCACCAAACATCTCGTTCTCTGCTTAATCTCCGTCTCGAGATTCATTTATACTAACACTATCGAGGCTCGACTTAATATTACGTAGTCAAATGAGTACATTTAAACTCACTTCTAGCAGATGAGACAATGTAATATGCAAGGTGCTGTTGATTTCAATCCCATTTGAGAGTCTAGTCGCCAGGGGAATAAAGTGCTCTACGGACTACCCTGACATGAAAAGTGTGAACGCCGAGGACTATGCGTATTGAGTACAAAGACATTGCTTTTTGGCATTTTTGCCAAATGAATTACGCGAGATTATCAAAGCCCCGATATTTGGAAGTCCAACTCTGAATCGTCAATGATGCTGAGCTCAATTCTACTCCAGCAGAAAGTCCATCCCTTCCACAAAAATCAAGGAGAGACATCCACTGTCCATAATCTTCCTAGAATGATTGAAAAGACCTTGAAAAACAATGTCAATATCTGACGCTTCTTTATTCTGGTCGAACAAGAGCACCGTCACGCCACTATTATAAGTTTTACCTTGCTGTGTCGTCTTCCCCGACGCACTTGGTCTCTGTCCACTTCGCGAATCTCACTGTTGGAGCATCGCAAAATCTCCAGAACAGATCTGCGGCCCAAATCACCAATGGGACGATGAATATCGCGCTGAGAGCAAAGCCTGAAACGTACTGGCCCTGGGTCTCGTGGCCGGTAATACGCCACGACCACCTCATTATACTGTAGCCTGCCGTATGCAGTACCGGACCGTGCATCAGATAGATCGCATAGCTTATGTTGCCGAAGTACTGTACAACACTGGTGTTGAACGGCTGTTGCAAAGTCGGCGAGAAGTTCGTCGCAAGAACGAACAGGATGCTTCCAATGCCCTGCCAGAAGCGATACTTGTCGGCAAACCACTCTGGTATCAGAGAAGCCAAGTATATGTATCCCGGGGTCTCTGAAGAATCCTCGTCAGGTTGTGACATAAGGTAGAGGGAGCAGAAGGCGAGAAAGAACCAGCCGTATTTCTTTAAGAACCAGCCGCTTTTCTTCGCTTGAAGCGCCTTTTCGGACCAACTATGTAAAGACGAGGGGAGAGTCGAGAAGGGCAAATTTGATGATGTATTTTTTCTAGCAATTCGAATGAGATCCAACTCAGCAAGGAGCATACCGGATACGAAAAGTATCATCTCCCAGCGATTGTTGCGGAAGCTAAACCACATGAATGCGAATAGGCACATCCATCTGATCCAAGTACGGACTCTCGCCAGACCCATTTGAAGCAGGAAAAGCAGCATTGATGCGCGAAATTCGAGAGGAATGGTCCAAAGGTGTAGATCGTAGCCCGTGCTGCCACCAAACTGATCAAAGCTCCAAATGTGGATGAATTCAAACATGCGCCATGCCCAGTCCCAGAACTGCTGATAGAATGTCTCCATACGGACCTGGTGATACTCTTTGATGGCACGGAAGTAGGACTCATCTGCTGCGAATTCTCGCGTGCTATCGTAGAAACCAAACTGCACAAGCAACACTACCAGGAAGGTGGAAATAGCAGTTGGGATGAATAATCTTAGTCCGCGTCGGAAAATGGAGGAGGACATAGTGACACTCATCGCATCCCATGAACGAGATCTCATAAGTTTTAAAGGTTTTAGTGAAAGTGCGTAGCCGGATATGACAAAAAAAATACAGACCATCGGGGGTCCGGAGTAGATCAGACGAATGATTGGCAGTTGCAGGAGATAGTCGTTCTGCTGTCCATCGTCCCACACGTATCCATAACCTCTTGTGATCGAGAAACAGCCGTAGGAGAAATGACAGAAGAAGACAAAGAGCGCGGCAAGGCCACGCATTCCATCTAGGTAGGCGGTCGGATAAAGCTTCTCAGGCTTGCGCTCGTCTCGTCTTATTCGACTCTGGATAAAACTGGGTAGAAGGGCAAAGCCAATTTGCCCGAGTAAATGGCGCCACGACTGGACACGCCATGTTCGTACGTTGGGGTTGACAGCATAGAGAAAGTGTGGTGAATATCGTGGTCCTGGAGCATTGTAGTGAAGTGTTGCTTCTGAATCTGCATCGCTTTCCATATCTGAAAGAGATCTTTCGTCAAAAAGAGGCTCCTTTTCCATCTCTGGAGATTTGCGATATTCTGTTGAGCCGGACATGGCTTCTGAGGTTGTCCACAGTGAAGGGATCCTGAAGTTCTCGACACGAGAGGCCAAGTATTGGCACAAACGAGGTGAGTGCCAGTATTGTGAGGAAGATCTTCACCAAATGCCTGACTGCTAGGCAGTTGGTGGCAGGAGACTCAATATTGTACCCTAACTCCTCGTGTCAGGCCGAGTGGTAGTTACGTGATTTTAGTCGAGCTACCCGAGTGTTTAGTCTGATCTCCTATGGGTGGCACTGGAACGAACAAATAGCACTGTCGAAATTGAAAGATTGTCTATTTATCCTTGTCGTCGATTATTGCCTTTGCCGAGAAGCGAAGGTCAACCCATGTTTCATGTGCCGCTAGTGCAAGGAACATAGAGCAAAGACCGTTCAGGTGGGCGAGACTGTAATGCTTGAATGGTAAAGGCAAATAGCTGGAGAATAACACGGCGCAAAAAGAAAATTAAAGAAGAATTCAAATGATCGCAGAAGCAAGGAAAGGAATCTGAGCGTGGGTGCTGTGGGGAAGATTGTTCGATGAAGGGAGGTTCCAAAACAGCGTTTCCAGGCAAGCCAGCTGCAACACCCGCTGCGGCGTGTTAAAACATTAATTTTCCCCTCGAGGAGGCAAGGAGATGCCCCCATAGAGAGGAAATTGTTGACAGCTAGAGCATGATGGGACGCGGCTCCAGCTTGTGATTGCCAGGGCGATGACCTGAAAAGAGTTGCTGCGAGCACCTGAAAAGCTGGCCGTTGGATGACATGATCTTCGCATCGTTAAACGCACATTCCATCGGTCCACCAGACGGCCAGCCTGAGTCTACCCAGTGGAGCCTTCGCTTGCACGGAGTACGTAAACCAAGGTAGCCCTGTAGCTGCATTCTAGATGGTAATGATCGCACTTCTGCGACGGATTTGGTGTTGTGCAAGCGAACGTCGTCTCCGCCGAGGTACTACGTGCGCGAACTGGAAAGTCAAGGCCCGCACCAGGATTCGGCGAATGGCGTTTTGGTTCATTTATGATCCATGCCGAACATCCCCCCAAGTCTGAATCAGGTGAAAAGCTCAAGTCAAAGGAACCGAAGAAACTTTATCCGCGCGAGAGTGTTGCGCTCTGGAAACGACTCCGTCATCTGTAAACGATTGATCCATGTCCCGACGAGTTTTGAAAGCTACTTGGTCTTTAGGAGGTCATCCTGCGACACCAAATGCTTCTGGAAGGCCTTCAAGAAAGGTCTGGCGCCCTTTCCGCAAGGACTGTCAAGGCGACTGGCCAACCGGAGACTTGCGAGCACGCTCCCGTGGCTGCTCGGCAGACGACTGGATTCCGTGTGGGCAAGATATTGTGGAGAAGTGAAAGAAGAGGCAGACGATCTTTATTCCTGCCGCATCAGCTTGATCCACTTCGCACTGCTGGCTGGTTACGGGTGCTGCCACTGCCGTACTGCATGTCTACAGACGTCATAGACGCGCGTCTAATCTTTTTGCAGAGAGTAATAGGTCGTGTGCTCTCACTTAGGCCACAAAGCTGGCACTTCTCATTTGGACAAATGGTATGAGTAAATTTGTACACGTTCGCAGATGCTTGTGATGGTTTTAAGGACACGATTACTTTTAAATTGAACCAACTACCTTTAAAGAATTTTTTTGGGTATCTGTAAGCAACTTTGCGATTCAGAATCCAAGAACGAATCGCTACGCAAACGTTGCACCAGCAGGTCGGAGTCTTGTTCCGACAAATCCTCGTCTTTGTCGCCCCGTACGACCTCTACCCAACCAGTTCAACTTCAATTCCTTCGTGAGTCTCTCCATTTTGCTCTGCGCATCATCTTTTGACTGTACACTTGCGAGCACGCTGACGCACTGGAGCATTCTACCAACCATTTCCGTGACCTGTGCGGAGTCCATCGGTTGCGGCGCCGGAGCAACAGCATGAGACTGAGAACCCGCGGAATGCGCACCTACAGAGGATGGAAATGATCCTGCAGATGTGTTTGAAGTAGCCCGCGAGCGACCTACTGCGGAAAATGGCGAGCCAGAATCTAAATGAGTACTCGACTGTGAATTATACGAGTTCATGCTTTGATAAGGCGATCCAAAGCCATCGGCCGACTGAGCCGTCCCAGGTCGCGTTGCAGATCCTATCGGCGGTGGTTCTGGGAGTGGATCGTAAGGATATATACCAGCGCTTATACTTTCAAGGGATAAGCGTGTAAAGATGGCCATCAACGCTTCGTGTCGGGGTAAGAAGACGGTATCTCGAAACTTGAGCAACACAATACGGCGGACATCTAGTTCCTCTCCCAGCACGAATATGTTCCGATTTGCGTCAGGGTCAGTTGCATCACTATCGGAAGGCAATGCAGCTCCCCAGAAATCTGCAGCTTCTCTTGCAGACATGATCGGACCTCGACCTTTGAATTCTAGATCAAGCGGCAGGAAGACAGCCTGCAAGAATGGCAGTATAATGCTGAACACCAGATTCCACATAGCAACTAGATGTGGCACCAGCCTGTCATCTGGAATTTGTCGCAGCGTCTGGTCTAGTGAGAGGAATCCCGTTTGAAGCAGCTCATTGAGGTCTTCTATGATCAAAGTCGGCGCGCGGCGCTGAATACAGCGCTTGATGTGAACAGACACCAGCGCATTGAAATCTTCAATGGGTGGACGGAGTTCTTCACCTTCGAAAATATTAAGTAGCTTTGCCTTCAACAATGGCCAAGCATCATCTGGCTGCAACCCAGATATGCCAAACGAGTTGCCCAAGTTTGCAACACCCGCCTGCGTGAGGCCAAGATCGGAAACGTGAGATACGCTGGTTCCAGATGTCAACGGGGAAAATGTGCTGTTGCTATTGTAATTAGGTGTTCCAAGCCAATCTGAACTTTGACTCAGTGACGCATCTCGTAGAGGCTGTTCCAATGAATTATTTGATATGTTTGGAGTCAATTTCTCCTCTTTTTTCTTTTCTCTGAGAGCTCTGCCTCCATGTCGTAGATCTAAGCCACTGACCGATTTTGCAAATGTGCTTCCGTGACCTGGAGAACTTGGCACCGCAAAATTATACAGAGGCTGTGGAGCGCTAGGATCGGTAGGTCTTGAGGTACTGCTGGCAGAGGATAGTGCGAGGTGCAGGTCGTCCTTATCCTTAAGCTTGTTCTTTTGACGGGAAAGAAAGTGATGCTTATGCTTTTCCTTTTCTTTATCTCTATCAGCTGGAACAAGTGTAGACGTGGAAGTATTCTGCGCTGAATAGAACGAAGAGCTACTACTGCTAATATTCGACTCGACCAAGCTGGTTGTGGAGATATTGGGAAATTTGTTGAGGTTTGACGAGTTGTAGGTGCCCAGTCTCGGTGATGATAAAGCAGGATGTTTTTTGTCATCCTTGTAGATACCGATGTTCTTAGGCTTCGAAAATAACTTCATCTTGGTCTTCTCTTTACCGGATTTTGCATCTTTCTCGGGTACAGGAGGTGGCTGTCGATCAGGAGCGAACTGAGGTGAGTACGGAGGCGCTTGCCCTGGGCTCCGTGGAAAGGCTGCGTTAGCAGCCGTCGCTGCAGCTAAGCTGTGGCCTCCAATGAAGCTGTCGTAGCCTCGAATGACAGGAGCATTCTGTTGTGGTTGTGCATATGGCACCGCTTGAACTGCGGGTGGTCTGCGAGCCGCTTGAGCAGCTGCGGGCGATGGCGTGGCTGCCGACGGATCTGGAAGGGTCTGCGACCTCTTGCGATTGTGGTTATTGTTCTGGATGTGCATGGCAGCCTGAGCGGCAAGCTGCGAAGTAGAAAGTCCGCTCATGTTCTGGGCGCTGGATGACGCACTTGAGATGGTAGGGTCGAAGAAGCCTTGACTTCTTTGTCGTGCCCGATGACCAGGAACCCATTCGGTAGGTGACGCTGCACGGCGCGCCGGGTCAACGACTGGTCGCTGCAGTGGGCGTGAGAAGCTTTGGATGCTGGCCGAGCTTGTATTCGGCTGGGCGTACAGGCGCCGTGGTGGAATTAACGGAGACGAGCCTTGCGTGAAAGTAGACTCGGAATCCTGGCTGGACTGTGACTGAGTTCGGGGCCTGGCTATGTTGCCTTTGGGGACTTCGGAGGTGAAGGCGATGGGAGAGCTCAATGGCTTGCTAGGAGAGTCCATGACGTCGCACGGAAGTTATATTTGAAGACACTACCTATTCTTGCAAAAGCATGCCGGTCCGATCAGATATCACGGCTCTTCGTTCCTTTGTGACGTGTACTTGTCATCGACTTCCCTAGGTATCGCGGTGCATTTCGTGGGCCAATAGGCGACTGCTGAAAAGTACAAGATCGAAATTCAAAGCCTTGTGTGTTGGTTGATAGTAGGGAAAGGAGGAATTTTAGGTAGCTGTCAGCAACCTGCTTCAGCTGCCGTCGCAGCTTTTGCCATGCAATGGAGAATTCGTGAAGGCAAACGATGTGCTGCTCTCTAGCTAAGCCCCACGGCATGCCCTAGCCGGAAATTAGGGTGAGACATCAGCTGTCACAGAATATTGCAATTTTTCGAACTGGTTTTCAATTGTTAAGACAAATGTTTTCAAGGGCACAATATTAAAACATCACAGACGGCCACGATGGCAATTATTGAAGCAGATTATACCTCCCTGGGGGCGGACTCAGACACTTTCAAGGTCCCCGTGGCTGTCGTTCCCGCTCAACCCAATTCCGAAGAGCGCACGACATATCTCGCCTGCTTACGCGCTTCTCTAAGCTCCATGCAAGACTCGATCAACGTTTTTTTAACGCGGAAAATGGAGGAGGAGAACCGGATTGCTGGAACTGATGCTACACAAGATGCCAAAGAGGAAGAACAATACGGCGAAGAGACTGTTGAGGAGAGCTAGACGCGATTGCCTAGGGACAAAATGCTCTTTGACCTCCATTCTCCAATCCTGTACTCTTGTCACTGCAGTTCCAAGATTCCCAGAGGACATCAATGTTGGAGACGCCTGTCAGAGAGTACAAAGGTGGACGCATCACCAGCGGCCAGAGTAAATTGCTGGCTTGGTTCCAGTTGGGCGACTTTGCTCCATGTCGATACAAAGGCAGCACACTTTTCACCCAAACCTAATTGACCATTGCTGTTAACTCCGATCGCATAAATTTGGCCTTGGTCCGTCGCTATCACTATATGACCGTTGCCAATCGCAAAATCTGTTATATCGTCAAATCGATCGTCGTCTAGCAGTCTCACGTCCCCGTCATTCGCGTCCAGCAGTTCGTGCAGTCCAAATTGTGTTCCAGGCCTGTCACAACCCCAGATATACAAGGCCTTTTCTTTGCTCAAGGCACCAAACATCCATCCTCGGCCGTTGATCTTGTTTACGTAGATCCCACCAAGGGCACTTATCATTGAAGGTTCGTCTGCCCTATTCTGTGTGTCTGGTACACGACCAAGACATCTAGAATACCTACCATCGCCCCACGAGAAAACCTCGCCCTCCTCTGTCCGCATTATGAAACATGTAGTGCCTGCCAGCAATGTATCTGCACGCCCACGTTGTTTATGATGCCTGAACAGCTTCCAACGCTCATCGAATTCAGAGGCGCCGCTTGGATTAGTATACCATTTCTCAAAGGCGACAAAGCTGGCGAATTCGAGGATATGGATCATTTGAGACTCTTTCGGTTGTAATATTATGACGGCAGTGCGCTCAGAACCTGTGATGGCAATATGTGAGATCCTTGGGCTACTTGCGCCTCTTTGAAGAGCGAAGGCCAATTCTCCATTCGATGTCACGTTGAATCTGTAGATCAGACCGCTCCATGTGATCAAACCAAGCGGTCCGTTTAGATTACCGAAAACAGAACGAATCTCAGCGCTGCTTTTTAACTGCCCACAGGGTAATTTCGAATTGAATGTCGCACCACTAGAGGACCAGCCTCCGACTTGGCCATACACATGGATTGTATCGTCTATTAGCACTGGTTTGAGTTCTTGTCAGCTTCATACTGCAAATAACTTCAGTTGTCGTCCACGCAAATGGAAAAATAAGGTAATTTGTTCGTTACATCAAGACGTACGAACGGTTGAACTCCATCCTGCATAGAGCACTCTCGCGTCTTTCGAAGTCTTTCTCCCAGCGATCTCGATCAGAGATCTCACATCTTCGGATAGCGCAAGCTGTCTTGAGAATCCCGCAATTTGGCAGTGTGCATTGAAACCACACGCATAGATAAAGGCCATGGTTCAAAATACTGTGGGGAAGTCTTCAAGGCTTGCATCAGTCCATAAGACCTTCTAGAAGTGAAGATAGACTGACCAGAAGTTTTATGAAGCGATCATTGATTCTTAGACGTCGTCTTCTTTCCGTGGGAATAATTTGCAAAGGAAAGAGGTTTCGTGCTTGGTTAAACTCATTTTACGCAATGGAGGCCACCCTTCACTTCAAACCCCACTCTAATATATGCGCCAAGTTGATCAGATGAAATTTCAAGAAGTATGTAAGAAGATATATTAGATAGAACTCGTCAGCTTATTTAGTAATGACCACATCTATTAATTATCGGAAAATCTAAGAAGATACGAGATTAAAAAATTTACCTGGTGAACTTTAACATCTGGTGTGAGGAGGGTTCAACGAGGATCTACCGACGCAGCTTAGTGAGAAACCGCAAATAATTCATTCAAAGTTAGTAATTTTACTTCATACACATCATTGAAATAACTGGTCAACCACTCAACGTGATTAATTGTTCTTAAGTTGTAACTTATCCCAACCCGAGGATCAGCCGTCAGAATCTTCGAAACTGTCATGGCCTAGTTCTAGCTTCCATATTAACGATAGCACATAGCACCCTGCAAGGCGCCAAGTTCAGGTTCCTTATATAGCAAGGCACCAATGCTTCAACTTCACCTCCAAAAAATACCTTGCAGCTCATGTATTACCTAATTCGAAAGTGTTGCGTTTCTATGCTACCTTAATCCCACTTATAAAATCGAGCCGATAACAATGTCGCGTCGTCCTCACAAAAAATCTAGATCAGGGTGCAGAGAATGCAAAAATCGTCATATACGGGTAAACGTCTATGCATCAAGATAATTTATATAATCTGATCGGATGTAGTGTGATGAAACCCGTCCAATCTGTATCAATTGTAGTCTGGCGGAGACGCGATGTTCTTTTCTAGGCACCAGCACTCCTTTCATTGTGCCCATTACTTTTGAGTCAAACTCAGAGTTGATGGAAGACCAAGCATCTACAGCAACTACCAAAGCACAGAATCTATGTCAACTATGGGATTTACGAAGTCGAATTCCCATTAAAAGTGAATGGGACGATGCTTTCAACGTAGACATGGCCCATCTAGAGCTTTTCAACAACCTCTCATGTGTGGAATTTTTGCAGCAAGATACAAGAAGCGATGTTGATATACCGATCAATTTATATCTCAAGTATGCTTTCTCTACCCCATACCTAATGGTAAGTATCGATTTAAAAACATCTCGATGCCAAAGAGCTGTCTTTTGCAGTTACTTGGGTTCCCTCATAGATTTACCGCTGATTCGACTATTTGAACCCTAATCATGTATCACAGCCTCTTCAACATTAGCAGCTAACATTGAGACTTTGCACAGCACCTTTATCTTGCAGCATCGGCACTCCACATGAGTACCAAAGTTTCGGAACGATGTGAATACTATCGAGAATATTCAACCGGTTTGCAGACCAGAGCACTTTCGCTTTTCAGAAAGACCAATCCGATTCTTGAGGTTACTGCAGACAATTGTGTACAGATGTTCCTGTTTTCCAGTCTTGTGGGAGTACATGTTTTAAGCGACACTTTTCTCCACCAAAGGGATTCCTTGCAAGGCTTTTTTAACAGCTTAACAAGAAGTCTAAGAATATATCGCGGCGTCCAGACAATCGTCCAACAAAACAAGCAAATATTCAAGGCCTCAGAGATTGGACCTAGCTTGGCGAAAATCTCAGATCTCCTTCAGACGACGACGGCAGCTGGAACAGAGTGCGCATCAATTGAAGACATGATAATTGCTAACGACATGTCAGTGGAATCAAGGGTGGCATTCGGGCAAGCTAAATCGCTTCTTCAACATCTATTCGATGTCTTGAAAGCGATGAAAGGCAACAAAGGAAATCTATCGATACTCCTTTCGTGGCCCATACACATCCCCTCAAATTATATCGACCTCCTAAAGGAGCTAGAGCCCACGGCTCTCGTAATATTCGCCCACTATGCGGTATTGTTGCATCGCGCTCGTGGGCTGTGGCTGATTGGTGACACGGGTCAATTTCTTATCCAGTCAATCGAAAAGCATCTTGGCTCCGGCTGGCAAAGGTTTTTACAATTTCCAATTTCAGCAGTTTCTGGACACCTTGATTTCCACTAAAGTACTTTGGTTGGTTCATTGCACGTGAGCGTTGCTCTCCGAGCTCTTGTTGCCGCAAAAGTTTCGAACGACCAATCAGATGGCACTCTGTTTATATTCAAGATATAACTGTCCGAAGGCATTGAAAGGGCTGTCTGTCCGCCGGCTTTTGATTCTGATTAATACTGAATACACAATCTTGGCTGGTTGGGATGTGCACGAACCATGCGACCATAGTGACATCCAGTTGTGCCTCACTGTGTACATCACTAGCCGAATAAATGCATATACGCGTACGCTAAACTGTAAATGGATGCGACGAGGCTGATTGATGCTTTATGAATGAGGGCCGCTGCGCACCTAGCAATCGGTATTTGTGATCTCATTGTAGTTTAGGCAGCTCTCTCTGTTTAATGCAACCTGCCCCCTTTCAATAAATTAGAACATATATTTGCTTTCATGAAATCTTCTCCGTTGTCGACACATTTAACTATATCCAATGGCGCATCTCAAGCCGTACCGAGGCACCGACTATTATATTTGGAAATATCTACCTTCAATACCAGCGGCTGTAACGGCAATGTGTCTCTTTTTCCTCGTTACCTGCTTGCATTGTGGCCGCATGGTCAAAACTCGATGCTGGTTCACCCTTCCGTTCGCAATTGGCGGCATCTGTAGGTGGTCGAAGTCCGTTATGAGCAATTACAAAGAGTTTCTAACCCTGAAATCAGTACAGTTTGTTGGCTACAGTGTCAGAATCAGTTGCTATAATCACACAGATCAACTCGCGCCCTACATTATTCAGAGTGCCTTTATCCTCCTTGCGCCTATTTTGTATGCGGCAACGATATACATGGTACTCGGACGGCTCATTCGAAGAGTTCGGGGAGACTGTTTCTCCATTATAAGGCCAACATTGATTACAAAGATTTTTGTTATTGGTGATATTCTTGCGCTCTTAATACAAGGCAATGCCGCTGGGCTGACGGCTAAGCCATCCACACGGAAACTTGGAGAACAGATCATTACGGCCGGTTTGTGTGTTCAGATGATTATGTTTGGAGCCTTTTGTGTTGTTACAATGAGTTTCCATGTGAGGATAAGAAAACAAGGAAGCAGATTGCAAAGTGTCGCTGCTGATGTGCCTTGGAGAGAGGGATTGATGATGCTCTACACGTGCAGCATATTGATTATGATCCGATCAATATTTCGCTTGGTGGAGTATATCGTGGGCACTGATGGATGGCTATTGATGCATGAATGGCCTTCCTACATTTTTGATGCACTTCTGATGTTTCTGGTTCAACTTATATTATTCATTCGGTTTCCAAGTCAGTTCAAATTTGAAAAGGGGAATTTCGAGCATCCGCTTTGAGACAACGGCACGAGGGTGAACTCTGCTTCAACAACCCTCCTGATTATCGAGGAAAAGTATGCATATTGTCCAAAATAAGTATTGTCGAGCTTTTCTGGCAGCATCTTAGCCAATGGACTGTTAGATCTCACACTAAATTATAGACAGCCTAATTGCTGGAGCCCAGAAATCATTCTTTTATCTGTCTTCATGTAAAATTTATGTAGGGAGGCGTTTTCTAACATGGACTCTTCAAGCGATTAGGCCGGTTTGAGACACGGTTTTACTGACCACAACCCGTGAACTGTAATATGTAGAAGTTTTAGTTAACAGTAAAGTGGTGATAAGTGGCGGAACTTTTTCTACGTAACAGACATTCAGCCCATAGCCAACGCCTCAAATCGCGTGATGACGATGTGAATCTCCTTTTCGAAATTTCTAAGCAATAATAACAAAACTAGAAATTCGTTGATTCTCTGAAAAGCCTCATACTTCTGATGTGTAAATCCTGTCCGCTTCTGTAACAGGCGAATGTTTCCGGACTCAATTAGCTGACGAATTGTTGTCTCATTCCAACCTTTTGCCTAATGTTGTATTTATAAATTCATTTCATATTTTTTCTTAAAATCCTAGGCACCTGAATAAAGAGCGGGAACTAAGAGTCTATGGCTGTGAGGTGCGTGAGACCTTCGTAAATATCTGATATTATTTGGCTACAACGACAACGATGACAAAGAAGTGCGACGAAATTGAGTATATTATTGGGAAAAGAAGCTTATTAAATGGTTTCTGCTCTACGCTTGCCGATACTAAAGAATCAATGATAATGCAGTTCACGGTATGTGCTCTGAAGGAGAATGAGTTAAACATTTAGAGACCGCTGTGTTTTAGACACGTGCTATCACTAATAGTTTCCATAACGAACCACGGAGAGTTCTTTGTAAGGTCTTGTGCCTGTAAAACTATCAGTACGGCTTGATTCGCGAGGAGCACATTGAAAACACACCTCGAATGATTGAATTTAGTACCTGCGTGCAACACAAATCGTCCCCCATCGAACGTGCATGAAATTACCACCGACTTTTGCAGCTCCAAGAAGTGCTACCACTTCGATAGATACGTAGATGTCTCAATATCTGGCCATTTGACCAAGTGTTGTCTCCAATACTTTAGGGAATTCTGATAAATAACAGCAAAGGCTCCAATTAAGATGCATGAACAGTATTCCGGACTTATTATGAAGCAGTAATTGGGAATTTAAATAGAGATGACTGCTACTGATCAAATTTGACGTTGTATATGTTGGTGAATATAAATGCTATGGACGGATTGAATGAAACCACCCTATTTCACTTGTAATCATTGGGAATCTTCCGTCGTTATTACTCTTGAGTACCAAGACATTCGCCCTCTACTAAGTCATGAATGTCATCAATGCTAATTCCTCTGACGCATTTACCAACGCATTGTAATTCACTTGCCTGTGTTTCTAGGTCACCCTATGGTAGCGACGTGCCCTTGGTTCTCCCGAGAGCACACATAGATCCGTGATTTCTCCTTATTCGGTACTATATATCTTCAGCTGTGTCAATACTCTTGTACACGCGTGGTTCAAGAAAGATGCGATTCATTCTCCATGCTGCTTTGGTGTATTCCGAGAAGCGAAGATCTCCATATTTCGGTTAAAATTTAAGACCCCCGCCGGAGGGGGGGGGGGGGGGGTTCCTGTTCGGACTGGCGAATAATTGAGATTGCCAAGTTCTAAATTGGCTGTGAAGGCAGTCTACTAGCAGTGACTATTTGCATTCTAACATTGTCGATGGAATAGGGGTAACGCGATGGGAGACTCTTTGCTCAATTTCTTTATATTCGTGAAATTTTCGGCGTTTTTCCTCCTCCAATAGGCAAATTCAGGGTGTGGATTCAATTTTGGACCTGTGGCGAACTTTGCGCTCGTCAGATTTGTTTATGAGATGATGCATTCCACCTGAACCAGGCGTGAAGATGCAATTCCAGGCGTTTCTTCCTATCTCGTCCATGGGTTATGACTTTATGAGGTGATGACGCTAGACATATAGGATTTTCAATACGAGGTCAATTTGAACAGATGATGAATTTGAAATGTGCACAGATGCGATACTTCTCGGCGAGGGCTCGAGCATGGTAGAACGAATGACAAATACTTTTGCAAATTGACAGTCACTGTCAAGCTCAAAAAGCGGGAAGTTGTAAAGAGCGCGCATCCTCCGCTGAACGTATGGAGTGGATGATTTGGAACTAGGTTTAGACCATAGCTGGAAGGCAAAATACTTGGGGCTGTAAGGACTTTGGGCAAGATTGGTGAGATATATAATAAAAGATTGTGGTTCTTGATTCTGAAACCACCTACGTGTAGGTGCTTATTTGTATTCTTCTAATTGACTATATAACAAGAGAGAACGGTGTACCATTGCCTGCTAAGGTCACACTATGAAAGCCTCAAATGTCATCGACTTCAGCGGTAGTATTGCGACTAGCAGCAGCAACGGCATGGCCGTATTCGCATTGATTTTGGCTGATTTTTTGGGTGATAACGACCATTTTCTCATAAGTCTCGAGTCCACTCTCTGTGACGCGTGAAAAGCTGTTGAACGTGCTAGCAGAGAAGACAGCTTCAAAGTTGGGCCAATCGTTTTGCGGTCCGATCCATATAATGGTCCCTACTTTGCTCGTTTCATAAGCATGCAAGTAGGACGCAACAAGCGATGGTGCTCGGGGATAAATCAAAAGCCATACGGCTGCAGTAGCAGCCAGCGGACTAATATCCCAGGTACCTCTTACAACATTCACCTGCTTGGGGGACAGGTAATTCACGAAACAGCTTGAAACTTCGATTCCGTAGAGCTCCAACCGTGGTTGAAGCTGCAAGAGCAACGCTTCGAAAAGTCCAGTTCCGCACCCAATGCTCAAAACGAGACAATCATCGGATGGCAAATGACGAACAACGCTGTTTAATAGTTTGGTAGAAAGACTTGCACAGCACTCAGGATGTCGTACTGGCGTATCCAATACCGCTGGTAGCTTGACGTTCATTGGAGTATATGACGGGTCAGGGCGTAAAAATGCATGATATTGCCGTTCACATATGTTACATGCGATCACTAGACCTGTTCTAGACCTAATGCTACGCTGATTGCTCAGCTCTAATGCACGTTGAAGGGAGGGAGGGGAGGGAACGCAGCTGACGAACATCGGAATTTTAAAATGCGCCTGTGAGCTTCAGCGCCTGCTGGCTGTGCTTTCCTGCGATACACTATCGCAAAAGTTGGGCATGCGACAGTCTTTTTGCTAGCTTGTAAGTTAACATGTCGTCACGACTAAGTTTGCAGGTTAATTTAATGTGGCTGGGCTTAGCTTACCCTTGGTGGGCTCACGAGATAGAGACCATCCCCACCTCCGCCGCATTCTCACTGCGCTCTCTCCTCTCTAAAAGCTGGACTACCCTCGTCTTCGAAGTCGCCTATCCTTAAATGCCATAGCAATGGCAACTTTCCTGACTGTGATCTACTAAACAGCCTCCAGCACCATGGCTCGTCCCTACAAGTCCAGGAATCCCCTTGGCTTCACGCCTTGGCCGGTCGCGTTCTGGACCACCATTATCTTCGCATCTCTGCTCAGCAGCCTCATTACAGTCCATAACACTGTGCCGCCTGCCCCAAAGAGTGAGTTGCCAGCTCCTGGGATCAACCTCACTCAAGCTTGGCTGGACCTCCAGCACCTGAGCAACGGTTTTCATCCGTACAACAGCCGGCGAAACAACGAGATACGAACATGGTTACTAGAGCGTATTGACGAGATCGTTGCTACCAACGCCCTGCCTGTATCAAGGAGTGGTGGGCGACTGGACTGGAAGAGCAGGGCACAAACGGATACAGCTGTCCATATTTACAACGATTTGGATAGCAGCTTGATTTTCGGATCAAGAGACTCATCATTGAGCGTCGCCTACACTGGCGAGAATATCATCGTATACATTAGAGGCTCGGAAGATGAGCCCGGATTCTGGTGGGAAGATGGAGAGTCAGACATTGGCCACAAGAGCGGTGTTTTAATTAATGCCCATTATGACTCCGTGCCCTCTGGATTTGGGGCGACTGACGACGGCATTGGTGTTGTCTCTGTCTTACAAGTCATCTCGTACTACACAACCCAAGGCAATCAACCAAAGCGCGGAGTAGTTGCACTTTTAAACAACGGAGAAGAGGACTACCTCAACGGTGCATTTGCCTTTACCCAGCATCCAATATCGAAATTCCCGCATACCTTTCTCAATCTGGAAGGTGCTGGAGCTGGTGGGAAGGCTGTTCTCTTCAGATCAACCGATGCCGAAGTCACGAAATCTTATCAGCGGAGCCCTCACCCTTTTGGCTCAGTCGTCTCCCTGGATGGCTTTAAGCGAAAGCTTGTTAGATCAGACACAGACTACTCTGTTTTTGCACCAGAACTGGGTATGCGTGGTCTCGACATTGCTTTCTTTGAGCCTCGAGCACGTTACCATACAATTGAAGACTCTGCTAGGTTCACATCTCGGGAATCGCTCTGGCACATGCTCTCGGCTGCGATCGCAACAATGGACGGGCTGACCTCTGATTTGAGTGACAAGTTTGAGGGTCCACCGGCTGTGGCTGGCGGTGTGCATGCTGGCAAAGGACACGATTCCGTTTTTTTCGACCTGTTTGGGCGAACCTTTGCCATTTTTCAGCTGCACACCTTGTTCGCCATCTCAGTGACCCTACTTGTTGTTACACCCATTGTATTAATTGGCGTGGAGCTCATCCTCATTAAATCAGATAAATGGTATCTTTTTGCCCGGAAGCAAGATATGGGTGATGCTGGCGTTGTTCAGATTCGGGCTTTTCGGGGCTTTTTCCGCTTTCCTCTTGTTTTTACCGTCTCCACAGCTGCTGTCGTGGGTTTCGGCTTGTTGGTCGCGAAAGTCAATCCATATGTTTTGTATTCAAGTCCTTATTCTGTCTGGAGGTATGTATTGTGTTATTGGAATTGCGGAATGTCAAGAAACTAATCTGTTCTAGTATGATGCTTTCGGCATGGTTTGCAATCACTTGGTTCCTTCTTAAAGGTGCAGACTCTATGCGACCATCTGCGCTTCAACGTGCCTACGGCCTGTTGTGGTTGTACATTGGTGCTTACATTACTCTTGTTGGTGCAACAGTACTCCAGAATAATTTTGGGATTGCGGGGAGCTACTTTATAGTCATCTACTTTGGCGCGGTGTTTCTTGCATTACTACTCTCGTACTTCGAGCTTTTTGCATTGCCGAAGAAAACTACCTTTGCCGAGAAGATCATCGGGGATGGTGGCGGAGAGGTACCTTCCAGTCGACCATTAACTCGAGACGATCAGCAGTCATCACGCAGGCAATCAGTCGACATGCTCCGGCAATTGGAAGAAGATGATGCTAACGAACGTACCTCGTTGCTTCGAGGTTATAGACAAGGAACGTTTTCGGGAGGGTACGGTGGTACTCGTGGTCGATCTACGGATGAAAGTGCGGCGACCGATGATGATGAGCTCCTATATCTGTCCATGCCACCGCCTTATCCTAAGGAACAAGTTTGGAGTGGCTTTTTGCCAAGCTGGACGTGGCTACTACAGCTGTTTTTGGTGACCATCCTGCCACTAATTCTCATTGGCCAAATCGGATTGCTCATGACCTCAAGTCTCTATCAAACCGCAAGCGATGGATCAGGTGTTCTCATTGTTTATCTATTTTTGGCAGCAATAACTACGCTATTTGTCACACCCGTTGCGCCGTTCATCCATCGCATTCAGTGGCCGCTTCCGACGATCATTTGTTTGATCTGTGTAGCTACTGCTATATACAACCTTACGGCCTTCCCGTTTTCTGAACACTCGCGCCTCAAGGTATACTTTCTGCAGCAGGTTGACCTCGATAGCGGTGTTAATCATGTAAGCCTTACTGGTTTGATGCCATACGCCAAAGATATTGCAAAATCGATTCCATCCTCCGCAGGACAAGTCATTAGTTGTTCGGCGCCAGACTATAGCGCTCGTAGCGGCCTCACAAAATGCTCATGGTCAGGCATAGCACCGAACCCAATGAATCTGCCCTCCGCAATACCTCCCGAAAAATTTTACAAGACGTGGTTGACGTTTAATGCATCTCGGGTCCAGAACACAACGAATTCCAACGTAGCACGCTTCACCATTGATGCGAAGAACACACGGGCATGTCGCATACTATTTGACAATCCAATTGTAGATGTCAATGTCACCGGCTTTGGCACTGACTCTAGGTTTCCCCGCGTTCATAAGGGAGTTTCTTCAAAGAGCATCCGACTATGGAGGCGACAGTGGGATGACGCTCCATGGGAGGTTTTCGTTACCTGGGCTGATCAAGAGAAAGGGCTCGATGGACAAGTTGTGTGTCTATGGAGCGACGCCAATGATCCGAAAAGCATTCCCGCATTTGAGGAAGTCAAGAACTTCATGCCAGTCTGGAGTATTGCAACTAAATTGAGCGACGGTCTTGTTGAAGGATCCAAAAGATTTAAAGTCTGACATATACAGCAAATATCAAAGCACAAATTACGAAATACACTTAAAAGAAAACCTGTACATGAGCATTATATCTGTCACGCATGTAATATTTCAGCAGATCACTGCAGGGCTCACTTTTCAAAGCAATTATCCTCGTGAAGCAACCGCATATCTAGAAATGCCCCAATAAGGACTTATACCCCAAATCTCGTAGTATTGGGCAATCCAGATAGCTAGCAAGGGCAGATACGTCAGATACCAGTTTTAAATTATGTATACATGCAAGACAGATCTGCTACATTCATGAACGGCAGAGAATCAAGGATTGTGCTTCAAAGTAATTGATAACGAAACGCTCGTACGCATGCTAGCTTTGCCGTACACTTGAAGTGCTCCTAAACAGCCGCTGCCACAAGTGACAAGTATACGTTCCAAAGCAGTCCGAATGCTGAAAAGAAGACGACCCTCCGTTCCACCGGGATTAGTGTAAAGCTGATAAGCGAGACAAAAGGCCACAATTTGTAGCCGGCGACTATGACAGGAATTGTGTCCTTGAGAGGGCAATATTAGTCAATGCGTGCATCTACAATTGGCTCATTACAGATAGAATGCAGGCAGAGGAAATGGGGTTTCAAATACGGCAGAGTGGGCCAGGATTCTCAAGGTCTTTAAGGATCGAATTCAAGCGACCAACAGATAGTTAGGACTCACCCTTCGCACCGTCGCAGCCAACATTTCCATATTGTGTCCTTTCAACAAGCCCATGATAACCAGAAACGCTACAGTATTTAGCAACGCACCAAGAGTGATACAGTCGATGAACATCTTCAAGAAGGTGTTTCGCCAATTGATTTTGGGCTTGCTGCCGCTTCCACTGACGGCAACAGAGACAGCATCTGCATTGCTATTTCTTCTCTTCTTCTCATCTCTTTCGGTCACATCTTGTCTTGTCAGGGGAATATCGTTACGCCGTGTAGAACGATAGGCGGGGAAAGTGCGCTCGAGGAATTGTTGCCAGTGGAAATTGGGCGGACAAGTAACTTTCGAACAACAATGTCAGAACGTTATGTCTTGCCATACACCTCATGCTCGGGTAGTATATCAGTATGATCCGGAGAAAGACGTACTGAGAGTCACCACAATGAAGCGAAGCAGCTCGATCGGATTGATCTGCAGTGGCTTGCCCTCTTGCCTTGCCCGGAAGAACTGGGCGACGACGTTCGAGCAGCCAGATAAGAAAGCGGCTTGGTATGTTGCACGAACTATTGGGGACGAGAGACGCATTGTCAGTTTAGTTTCCCTATCCAAATACAGGCAGATGGGTTCGACAACAGGCGGTGCCCTTTGGGCAACGAGTTTTGGTTAGCGAATACAGGAGTTGCCTCAGGTGATGCCAATGCAGTAATGAAGAAATGCACGAGTACAGAAGAACAACGTATGCATCTATGAAAAGTGACAATAGAATGGCTTGGAGGAGAAAGATCTCGTTTTGCTGCATCCATGCCGTCGCGAACGTGTCCCTGAGGCGTCTCGCAGATCTCGGCCAAAACTTCCGCCCACAGAAGGCACTCTGGAAATCTTTGCTTGGTTCAAATATATAGAACCTCGAAAACACAGAGATGATTGATAGGCTACCATTAAAAGCGCACGCCCTGATTCATTGCATTCCTTCCCATTTGCTAGCCACCTTCTCCAATATCCTGCGGAAAAGTGGACATCTGTGACGAGGAGCGTGTATATCTCTCGGACGAAAGCAGGACTCATTGAATGTAACCAATTCTTCCCATCATTGGAACGGGGAACAAAACGAAGCAAGACCCTAGCTGCCTCGTGAAGTTTTTGTTAGTAACGCCATTTTTTTTTAGACTCTATCGTTTCCATAAGTTCGTATGCAGGAGCGTGTAGGCAGAGGCCGCAGGCAAGGCTGAGGAGGTCCAGACACGACTCGCACTCACACGATGACGTTTTTCGGACACGTCCCTAGCTTAGCTATGCCCTTGTGCCGGTCAAACGACTCGAATAAACACTTCAAACTGGATTCATCTTCGAACTTCAATACTCCTTAGAGATTCCGAAACTGGCTCCACTGCCTCGCAAGCCGCCGCCGCGTTCAGGCGTCTCAGCGATTCTCGGTCGTTATCTCTTCCCACGCACTAGACAGCGGGCCAGTACACGGCTCACTCACTTACGCCTCGAATACCTGCCGTTCCTCAAGAACAAAGTGCAGGAGCGGATATACAGATTTATCGTCCAGCGGCAGCACAAGAGGCAGCTTCGCAGCTTTCCCACCACACCGGAGTTGTCGAAGAAGACAAGCGAATTCCTCAGACGATCCAGACTTTTTCGCGATGCGGCATCTCGCAAATGGCCAGAAATGACAAACTTTTCAGCCAGCGGTGGCGCATGGAACAGTATGACAAGTGAAGGACCCCCCCCAGGAAGTAAGAGAGCCAGGTTGAGGGGCTATCTAAACGAAATCAAGCAGACAGTTCAGCAGCAGTACGCAGGTGCTGCTTGGGGTCAGCGTGGTGGCGGGCTTGATGATTTCCAAGATGGAATTCCAAGAGCTTACTCGGATGCTGCGGTTGTGACAGGTGGTGAGGAGCAGATGATACTTATTCCCAGCTATGCACGCCAGCACACCACAAAGTCAAAGGCTTTTATCGCTACTACACAAGAGACATCGGGTCAGGGAAGGGATTATAGAGACACAACTGGCGCTGGAGAGGTCGAATTCATGAAGCAACAATGGGAAGAGTACGAGGAAGACAACGCCGTTGTTGATGTCGATGTGCGAGGCTGGGTGTTCTCTCCACAACGGGGCCAAATGACAAGAAGGCAACGGGTTTTCGTATCCTTGGCAAGACAACTGGCGGGACTACCTGCACCATCTCAGTCCTCCCCCTCGAACAGCGTGATATCTAGTCGCGATACGAGCCCGCATATGGCCTATCGGCAGCGAGTAGAAGAGAGGAAGCAGAAGCAGGATGACGACGAAGCAGCTCGACAGGCAGAAGAACTGGTCAAACGAGGCGAAAGCGAGGCGGAAAAGGCCGATCGAGGCGAATATAGTGAGGCCCCAAACAACAAATCGCGGAATGGTCACGCTAGGACAGAATACCCGGAGACGCCGATGAGTCGAAAATGGTCAGAGAAAGATGGTCTTCGACGTCTGGCCGCAAACAACTCAGCGAATGTCGAAGACGAGAATTTCAAAATCACTCCACTTCAGAAAAGAGCGACATGGAACCAACCAGCCGACATGACCCCCGATCAACTTGCCGTAGCAAATGCACATCTGATGGCTCGTCTCGCTCCCTTCATGTCCAACCCACTGGTCGATACACCAATCAGCGCATTCTTCTATAATGATGAAAATTCGAGACAACGGACTATCTATACTAATGCATATGGACATTTCGCGCTACGTGCTTCACTTGATTTTGTTCCTACGCATGTCCGGATATTGGCTTCAGAAAAACTCTCGGCCACTGAGGAAGTGACACTAACTCCTCCCAAAGGTATATCGCTCATCAGTGATATTGATGACACTGTTAAGCATTCAGCTATCAATAGTGGCGCCAGAGAAATTTTCCGTAACGCGTTTATCCGGGACTTGGCTGATCTCAAAATTGAAGGGGTACAGGAATGGTACAGCCGCTTGGAGAAGATGGGTGTGAAGTTCCATTATGTATCAAACTCGCCGTGGCAGCTGTATCCAGTACTGCAGAAGTACTTTGAGTTGACTAGGTTACCCGCAGGCTCATTTCACCTCAAGCAATACAGTGGTATGCTACAAGGGATCTTTGAGCCAGTGGCGGAAAGGAAAAAGAGCACTCTTGACCGTATCGCAAGTGATTTTCCAGAACGTCACTTCATTCTTGTTGGAGACAGTGGAGAGGCTGATTTGGAGGTATACCTCGACTTTGTAGCGGAGAATCCGGGTCGCGTTCTTGCTATCTTAATTCGCGATGTCACAACTCCATACAGCAATGGCTTCTTTGACTCTTCAATGGGAGCATTGACAGGGCCGCGTTCTAGTGGCATCACAGAAGGAAAGCATGGTAAAACTAGTGCGAGCACATTTCACCAAAACTATGAAGACGACCCCGAGCTTAGGGCTGCAATAGCAGCTTCTTTGAAAACGCTTGAAGAAGAGGAGGAGAAACGCAACAGACCGCCTCTGCCACCACGAAGGCGTACATCTCCTGATGCATTTGAAAAGGAAAAATCTGTTGTAAATTCTGAGGACCTTATCGATCTTAGTAACGACCTTCCAACTTCATACGCTGAACCACCGTTGGACTCTCCAGGGATGTCAGGCATTAAAACACCACAAATTCACTACGGAGCTAGCACAGAAAACAATTACGCAAAGCCCCCGCCACCGCTAATTCCAAGAAAACCGCTCACATTGCAGTCGAAACCGGCCGATCCGGCACGTTTGGAAGTGACGAAAATTAAAAAAACTCCTCCCCCTCCCCCGCCAACACGTCGGTCAAATACAGCATCGAACATCTCGGATCCTTCTAAGTCTTCTCCTTCGGCTCCACAGGGCAAAAAGCCTTCTATCATCCAACAGTCAACTTCCGCTCCAAGCATCGTATCAAGCACATCGTCTTACAAAGAAATCGCGAAATCGAGATTGACAAGTGCGTATAATTCTCTTCCAGCAGCACCGTGGAAAAATTCCTACGTTCACACTGAACTCAATCGTAATCAGAACATCCTCACAATGACCCCAGAACCCCATGATAACGCAAGAGATCAAAACCAATATCCACGCCCCAACATCTACTCAAATCCTACGGCAGGAGGAGTCCGTGCTAACAATTCATGGCATTCATTTAATGACACCGGAATATCCTCTGGGCAGGAGCAGTTCGTCACACGAACCTACTCGACAGCCTCTACCAGCAGTGGTGGTAACCAGCACCAGCCGGTTAATAAGCGACTTGAATTATGGCATCAGCGCTGGGAACGTGCGCGACAATACTGCCAGGAAAAAGGCGTTGTGTTACGTAGTTGGAGAGTTGGTGACGATGTTGCCGACGAGTGTGTTAGGCTGGTAGAGAAAGCAAATCAGGAATATTAGGAAGCAAAAGATAAATAACTCGTGAGGTAGCACTAGATGTGAATAGCATTCTCACATGCTTCGAATCTCAAAAACTACTAGATTTTGCCAACGACCAACGAGCAAGGCGGGGGGGGGGGGGGGTTTGGTTCTAAAGAACAAATCCATATTGGAGCTGTATGTCTTCTGATTTGTCAACTCATGTTGGACGTGCTTAAATGTAAGTGAAATTGAGATTTACGCTTTCAACTCCCCATCTTTCATGATGACCGCTAAGCCTCTGCGGTCCTCGACCTGCTTGAAGTATTCTATTGGGATCTGACCGCTCTCATTACCTTCGCTCAAGATTACACCGTTTGCGCTCTTCCAGAACTTAATCCCACTCTTTAATGCTTTTGCGATGTCGATGTATATCAAAATGTTTGATGAATTTCGCATGCCCGAGATCACAGGCTCCTTATTAGCATTGTTACCAGCCTCCTGAGCAGCTGTGACTGAAGCAAAACCAGCAGGGAGACCTGCTGCGAAGTGGATGTGGTTTCGCGACATTTTCTTGAGTCCCCCTGAAGACAAAATTAGGGGCCACGCTTTTGATGTAGTGCCATGTACGACGATAGATGGGATCTCTCCGTCGAGGGTAATGGGCTCCATGAGTCCTTCTTCATCAACTTTTATGCTGTGACCTTGGTTTGCGCGAATTAGCCATTGCGACGGATCATCGTTCTCGCAGTCAGCTTTTGATGCTGTATCAACGTAATCATCGCATTGAGAACTTTTGGCTTCAGCCACTGGAATTAGTTTGAAGCGTTGCTTGTCGTTGTTGGCTACAATCGCCTTGATCTCAGGTACGGTGACTTTGAGGGATCTGATATTTCGGTTATTTATCTAGAATTGCATTAACAAGTAGTTCCTTGGATGATAAGCAGCACAGAGGAAGCTGACCACTTCTTGAAGGTTGATATAGCCTCCAGGGCCTAGGACAAGGCCCTCTTTCTCCGCTTGATGTCGAAGGAGCTTGCTTAAGGCTCGAGAGATCTGTTCTTCTCTAGATTTTGGTCCTCCTCGTCTTCCACTTCTATCGCTGCGACCTGCATTACCAGGCATCCCACAGAGAGAGTATTTACAGGCTAACCGAATTTAATTTGGAAACTGCTCGAAAGCCGCCTGATCAGATTTTCTCGTAGACAGGAGAAGATTTCGCAGGTAGAGATGTTAGGATGCCTGATAGACAACGGTCTACTTCGTTGGACGCACAAGGGATGTGATCTAGTGCAGGAGCTATATAGATAATTGCACAACCACTTATACTGATGGTGCTCATAGGATGTAGGTGAAACTTGGGTTCCCGGATTAGGACACCGCTTTCAATAACTTGGTTCAGTTCTCCGGATGTCCTTGCCTGCTTGTAACTGTGAATGAGAACTGTGCTGACTCTGCTATCAACCTTGATACCTTAGAGGTATCGAACTATAGTAGAACATAAGAGAAACCCGCATGCGGATTTGTGCAGCCAACTTTGAATTGGTTATGATTGACAGTTTGCTTATCGATAAGGTGGATTACATAAACTTCGGCACGCTAGCACCCCACACGCCGCTTTTGTTCTTGACCCGTCCGTCATAGTTTGCCTTCAAAAATTTGATGTCTCGATGAACGACTTGGAGCAACTCTTGTACAAATTTTAATATTCCAGAGTATACCCTGAATATAATTTTACGGGTTTATAATGGCGACCACAGTGGACAAGGTGCGAATACTTCTCGCGAATCACTCATGGACTGAGCTAACAAAAGATGAAGATAAAAGAAATCGAAGCCGAAGTACATCTGCCCCCGTTGCCAATCAAACTACGCTTGATTTGAGTTCACAAAGTCTGACCTGGAAGCATAGATGGCTCGAACTCAGAAAAATAAGGCGACGTCTTACCACCTTGGTTCGTGGATGACCTGCAAAGCCCGCGAAATCACACGCTGAAGATTTGGAACAGGACAGCTGAAAGCAAAGCTCGCTAAACTAAAACGCGAACTCCTCACACCTTCCGGTGGAGGTGGCGGAGGTGGTGGTGAGTCGTGCAAATCTGAAGTGAGGCCTGGTTCCTCAGGAGAGGGAAGTTAAATGTCGTCGCTAGTCTCCTGTTGATTCAGGCCAATATAGCTTTTGCGCTCAAACCTTTCCTTCGAGAGACGCATCATATCTAATCACATGCAAATAGTGGGCTTCGATGTTGCTAGGACAGGCGTTGCTAGTGTTGGCTTCATTGGCTTCCCTTCAGTGGGCAAGAGCACGCTCATGAGCAGGTTGACTGGCCAGCACTCAGAGGCAGCTGCCTATGAATTCACGACTCTCACTACTGTTCCTGGACAGGTCATGTATAATGGCGCAAAGATCCAGATTCTTGACCTGCCAGGTATCATTCAAGGCGCGAAGGATGGAAAAGGTCGAGGTCGACAGGTTATTGCAGTCGCTAAAACCTGTCATCTCATTTTCATTGTGTTGGACGTCAACAAACCTCTGACAGACAAGCGTATTATTGAACAGGAATTGGAAGGCTTCGGCATCCGTATTAATAAGGAACCCCCAAACATTGTCTTCAGAAAGAAGGACAAGGGAGGCCTCAACATTACCAGCACAGTCCCTCTTACGCACATCGATCATGATGAGATCAAGGCGGTCATGTCCGAGTATAAGATTTCCTCCGCAGACATTGCTATTCGGTGCGACGCCACCATCGACGATTTGATCGATGTCCTCGAAGCAAAGAGCAGGGCTTATATACCTGTGATCTACGCGCTAAACAAAATCGACTCGATATCTATTGAGGAGCTGGATCTATTGTACCGCATACCGAATGCGTGCCCGATTAGCTCAGAACACGGCTGGAACATCGACGAGTTACTGGAGATGATGTGGGAGAAGCTCAATCTTCGTCGAGTCTATACGAAGCCCAAGGGCAAGATGCCGGACTACTCGGCACCGGTCGTCCTGCGGTCGACCGCTTGTACCGTGGAGGATTTTGTAAGTTCCTTCAGTGGCCGATCTTATGTTTGGCTACGACCTAAACGCCAGGCAGTGTAACTCCATTCATAAAAGTATCGTGGAGCAATTTCGTATCGCCATAGTTTATGGCAAAAGCGTCCGTCACCAACCACAGAGAGTTGGCTTGACTCATGAGTTAGCTGATGAAGACATAAGTCAGTCATTTTGCCCCTCCCCCTCTTCCCCTGTGCGCGCAATTGCCGCAAGCGCCCAGCACTGTCCAAACTAATGCTCCGGCAGTCACAATTATCAAACGATGATCGGGTACCATACCAAAGGTCGCGATAGCCACAAATAGCGCCGAGGATGGAGATAGGTTGGACAGCCTGGTCACGAGGCCAGCATTGGACTCCTTACAACGTCATCAACAACAGTCGAATGGCGCAACCCGTCTGCCACAGCGGCGACTATCGTGGCCGGAGAAGGAACCAACCGCGTTGCAAAAGCCATGCGGGAGTAGAGGTCATTTGAGTGGACACGCATCTGGAATTGAAAGTACCTCAGTCCAGTCGCACTAGGTCTTGGTATAGATGATGTCTCATCCCTCAAAGTCAAAAGGCTTTCTTATGCGAATCGCTGGCATCGTGGCGTAACACATAACCAATTAAAATGCGAAGCTCGTATGCCTGTCTTATTTGGTAAACCCGTTGCATTGCATCTCTCCACACAATCAATCTATTGCCCGGGTTGAATCTTGCAATGAGGCAACGGGGCCCAGAGGGCTTTTGATTTTCGTTGCCTGATGAGGAGAGCAGGGCGTGCTCGTCATGGGCAGAGGCTTACGTCGATCGTATGCGCACGAAAAGCGCCAGTCCTGCTTATCTAGGGGGCCCCTGGGCCTGGCCATCTTGTGTCAAGTCAGCAAAGACCTGTTAAAATCCTCGGAAATATGCGACATCGGCGTCAAGCCCCCCTGAGGCTGTCATTCGTCAAAAGCAAGAAGAGACCAGTTTTATGATTGGCTCGGAAGAATTTCAATTTCTTTCCAGGGCGGTTTTAGTGAGCTTTTGCCCGCCCGCGTGGGAGGGGAAAACGCTTCGGGGGTTGTCTAGCAGTCGTGAGCAGAGCGGCCGGAGCGCCGATCGAATGGCCAGAAAGTTTAGCTGCCGATGAGCCTTTTTTGTCGATTCAAGTCTCGATCCCGTTTTGGGCATCCAGACTGTCTTTGCTCATCGAAAGAAAGATTGGACTGCTGCTACTGCTGGGCATTGGAGCTCGTGTTGGGGGGGCCGACGGAGAGATCGCGTTCAAAGCAGGCAAGCCACGGAGTGTGTCAAGTCGTACAGCATCATCCTCGTGGTGATTTCTGCTTCAGGTCTTTTCGGTAACGCTGCGCTGGGAAAATGCTGGGGGAGCCTCTTTTTTTTTTTCCTCCTTCGAAGAGTCAATCGCAGCGCAGGAGCTTCGCCGCCGTAGCAGCCGTTAGTCTCGTTTTCCCCATGTGAGGATTATTTCGGTTTTCATGATTTCTTTTCCGTACCTGACATGCCAGCCACTCAAAACGCCCTGCTCTGGCTGTACTAAAAGTATCGGACCATACAGCATTGCAGGACCAGCTCTGGCCGTCGTACTTTCAATATATCGGTGGGGAACCTGGACTGGCGAGCCACACACGTCTCCTGTCGCTGCTGTCCGCAGACGTTGTTGATACTCAGCTTCCCTTTGGCAGCCTGGACAGGCTCTTCGAGGAATGCTGCTGGCATGGACGCTCTCCAAATCGAGAGACGGCGCACGACGAACGATCGCCCCGTTGTCGACGTCCGAGGGAGCATTATTGGCGATTGCCGCATCCTAGTCGCCTACGAATCCCATTTGCTGGCGCTCTGTAGCGCCTTGCCCCTTTCGTCTTTTATAACATTCGGCTAAGAGTTGACGCTCCAGCACGTTAGGACAAAATAGTGACTCGGCGGCCGTATCGACCATCATGGGCTCAACCCACCCTGGCACTCCAGCAAAAGCCCGCAAAAGCCATGGAGCCCTCTGAGACGATGAGCTGAGGAATCTTTGCCGTTTTGATCCAAGAGCCGGCCAGGGCACGTCCCGCTTTGCTTCCCGCTTGTGCATCCGCGTTCCCTGAATGCTTGCATTCTCAAAGTCCGTCCCTCTTGGATCTCCGCACTTTTTCTTATACTATTGCTGCAGCCCTCCTGCCCCGTCCGACCCAGCTAGGCCTGCTTCTTGCATAACTTTTCTGCATACCTCATGTGAGTCTACGTGTTTCGCGCTGGGCTTCTCACATGTTCAGTTCTTCCTGCACTTAGCCTTCCTTTGGATCTTCAACCTGCGTCGCACGGTTGTTGTACCTGTTCCACGCTTCACACCAAATCTGCATTGCCGCTTTGACGTCGCGGCCGTTCTCAAGAGCCTGCGCTGTCATTGCATGCAGCCTGCCGTCGCGGAAGTCACTCAGCGAACAGTATCGGTTCGCCCCAGCTTTTTGGGCATATCGCTCCACTGCGACCAAGCGTGTATTGCTCTACCGGCTTTGATACGGGCGCTTCTTCAAAGGATCGCCTGTATCAAAGCGTAGGCCATCTCATCAGCACGAATGAGCTTGACCATGACAATGGAACACGAGCAGCATCATGAACACGGATTTGGATATCACGATGGCAGCTCACAGTGGTTGGGTGGAAACTCGGGCTTCAGTTCGCAACACCAGTCGCCCATACACGAGCACGATGGGTTCGCATTTACTCCAATGTCAATGGAGCCAATGTATTCGTCTAGCATGCCACCACCAAGATCGAACTATCAGTCACTTCAACCGCTCATTACCCATCAATGGCCAAGCGAATTGACCAGTCAATCTTCGTACAACACGCCAATCTTCTCCTCCACTCCGATTCCATCCGCTCATATGTCTACCCCAGTGTCTGCCCCCCCAGCGACTGGACGAACATCTTCAACTCCTCGAAAGACTCTCACCGACGCCGACCGACGCCGGATGTGTTTGTACGCCGAGGAACACCCAAATGTCAAACAGACAGAGATCGGCGGTAAGCAAACATGCACGTTTTCAAGAGCGCTCAGCTAATAGATAGCAGCCATGTTTGGCGTCGAACGAAGGCATGTGGCTCAGTTTGCTAGCTTCTAGTCGTCATTAACATGTTCGTAGTACCGTATCAAAAGTTCTCCGTAACAAGGAGAAGTACCTGTACCAGGATGAAGGCAATCGTTCGCCAGTGCGCAAACCAAAAGGCAAGTTCCCTGATATTGAGCGCGCACTTGCCAACTGGGCCAAAAATCACCAAAAACAAGGACTACCCATGAGTGACGCATTGATTAAGGAGAAGCTTCACCACTTTTCGCTTACGGTGGGTAATTCGGAAGCACACCTCAAGGCCGCGAACTCTACGTCCTGGTTGGAGAAATTCAAGCAGAAGAATAACCTAATGGGAGTTAAGTCACGCAAGAATAGCATCGCAGAAGAAAGCGAGACGAGCAACCCAGCATCCGGAGCTCAAACACCTAATATCTCCCCAACTTCTCCACCCCCAACAAAGGAGCCGTCACCAGCGAATACGGACAACGGGTCTAGGACAGCTACAAAATCCGAATCCCCTGACCTCAGTCAAAACGTCGACTTTTTTTCTAACCACAAACCCTATCACTCTTTAAGTAATACTTCGCTAGCTAGCACTTTCAATGAAGGTGGCTCCACCTTTTCTCCTGGGCCCCAATCTCCAACGACGCCCTTTATTACCTCTCCGGATACAGCTTCTCCCTATATTGGCCAACAAAGTAGCCAGGTGCCTAGTCGAGTTCCCTCTGTGTCTGCTTCCAACAGCGGATTCACGCCTCAGAGACCGAGGAGTCAGACCTTTCCTATGCATGGCATTGAACCAGGAACATACGTATCACCGCCTAGCTCAGAACCGCTAACGCCTAAGTTCACAGGCCAGGCGGTGCTGGATAATGATTTGTCTGGGAATGTGCTGAGCTCGGTCGAGGAGATGCATGAGCACGGCCTGCCACTTCCAGCGACATCAATGCAACCGCCTCCACCGCCGATCGTACCCTCACCGCAGCCAATGGGTCATGGTCACCATTCGTCACCCATTACTCCAAGCTCAGTCGTTAATCCGCAAATGAGTCTGAGTCCAAGCATCGAGGACACAAAGCGCGCACTTGAAGTCGTCATGAACTTTTTCCAGAACCAGCCAAGTGGTTTTGTCGAGCCACAGGAGTACATGATGATGGGCAAGCTCATGGAGAAGCTCAAGCTACAACATCACCTCCCTGTGTCTACCGGTGGCGAAATGCCGGGTGGAATGCACAGAATACCAAGCGGTGACTTCAATCACGGGGTCTATTTGGGCAAAGACTGAGAACACCAAACGGATTTTTTTTTTCCAGATCAAACATCAAGCATAGCTTTGCTACTTCTCCTTACGTGATTCGCAGGAGCGAAACTTGTACTCCCTTGTCCTTCTCGGAAAGGGTGATCACACTGGTTTCTACGCAACTAATGACAGCGCCGCATCGAGCATCTGCTCACAGTTTTCCGATTTGTCGAACAAAATCTGTCCGATTCATGTATAGCGATCCGAGCGTCACCCCCAACCTCCAAAAAAATATAAAGAAACAGGGCCTCACGGCCAAATAGCCTCATATCTATACCAACTCGTATCCAACATCACCGCATCGGCAACATCTAGGCTACAAGTACAAGATTGGCTGCGCGCGAGCGCAAAATGGAAAGGATTTCAAGACTATTTTCTTATTGGCAGGGAGGCATATGCGCAGGGAGACGCTTTTCGGTGGTGCCAACTCTCGTAGGAGGTCGGCAATTTCCAGCACTTTTCTCATCTTCTGCTTGCTGTCCTTTCGCTATTCTAGGCGTTGTGGGGGTCTTCTGCCTGTTTATACTCACGACCCCAAAGCAGAATCTCTATAGACAAGCCTGCGCCTTCAAGGGCAAGACCAATGGGGTCTTTTCAGCGCTTCGAAAAGAGAAATGCTACGACTTTGTGTACATATCAACAGCAGTTTTTGAGTAATTTCGGTGCTTATTTGCATGAATTTTCGCTAATAAAGCGGTCAGTCTTTCTCTTCACCGATTCTTTCCCTCATCAGCCCATTTACATCTTTCTCGCCCAACTCAGGTAACAGTCTTACAATGATCAGCTCGATCATATTAAAGATCAGATGCTTATTCAAATAGACATCTCCAAGTACATCAAGCGTGTTTTCAATCTCTTCAGTCAATGCTGCATGTCCGCTAGACTTGCTTATTCCAAAATACCGAAAAAGAATCCAATTTGGAAAGGCACTTGTAATCGTCTCTGCACAGCGTCGTTTAATTGCAACAACCTCTGTCGCATCGGGGATTCGTCTGGGCGGACCAGGTGCATTGTTCGGAAAAAGAGTGGCGCGTACAATTTTCAGTAGTCGTGGGATATACGCCGGGTTCAAAATGTGCTCATGCACTTTGCTTGACAACCATCTGCATAAAGAAAACATGAGGCGTTAGCGAGATGGTCTAGCCTAGGATAGACCCAGTAAAGATGCAGGCAAACAACGGCCCGGACACTGAATAAAGAAAAAAGTCAATGTGTGAGTAATTACGAAGAAGGAGTGATCTGAGTCAAGGTCATGCGGCGGGATCTAGGAGTGGCATGCACTACAAGATACAGTGGAGGTAGAGAGCAGCTTCCTGATATCATGCACCTAGGCTAGCGAGAACTTCAGAGCAAATGCTTCCTTCCGCCATTGCGCAACCTGGTCAATTCGATGGAGCAAGGTCATGATCAGTCAAAACTAAATCGCGTGTGAGCCGGAGAAAAAAAAATGCCTTTAATGCGCATGATCGTTAAAGAACGTGTAAAGGAAGTTCTACAGCACGAAATTGCTTCAAAATCCTTCCGACTCAAAGCATAGATGCACATGGCACTGGTGGGCCGTCACTGTAGGGCAGAGACCAGGTGATGTGAGATGTCTGCAGTTAGCCGAAGGGAAAAGAATCCGCCAGCAGAAACATGTCAAATGAGCATGTGCAGAACCGCTGCAGAATGAGGGGGTGACCCAGCGCGGAGGTCTACGGGTGCATTGTCTTGCTCTTCGTCCAATCTTGCATGCAAAACATTTATGCAGAAAGGTCTGCTAGTTGCAAACTCGAAGAGTTGGAGGAGGCGTCCACATTGTTGCGGACAATATTGTGCATGAAGCTAATGCAGCGACGTCCAAGAAGGCGCCTACATGAGTCGGAAACTCACAAGGAGCGATATTGTGCGTCGCACTGCAGATGTTTCTGGTGGATGTTTGACATGGCTGGCTGGAGACTGAGCGTCGAACCCAGCTTGCTGGGACGAAACCACAGCCAACAAACGAGGACCTGATGGCAGCAGGGATGGTAGCGCCTTTTGCGATTAATCGACTCGAATCTTCTAAACAATTCCTTTTCCGCAGTGTCCGATAGTTTGACATAATGCAAACATGGTGTAGATTGTTTTTTCTCAATGGTCTCGGTGCGGTCATCGACGTGTTGAGGCGCCACCTTCAGCATTCGCTTCGGACGGACAGGGAAGCTCCCGTGTTGCAGACAGCGGCCAGTCCCGACGGAGCGGAAAGGGATCAGCCGGGCGCGTAGAGGAGGCATGTGGCAGGTTGATTCATTTCTCAACCCGATGATCACCCCACAGCATCAGGCAGCTATGCAGCAATCTCTCAAATGTTCCCAAGCTTTTGCAATGTGGTCACAGCGGACGGAGAGTGCACCAAAAGAAAAGCTACGCAATGGCTCAGGAAAGCATAGGCTAGCGATGTCTCGGCAAAAACTGGACGGTGAGCACCAGGATTCCGTCAGCACAACCGTGAAGCCGGGGGCTTGCAGTTGGCCTTGCCCCATGGCGCCAGGGTGCCGCCATCGAGGTGTGCACGATAAGGCCCCTTGCACGAAGGAAGATTGCCCGGATGGGCTACGGCCAAAGTCACTTGACTGAAACTGAATGCGGGACTAATGCAAGCCCCGGCAGCCTAGGCAGATCCCGCTGGCCAACCAGATACGAAAGGTGAAGAACTACAAAGAGATTGGTTCACACAGACTTACCTATCCAACGCACCGTTCATGTCGCCAACCCTCCCGGGCCCATACAAAGCCATTTGATGTGAGAGCGAAAACAGGCCGAACAGCCAGGGTAGGCGTATGTCCAAGTCGAAGACGCGTGCTACCATGGTCCACACGCTCATGTCCAGAATGGCACATTGATCGTAAGATGGCGGGGAGTCAGATGAGGTATCCACAGGCTCAGAGTGTATGGGCGATTGACTGGATGACCACGTCTTAGACCGTGTTGGCAATGACGACGATGTCGCAACGGTGTAAACAAGCGTACGGACCGCAGTAGACGCCATGAAAAGGAAAGACATCACGGCCCAGAACATGCCTGATATGGAATTAGATGCAGCAGACCCCAGATGACTTCGATTGCCGTCCTGACCCTGGTGTCCAGCCGTGGGTTTCTTGGATAGAGACAGCAGTCCAAACTGCTCTAGTCGACTAGTTGCGACCGTTGGCTCCTCAACAGCTTTGAGTGTCTTCGGCTGCAGCGCTTCGATGACGGTTGTGATGGCGTCCCACAAGAGCCATGGCTCACAGGCCTTGCCACTGACCCCGTTGCCCAGGATCATGTCGCTAAAGATCTCAGCAACGAGAGCTCTGAGACAGCCATTTTCTAAATCTTCTGTGGGAAGCAGCACAGCCAGAACACCGTGAACAAGTAGTTGCCGCCATGACTCTTCGTTGCGGATCTGTTCGAGAACGGTGGATGGTTCGCTCTCGCGGGGAACGGGTGATAAAGCCGGGTGTGGGACTAGTACATGATAGACTTCCCGTGGAGAGTTGGCTAGTGATGAGGGATAGGCTACTTCTTCATGGGCGACACGGTACGCTAGAAAATGAAATACTTAGTAAAAAGAACCATAATACTTACAAAGACACGAAACGATACAGAAATAACAGGAGATGAACTTACACTTGACATGTAGCTCAATCAAATTGGGTAATTCGTCCAGGACTAATGCCTCGAGGTCAACTTTTCGCAGGCGTTGCTCCAAAGCTCTTGTGCAGTGAGCAATGATCCGAATAACCTCCTCGACAAAGACATGATCGGGTGTGATTTTCGCGTACCAGGAGTAGACGAACTCCTTAAGAATGACAGCCAAGATAGCGTAGAGCTGTAAGTCAACTTCGTTGGAACTGGTGAGAGGAGGCAGCAGCTCATCTATGGGTCGCGGAGTGGCTCTTCCTCTCTCACCACCTGTGTTAGTCAGAGCATGATTTGCACAAAGCGTTCTCCTTATAAAGGCAGCGGTGGCCTTATCCGACAGAAAATCAGGTGTCGATTTCACTGTTGGTAGTTGCTCAGTCTGCTTCGTGACGCCTTGCTTTGTTCGAGCAATGTCCGCACCAGGCGCGACGCTGGTTACGACCGTTGTCGACGTCGAGACATTCGGATGTACTTGGTCTCTATTCGCAGGCAAGCTGCTCGTCCGCGGCGGATACTGCGTCATGATGGTCGTGGCGGCATAATGTTACGGGGTTGTAGGAACACACAGAGCAGACCGGGAGAGCGCGACAATATACGTGACCAACTAGACGGTCTTGAGGCTCTTTCTTGTAGATACTTTGACACGTCAGTGAACCATGCATCAATTTTGACGAACAGGCGCTTGGTTCACCTCATGGCCTCTGCGCCAAGCTCTACCCTTCCGACAAACATCGTCACCCTCGTTTGACGGCACACGCCACGACGTGGACGTTGCTATACTTTTTTACTATCAGGTCACGGGCGCCATTCTGCAGTCACTTCTTTCCCTCACACGGACATCCAGCTCCTAAATCAGGCCATGGCGCTCAACAATCTTAGCCAGATCGAAGGTATGCGAAATCGGTGATCTGGAAGCCTTCCTCTATCTCGGAGCTCGCGTCACGCTAAGGCCTGAATAACAGCTCAAATGAAAGAGATTGTGCAAAATCTATACAATCTCATTGCGCAGACATATGATCATGCCGGAGCTGCGACCGTGTCAGCCATGGATCGAGAAATGTAGGCCTTCTTCTCCCCCAGAATTTGCCTGCCGTGTTGACTCGGCTTTGAAGCGCACAGCTCGTGCAAAGGCTAGTTGATTTGAATGAGTTAGCACCACAAATCGCAGTGCAGATCCCGGACCAGATAATTGTATACGTCCAGGAGGGCCGTAACCCAGAGATCTACACGCGCGAATTTGTCGAGGTCATCATGAAGCAGAACCAGAAGCTTAAGGGCAAATCTGAGGCATTCGCTCAATTTCGAGACATCCTTGCCCGGGAGTGGGCTGCAGCTATGCCAGAACTCAAGCCTCAGATTCGCGATGTTGTGCATAACACCGGGGGCTCGCTTGAGATATGAATTCCCTTCTATCGTCTCTGCTTCCACAAGGAAACGCTTGCTTCCTCCTATAGTCATTTAGTTGTGAGTCTTTGACGATGGCATTGCTCAACCGGTGTCCTCTTGACCCACAATGCTGACAGTCTTGGAGGAGACTGAGCCTGGCCGCAGCCTCAATAAAGTGTGGGGACACAACCCTTTCCGCTGTGCTCATTACTCACACACTCTCTCATCGAAACTCAGCTCCTTTGGATGGCAAACGCACGTCCAGAATTGCACTCGTGTCCAAGAAAATGAAAATGGATGTCCATTGATATAGATCATCAGACCAAGGCCAAATCGTCCATGGTATAAACTCGATAGTAACATCTGTCGGTTCGACTCACCCTTCAAAGAAAGAACCCCAATTTAGCAAATGCTCGATAAATAGCAGAATTAAGCAGTCCTTGTACTGCTTCCGAAATATCAGGCTTGCTTTCACTGAAATTCATTAGTCCTTGGGGACATGCAGATGTCATGTTACTAATCGATGCTATTTCTTTCCTCGAGCCACTCATGAATGTAGCTGACTTAGAGATCAAATGCCATCACATAAGCAGGAAATCTTATTTTGTCGTTTGCGTAGTCTAAAGCGATCTTACCTATTGTCAATTCCCGTCCATAATCTGCCCAAATATAGAACTAAGCTCTTTCCGTAGGTAATAAGTTATACACGAGATCAAAAACACGGGTGGAAGCATCCATCAAACGTAACGGGACTGTTTCCAGCAATCATGTGAGTTGCGCATCTGACTATACAATGCGCTCGGAACCCCGTAGGTAAGACTTTATTGGTAGTTTTGTATCGAGAGAAATACCTTTGAAGCGTGATTTCAAAACCCACGGTTGCAGTCGCGACTCACATCGTCTGGAGCCCACGGAATTCTAGATCGCGACTGCCTGTATCTGTTTTTGCTCTCTGGTATTTGGACCAACTGACCAATTCAGCGGCGCAAATACTGCTGAGGAAGACATTCGTAGCAACAAGCTGCATTCAACAAAGCTGCATTCAACAAGCTGCATTCTACAAGCTGCATTCCCACCGCATTCATTTTTGCGGCAATCTTAACCATGGAACAACGTAACGGACCTCCCGATTTCACGCCAATCTTCTGGCACCCTACTCATGATCGGCCAATGACTCTGTACGATGTTAACCCGCAAATTGCCTTTGTATCCCCAGCAGAACGCGCTCAAAAATTGCATCAAGAATGTCAAGAACGCCTAGCGGTATATGATCAGATCGAAAGGGCCATCACAGACGAACAACACTACATCCGACCAAGCTGGTGGCGACGCATTCTACGAGCTTCTCTGTGGTTGCATCCGGCCATTCAGATCAGTACCTGCGGCTTGAGCAGATTTTGTGGTGACTGGTGTTGCCTTGGATACAGTCCGGCATGGGAAAAGTGGAAGGACAAGGGGGCCAAGTTGTGGGTACTAATGCACGACATAATTTGGAGGTTCTTGTTCATAGAGGTCTTCGCGTATGTACGGGCGCTATACGTATCGCTCAGGATGCTTTTCGGGATCCTTCAGCGGTCTTCCTGGGCTTCTGCGATGTAAACTGCAATCCCGTTTCGCGAAAGATTCGTTTGAAGGACAACTGGATTCAGTCATGAGAAATTGTTGGCATGTATGTGGATAACAAGAGTAGTATTCATTATTCATCCATCAGTAGACCCGCATCATGTCAAGTTTCATGCCGTACATGATCCTTGGCTGATCCGTGGCCTTGTAAGTCATATTCAGCTTCTGAAGCATTTATCTTGAGCACTGTTTTGCTTCGCTATCCTCATTCCATATTCTTCTTCCTTCTTTTGGGAATTTTCTTTGCTTCGTCGTTGTAAAGTCTTGACTCTCTATACAAAGCATTTTTGGCCATCTCCAGGACCATCCATGACAGCAGCCATCCATTATTTGCCCATGGCATGTTTGATTCACTGTCCTTATGCCCACTAAAACGCTCAATCTCGCCCTCGCAACAAGATATCGTAATCTATTCCGTATTCTATATTATTGTCTACGTTGCGTAGGCACATGATCCTCGCGAGGCTTTTTACACGAGAACAGAGCTCGAGTCATTGGTATTAAGCTTCGCGAAGGACGTAATCTGTTGGCGATCCTATCCTTAGTGGGCCTTACGTCGCTCTTTCCGTTCATACCCACTTGTCAAAACACCCAGTAAGACTAAGATCTTGAAGCTAGTCGATATATTGACATTGGGAACACCAATCTGTTCGAAGGATGGACGACAATACGTACAATATAGATTTGCCTTTGTGAGTCCAGTCGACTGCTCCTCACGACAAGAATCCTCTCATTTTGATGGAAAACAAGAGCAAGTGCAGGCATCACATCTAACGCCTGCCCCCGAATCATTTAAATTCCCACCCCCACCACCAGCTTTCACTTACACTGCGTTCTAACACGAGATGCTGGTAAGGACTGCTCTGCGGATCACAATACAAACCTTCGACATGGCCGTCATTCCTCCTCAGACACACATAATAAAAACCGCTAATGGTGAGCCCACATCCCTCCGCCATCTCGTAACTCTGCCCCTCGCTTTGAATCTCTGACGAATGTGTAGCATTTGGATCATCAACGAAGCACTTTTCCTTCCATCGCATCAAAAGATATGTCTCGTTGAGCTCGTTTAGGAACTCGCGTGAGAGCAGGCGACGGAATAAGTCGTCATCCGATGTAAATGAGCGAAATGGTTCTAGCTTGCGCCAGTATGTGGCGTCGTTTGCCGCAGTGGATGAGAAATTTTCAGTAATGAAGCTATGAGTGCGAAAATCGAGAATCTCGCCTTCAAGATAGGTTGTGATAGTTTTGAGAGCTTGTGTTTCCGGCTTCGAGTCTGTGAAAGCTGGAAACGCGGAAAGCGGAGGCAGCTGAGGTGTTTCAGAGCGAGGCGGCTCCACATATACGGTTCCATCGAAGTTTAGGAAATCGGTCTGGGAGCTGGGTGAATCTGCGCGGTAGCTCGAGGTGGAATCATCGTTTTGCGAACTGATTGTGAACGGAGTGTACGATGGCACGTTCTGCGCTTCCATAGTTGCAGAAAGAGTCATACGGTCCCAGTCTACCTCATGAACCGTTACCTCCACAGGCCACTGATCGGGAGTATAGTACCTCGTCGACGTTGGAGCACGTTGTGCGTGAGGGGGAATGTTCGACGACGGGGGTCGTCCTGGATCATCGAGTGTGAGACGGGGTAAAAATTCCCGACCAGAGCTTGATTGAAAGGTCTCCCAACCGCCAAATTCGCGCTCCCATCTCCTTATCGACCTTCTCATTGTGGGAGTGAGGTCTGGATTTGCTCTTTGGCAACCTTTGAACTTTGAGCCGCGTGCAAGGACTGAGGTAGGCGTGACAGGAGCAAGAGAGTGAACGTCCAGTACAAAATCATCATGTTTCTCGCCAAAGAACTCCTTCGTTACGAAGCGCGCATCTACAGCATAGCCCAAGCTGTCTTCGTAAGACTGCGAACGCCGCAGATTGCCAAGGTATACCACAGCTCGCTTTATTGAGTCGGCAGAAGAATCCTCAGAATTACTTGGAGGATCTGACAGTATTGAGCGACGCAATCGAGATCTGAAGTCGTCATTCGTGCCGGAGTTGCGATCAGACCGTCTGTTCCAAGGGAATCGATCTGATGTGGGCGAATACCGTTCTCTTGTTTCCGAGCTACGCGACAGTGAAGCGGCACCAACTCCATTCCTGTCAACTCTGTCCGCGCTATATCTCTGTATATTCTCTCTTGACCTCGATGCGAAACGCGGGTGCCGGCGTACGGCTTGAAGTATAGCCTGGGATCTGAGACTCTGCTCTGCACGAGGGATGGTGTACAGTCCGAAGGCTCGATCAGCGGACGAATGCCATCCTCTTGATCTTTGCCTGTCTCTTTCCAGATCTACTCTGACGCTTTCTGCCATGGCGCGTAGCACTTCGGGATGGTGATTTGGCATCTGAATTCGCAACTCGCGTCGTATCGTATCAAATTCCTCATCTTCCATCCTGACATCCAATTCCGTCAAGGATGGGGGACTCCAGTCATATAGACTGTTATGGGTAGGCGCATTCTCACCGTATGAACCGGACGACGAGGCATTGACATTGCTACTATGCAGTCTGTTCAGTCTCGACAGAACCCGCTGTAGCCTATCTCTCCTGGCTGCGTCTGGCCCGCCTCTTGCTGTCTCCATCCTCTCCAGATCCGCCAACGCCCTTGACCTGCTCGCCTGTTGCGGATCTGTCGTGTCTGATCTGCCCACGGATGTTCGGATAGAATCCAGATGCTGGAGGCTGCGGTCAAGAAATGCTCTACTTTCCGTATGGGCCTCCTGCAATGACCGCAGCTGTTCCTGAAGAGCCCTCAATCTCTCGCTCGCCGCATTCTGTGCCCTCCATTCATTCTGCGGGTCCCTCAACGCTGTCTGCTGCTGATGCTGAGAGAAGTCTTGGAGTCCCCAGCCCTCGTCGTCATCCAGGCGATGCGCGGCTGTCGAAGCTAACGCCCGTTGGGTGATTGTTGGATTTGTAAGCGTCGATGCGAGATCTGGGACGGATATGCTGTCGATCTGACGAAGTGCGGACAGGTATGAGGAGTGCGACGTCGATAGATCTTGTTGCGGCTGCTACAAGACACGATTCCGATTAGTTTCTCGGTCCACCAGATGGGTCTGTCCCTTTGAATACACAGGAATCAAGCGTCACGATCGGCTGTGTACATTGTCTATCTAGCAGCGCCAGATCCGGCCGTCGTTGAAGGTCCCCAAGGCGCTCCGTTGGGCGTAGACGTCGCGATGCTGGTACGCTCAATGAGAAGAAAGTTTACATACCTGGTTAGCGGAGAGGTCGTTCATGCGACCGTCCTCGCCGGCGGGCATGGCGAACATTCACTGGCTATCGTGTGAGCAGTCAAAGGCGAGAGTCGACGTTGGCGTGCTGGGGCAATCTGCGACAAGTCGTTGGACGCTTGCTGTGAGCCTGCAGTCCGGTCCGGAAACGATGACGAGGTCTGCCGACCCACTGGATGCGCTTTTGGGGGGGTAGCCGCGGCCTAGAACATCCCGTATAAGGATGCAAGCCAGGAGTCCGGCGGGGTTTGAAGTGATATATCACAACAGCGGACGAAAGGCTGTATTCTTTCTGCTTGCGGATAGAAGAGTACTGCCACGACCAGACTGGACCTGCGTGAGCGAATCCGTGTGCCGTCCTTTGTATCAATGATGGATCAAAGAGTTGTGGACAGAGCTCAGCATCTAGCTAACGTCAAAGCGACATTCAGGCGAGCGAGAGGCGGGAGACGAAGGAAATGACCCCCCATCAAGAAGCTCGGAGGCATCTTCCGTGAGAGTTTGCTGTATCGCAGCGTGATACTGTTTAGCACAGCGCTCTCGTCTTCTTTTCGCCGTCTGATCTCACTGGGCTGCAACGTTAGGGGCTGCTTCCATGCTTCGGCAGCGGCGCCTCCCATGCCTGTCGCGCATCTTCATCCTCTCCAAGCTAAAACAACCGCGATTCATGACCTTGCCGATATATCTGAAACAAGATCGGACATTCCGTCGCCTGCTAGTGCACTTTTGCTCGTTGCAACATCACCCAAAGCCCACACGCGAATCGGAAAGAGACAGTACGCGCGCGGAACAGCGCGGGAACAGTTGGAATGCGAATGAGGCCAGAAGACAATTCAAATGAGTGTATATTAGATTTACTAGCATACATCCAGTCATCTCCGAGGCGACGCCAGGTCACCTCTATCAACAAACATAGATGAGAGCATCGGCAAGACCAGCCCGCCACCGTGGTGGAAAAGCACAGCTTCTCCCCCCCGCCCAGCACCGAATTCTAGGTGGTGACCCTTTTAATCCACACACCCCAAGTTTACCCGTGGCAACGCCCCAGACCGAAAAGTGCTCCAGTGTCGATGTGTGCGCGACTTCCCAAGATCCCATCAAAACGCGAACGACATCGCCAAGGATAGTCCGTTTGGGAATATCTGCATGCAGACTGTACCCGTCAGTGCTACGGTTGAAGACGTCGTGCCCTTGAATACTTTCCCACCCCTTCCCGTGATGCCATGCAATGACCCGTTCCGCAGGTTGGGAAAACAAAAGATTTGGAATTCGCGCACCCAAGCGCTCCAGGCCTGCTTGTCGTGTCGAGGGTTGCAACGGAGAAAAAAAAGAGGCGTGCAGAGAAACAGTACACGGCATCGCGGATGCAATTGTGTACAGTGTTTCATGACAAAAATAAAGTCGACTATCCCTCAGGGTGGCCCACATAAACGCTCGTGTAATCCTGTTCCCAGTCTAGTTCTCCTGCATGCAGAGAGAGCACAGAAGGATACACAGTATGAGCAGAGCCAACGCCCAAGTAGATCAGAGTAACGTATCGGTCGAGATAGGATACTTAGTCCGGTGGATACGAGAAGCCAGAAGAGCAGGCAACAAGGGGCCGTTCACTCCGTCGTAATCTGGTCTTTCCGTCCATGCTTCCAGAATGCTGTTCTCCACTACCTCTTCCGCAGCCTCTCATCAAGACAGTAGCGACTATTACAATGTAATAAGAGTCGGAAGTGAAGTGAAGTTCAAATGTGTCCGCCCTGCGTCCGTGCCGTGAGGCTGTTCATCTAATGTGTATGTAGCCGTGCTGTATACAGCGAACGACCCATGACAAGTGCTCGGTAGTAAATCGCAATGAAACGGAATTCAAGAAGCACAAAACACGCTCGCTAAGATGACAAATCAGTCAACATAAGGAAAAAAAAGTTTCCAGTCCTTAAGCAGCCGGAGTACTTGATAGTTATCTCTCCGCGCCGATAGAGATGGACTTCGTGAAGAAGATTCAATGGAAACGCCTTCCCAGATGCAATCGATATGATGTGGAGGATTGACATCAATCATACAACATCGCATAATGCTCGTCTCGGTCTTGATGCATGCACGCCAGCCTGCGGAGAGGTGTATTACAGAAAGTGTGGGTATCTTGGAGAAGAATGCTCGAGTGCTTTTCTTTGGCCGTGTGCCAGTAGCGGTGTTCACATCGTCGCAGCGTACTGTGGCGAAAAGTCGTTGTAGCTCCAAGCAAAGCCGCCGCCGAACGTGTTGCCAGCAGCTGATGCACCACAGTGCTGATGCGACATCAGCGTGCTGGGCAAGGGCAGACTTGCAAGTGAGGCTGTCGTGAAAGGAATGGTCTCGGGCGACGCGGTCGACTGAGGTGGAGGGGTGTAATAGTCACCATTTGAGCAGTACGGCTGGCTAATGGAAGGTGTGGGTGATGGTAGCTGCTGAACTTCTTGCATGCTCATGGTCGGCCAAAACTGTTGGCCTTCAGAGCAGGTTGTGACAGTAGGGCTGGGCGTCGACGGTAACACTTTCCACGACTCAACCGGCTGGGGCGCTGGGGGTAACACCTGTGACTGTGGCCACCACTGCGCGGCATGACCACTTGAGCTTGGAAGAAGCGGTGCCGGGCGCACAACGTCTACTATTCTTGGCGGAGGTGGTAGCAGGGGGACGAAGAGCTGCAGAATTGAGTTCTTTACGTCCTCGCTACGGCCGTCGAGCAGTTCGCCTGCACCGTCCTCCTCGAGACCTTCGAGTGCACGTATGGGCGCGCGAAAAACGAACTTGTTGATGGCCTGAACGAATTCCTCGTGGAGCTTCTTCAACTGTACTTCCTTCTCTGCCCAGCTCCAGGTGCTTGCCGACACATCAACGGAGTAGATGTCCTTGTGATACTTGACGAGGTCATCAATAGAGTCCGTCGTGAGCTTGAATGCTACCTCATGGTTAGAGACCATGTCAACGTGTACTACGTACGCCTCGACATGAATAAGCTGATAGTTGAACATAGCCTCGACCAGCGGGTTGGAGTCCTTAACAAGCTCAGAGTCTGGTTTCTTGGGTAGCATGATGGAGCACAGCGTCCAGATAGCAGCCGGACCGGACAACGTCTCAGTCAGGCATCGGTAGTGCTGTGGAACGCTGTTGAGCGGGCGCTTGATCCGGTTTATCCTCTTCAGGGTCTGCGTTAGCCATGGCTCGACCTTGGAGTTGAGAACTACGGTCGGCGCAGATCGGGGTGCAAAGGGTACCGCGGAAGCAGGCAGCAGGTTGATTGGCATGACGGACGACGGAGACGAATCCAAGAAATTTTCCGATGTATAGCGAGCGCGATTACTCTGGTAACGACGTTAAACACAAAGAAAAGGGAGAATATATTGAAAGATTAGTGCGGTCCCAACGAGGAAAGTATTTCGCGCGCCTTGATTTGAGGGAAGAAAAAAGATCAAATGACGAATGAGAGGCGTAGAGCAAGGTGAGTAGAGGAGGTGGGCAAGAAGAAGGCTAGGCGGATGGTGACGGTCTTTTGTACGAACAAAGCGGTTGCGGCAAAGATTGTGGGCAAGCCGAGCTGGTCACGACCCAAGCCTCACAGGCCCCATGCAAGCTGCACAGCGATGCATTAGCCTTGAAATCATGCATGCAACTAAAGAATGATCAAAGCTGACCCCGAACGCGTCTTTCGCTCACGTCCGCATCGATGCTCACAAGTCGCTGGAGACCTTGATCCATGAAATTACATGCTTGTATGAAGCGCATGTTGGCGCAACGCCCAGCAATCTGGGCCGCACGGGGGCAGGATCAGTACAAAAGCAAGCAATCCACATGCTGGTGGGCCGATTCAGGGCCACACAGATACAGGATGGGCGGAGTTTTGGATTACGCCTAGTTTCCGGACGAGATGAGGAGTCCTGTGGTGCTGTTTGCAACGTAGTGTTTGCTGCGTGCCTAGTCGGTGTCCAGTGGAGTGGACATGCAAGCGACGCTTCCCGAAACGAAACATGAGGAATCGTCGGGGGAAACGGCGCAAAGCATCTCGCTCTGCCCTAGGCGGAGCATCCATCGCGGAGCTGCAGAGCAGAGAGCTACGGCGGAGTCACTTGCACTCACGCGTTGTCTCGCACCTGGCCGGCTGTGGCGTCCGAACGGGATGTTCATCAACGTTTTTGGCGAGGCAGGCTCCCTTTGAACAACCAGGAGTTCGGCCGCATTGGGAGAGCAGGAGATTTCGAGCGTGTCTCACCTCGCGCTCCGGTCGTTCAACAAGACTCGAGGATTTCAGCGCGGCGAGGTGGAGAGGGGGGGAAGTGGGTGCTGTGTGTGAGAGAGAGGTGTTGTGAGGTCTGACTGGACGTTGGCTGATGGGCTGGGATGGGCCTGCCATATCACGCTGGCCACTAGGATCACAGAGGCGCCCTGGCAGGACGACGCCAAAATCGGAGCGTCAGGCCTGATCCTTGCGCGCTGGGCGGACCCCATCTTTGTGCGGAATGCTGCTCGCGGGCTCGACTTCGGATTGTGCGCGAGAGTCGATGCACTGGCGAAGGCCTCATCTCACGCATCTGCATCTCCGCGTTTCACGCCGGCCGGCTGAGCAGAAATGTGCGGCCGTGGAAGCCGGGCAGTCTTCATGCCACGGCAGCATCATGGCTCCTTGTCGTCATCGTCATCACCATGCTCGTCGCCATCATTGTTCTGCTGCGCTCAGATCCGTCGCGCAGGCCGAAGATCTGCGCGAGGCAGTGAGGCGGTGCAGACTAACGCCGCACGTGCTCCGCGGATGTGGCAAGTACCTTTCCTTGCGCTTGCAGGCTCACGGTGGCCGCGACCGCCAGCCAGAGCGTCCAGCATCGCTGACCGACGGGTGCAGCCGGTTGTGCGGCCGATTGCCAAAGGAGGAGCGCGAGAAATGACGGAAGGAGAGCAAAGGGGACGCGCTGCAGGTCCGCTGCCGCCCTTCGCAGACGGGCGGTGTTCTTCTCCGCAGACGTGAACCTGTGCGAACTCTGGCGGTCACGCCGCTCGGAGCTCCACAGCCGTGACTCCCGCGTCAAGCGAACAGATCGCCCCAAAGCCATCCAGAGCCACGGCGGTCGCTGGCTTTGCGACCGTTGGCAGCGATGGTACACACCGGATGCACTTGGGCAGTGGTGGGAACTGGCCGCCGGATGGCCGACCAGCGTGTCAATTCGAAACATCGTCACTGTGCTGCGTCGAGGGCTCTGCTCGACGCGTACCGGCGCCGTGGTTCCTATCGCTCCCTGGCCCAAAGAGCACTTCGGAGCTGACCCAGCAAAAGCCAACGCCCAGCTGCGCCTCGCTGTGTTTTATTCTTCCTCTTGCCAGGTGTCGACGGCCAGGACATGGAGCCGGAGTAGAGCTGCTGCGTGCTTGCAGTCAGGCCTCGACCGCGGGTTCTTCTCGAAGCTTTGCTGCCCGTGCCGCAGCCTTCTTTTCCTCATCCAGGAGCTTTCAGCTGAACAAGGATTATCTACCAACTGCTGCCCTTCACCAGACCCAAAGCGAGGCTACACGAAACGTCCACTTCCTCCCTCCATCCTGCTAGTCACGACAATTGCGACCACCGCGCTTGCTTTTCCTCTGATCCTCACCCAACCCTCGCCTCGTCCAGCCTTTGAACATGCAGTGCGACTGGTCTTCAGTGAGCCTGTACCCCACAGAGTTGGGAGTTTCAGAATCTGCGTATGCATGTATGACTGAACCATTCTCGCCACCTTTTCGACCTCGTTCGCTTTTCTCGAATGATGACTCACAGACGCGTGAATTACACTCGCGCATTCTTGAACTTGCAGCCTCACGTTCGTGAGCCTTTCGCGCACTTCTCATACGCTGCAGACGGTGCTACATTTTTCAAGCCCTTGAAGCGCGTCACCTTTCTCTCTATTCGCCGTTTCGCCTTCGTGCTGGCCGACGTTTGACGAAGCGCTTGTGTTAGCCTGGTACATGCTCTTCGTTCTACAAGGTACACACTGCTCCACATCCTTCCCAGGAACCCATCTCTATGTCCAGAAGCGACTGCAACCGAGGCTGGGAAGGTCTATTGGAATAACCAAAAAAGAAAAAAAAGAAAAAAAAAGAAAAGAAATTGAAAAGAGGGAAGAATCGCCCACCCAAGCACCTCGCTCCTTCGCTTGGCCGATAGCATCATCAGTCCAGCACAACCAAGAAAATCCCATCTCCTGCTATTTCTAGAGATCTCAAACTTCTTGGATCAAAACAAAAGAGCTTTGAACAATTCTGGTCTGTAGCGTTTGGCAATCACGTTGCTACGAATAGCCGATCCGCCTTGAATTTCTTGTTTAACTTGCATATAGGTGCATAGCACTATTGAGGCTGTGTTTGCACGGATGGAACATTCCGTTTCGTCGCCCCTTGCTCTGCGCCTATTATGAGCAATAGAATACCAGGTGAAGATCGTGTTTCTTTTCCGTTCGCAACGTGCAGGAGAATATGCAGGACACCATGTGATATGCCTGTCGTCGTAAGCTTTCATCATGCTGCAATCATGCTACCGCCTCATGCGAAATGCGACTGTTGGTCAAGGACTAAGCGGAACTGGACAAGGGCGAGTAATGTAACTGAGCTTCTGGGGAGCCACACGGCCCTGTAAATCAAGTGGCAAAAACGTCTCCATAGCTGAGAAGACGTCCTTACGAGATGGGATTCTGGTCGGCCCATGAAGATGCCGCGACTGAAGACAGTCTGCTAATTCTTGCGGTCTACCACCGTCTTGATCGTAACTCTGCTTGGACGTTAAATTCTTTTTCGGCTTTGCACGTCGGGATCCTGATGATTTGTTCCAGTAGACTTGCCGTCATCCGTCTCTCGCTCATCCTCGCGAGGGACGGTACATTTGGTTTCCATCCGGTGAGCATAGCTTCTCAAATCGCTACTAGGGAATCAACATTCCGATCGGAGAGGTGTAGGACATGTTAGCACCCGGAAGTGTCAATGAAAGCACCGAAGTAACCTTAAGATAGCTATTCATTGCTTCTTACAATGCGTTTTCCAGCGTCTTCCGGACAGATACGCGTCCTTCGTTAAGTCACTAGGGGGTTGGAGAACTTCACCCAGTCCAGGTGAGTTCTTCCGAGCATTAGGAATCACCAGCAAGAGCAGCTGCATAGGCTGTCTTGTTCCTCTCGACTGTTTCAAATTCTTCGGTCCTGCACTCGTCCAGGCCCTTAAATGAAAGACAACCAATCTTGAAAACGATTCATTTGAAGATCTCAGTGCCAGAACCTCATTGGTATACTCGATCTACGTATGACGAAAATATTAAGGTGCCGTCTTCGACGACATGAAAAGCATCGCATACGGCATACGAGATCTATACGTCGTGCAAGACGTCGCCCCATCTCGAATTTCAACACTGTAAGAGCATCTCTGCACCATCCTCCACTTGCACATTCCAAACCTTCATGGACGACTGCCTCCCTCAAACGGGGTTCGAGGAACGGGTATTTATGAGGCTGCGTGTGAAGGGCAGTGCCAAGACTGTTAGAGCAGATTAATACTCAGTGTGACGAAAGATGTCACCGTCTGCGGTGTTAGCATCAAGTCTATTAAGGCCCGGAAAACGAATGACCAAAACTTAGACATAATTTACTCATGTTGGATAGCAAAATCAAAGGTTGGACAACGTCGATATCTCGGCAGTTTGGCTGGATGTTTTTCTACTCTAAAAAGAACGAGATGAAACTAAAAGGCATATTTGGATAAGCAGAAGTGGACTTTACACCCACAATTCCGCAAAATAGAGCATCGCTTTCCCACGAGGAGGCTGAGTACGTGGTGCGAACACGGGACAATCAACTATCGTTCGATGTCCAAAACATTTGCAAGGCATAGACCTCGTTATCAGTCCCGCTGCGGAGCCTGTTGTGACTTGACGTTTCCATAGAAAGCGATCGGGGGCTTGCTTTCCTGTGAGCGGTTCGGACGCTGCAAGTAAAAGCATACGAAGATAGGAAACGACTCGTTTACACGAGCTGGGAACTTTCGCCCGAGAGAAGTGCTTAGCTTGACGTCCTCAGCGGCGTTTGTGGCTGATGCCAGCGGTTAGTTCTACGAGAGAGCGACGACAGGTGTTCGCACAAAGAATACACAATCCGAGATGTGGCTAATCATCAGATATCATTCTTAATTTGATCATTTTCTGTCCTGAGCCTTTACAGCTTTGTTCAACCAAGCATGTTACGGCGTCAGAAAGGAGGCAAAAGTCAACGTGGCACCTTGTCGAAGCTCATGAGCGGCGGGTGGCCAAGACAGAAGGCAGATCCAGCAGCAAAGATCGGTCCAAGAGCGGTTTTCACGCGCAGAGACACCATGTTTAAATAATTTAGGATGTTAAATTGGAAGAGACGTCTTGAGAGCCCTAGTCGTTGTTGCTGATCATTCGAATCATTGGTAATGCTTGAGTTATCTTGCGAGCCACGGCCGCTTAACAAACTTTGACGTTCAAGGAATTAGAGCGCACGGGGGTATGACAAAGGCGGGCCCAGGCCCCGGACAAGCTTCCGCCTTTGCTCGGAATGCGATGTTGCGGGCGTGAGGCCAAATATGTGTGATATGTGTAAATGATGGTGCGAATGGGGAGATCGTGACCGCTGGCCTTGCGCGCACACATCGGTTGCAGCGACGGCGAGATCGATCGGCTGTTCGCAAGATGCACACCTTTCTTCTTGTGCTTCCTCGTTTCTGGAGTGGGAATCTTTCGCCGGTCGGTGGTGTGGAGTGCCAAGTCGCTGAGCAGCATCTCCACCCCTTTGCAAAAGCAAAGCGGCAGGGACACGTTCATTCAAGCATCTAGTCGGAAACCCAAGAGGTTGGCAACTGCCTCTGCAACGCTTGATAAGAATCGAGAAGAAATGACATGATTGCGCCCTGTCGTCTTCTCATACCGTCACACCCTCCTCCATGCGACCGTCTCTCGACCAGGCGCAGCATGTCTTCGAGAGAATCAAGCCTGCGCTGCTTCCTACCCTCTCGCTCGTCGCTTGCACAGTCCAAAACCTCAAGACTCCAGTCAGACACTCGCTGTTCGTCAATGCGATCGCGTGGGTTCTGGTCAGCGTAGTTTGCGCCCAGCGCGTCGGGCTTAGAGATGGAGTACGCGACTCGCAGAAGACGAAGACATGCCTGCTGTCAGGAGTCCTGTACGCACTGGCACTGGGCTGCGAAAGGGCAGCCGTGGACAAAGAGGGCTTGCTTGCACCGCAGGTATGTGACTTGAGATCTCTTTCCCACGATGCAGTTTGTTGGGGTTTCACGGATGACTGACGGTTCGAATGGCGCAGGCACTGCTTCCTCTCGTCGTGTACGTTATCCTCCGAGTCCTTCTCGACCACGCAACGTCCTCCCGTATCCACGAGACACTTGAGAAGGTCAAGATATCAGGGTTTAGACGATTGCTCCTCATCACAACAGGCACTGGCATCGTCGCACTGAGCTGCTCGTTCGTGCGCCTTCCCGTCACCGCATTAGGGGTGAGCAGCACGATCTTCAAGGCCTGCGCGCTGCTGCTGCTGGAGACCTCCTTGAGCTCCGCGCAGAGCGAGAGGCAGCATGCGGCGAACTCTCCCAATGGCCTGCTCCAGAAACGTGCGCCCATTGACAATGGCGACGTCGAGATCGACGTGCGCCATGCACGCGACTTTGCTGGCGTTGTCGCTCTTATCAGCTTTATACTCTGTGTTTCTTTTGAGACCTTGCGTAGCTACGACATGGTCTATAGGCCACAGCAAGGGCCCGTTGATAGCAAGGCGCAACGCCTTCCCCCAGTGAAGACGATATACTACAATTGGGATGTTGGCGCCGATCTTGTCGGCGTGATATTCGAGACTGCAAAGGCGTTCTCCATGCTGCTAATCGTAAGTCATAGTGCCCGGTTTCTATCATATCACGCATCTCATTTCTTAATTTTCTGTCCTCCCTCCCCATTTTCCCCTCCCCTTTTGTGCTTGGGGTGGAAACAGCGATGATGTGGTTCCCCAAGCTCAACTGCCCTATGCTTATACGCGTAATTCATGTGCACCCTACTCCACCGTGACTACCACTTCGTTGCTCGGTTAAGGCTCCACCTTCGCGACGATCAAACATATCTATTTTGTGCAACAAGCAACTTGTCATTTTGAAGAAATCAGCTTCACGAAACAAACGCTGACCCGTTCGTCGTTTTAGATCCGACAGCAGGGCACTTTTGACTTCAGTTTAGTCTTAGTCGGTGGAGCCTTGGCAGCACGGATGATCAGCCGCTTCACAGCGTGGGAACTCTGGCTTACCATCATCTACGCGGCAGCCGCGCTCCTAATAGTCGATGAAGCGCAGCCGGTCTCCATCTTTTCATCCGCGCGCAGGAGAATGCGAGCGCGACAGGTGACATCGCTTCTCGCTGGTTTGTCACTCGTTGGCTTCTTCTATGCGTACTTAGCGCGTCGACCACATGGATACTTTCATCGAGTTCCGTTATTCGAACCGTTCCCCGTGGAACCGCCAATTGAACTCCTGGGCCCTTTGATGTCGGCTGATCACCGCTCACATCCAATTGATCAACTGGTGAGGTCAGCAGAGACACAATTCAATGAACTCAAAAATGCGCAATCCCAGTCTCTCGCAGAAGCTGTCGCCGAGTATCGTCGAAGATACGGCATACACCCTCCTCCAAAGTTCGACATGTGGTATGAGTTTGCTAAGCGAAGAAATGTTCAACTGATAGATGAGTACGATACGATTTTTGAGCAGCTGCAGCCGTTCTGGGGTCTGACGCCCCAAGTCATTCGATCTCGCGTCGCCGAAGCTATTGGCTATGAGAACGTTCTTCTAACAGTCATGATTCGTAACGGCGAAACCGTCAAGGTTTCTGGCGGTGCTGAATGGCAGCAAGATGCGACTGTTGGAATGATGAAGGAGTTTGTACATCACCTACCAGACATGGACCTAGCCTTCAACATCCATGACGAGCCTCGAGTCATTGTGCCGGCAGACCATCTAGCTCGCTTGATAAACACCGCGCGCACAAAAAACATGCCCGCAGCCTTCGCAACCAAAAACCCAGAGAACCAGTTCTCCGCGCGACCGAAGGACCTAGGAGACGGCAAGCATATCCCCGAGTTTCGCTCCACGCGGTTTAATAAGTTTGCGCATCAGCACACGTGGACACATTCACGCGCGTCCTGCCCGGCAGACTCACCCGCCCGCGACTACGAAGAGGTGTCCAAAGATAACATCACGTCGTACGCTTTCAGTGATGTCGGCTTCGTTTACAACCAATCCGCATTCCAAGACATCTGCATGTCCCCGTCATTCCGCGAGACATATGGATTCTTTGACCGCCCAAATGCCTTCAACATCGTACAAGACCTCTTTCCAATATTCTCTCAAAGCAAAATCAGCAGCTTTCAGGACATCCTTTACCCTAGCCCGTGGTATTGGGCAACAAGAGTAGGCTACATAGAAGAAAGGGACATGGACTGGGACAAAAAGGAAGACCAGCTGTATTGGCGTGGTTCTACTACCGGAGGCTTCAGTAGGAATGGCGGTTGGCGAAGGCAGCATCGGCAGCGTGTAGTACGGAAAATCAATGCCCCAGACCGAGCAAAAATTTTTGTGAATCGCGGCGCGGAAAATGAACCAAACTGGGTATCAGAAGAAGTGAACAGGAAGGACTTCTCTTCTCTCATCAACGTCATGTTCTCTCACGTCGGCCAGTGTGATCCGGGTGATTGTGAGGCACAGCGAGAATACTTCACGATCGCCGAAAAGGCCGACCAGCAGGATGCATGGAAGTACAAATTCCTTCTCGACATGGACGGCAATGCCTTCAGCGGTCGCTTCTACGCTTTTTTGAAGAGCAAGAGCCTTGTGTTCAAGATGGCCGTCTTCCAAGAGTGGCACAAGGATTGGCTGAAGCCTTGGGTACACTACATCCCTATTTCTCTGAAGGGCGAGGACTGGCTAGAAGCGGTACGATACTTTGCTTCAGAGCCTGAAGGCAAAGTGCAGGCACCGAGGCTGGCCTGGCAAGGACGAGAGTGGGCAAAGAAGGCGCTTCGCAACGATGATTTTGAAGTCTGGTTCTTCCGGCTTCTTCTTGAGTAAGTCCATTTCCGGTTCCTTTCGAATCGTGGAGCTAACTAATGAGCAGGTATGGGAGACTCATTGATGACAACAGGGAAATCATAGGATACCCAGGACCATGAAGTAACTAAAGAGAAGCAAGGGCGCTCCGCGAGTCGAGCAGCGCTGTCATGCAACGAACATACGATTGGGAAACGGTGGCGTGCTCATGTTCAATGAATTCGGCTTTTACTGTACGTAGTCCATGAGTCTTTTGTACAATACTTTGAAGATAGCATATCATTTTCTGGCTGCATTTGCGTTACCAGCATCCGCAAAGTCACAGTAATAGTAAAGTTCTTGGTGGCACATCAATCTGCGGGCGGCTTTCCTGGCGCTGAACTGTAGTGAAATCTCTCCGCGAACGCTCCTCACAAATACCGACGTTTCAGGCATCCGAATTTGCTCCACTCTACGCTTATGCCGATGGCCCAATTCGCTCCCACGAGGAAAAGGATCCCCGCATCTCCAAGATTTAGTCCCCACATTATTCTCCATTCGTCCTTTGGCGGTTCTAGACGACACCTGCATCGGATAGCTCCCCAGAAGTAGCCATACCACTTTTGGAAGCATGATCTTGCAAATGATCAGTTCTGCGTGCAAATCTCCCGGCAAAGGCACCTATCCGTCGTAACGATTCGGCATCGTATCTTCCTTGTCAGGATTCACGGAGCCAATGGTATAAAACGATGGCAGTCCGCATGCTGGACCGAGCAACTGCGCTTCCAAACCACTTCATCGGATCTCCAGGATCTTGAGCTTGTCGTCGGACTGGTCTACCAAAAGCACACGTCGTCGTCCTGAAACAATGCACACCAACGTACCCACTACGCAGAAGGCCGCGGTCAAATCTGGCAGCGGCGCGACCGCGCGGACGGACGTGAAGGAAATCCCCGTACCCGAATTGCAGCCGGGCCAAATCTTGGTCAAGATCAACTACAGCGGGCTCTGCGCGTCGGACAAGTCGCTGCTATACGACGAATGGAGCGCCAGCGGGCTGCTGATGCAGCCGCAGACCAACGGCATAGCGGGCCACGAAGGCGCAGGCGTCGTCGTTCGAGTCCACGATTCCGTCAAGGACCTGTGGAAGGTAGGCGACCGTGCGGGCATCAAGTGGATCGCCAGCGTGTGCGGAGAGTGCGAGTTCTGCACCAACGGCCGAGACGAGTGCAGCTGCCCCAAGCAGTTGAACTCGGGCTTCAGCGTCGCCGGTACCTTTGCCGAGTACGTGCCGACGGATGCCCGTTACGCTACCAGGCTGCCGGCGGGTGTCAAGGACGAGGAAGCAGGCCCCATCATGTGTGGTGGCGTGACGGCATATGTGGCTTGCAAAAGAAGCAAGGTGCGGCCAGGACAATGGCTCGCCATTCCCGGCGCTGGCGGCGGGTTAGGCCACCTCGCCGTCCAATATGCCAAGGCCATGGGCATCCGGGTGATCGCAATCGATGGAGGGGATGAGAAGCGAGATTTATGCCTTCGACTGGGAGCCGAGCACTTCATCGACTTTACTCAGGTCCGGTGACAAGATCCATGCCAAGGGCTTCGAATCGCTGACCCTTGATTCTAGGTGAAAGACGTGCCAGCCGAGGTCGTAAAGCTCACGACGTACGGCGCTCACGGAGTCATTGTCACTGGGGCCACGAGGCAAGCGTACGAATCCGCACCACACATGCTCAGGGTCAGGGGAAGGATGGTCTGCGTTGGGCTGCCGAAAGATGGCTCGGTCGTTGCCGGTGCTCCGCCAATGTACATGTGTCTGAAGAGCCTCGAAGTTGTCGGCAGCGTTGTGGGAACAAAGAAGGATGTCGAGGAGGCGTTGGATTTCACGGCCAGAGGCCTGGTGCACCCCATCCTGACGCATGGCACCTTGGATGACCTGAACGATTTGTGCCATCGCATGCAGGAAGGCAAGCTATCGGGGAGAGCGGTGATAAAAGTTGCGTCGTAAAGATCGGCCTCTCCCATCGACAAATTGAATATGCTCATGAACGCCACGGGTTTGATTCTAGACCTCATTTTTTTTAAGAATTGAAATGACTGCAGATGTGCGTGCCTGATCAGATCTATCGCCATGCCAATGAGAAATCAACATAGGGTTCACCCCAACTCGAAATCATATTTCGGATGTCACTGGCTACCTACATTTGATGTGGATGTCTTCCAACCTAACGTCATTATAACAACATCGGCGTACATGCAGACGGATCATAGTGCCAAAATCGGCCATGAGTCAGTACATAGATTGATCATTACGCACGCAGTCATTTGGGATGTTCTAAGGAGTGCTCATGCACCGTTCTTTTTCTTCCCTCCAACATTTAGGCTACTCGTGTACTGGGGTCGAGCTGTGCTGTTGATGCATCATATCGCTCCTTCGATGCCCTGCGATCCAATTCATGTACCCAACAGGTCTCGAATGAATCTCGTATGCTGACCTGAATACCCAATCGTCTTTGAATGCAATTTTTTCGAACCGAGAGCTGCCTCGTTCTTGAGGCACGGTTCCAATCAAGGCCATGACTTCTTTGAAACTTCGCGTCCTGAGACAGCTCACCAATCCATCAAATGTATTGATGATCGGCACGATTGGCAACACGTATATGAGAATGAGCATCCATATGTCCCGGTAGTACCGGAAGATCGATGTCACATATATCAGTGGGATATGCCCAAGCATCAGAGCAAACGAGCTCAAGAAGCGATCCTGCAATTCGATGATTGCGAATCCATCCGCGGTTTCCATAGTGCTCTCAAGCACTTTCTTTGCCAATCTATCATCGAAGTGATGGAAAGAGAGACAGTAAAGCCGAAATATTTTGGAATCCGACTGGAAACCCTCGGCAGTACGAGATCTTTTGGCGGAAGTGCTTATGACTGACATGGGAGGGTCTGTAGCATCGACAGACTGCGGTATGTAGCTGAGATAGCCTTGACTATAAGAGCAGGTCTCCATCCATGAGTCTATATTGGGATGCAAATCTGACATGATAAAATTAATGGGCGTCTTGCCACGAGCGACTCGATTCTCATTTACGAGCCTCTCAATGGTCGGCGTAGGGCCTATCTAAGAAATTAGCCCTTTTGTAACCGGAAATAAGCTCAATGCACTAGAAAGTTCTACCTCCGGCGCCAGAGCAGAACTCGACCACGGCTATATTGTTACTCTCGAGGTTGCCAATGTCTTCGAGCGCTCTTAATACGACAGCTGCAGCTAGCTCCGCCGGCGAAACCTTTTGAAAGATAGGCACTTTGTGGACCCAAGCAGCGGAGAGAATCGCTTGACACCTGCGACGAATAAAGCCAGGAACACGTGAAGGCTGTTAATGCGAGTTACCCAGACTGAGCCATGCTTACACACATATGGAAATCCAATATCTCAAACAATCTCCAAGGCTTATTCGTCAGTCTTGGATTGATTATCCTGAGCCACAGCGGTCGCTTCTCCATCTTCTCGCTGTCCCGAACCTCTGATGTGGTATCCTGTTCGTTGGGAGACATTCTGAGGAGCGATGAAGTCTCGTCTACACAACGGTTCAGTAACCATAAACAAGCGGAGGAAATAGTGCGTACCAGCAAGTTTTGGCATATTTCCCGCTCTTGGAGTCCTGGACGACGGGAAAGAAGAGCTAATGGCTGTCTGTCCTTGTTGCTGATGAAAGCATGCAGTACCAGGATTGTACTATTGAAACGAAAAAACGTGATCGGCCGACAGTTGAAGTTTCAAGTCGGACCTAAACCGATTCAGGAGCACGGTAGGTGTGCCCTTGAGATCTCAATACGAGGAATGTAGACGGTGAATTGCTGCAAAATGCAACCAGGGAAAGAGGGAATGACGTCGTGTTGCGCGAACACGTGTGTCTTGATTGGTCAACCCCTGTCCATCCAGCCTCATATTCAGCCGGATACATTGGGCCTACAAGTACATGAATAGATGCATCTTGCTGGAAGCGGATTTCATAAGAAGAATTCTCTCCTTGTGGTGATCTAGTGTAACATGAATACTGTGTAAGCTAATAACACTGCTCGATATCATTCAAGACAACTGGTCTGGTCACGAAAGATCGGTTAATCAAAAGTCATCACTGTCTATCAAGAGGGAAGCTTAGCTCGTAGCCACTTCCCAGCACTTGAAATTGTTTGATCTGCGAGCTTGTCCTTTCCGGCCATGAATGTGTAGACGTGCTGCTGGCCGTCCGCGATGTCAAGCTCAACTTCTACCCCGGCACCTCTTGCCTTCTCTGCGAATTTAGTCGCGTTGTCCCTAAGCGTTTCGTACCCTCCAACAGCAATATACATCGGCGGCAAACCTTTCGGATCTGCGTCAAGTATATGAGCTAGAGGATCGCTCTGATCTTTAGGGTGAAGAAATGCGTCAACCATCAATTGCAGTCCTTCTCGGCGAATCAGGGCATCCGTTTCGACACAGGTATCGATCGTTCCATCCGGGAATTTCATGTCATACCAGGGAGAGATCGGTACTATGGCCCGCGGAAGAGGCTCACCAAGCTCCCGTAGCTTGAGAACTACGGCCGTGCAGAGGTTGCCCCCAGCGCTGTCACCCATGGTCGCGATGTTCTCGGGTTTATAGCCCTTCTTCAGGAGAAACTTGTAGCTGTCAACCGCATTCTCGAGCTGCGTGGGGAACTTGTGTTCTGGCGCTAGCCAATATTCGACCATGAGAACCTTCATGCCGGCCGCCTTGCCGAAGTGGGCGGCCATCTTCCGATGGGAAGCAATCGAGTTCGTGACGTATCCACCGCCATGAAAATATAGAATTACGTTCGGCGAATCTCGTGCCGCAAGAGGAATGCACCACAGTGCAGGGCCTAAAAAGGTCAGGTCCGGCTCGTCCTGATACATGACCTCAGTAGGTTCACTAGCGAGCGAGGCTATGTTATTTGCGCAAGCTCTAGCGACCTCGAGATCTTCTGAGATCCTGGGATCTTTCTGCCTAAGGGCGACGGTAGCCTGGAAGTATTTCGCAAGAGCATCGTTTCCTGGAGGCATGTTGAATGACGATAAACAATGCCAGTACAATTGCACTGTATCTTTGACATTCGTCGGTAATGAGCATATATCCAAGTTTCTCAAAAGCGGGGTTTGTCTGAGCCTACGGGAAAAGCAATTACCGAGATCTCACTGCTGGCCTAAGAGAAGACAGATGAATAGCTTCAAGTAAGTACTTTGGGATAGTACTGTATCCGCATTACCTGCCACGAACGTTGGCCTTGTTCTAGTCTGTTCGCAACCTTGCATGTTGCTTACTTGCAAAAATGGGCTACGATTGTTTGTCGTAGTTCTACTGTTTTGAAAATCTAGCTCAGAACTGGACAGCTCTTGTCAAAAACAATCCAACCATAATGATCATCTATTTACTATAATAAATCCACGGTAGTCTGAGATGAAGTTGAAATACATGGTCTCAAACAGCTGATCAAATGATTGAGGAATTGAACTCTGTTGGGTCATCTGGTGGAGAAATACTTTACCCCAAATGGCGGTGGGCAAAGAGTCTTCCAAAAGTTGGCAGATGCAAAGGTCAAAACAAACATGGTCAGCACCTTAGCAATTGCGGTTTACATAAAGTGATTTGATTTTACTCTACTCTGCCCTTTGCTGATGAGCCTGTTTCTTCTATCCAATTCGACGTTGGACAATGCAGTGTGCAAATTGGTCGTCTAATTGAACGGCCGAACTACCAAGGACAGTGTGCAAACGTGCAAATGTGCAAATATGCAGAATTTACTCGTCATTTGAGTGAAAAGGTGTGAACATTTCATAGATAGGATCAACGGGAATGAATATGGAAGAATGTGTTCCGCTATCGCAGATATTGTCTAACCATGGCCCGGTCAACGATTGTAAAATCTACGGGGTTTCTGACAACAGACGAAGCAGAATGTCTGCGTGTCGGAGCTGAATTTAGGCGAACAGAGTTAGGGCTTCAAAAAGGGTGGTGAGAAGCCACGCAATTGCGAGAATCCCGAGTTGTCGCTTGATGATCAAAGTGCTGTTGATCGCATCGTTGTAGCTTTGGACCATTGGAATTTTTCCTTTCTGCGACCAGAAATTGCTCACATGAAGTTGAGCGAGGGCGCAAACTCCCGCGTTGAACGCATTCAAAGCTATCCGGCCTGAAGCAGAGTCTAGAGGCCAGCCGATAGTGAATAGGGCGCAAGACAGCGAGCAAAGTATCTGACTCTCTCTAAGCTTAAGAACAACCAAAAAGAGCAGATCCTGCGCTTACCGCCAGAGCACCTGACGTCTGTGTGGTCCGCGTTTTATGCAATTCTTGCGCCGCAGTTTTGGAGTACTGCGCAGCCCGCTCGCTAGTCGACTCCCACTTTCTCAAGTTCGTGATCGATATGTAGGCATGGAACAGGCTGTAGGCGCTCAGCCCGGCCTGAGCCATGTGAATATTGGTCTGGAAAGACACCATTTTGTCCGCGGGCAGTGAAGATCCTGGGGAAGATCTGGGTAACGAGCATTTTGCGTGGGAACAAGAATTACGTCACGTTGTCAGTGGTTTGCAACTAGTGCATCTACGGAAGACACTTAAAATCGTATAAGCCCCCGCCTTTCAGTAACTTATAGGCTTTTGATGCAGTCCGTTTTTCTGCTTTTCTGGAAAACCTTTCCATTTTGCTGGTCTGGATGAGTGGAATGTTGACTGTTGCTGCATGAATGGTTTGTTAGACCGCATCTCTGATATTCTGGAAAACTATCGAAGCTTCAGCACAGAGAAATGACCGATCGCTGCAACGTTGAGTGATGCAACGAGGGCTTGATGACAAATGCTGCATGCATAGGCATATTCTTTTCTGATTGATTTACTACGCGCTGATGTACCACAAGTCAACTCGATCCTGACAAGGTCCACAGGGGAGAAGCTCGGATAGCGGATCGGTTCTCGAATCATTCTTGGCCCCATCCATCCTGAAGCAGCAGCAGGTATTCACACCGTGTAGAGATCACCTTGACGTCGAATGATATTCTTTCGAAATTAGATATAATAGAAGACAGCCGTTTTGGAACATCGTCGCAATTTGACTTGGAAAAGCAATCGTTAAAGCATACCATACAACTTGTTGTTGTACGAAGTATGATTTTGTGATTTGAACAATTGCTATGTCTTCCTCTGATTTCCTGCCCCCCCCCCCCCCCCCAGGGAGTCAATAGCTATCAAATGCCGTGTTAAAGAGCCATTTACACTGGATCGTAACAATGAACGACGGATGCAGTCTTACGCAGTACACCCAGGGATGTGGAGTATCTGCATAAGCTTTTGCGCTCTCCCAAGACTCAATCGCACAGCTCAGACTGGTTTAATGCTCGAACGGCCCGACGGTCGCGGCTCAGACCGTTCGAAAGCAGCACAAGCAGTGGGCAGTGGAGCAGTTTGCATTGCATCTGTACAGATCACTTCCCGTAGCGGCCAGGAGACCGAGCCGACTTTCTCGCAGCCGAAATGGACTCTTTGGACACCGTTAAGCGCCTCCAAGATACCCAGGCAGATACTGCATTAGACAAAAAGTCTTTTGCGACTCACATGATCCGAGAACTCCACAATTCACATGCACTGTGCCCGTGAATTTTTCACGGCGAGGTGGTGGATGGTGCATTCGTTGAAAAGAAATGGCGACACAAAGCCCCATCCTTCTCCTCGTCTCGAGCTCGCAGCTGCAATCGTCTGAGCGTTACGTTGGCGGCGCTGATCGGACGAGGCTGGCTCGTCTACAAGCTGAGAGCATTGGTAAGCGGTCGATGTCACGCAAGCATACGACCACGTCGAGAACCGTTCGCCGTTACCCCGCAAGGACGAGGTTCGGCATGCACGTCGGGGAGATCCTGGAGTAGCCAGAACAACCAGGACGAAAGCAACGAGATCGGAGAGCCAGTGAGGCGCGAGAGTCATGCGTGTGGGTCCAATCTCCGCACATGAGCCTCTCGGATGAATGCAGGTGTTCGATGATGACGGCACGCACGACATAGCAGGCGGCAGCGGAACATCTTTCAGCGAGCAATTGGTGCGAAAACGCATGGGTCGCGGCAACGTAGTTTGGCCCGTCTGTCAAATCTTCGCGGCGGACCAACTGATTTCTGAGCTGCGAAGACGGATGTCCTACCAGGAACACGTAAGGTCGGGCGCAAATCCAGTACGACTCCATCTTCGCACGCCAGGGTTACAATGTAGATGGGCCTTGGGACTGCGAAGCTTGCGTTTGCACCTCCATGGGATGCCATAGGATGGCTGGTGGGCCTTGCGCTGTAGTGGCAACTGACTTTGTCCTTGGTCTCGCGACGGTGAGAAGTGCTGTCGCACCGCCCGTACATAAATTCAATATTTCTCGCCGCCGATCGCACGACCTGTCGATCCCCCGAGCTCTTTGACTTTCGTAGCAAGGACCGTCGCCCAAGGTAATTTCACTACTCTTCGATCGTCGACCTTGCTTATTAGAAGGAACAGGCAGCCTGAAGTTCCACGACCGGACGTCTGAAAACCTTCTGTCGTTTTCCTGCGGACGAGCTGCAAGCCAGCGTACCTTTTTCCTGAATAAGCTCACTTAAGCTCAACGGCAGAGGCGTCGCCGTCCGCAAACCAGCATGCGGAACCAGCTTCTTTGGGCTGGGGTCGTCTCAGCAACACACGCAGCAGCGAGAACGCTGCACCCTCGCCAGGTATGTAAACATGCACTTTTGCTCAAACACCACAACCATCGTGAACACGATGACAACGCGCGTCGCACCCTTGCTCTGCACCGATGCTTCGCTACGTTGCTATCTGCGCAGTCGTCGCAGTCACTGTATGCGATCTGCTTCTCCCTCTCGATCGCATCCCCCCCGGGCCACCCGTCCGTAAACAATCGTGAGCATCTACCAATTGACTCCGCGCAGGACTCTTCTTACAATTCTAGCCTCAATATTGGCCCATATGAATCATCACCGCCCAAGTATCCTTCGCCATGGATGGACGGCAGCGGGCAGTGGTCCAGCGCTTATGCCCGTGCCCAAGAATTCGTGAAGCAGATGACTCTCCTCGAAAAGATCAATCTGACGACCGGAACCGGCTGGGAGAGCGGACCATGTGTTGGAACCACCGGTTCAGTTCCTAGACTGGGCATACCCAATCTCTGCATGCAGGATTCGCCACTGGGAGTTCGACTTACCGACTACAACTCGGGATTTCCAGCTGGTGGTACCGTCGCTGCTTCGTGGGATCGAAATGTCTGGTACACACGAGGCTATGACATGGGCATGGAGCATCGCGGAAAAGGCGTTGACGTGTGAGTGTCTCCGTTTTATGGAAACAAACCTGGGGGGGTAAAGGTGCTAACTGCCGACAAGACAACTTGGCCCTGTCGTTGGTCCTCTTGGTCGCGCACCTGAGGGCGGTAGGAACTGGGAAGGGTTTTCGCCTGACCCAGTGCTTTCCGGAGTAGCAGTCTCTGAAACTGTCAAGGGTATCCAAGATGCTGGTGTCATTGCATGTTCGTTCTACCTAAGGCACTATCGCGTATAGGCCGTGTACTGATCAAGTTAGGCACAAAGCATTATATCCTCAACGAACAAGAACACTTCCGTCAAAGTGGCGAAGCGCAGGGCTACGGTTTTAACATCTCTGAGAGCATCAGTTCGAACATTGATGATATCACGATCCACGAGCTTTACTTGTGGCCGTTTGCAGACGCCGTTCGAGCAGGAACAGGCGCAATTATGTGCTCATACAACCAGGTTAACAACAGCTACGCATGCCAGAACTCGTACACGATGAATTACCTTTTGAAGGGCGAGCTCGGATTTCAAGGTTTTGTCATGTCAGACTGTACGTTATATCTACCTCTACGAGCGTACCTTTACTGATGCTGGGCATTTTAGGGGGTGCGCAGCACGCAGGCGTATCAACCTCCCTTGCGGGACTGGACATGACCATGCCTGGCGACTCTTCCTTCAACTCTGGAGTCTCATTCTGGGGCGCTAACATGACACTCGCTGTGCTCAACGGTACGGTGCCGGAATGGCGCATCGATGATATGGCAACCCGCATCATGGCCGCATACTTCCTCGTTGGCCGTGACAAATACCGAGTACCGGTCAACTTCAACTCATGGTCACTCGACACGTACGGTTATGAGCATGCATATGCCAAAGAAGGATACGGCTTGATCAATCAGCATGTCGACGTGCGCGGCGAGCATGGTAACGACATCCGCGAGCATGCGGCCAAGTCCACGATTCTTCTCAAGAACGTGAACGGTGCACTTCCTCTCACGGGCAAGGAGAAATTCACCGGCGTCTTCGGCGAGGACGCCGACACCAACGTTTACGGGCCGAACGGCTGCAGCGACCGTGGCTGTGACAACGGAACCCTGGCCATGGGCTGGGGATCTGGCACCGCAAACTTCCCATACATCGTCACGCCGCTCACTGCCATCCAAAACGAAGTGCTCACTACAAGCGGCAATGTAGTTCAGTCGGTCACCAACAACTGGGCGTACGACGAGATCGCGGCAGTGGCACAGCAAGCCAGCGTTTCCATCGTCTTCGTCAACTCCGATTCAGGCGAGGGTTACATCAGCGTGGACGGCAACGAAGGCGACCGAAACAACTTGACCGCTTGGCGCAATGGAGAGACGTTGATCCAGAACGTCACCGCCGTCTGCAACAACACCATCGTTGTCGTCCACAGCGTCGGTCCCATCTTGCTGACCAACTTTTATGACAACCCCAACGTCACCGCCATCGTCTGGGCTGGCCTTCCCGGTGAGCAGACGGGCAACTCCCTCACAGATGTCCTTTACGGCCGAGTGAATCCCGGTGGCAAGCTTCCTTTTACACTTGGGGCCAGCCGTGAGGATTATGGGACCGACGTCATGTACGAGCCGAACAATGGCAACAATGCGCCGCAGCTGGATTTCTCAGAGGGCGTCTTCATCGACTACCGTCACTTCGACAAGAACAACATCAATCCCATCTACGAGTTCGGTTACGGAATGAGCTACACAACGTTCAGCTATTCAGGCCTCCAGGTCCAGAGCCACGCCGTCAGCGCGTATCAGCCGACGACCGGCACGACGGCGCCGGCACCCGTTCTCGGGACGTACAGCAACGACACGGCGGACTACCAATACCCGAGCGGCTTCCAGCCCGTCTCCAACTACATATACCCGTATCTCAACGGCACGGATCCCAAGACCGCTGCGGGCTCTACCGACTACGGGCTCCCTTCGGATCAATGGCTTCCGTCCAACGCGACAGACGGCTCCGCTCAGCTCAAAGTGCCTGCCGGCGGCGCACCAGGCGGCAACCCGCAGCTGTACGACGTCCTCTTCACCGTCACCGCAACCATCACAAATACTGGATCCGTGGCTGGCGACGAGGTGGTGCAGCTCTACGTCTCGCGCGGCGGTCCCAATGACCCTGTCAGGGACCTTCGTGGCTTTGACAGGCTGACTATCGCTCCTGGTGCCTCCGCCACCTTTACGGCCAATCTGACGAGGAAAGACCTGAGCAACTGGGATCCTGCAAGCCAGAATTGGGTCATCACTTCGTACCCCAAGACCGTCTATGTGGGGGCCAGTTCGAGGAACCTTGCGCTCAATGCCACTCTGGATTTGTCCAACGTGGGCGGCAGCTAAAGTCAGCGACAAGAGGCAGACGTGGAAAAGAATGAAGCGTGTTGTGGAACAGGCGGGTTCCCCGACGACCGTACATCGTTAATTCTATGCTGAAGCGCGTCGCGTACGCGCTGGTATTTTGTACATAGCATGATTAGAATCAGCCTCATTCCTTGGTCGAGGGATCCTATAATGATTAATGAAGAACGCGAATAAAAAGATACGAGTATAGCAAGCGCGTAGGACATTGGAACATGACGAATTCTAATTTCTTGTCCACATGAGTTTCGTGACCGTGAGACTGGTGGATACCCGTCCGCCGCCAGCTGACATCTTCAGAGAAAGCACCATGGGTCTCCAAAAGAAGGTTAAAAATTCTGCGCCAAATCATGATATTGAGTTCCCACCTTAGTGGAGTACACAGTTCCAAAAGTAAACCTTTGACCGTTATGTGCGGAATTTATCTGGTGCCAGAAAATGGGCCCACAGAGTACGCTTTTTTTTTTCAACTGCGTGGGTTATATTTGGCCCAACCTACCCGCGGTCTGACGAGTTTTTGAGTATTACAAGTGCTTGTCGGCAACAATCAAGTGACCCCCTCTGCAGAAGTTTGGTCCTTCATAGCGGTCACAGTGTCCGGCTCGGCTTTTGTGTCCTTCTCTTTTCCTTTTCCACTGCCCTTCTCCATATCCACGTCCACGTCCGTCACCGAAGGCGCTGGCTCATCGTCATCAAATAAAAATGAAATGTCGATGGCTGAGTCAGGCTCCTCCTTGATTCGGCAATTGCAGGTTCTCATTCGTAGGCCTTCAAGATGCTTATATTCGGGCCGCTTGAGTGCAGCCTCGAAGTCAGCAAATTTAATCCACTGCAGCGGCTCCATCTTTAGGAAAGCCTCTCTGGTTTCCTTCAGAGCTTTCGAGATGCTGGCGTGGTCGTGACCAGATTCACCAGCCTGAGGCCAACGATATTCTTGAGCCAGCTTGGAGAGGTCATAGCTGTCGAGGAACAAGTCGCGCTGCTCGTTAGTGACGGGCTTCTTCTCCCAGTCTGGGAATTCGGTCATGCGAAGCTCGGAGGGAAGACCAAGAATACCGACAGCTTGAAAATTCATGATGTATAACTCGTCTCTCTGACCCTCATTGCAATTAGGGTCGATGTTTCGTAGAGGCGCCGTTTGAATTGGTAGGAACTGCATGCTGATGCCCAACTCTTCAGGATGATCTTTCGTTGCTGGGCGAAAGTGTAACGGTCGTGAAGAGCCCTTCTCTACGGCGATTCGAAGAGCAGTTGGTAAAGCTGCAATGCGTCGCTCACGCTCCTCGCGTTCGGCCTTTTCCTTGCGCTCTCTTTCCTCTCTTTCTTTGCGCTCCTGTTCTTCCTTCTCTTTCTTTAGACGCTCCTCTTCTGCCTTGCGCGCTGCTTCTCTCGCAGCTGCCTCTTCAGCTTCGCGTTTCCTGCGCTCAGCCTCGGCGGCTTTTTCGGCAGCTTCAGCGGCTTTGGCTTCTTCCTCAGCCTTTCGCGCTTCTCGAACAGATTCGGGCGTTGTCGCTTTCGCAGGTTTCTCGGACTTGTCCGGCTTTTCTGGCTTGTCATCAAATTTTGAGTCCGTCGAGTGACGTTTGTCGCTTGAGGCTTTCCGAGAGTTGGACTTGCTGCTATCCTTGACGTCCTTGGTGCTTTTCAAGTCCTCGCGCTTGATGGCCTTTCCGTCAGAGGACTTACGGCTGGCCACAGGCGAAGGAGGATCGTTATTCGAACCCCTACTCACCAGGGATGATCTTCTTTCACGCATAGGCTTTTTACGCACCCGGACTTCCTCCTCGGAATCTTCGCTTTCTGACGATTCAAGCACTGGTCTGAACTTGCGTTTCGCGTCTTTGTTGTTTGGAGACGATACCGGAGGTTTTCGTGTAGTCTTCTTCTCTTTGACTGCTTGTGGTGATGGCGACCGTTCTTTCGGACTAGTCTTTTTATCTTCGGGCTTATCAGAATCCTGTACCTTCTTTTTCTTTTGAACCTTACTCTTAGCTATGTACGCATCATAGTATTTCTTGAGCAGATCTCTTTCCGCCTGCCATTTTGGTCCCCGTCTCTCTTCGGCAACCTCCCAATACAACTTTCCATTTTTGGTTCTGCGAGTTGGGTTGAAGTTGTCCTGTTCGAGCAGGAGCTTGATGACCCTGAGATGACCTCGGCCGATCGCCGCAAGCAGAGGCGTTTCGTCGTACTTGGCTGGATCTGGATCTTTCTCGAGCTGTTGGCCCGCCGACGCCAAAAGAAGGTTCAGAACCAGATGGTGACCAGCTCTGGCTGCTACTACAGCGTGTGAGTTGTCAGGTTTAACACTGCTAAGGAAATGATCAACTGCAACGACATCCCCTTTGCGCGCGTAGTCAAGCAAGTTTGCTCGGTTCGGCTCCAAATATAGTAGATCTGCTCGGTTCTTGTCCTCCGGCCGAATCAGGGGGAAATCCGGGTCGTCATCGTCATCCTCGTCGTCGGATTCCGAACCAACATACTCTTGCATAGCCTTCTGGAGCATTGCACGTAGCTCTGGGGCGTATTCTTCGTCATCGTCGATAGCATCAATGGCTCGCTTGCCGCTTTTGTTTTGGTGATGGGGATTCACTCCGTGTTCTAACAATAATCGAACGACCTCGACATGTCCGTTCTCCACGGCGTCGATGAGCGGCGTATCCTGTTCATCTTTAGAACAGCAATCCTTTCGACAGCCTTTCTCGAGTAAGAACTGAACGATGTCCGCGTAACCTGCCAGCGCAGCCTTCTGTAGAGGTGCAAAACCACCGTTATCGGTCTGGTCAATCTCACCGGGCGCCTCCTCGTACGCTTGGCGGACGGCCTTGAAGTTGCCCTTCTCGCATGCTCGGGCAAGTGGGGTGGAGCCAAACTTGTCGGCGCGCTTGCTAGCAGGAGCAGTCCGTGCCGGAGACGTCATGGCACGATATGCAGCTCGCCCAGACCGGGGAGGAGGTGCCAGCTTCGGAATTGGTGGATAGGACGCTGCTTCGTCCGAGGACATGTCGCTCGTCGCCCACTCTTTATTTCCTGACGGCATTGAAGTGCCTGAGGTGTCGCGTCGCGAACGCGTCGATCCCAGCCCGGCGCTCGTCAGGTTCGTGGATTGTGTTGAAGCCGATCTTCGATGAGAGGAGCGTAGGCCCGGTGTGCCTGGAGTTGGCGGAGACGAGGGACGTTTTTGCGACTTCGCCGACTTGACGGCCTCATCTAAGCGTGGCTTTTGACGTGGCGGCTCGAGTTTGGACGGTTTCTGTGCATCGCTGAACTTCCGCTTGCGAGGTTCGGCCGAGTGGACCTGCCTGGATCGGTCGCTGAGGTCGTTGGGCGAGTTCGTCGCATCAGCGGACTGAGCACGCGATGAAACCTTGTTCACGTCGTTCGATAAGCGCGGTCTTTCTTTTAATGCCGTCTTCGCGTGTCCGTTCTCACGTCCGTCGGTACCGTTAGGCTTGCGTTCCTTCCTGTCGGCGGTGTCGCCATTGAGACTCGAGGCTCGACTGACGGATTGGCTGCGTGTGGGGTCCGTTCGCGACTTTAGACTCACACTAGAGGCATCAGCGTCGTCCTTGGGTTCTCGCTTTACCACTTTCTTCTTGGTTCCGGCCCGGGTGTGCTCGTCGTCGCTGAGAATGTCCGTTTCAGCTTCCGAGTCGGCATGACCATTCGACGTCTTGGACGGCTCAGCGTGCCCGTTAACGACTTTGGACGAATTGGCGCGTTTCCTCGCCTGCTCTGGAGAGGGCGACTGCGACTTTGACAGTGATGTGGGCCGGTCAGACGGACTGCGCACGGGATGGTGCCGGTGAGAGGAGGAAGAATGAGACGAAGTGCGTCTGTGGTGAGCGGCAGCGGTGGGAGAGGTACTGCTGCCACTGGTCATCACGGGAAGTTCGGGGAGACGATACTCCTCAGCGTCATGCTGCAAATGATGCGAGTGCAGCGAGACAAGAGCCAGCGTTGGCGGGTCTGGCTCAGGGCGTCACGGTCGGAAGGGTGCGTGTGCGTGGGAGGGTGCGAGCGTGGGTGAGCGGCGGCGGTCAGAGAAAGCCAAGGACGAGGGCGGGAAGCCAGCAAAGGGAAGTGGTGGTGATGCGTCGCGCAGTGCGAACGAGGGTAGGAACGAGTACAGATGGCGATGGTACGAAGGATGGACGCAGTTGGAGGGCGATGGAGACGAACTGGTTGAGTGGTGAGTCAGGTTCTGGCGGGAGACGGGGTGGTGAGTGTAGAGTGTATGGAGAGAGGGTTTGAGTGCCTGGAAGAGAATCAAGACTGGTGGGCGAGCAGAGGCGGCGCAGGAGGGCTTGGGCGGGCAGCGGGACGCCAACACAGACGCAGACGGACACAGGACAGAGGAGGGCAGCAGAGGCACAGGCGGAGGCTGCACAGGCACAGGCAGAGGCCGAGCCAGCGAGCCAGCGCAGAGCCAGCGCCAGAGCCAGACACGGACGCAGGCGCAGCCAGGCGTCAGACCGGCCAGGTCAGGCAGGCCCAGGCAGGCCCAGGCAGGCCCAAGCATGCCCCAGGCAGACCCGCGCAGGCCTGCGCAGCCTGGCGCAGGCTCACGCCGGCCCGCGCTCCAGCAGCGAATGCGAGCGGCGGAATGTGTCTGGGGCAGCAGACGCCAAGGCCCCCTAGCCTGCGTCGGGACTAGCCCGGCTCCTGCTGCAATTTGCCGTCACATGACGCGTGCAACGCCCGTCCCAACGCGTCTGCGCCCAAGCGCCTCCTCTCGTCGCTCTCCCCATTCTTCTCTCGCCCTTTTCCTTCTTTTCCGGCTCGTCCAGCTCTTCTTCCTCTTCTTTCTTCCCACCCCTGATCGCTGCATTCTCTCCCTTTTCGCCCATCTTTTTGTCGCTGAAACTTCCCTCCCCTCCGCAGCCACTGGTTCCAGCCCTCGTCATCGTTACGTTATCCGTCCAGCCATACCCATCACAAACATCCACGCAGTCCGTGGCTGCGTCGCTCAATTTGCGTCGCTAGCGGATCGCCAGGATCTCAGCCAGTGGCGTGCATCTTTCTCAGCCCGGTGAAAATCCGTGCTGCAAGCTGTCTCTTTGTCTTCGTCGTTTCGAAACACTGTCCTGATAAGCACCCGTCGACCCACCATCATTACTCGCTGTCCCCTTTTACGCCTTGGAACCTCGCATACTCCTCTCCCCCCCTTGCTTCCTTGTTCCAGTCATGGCTGATGTCGGCTTGGACGTCGTTCTGGCCATAAGAAGCTTCTACCTGCTCGTCGCCGCTGCGGTATTTCGCCCCTCTCGCCTCACTTTCTGAAATCCATGCTTCTGCCGGCAGTTCTGCGATCGCCTTGCGCACCGCACCTCTTCACTACGTTCTGTGTGCGCTGTCTCCGCGATGTTCGGCGGTTTGATTGACTTGGCCCGTGGTGTTTACATGGCTCTAGAAATCTCTCCTGCTCGCGTCGCTCTCATCGCAACATGGCTCGATCTCGACGGAGGATTCGGTGCAACAGGCAGTCAGCAAGACGCGCGAAGCTTTACTCTAGTGCTGGCCTCATGCCACCTGTAGGCTTTAGACGGCGGACCGCTTTGACTTGTAGTGTGCTCGTACATGCCACTTTGCTCAACCAGCAGCTTCGGCAGAAGGATGGCTGATCCACAATGATGTGTGACTTTCTTCAGACCGTTCTGACCACAGCAGATCATTGGCATTTATGCTATCCCACCCTTCAAAAGCAGGTTTCTTGCCTACGGCGCTCGAGCCGCACCCAGCAGCATGCCTAAAAATGGCCTTCTTGACCACCTCGCCGCCGTCACCGTCCCACATGCCTGGTTCAAACACTTCTACATCCTCTCGATTGCGGCGTGTCTCTTCTGGCTCGGTGTGATTCTTACCCAAAATCCAATCTTGGATCGCGTACTTTCGTTTTCCAAAGAACCAGAAGTACCAGTGTCGGCCATGCAAGTCTCCATCGCATGGTTCGCACTCATCCTGCACAGTGTCCGTCGTTACCTGGAATGTTTGGAGGCTGCACCGAGCTCGTCGCGCATGTTCGTTGGACACTGGGTGATGGGACTACTCTTCTACGTCGTTACCAGTGTTGCTGTGTGGATAGAAGGCGACCGCCGTCTGATTAAGCACACCGTCAACGAAGAGACCGGCGACTCGGACTGGATTCTCCTCCTTGTGTCACCAGACATTTCGTACGGCAAGCAACTGCTCATTGTTCTTGGTGTTGGTATCTTCTTCCTCGCCAGCGTCACCCAGGGCAATGTTCACGGCTATTTCCGCGATCTGAAGCAGTTGACGAAAGGGAAGTATACACTGCCACAGCATCCCTTGTTTGACTACACAGTCACGCCACATTACGCCGCTGAGTGCTTCGAATACCTTGGTCTGGCGTTGATCTTAGCTCCAAAGGGACGGGTGTTTAACACGACTATGCTGTGCTGCTTGGTTTTCGTGGTAGTAAATCTTGGTGTGACGGCGGATGGAACGAGGGAATGGTACAAGGAAAAGTTCCCCAAGGACAAGATCGAGAAAAAGAGTAGGATGATTCCATTCATCTGGTAGAGATGACAGGGTTCACTTCACACGTGGCAGATGCTTTGAACGTTATCTCTAACGTATCCAGTTCAGGAGTTTTCAACGGATACTAAGAGTCGTAGACGTCTACTGAAGATTGAAGCGCATGAATCATTGAAAAGCGTAGTTGGCATCTACGAAGATCATTAGAAGGTGCAATCACCGAGCCTTGTTGCATGTACGTCGTGATGTGTTAGATAAAAGTTTAAAAAGCATTAATTGGGAAGGAATTCGAGGGTTCAATTCTGTATATGCATGCACTTTACATCAACACATTGTGAATGTTGATTTATAGATTCTAGCGGTCCTCTGCAGGTACATGACTCTTCTCAAGTAGCGATGGTGACTCGACCAGCAAGTACGAAGCCGTAATAGACCATGACAAAGATGTCCACCAGGTTGACCAGACTGCTTACGCCATGCAACGCGGCAAAGGTCTTGTTCAACTTCTGCATCTCCGCGCTCTTCGGGCCATCGTCATAATACTTCTTTCCATCTCGCGTCTCTTGATGCTTTCTTTGCTTTATGACTGACGTTGTCCACGGGCCCAGAACAAGCCAATTCGTCGCACCTAGCAGGGCCGAAAGCGTAAGCGGCATCGTAACCTGCCAGAGATTGTCGCCTGCCGTCAGGTTCGACAGCGAGGAAGTAGGGAACGACAGCAGACTGGCAACCGGCAAGCCGGTCTGCAGGGCGAAGTAGTACGGGAACAGCTTCTGCTGGAGGACCGAGAAGGAGGGTCGCGGTAGAACTTTGAAGGCGACTATGCCTTGGAAGAACGTGTTGAAGACGGACGTGCCGAGGACGGTGCCATAGCTAGCGAGGGCGCGGTCAGCTTCAAAACGCCCAACAAGTGCACCGCGCCGGTTTCGAGGACGGACCTGAGGATGTGCCACGCGATGGGGCTCGTGAACGCTGCCAAACCCGGCATTTTTTGTGTCTCTCAGCAAACGCGATGCCGAGCTACTAGACGCTGGGAAACGATCTTTCGGCGCCGCAGCTGCTTCGCCAGCAAAGGCAAGAGGTAGGTTGAGTTCTGGTTAGCAAGAAGCTACGTTGCGGAAAGGCGCTGGATTGACGACGCTGCAGAGACGGCAGCATGCAGGACTGTTTTCTTTATTTTCCGATCCCCGAGGGGCCCCATGACGATGGCATGATTCGAACGGTTCGATGCTTCGCCTTTCCGGCATGGCTCAGCCTTGGTCAGATAACTAAGCCCGTGAAGAGCCCAGAAACGGCACGGACCGACACGTGAGCAGGCGTTGAAGCTGCCTGCGTTTGTGGAAGCGGTCTGTGGACACGCCTCTGCTGCCTTCCAGAAAGCCGCTGTCAACTCTGAGAATTGACGTGCAGATTTGAAATGTGATCGGTGCTGTCTTCGAGGACGAGGCATTGTTGAAGATGGCAAACAAGGAGGCGACCATATACATCATTGATGTTGGCAAGTCAATGGGAAGGAAGCAACACGGTCGCCAGCAGACAAATCTCGATTGGAGCATGCAGTATGTTTGGGATAGGATCACAACCACTGTGAGCCCTTTGTCTCGTTGCTCAACAAGTTCGACACTCACGACGGGCAGGTGAAAGATGGCAAAAAGCTCGAACAGCTCGGCGTTCTCGCTGTTCGAACGGACGAGACGCAGAATATTTTGGACAGCGACGACGGGTTTTCCAACATCACTGAACTTCAGGGCATCCAGCAGACACTTCTTTCAGATCTGCGAAAGCTCCGCGATGCCATCCGCCCGAGCAACACGTCTCGCGGTGATATTCTCTCCGCGCTTGTTTTGGCCGTTCACATGATGGGACAGCATACCAGGAAGTTAAAGTACAAGCGCAAGATCGTACTAGTCACCGACGCTTCCGTCTCGATTTACGCCGAGGACAGCCATGAGATCGTCAAGAAAATCAAGGAGGATGACATCGAACTTACCATCCTCGGTGTCGACTTTGACGATCCTGAATACGGCTTCAAGGAGGAAGACAAGAATCCTATCAAAGCGCAAAATGAAGCGATCCTGAAGCAGCTTTGCGAGGACTGCGATGGAACGTTTGGCACGATGGCCTACGCAATCTCTGAACTGGGTCTACCTCGAATCACGCTGCCAAACCCTGTACCATTGTATAAAGGGACGCTGACGTTGGGAGACCCAAGCAAATACGACACGGCCATGACCATCCAGGTTGAGCGTTATGCCAAAGTCAGGCTCGCGAAAGCCCCAACGGCCAGCAACTACGTTGTAAGCGTAGGAGGTGGTGGCGGCGTCGCTGCTGCTGCAGGGTCAAGCACGCACACGTCGGCGACGGTGCAGGATGGTGGTGACGAATCTGCCGGGGATGGATTGGCCTCAGTGAAGTACTCGAGAACGTACACCGTCGAAGATGAGAACGCGCCAGGCGGCAAACGCGAGGTTGAGAGAGATGAACTTGCTCGAGGGTTCGAATACGGGCGCACTGCCGTGCCTATGGAACGCGAAGACGAGCATGTTACGAAGCTAGAAACATTCGAATCTTTCGACATTGTTGGTTTCGTGGCAGCATCCGAATACGAGCACTGGATGAGCATGTCTGAAACAAGCCAGACGGTGCCTAGCAAGGTAAACCAGAAGGCTGCAATGGCATTTTCGTCCTTGGTACACGCATTGTACGAGAGAGATTCCTATGCGGTGGCTAGACTCGTTACAAAGAACGGTAGGAATCCTATCATGGTGCTTATGGCGCCATTTTTCGACCCAGCCAACAACTTCGAGTGCCTCGTCGATGTGGAGCTGCCCTTTGCGGAGGACATGCGGTCTTTCACTTTCCCGCCGCTGGACAAAGTTGTCACGGTTGGCGGGAAACATATAGAACGGCATCGCAACCTGCCAAATGAAGCCCTTCTGAGTGCCATGAGCGATTTTGTGGATACCATGGACCTATCTACCTTTGGCAAGGACGACGACGGCAATCCCGCCGAATACGCCCCTATCACTGACACGTACAACGCACGAAAGAACTACATAGAGCATGCCATCAAATTCCGTGCAATCCACCCTACAGATGAGGTTCCGCCTGCGCCAGATATCCTCCTTAAATATTCGAATCCACCTGCAGAGTTGCTCGAATCCGCAAAAACCAATCTCGACGCTTTGATCAAAGCCGCGGATGTTAAGAAAGTGCCACCTAAACTGAAAGGTCGAAAACGAGGTCGAGACATTGAGAAACCGCTGTCCGGCCTCGACATCGAGTCTCTCCTTCGCAGCGGCGACAACAAGCGTGTCAAGATATCCCCCGAGAACGCAATCCCGGAATTCAAACAACTGATCGCCACCGTCGACGAGATAAGCAGTCTCAAAGACGCGGTCAGACAGCTGTCCGTCATCATCCAGGACTACATCCGGACGAGCACAGGGAACTACAACTATCAAAGAGCGATAGAAGCCATGCGCGTGATGAAGGAAGAAATGATGGAGTATGAGGAACCCAATTTGTACAACGACTTCTTGCGAGAGCTCAAGAAGAAGTTGGTGGCTGGCGATCTGGGTGGCGACAGAACGGAGATGTGGTATCTGGTGAAGGTGTCTAGGTTGGGTCTGATTGACAGCGCGATGAGCGAGTTGGCAGATGTGAGCCCTGATGATGCCAAAGCGGTGAGTTGTGCTTCCCTGAAGGCTGTCATGGTATAGATACTGATTCGCTGGCAGTTTATGACGCTCAGCTGATGATCGACACTCTGGCGCTGGTTCTGAATTTGCTGGAAAACGAATTGAGCTCGCGACATGTGCAAGAGCTTTTGCGAGCAAAGTCTACGTTGAAGAGCCTGTTCGAGCTTCGGTTCCGCAATGACCAGGCACCGACTCTTTGAAGTCATGACACCTGCCGGGAGGCTTTTGAATCCGAATATGTACCTTGGAGAGACGCTCAAAATCCCATGGAAGTTCGTAGACCTCTCGACGGACCGAAATGATGCCTCAAATGTCTACCCGGAAGAACCATGATTTCCATGAATTTTTCTCACCATTGTTCCAAGTCAGGCATCACAGCCCGTCAGCAATGGTTCAGCTCACTCAAGTCAGCCGCTCGCACATCAGATGATGTACCACCACGGGGTAGAGCGTATTGTTCAGCATGTGGCATGGCCACAAGCCATTCTGGGGAGGTTTTATTTACGACAAGTGTTGTCACCAGGAGGTGAACTGTCTGCTGGTGGTTTCAGAAAGACAACAAAATTCCGTTTCCTCTGTACTCGGACTGACCTTCCGTGTACATCAATAACATACGTGTGGGCTAGCAAAAAGAAGGCCAGGGGGAAAAGGGAAGCGTGCTCTTCGATTCATGGCTTCTGCCATCTTTTATCTGCCAAGCCTTCCAAATCACCCGAAAATCAGTGAGCGTTTCCGCGCAGCATAAAAGCAACGGCCTCGATTAGAATCGCTCAGCATGAACTTCATGTATCATACATCACAACTTTGGCTTTGTCCCCAACGGATTACCTAGCCGTCCCAAACGTACCTCTGTTTCTTAGCGCGTCCAATCTTTTCTCAGCGACTTTGTCGCCTCTTGCGATGGCCATTAAGTACCATTCCTTGGCCTTCTCCTTGCTCTGTCGAACTCCGACACCCTTCTCGTAGAAGTACGCGACCTGGGCAAGAGCGGGCGGGTAAGCGTCCTCAGCCGCCCGCCTCGCGTACGTGAAGGCCAAGTGCGGATGCACGTCCACGACGCCGGGTTCGCCCCATCCGAAGTAGGTCGAGATCTGGTAGTCCGCTTCCGGTTCGCCCTGCCGCGCAGCAAGTTGGAAGTAGTGCAGGGCAAGCACGGGGCTTTTCTCCAGGCCCTGACGCCCGAGTCTGAACGCGTGCGCGAGGTGGAGCTGGCATTTGGAGCAGCCGAGCAGGGCGCCTCGCTTGAAGTTCTCTCGGGCAGCGATTTCATCCACGGGAAGGACCGACTCTCGTATCTTGACGCCCCGTCGATAGCTCTCTGTTTGCAGCAGGCCCAGAAGGAAGAGTGACTGGGGAAAGTCTCTGTCTGCCAGCTCCACGGCCTTGCGAAGGTGCCAGATAGCGTCCTTCGCTTCTTTCCTCAGCCCGAGCTCACCCTTGAGATATGCCTCTGCTAAACGCTGCACGTCCATCAGTCCTTTTCCATGTCATTCGAACTGAAAGCTAACGTTGGGGAAAGCTTACATAGTTGCAGGCTGTATCGTTAGCTGCCGCCCCTTCCATGTAGTAATCCAGAATTGTACTCCTTTTCACGAGCGGGTTTGCCTCGAGCATGTTGGCGATGTAGAATGCCGACCTTGTGTATCCGTGGCCCAGGCTTCTTTGGAATAGCTCAAGCGTCTTGACTAGGTCCGCGACCTGATAGGAGGCCTGTAAAAACAAAGCCTTTGAGTCCCCGTTCGGCAAATGAAGCTTCACCAGTTCCCAGGCCTGTCTCTGCAGTTCGAGCTCTTTCTCGCCAGCCTTTTCCGGCGTCGTCTGAGTTCTCGATATCCTCACGCGTTGTCTGGCCGTAATAGCGACAAAATGCAGCGCCTCCTCCGCCCACAGCAATTGGTCCTCGGATGTGACGATCGTGTACCTTCTTCTCAAAAGGTCATTCTGTTGGTCTTCTGCCAGCGCTGGCAAGTATTGCGGCGGATTTTGGACCTTTGGAAACGGATCCTTCGTCGCAAACTTCGAGACAACTTCCGGATAGCTAGATTGCATCGAGGGGCTGCGTTCGAATCGTGCTGTTGGCGATTCCGCCATCGATTTCCTGCCGTCAACCTCACTGAATTCCGAGGCAAGAGGTGAGAATACTTTAGACTGCTGGCGCGAGTGTTTCGAGCGACTCGATGGTGTGCATGCCTCATTTTCGCGTCTGCTCGCCGTCAATGGCGACGTGTAGTTTGAGGATTGAGCCGAGTCTCTCTTTTTTAATGTTTCGTGGCTGCAGGCTGGGCTTTTGGGAGCCAGTGGCTCCAGACGTTGTCCCGTTTCCTGCAATTTCAAGCCGTCGAGCGCCGAGACAGACTTTTCCATGGACAGTCTGACGGCCGATTTACTATCCGCGAGAGATGCTTGTTCTATCTCAGCATAACGCGGTTGCGAACTGGAATCACCATTGGTGGAAATGATGTCGATGTTCTTCGAACAATCACAGTCGGTAGCAGAGCCTTCAAGATTCGTCTCCGCATCTGAGGCCTCGAACGTCTGCCTTGAAGGCGAACTTTGCAATGTGATCTGGTCCTGTGCCGTTTTTGCCAGAATGGATTTCGTTTCCTGTAGCAGCTGGTTCAGATCGCTCAAGGAGTGCCTAAGCAGCATCAGTTGACGATTCAGAAAAGGTCTCGGTACTACGTACATATGGATTACCTGAAGCAACAGCGTCAGTGCTTCTTGGTGGCCGTGTATCTGCGCCGCGTACCCTCGGAGAAGCTTCTCGCTCCACAGGAAACTGGCCCTCTTCTTCAGGCCCAAGAAGTTGTTGTATTGTCCACTCTTCAGCACAATATCATCCAACTTCTGCTGCAGTAAGGTGAATACGGTTCTACAGCCAGATAACGCGGTCTGGAGTGCGTCTCTGAATTCGACTTTTGACTCCAACGCTAGCATGAGGCTTCCATCTTTCTGCTCGACAAGATAGCTCAGCTGCATTAATGAACCTCGTAAAGCCGAGGACTCTGAATAGAGAGATTTTATGGCGTTGGCCGAATTCCTGTACTTGAGCCGTAGCTTTTCGAGTGTGTTCACGGTCGACAAGCACGCCGTGGTGATCTGGAGCACAGTTGCCGCAAAACCAACAACTTCGGCCATCGCAACGTGTCCAGACTTTGCGTTACTGTAAACCAGGAATAGGTCGAGCTTGAAAACTGGTGCAGGATTATAGCTCGATAATGGTGTGCCTGATAATTGGCACAAACCGCGGTGGCGAGAGAGAGAGAGAGAGAGAGAGAGAGAGAGAGAGAGAGAGGCGCAGTATCACAGATTGTTTCTACTGGCAAGTGAAAGCCCTGCAACGAAGGAAGAGAGAGCGTGGATACAAGGTATATCGCTGAATCGTTTTGCACAAGCAGTCCTCAAAGCGAGCGGCAAAACATTAGATGAAAGGAATGCCTCACCGAAGCCGTGGGGAGCTCCGATGCATGGTTCGCACAACACCAGCAAGCAGTCCTAGGCGGAGTACAGCCTGTGAACGTGGGATACAGATACGCACACGCCTATGTACATTCCGTGGGACTCAGACCTCCGATTTGCGTAACACAACCCCTCTAAATCGTGGTCAGCAAAGATAGCATACTTCAAGGGAAGAGAGGGGGGGTGCGCTGGGGGGTTGCACGTCAAGCAACCCCCACAACCCTACGTCTCAAAGGCTCGCATTGCGGGCGTTATTACGCTGATTAACCTCGTGTCTAACGGAATGAGAAGCACGCGCCGCCACGCCCGAGGAATGCGCGTTTCGAGGAAAGATACTTGGCGATGCGGATAAGATGGTGGGAGCAAGTGCGTGCGCAAACGAGTGGTTGAAAAGTGACCTCCGACATATCAGGCTGTATCGAGTCAGCGTCATGGTTGGTACTTGATTCCTCCGAGTCAGCCTTGCGGGACGGCGGCCTCAAGGCTATCGAAGTCGGCGAAGAAGCATCTCGAGGCTTTGAATTCACATAATTCCCGTTTCCAAATTCCTGAAAGGACATTTGGACTCCTGCCGAGGACGAGAATGTGTTCTTCCATTTCCACACGTTAGCCAAGCATCACTCTCAGACGAACTCCGTGCTTTTCACACAATGACTGGAGATCCGCGAGAAAACGAGGGGACGGATCGAGTACCAATGGAGAAAGGCAACACGAGCAAAGCAGAAAGGAGATCGTGCGTTTTTTGAATACACACCACAGCATTGTTGGTAGCACTAAAGCCGAAGAGATACCCACGCCTCTAATGTCCATACTGGGGTATCATGCTGTCATAAGATCATACATCATGAAACTTGCTTGCAGCGAACATGGTCAACCCACGGCTCAATCATAAGATTAGATTGTCGCTTTCTACGACTTCGCATATCCTTGAAGCAAGGTCCAGTGCTCAGAATGTCCTGGTTCAGGTCGAATCGTCATAGTAATTGTGCATTCCGGCGAACTCGGCGATTGAGTCCCATAGCTCTTCCCACGGAGTCTTCCTAGTCTTGCGAACCGGTTCAGGCTTCTCGTCTTCCCTCTCCTCACTGCTGTCCGGATGCTGAAAATCATCTGACCCGTGTTGCACGTCCGAGGACTTTTCAACTTCCTGCTCGTCATCCTGCTCGTCATCCTGCTCGGCGTCGTCTGACTCGTCCAGCTCCTCGCTGTATGAGGAATAGGCATCTGCATCAATACGACGAATTAGTCCGCCTCTTCTGATGATGATCATCGAACGATGACCCGTCTCTGGAGAGACGGATCGAGCGTCGCATGTTGGTGATTGTGAAGAGCAATTACCAATAGCCGAATCTACCCTGCTGCTCGACGACTTCCTGTATCGCCGAGCGATGTCCTTGAAGTCCAGCTCGACGTCGTCAAACTCGTGGTTCAGTGACACTATGCTCTGCTCAAGTTTGTCGCGCTCCTCAGGCTCACAGGGTTGTAGCAAGGAGCGTTCAACGTTCTCTAGACGTGATTTGAGGCGGGATATCGTCGGGATGGCACTTTGGAGGTCATCGTGCAGGCGGATGTTCTGCTCGCGTAGTTTTTCGTTGTCGGCCTTCAAGCTCTCGTTCTCTTGCTTGAGTGTCGACAAGGCTTCTGAAGCCGCGCTCAAACGCTGAATGGCGAGCTGGTAATTGGCCTGTGTGACAACTCACTTAGCTTGTGCCCTCACGCCACTGGGTTTTCGCTGGGCTTTTGACAGTCCGAGCCCCGCCTACCTTCATCTCGTCGTAGTGCTGCTGCAGCGATTCTCTCAGTCTTGTGATGCGCGCAATGACATCGCGACCTTCACGAAGCTCCCGGCGTAAGTCATCGTTCTCGGCTAGGAGCACGGCGGGATCGTCCTCGTCTTGGAACAACGAGCCGGTCTCTTCAGCTATCTCCCTCGTCTGCGACTCGGGCGCATTGAGCTTAGTCTCGAGAGCGGATAGCTCCGAGTCAAAGTCGCTGAGATGCGGCGTTTGGCCTCCGTCCTGTTCGTGCTCGGCGACTTTACGCGCAATGGCACCCAGCCGGTCGAGGATGCGCACCTGGACCGGCGTGTACAATTTGCGCTGGTCAGCAGCAGTGCACGTCGAGGAATCTCCCGCGTCACTGAAGTAGTCGCTAAATTGAGGCGAGGGCCACAGCGACGCCCGCTCGTGATCATTGGGCGGCGTGGCTGGAGGGGGCGACATGATGTCTACGTGAAGAGGACGAAGAAGAGGACATAGGAAAATACGGTGCAAAAAGAGGAGACCACGCGAACAAAAGGGAGCGTGCCTCTGCTTTGCGCGGAGGGAGGGGGACAAGGCGGTGATGATGCTGGACCGCCGCGGCGGGCGAATGAGAGGCTGGGGTGACCAGCCTTGACGATGAGCAAGCTGCAAACCTTCCGTCTGCGGATTCGTGCAGCGGGCATGCGAGCTGTTCCTCTACCCTGTGCCCCACGCAAGGACGCGCAAATACTCATGTGCAATGCTGCTTGTGCTGAGGTCTACAAGGAGCGGATGCTCGTACAGACGAGCAGGAACGGGTGTCTGGTGTGAAGAACGGTGAGCGACGCTGGCCCTGGGGCCCACGACGGGTTTGGCTCGTGCTGAGCGTAGCGTGAAGTTGGGCCGGGCGCGACTCGGCGGAGAAAGAGCGGTGTTATCTTTTTTTGTGCCGTCTGCAGTTGTAGCTGTCAAGAGCGCCAGCAACAACGAAACCAATTGAGCTGCTGGAGTCCTGGATTGCCTTCTCAGATCGTGCCCGTCGCTTCGTCGCTTGCTCGCTTGTTCGCTTCTTCTTTTGCCCGCCCCGCCGCCATGGCTCCTCCTGTAAGACCTGTTCCCTCGCCCGCGCACACCATGGCCAAGCAGTAATGTTCCACCAGATCACCATACAGCCCTCTCTTGATGCTGTTCGCGATACCCTCGTTTCCTCGCTGGGTGCGGAGAACCCCCCAAATCTCGTCCCAATATGCACATCGCTCTCCTCAGAGTTCCTCACCCCGAGCTCGATATATCTTAAGGTGGCCGGCAAGTGAGTCACCCGCTCCGGTTTCCCTGGCGAACTCACGTCGCCTGCTTTTGGCGCCCTTCATGTCCAGGAAGCTAGTCGTGGCTCGCAAGGACAGTCGCTGAGAAATTTTAGATCCACATCGAAACTCTCCTTTCTATTCGAAAGTGCCGCGACGACAGAGACGATCGGCAGATACTCATTCGTGGGCGCAAACCCGCACAAAGTCCTCCAGTCTGGCCCTGGCTTTGGCATCGGCGAGAAGGATCCCTTGCCTGCGCTCGATGCAGAGCTTTCGAAGTACAGAGTGGCAGTCGTACCTGGTCTCACCGTGCCTCCATTGATAGGAGGCGCCATCGGCTACATCGGCTATGACTGCGTCAAATACTTTGAGCCAAAGACAAAGAGGGAGATGAAGGACGTGCTCAAACTGCCGGAGAGCTTTTTCATGCTGTTTGATACTATAGTAGCCGTGGACCACTTCTTCCAGCAGGTCAAGGTCTTCACGTATCTAAAAGTTCCGACCGACCTGGGCGACCTGCAGCAAGAATACGACCGGTGTCGCGGAGTTCTACAGCAAATGGCGGAAGTACTTCAAGACCGAGACGTTCCTCTACCACCACAAGGCCCAATCAAGCTCAATCAGTACGTACACCCTGCATCCATCGGGCGGCCCGCTAACTGGCGCTAGACAAATGACTTCGAACATCGGACAGGAAGGATATGAGCGGCACGTAACCAAACTAAAGGAACACATCTGCAAGGGGGTTCGTACGCGTCGATTATAGGAAGATACAGGAGCTGAATTAATTCCACTAGGACATCATTCAAGCCGTGCCTTCTCAGCGGATAGCGAGACCGACGTCTTTGCATCCCTTCAACGTCTATCGGCAGCTACGGACGGTCAATCCGTCACCATATCTCTTCTTCGTTGATTGCGAGGACTTCCAGATCATCGGCGCGTCGCCCGAGTTGCTCGTGAAGTCCGAAGCTGGTCGCATCATCAGCCATCCTATTGCTGGCACAGTGAAGCGAGGAAAGACAGTGCAAGAGGACGAGGCCCTCGCAGAAGAGCTGAGAAGCTCGCTAAAGGACCGGTATGCTTTGGTCGCCAGTCCCCGACCCTCACGATCATGGCTAACGAATGCAGCGCTGAACACGTCATGCTGGTTGACTTGGCGAGAAACGACGTGAACCGCGTTTGCGATCCCCTGGAGACTCGTGTTGATCGCTTGATGATTGTACAAAAGTTTTCTCACGTTCAGCACCTTACATCTGAAGTGTCTGGCGTGCTCAGAGCAGACAAGAATCGCTTCGACGCCTTCAGGAGCATCTTCCCCGCCGGAACCGTATCCGGGGCTCCCAAGGTCCGAGCTATGGAGCTGATAGCGGAATTGGAAGGAGAGAAGCGAGGCGTGTACGCGGGGGCGGTTGGGTACTTTGGCTACAACACGGTGCACAACGGCAAAATAGAGGAAGGAGCCATGGATGTAAGTCCTCAGCTGAGCAGCTTGTTTTTCCGTCTTGTATTGACGTGAGTCCAAACAGACATGCATTGCCCTGAGAACCATGGTCATGAAGGATGGCGTTGCCTACTTGCAGGCGGGAGGAGGAATTGTCTTCGACTCGGTCGAGTACGACGAATAGTAAGTTCTTCCGGCCGCGTCATTAGGCACGGGCGTGCTCACGTTGAACCAAACAGCATGGAGACGATAAACAAGCTGGGCGCAAACGTTAAGACGATCGAGACCGCTGAGAGACTGCACTACGAAGCGCAGCAGTAGTAGGAGAGCCAGCTGAAGATGCGCGGCCTGGTGCAAGGGTCGGTGGCGGTGCAGACGTAGATGCAGATGCAGGCGCAGGCTGTCTTCTTGACAAAGGCGAAAAGAGACTATAATCATTGCAGAAGAAGATGGGGCGCGCACGCCGATCTTGCACTGTGGGCTAGAAGCCTGTCAAAATCACGATGGAAGACGCGGTGGAGACATCCTTGATGGGAGTGAGGAACGGTGAGAGTGCTTTGGAAGGCGCCGCAACGCCCAACGCAGTAAAAATCACTACTGCAGGAAGAGTTTGTGCGGTCATTTCCTCCTTGGTCAAGTGTACAGCGCAAGCGGCGCAACGTGTTATCGATGGATCTGCGTCGGGCCAATGGAGTCCCTCTTGTTGAAGTGGCGGTCTTCGTGAGTCTCTCCGGGCGGAGAGAGTCAGGACGGAGCTTGTCCAGCATCCAAGATCCAGAGGCGTTTTTCCCACAGTTCTCTCGGGTCGATAGATAGCAGGAAATTTGATGGTGCACACACTGAAACGACGAGCAAAAGCCGTTTGTGTCAAGCATGAAGCGTTGCGTGCGGCAACGGTTCGACAAGAGGCGATCTGGACCGCCCTCATCTCCTGCGACTCCCCAGATCACAAGCTAATCCCGGGCACACATCGGTTGCAGGCGGTGCCTGTGGCTGATCAGACAGATTGTGCAATTTCATAAGCGCGGACATGTCCACGGCTCGAGGAAATGAAGTGCTCACGTCCGCCAGTCGTGTTTTGTCACGAGCGGCTAGAGCGGTGGCGAACGGCCACGACGTGGACGGCAACGAACAGGTTTGACTGCGCGGTTCAGGCAGCGTGCCAACTTTTTGTGCTCCCCGGTGCCGTCGCTTGCGTGCTGGCAATGGGGAGCCATGGCCAGGAGGCGTACATGACGACGCGCGCAACAGAGTCGGGCGTCCCCAGTGGACGGCGGGCGAGTGGCCGGGCGGACGAGCAGGTGCGTGTGTGGCTGGGATGGACAAGCGCGGTCGAGGTCTTGGAAGGGGCACAAATCGCGCGATCCAACCAGCAGCGCCGGCAGCGTCCAACTAGCCACAGACCGATCGCAGCCAGATCCCGGCCCTGTGTGACCTCAGCTGAAAACCATCGGCCAGCATTAGCGTCATGTTGGCGCACGCCCGACATGCGAGAGCTCCCCAAGCGCAGGTGCGACAGCTTGACCATGCTGCTCCCGACGTGTAGTCGCCGTGACTCTGGATGAATCGTCCTGTCGTGGAACAGCGTTGGCTTGCACGCTTGCCTGCATCGGGCCCTCCTGTTGTCGCTCCTGCCAATGCTTCTTTCCATGGCCCGCGATGCCTTGGTTCGCTGCGTCAGTGTGACCTGCCAGCGGATTTCCCATAAATTGACCTGTGCTTCTCGTCCACGGCGACACGCCCTCTTTCCTCTCCATTGACTTTCGCGCAAAGAACCACAGAAGCCTCTGTGTACGCTTGCCTGCCTACTCTTCTCACTACTCCTCCAGCGTTCGCCAAAAGGCTTAGACTTCCAGCAGTCCTACGGTTTTCGACAACCCTAGATTGCCTCTGTAACCACCACCCTTCGTTTTCTCCTCGAGAAGCATAATAACTCTCATCCGCTTTCCAAGACAACGCTCGTGAAGATGAAGTATTCGATTGCCTTCGTTGCCGGCGCTGCCCTCGTGGCCGCTCAGGACCTTTCCAGGTATGCCCTCCAAGTATCGCTTCGGCTTGCTCACCAGTCCGCTAACCCTCTGGCACAACAGCATCCCTCAGTGCGGTCAAATGTGCATCACCAACATGCTCGGTGTCGCTGGCCAGCTAGGCTGCAGCTCCAGCAACATCACCTGTCTCTGCGCTGATCCGCGTTTTGGCTACGGTCTTCGTGACTGCACGAACCAGGCTTGCGGAGCTGAAGTCTACTCTGCTGTCGCTTCCTACGGCCTATCCATCTGCTCTGGTGAGTACAATGGGAGAAAACCGCCCCCCACCCAAGGTTCATCGCGTTTTCCGAGGCTCTAGCTAACGAAACTTGTCTAACAGCTGCCGGTGTAACAGCTGGCGGTGCCGGCGCTGCTGCCTCCACAGGTGCCAGCGGTGTCAGCGGTTCGAGCACCCCCGTCAGCACGGAGGCTGTTGTCACGACCATCAGCTCCGGCGGCAGCGCAGTTGCTACCTCGACCATTGGCTCTACTACGCTGTATTCCATCGCCGGCGCTGCCGGTGTCCAGAGCTCACTCTCTGGCTCAGCCGCAAGCGCGTCCAGCAGCGTCGCCTCTGCTCTCAGCTCTGCCGAGTCCTCTGCCTCCAGCGCGTCTGAGTCCGCGAGTGCTCAGGCCTCCTCGGCTGCTGGAAGTGCTTCCTCAGCTGCCAGCTCCGCTTCGAGCTCTGCCAAGTCTTCGTCCTCGTCCGGCTTGGCTCCAGCCATCACCGCTGCTCCCATCCTCGGTGGTGCTGCTCTCGCTGCTCTCCTCATGGTCTAAACTCATACTGGACGTAAAGCAAGCACAAATTCTAGTTCTTCTCAACCCTAGAACTGTCTTGTATCAAAAAAAAACTACCTAGTAATTACGCAGCATTCTAGCCGATCCTTTGCATAAGCGGTGGCAGCTTTCTCTCATTCATGCCTTCTCCAGTCCTTGAACACTGGGAGGCGATGGGACCGACTTTAAACCAACCGCCTGGTTAATGTGACGAAGTTTGACGATGTTCCTGTACTGCTACCGCTGCCTCCGACGTCCATCGCAATCGTTCGGCACGAGTCCCCCATGGGCTCGTTACAAGAGCGTGCGCGTGGAACAACGATACCCCAATGATTCATACAATGGCAACCTGTAATGATTTGGGGCAGCGGTGTGACATTAATACCCTAATATGAGATTTTACCGTGCACTGAGCATTGGCAGCGAATTTCTCGGGCCATGTGTCCCGAACTTCATTCCTTGTACATAGCTGTACATCAAGCAACGATTTCCAAAAAATGCCTTTCAGCTTCTGAACCCATTGTGCCATCTCCAGGAATTGGTCTGTGTGTAACTTTTTGGCTCGCCGGACGGAGTGACGTATGCGGACGTGACAAGAGAAAGCTTGAGCACAGAGCACCTTTACAAATTTTTGCCAAAAGCTACCAAACCAAAAACCTTGTAGTTCGAGCTGCATACAGCAGGACAGCTGTCTCATGCAGCAAAGCAAGCGAAACGCGCCACTTGTGTACCTGAGCGCGGGCCGCCGACGCTCGTCGTAGCTCTGAAGCTGTGTTAGTGGGCGCAAAAAACAACCATTGATCCCTGCTCGTGGAGTTGCGCGGGCTTGCAAACCCGTCCACTCAGCGCTCCGATCTGTGGGCTCCCGCTACCGTCTCTAAGTGGACCGTCCTGTAAGCCTATCGATCGTCGTGATCGTTCCAGTACGTACTGCTCGCAGGTACAAAAACGAAACGCGTCAAGAACCTGATTTGGTGTGGCGTTTTCTTTTGGGAGGGGGAAGGTTTCTCTCTCTCTCTCTTTTGCCATTTTTTTTTTCCGAGCCGAAGCAGTATTCGCCACCTGCGAACAACGCATCACTTTGAACCCCTCACCCAACCTGCCCGTGACGCTGAACACAACTGGGCCATGGATCAGGTCGTGCATGCAAGCCGGACCGTGAAGTTTCCAACCGGATTGAAGGCAACGCTTTTGTGCGCGTGTGTCTAGGAGTGGGGGGCGGAAGCGGTTCTCGTCTTCTGGTTATTTTCCCCCCCGCTCTTGTTTGTGCCGTGCGGAGAAGCGACCGTTGATGGATGGGAAAGGAGTCGATGTGAGGTGAGATGATGTCAAGCACCGGGCTCCACTTATTTTCGTTTTCCATTTCATTCGAGCCACATTTTTGTTGGCAGAGCGACGGGATTGTCCGTTCTAGATCGTGTCTTTGCTTAGCTCGTCCCGCCGCCGGACGCGGTGAGTGGGGAAGGAAGACCAACTTTTTTGCACCACGCACACTTTCACTAACCGCCTCGCACTCGAGGGGAGGGGGCCAAAAAGCCGAAACGACGACAATTTCCCGCTAATGTTCCTCATGCTGCTGCTGCGCCACATGTAGAAGTAGGAATTTACATCGAAGCCTTTTTTTTTTCCTCCTTCTGATGGGCCCCACATCAAAGTCGAGTGGCTGTGTTGCAGGGTAACGACGCCTTGCCTACTCACCACGCCGCCTCTTGGATGCCGCAGGGCGCTGCAGTTCGCATGAAGGCTCTAGATGTTCGATGCTGTCTCGCATCCCAGCTGGAGAAGCTCCGCTGCTGTGCGGTGATTGATGGAAGAAGAGACGGGGGATGTCGTCCTTGGAAGAGGCGAAGAGGACGCGTCCCCCAGACACCTCCCCCGTTGTTGCACGACCATATTGCCTTTTTTCCCTCTCCGCCTTTGCAACCTCGTCGTGCGATTGTCGATCTGTCCGCTCGACTGAGCCAAAGGACGAGAGCGTACCAGCGTTGGGCTTGTCGGCTAGAGGCTGACGCGAACGCTCTGGAGACCTGCACGACATGGGGAAGTATAGACCTGTGATAACACGACACCCCCCGCCCCCCGGCATTTGGTCGTCCACGCCACAAAACTGCTTTTTTCTAGTACTCAACGATCAAAAGTTTCCGATAGTTTTTCAGGCTATAATAGTATTTTTCCAATTCCCTTTGTTCTTCGTAGCGGCGTTGCTGCCGCTGGGTCTTCGTCCTCGATTCCATCATGGCCTAGGACGGCATTCATTCCCGCCTGCTACTGGTCGAATTCAATCTGCTGCTGTAAAGCTTGCATTTGATCTTGTGCGGCGGACATCTGGATCTCCATAGTCCTCTGACTGATTTGGGACATGGTGCACTCGTACGCCTCTGTCATTGTGTCGTCATGTTTCGTCGCGCCACAGGCCCTTGACTCCGGCGCAATAGAGGTGCTCGACGTTGTCTTCTGTTTATGAGCGAGTATCAGATCAATCATTGTATTTACGGTGCTTGTCTCTTCTTCGCTCTGAGTCGAATGTGAATGATCGGACATTCACTTCCTTCTCATTCATATCGAACGCAACCGAGCTTGCAAACTGCTGGTTTGTAAGTTGCTATACCAAACTTAATCAATTCGTAAACTTGAAGTGTACAGGCTACTGGTATCCTGATTTCCAAACACGAAACTAAAGGGGCAAAATGAACAGATAACGGACAAGGCTACGTTCAAAAAAAAAAAAAAAAAAAAAAAAAAAAAAAAAAAAAAAAAACCTGCAGGAAATGTACCTGTAGCAACGTGTGCCTTAGGCAATCATCAGATAGCCGGCTTCGACAGGAGATCAAACGATTAACAAAGATGTTATCTTGAAAATCTCAAGTGGTACAAGCACTTCGAGACAGTTGGAGCGGCAGCATAGACTCGCGCTATCAAATTTTTGAAGGCCGCATTGGTTTCCAGGGAATATGAACGTTGCAATTTTTTCAATGGACAGCAGGCTGAAAGTACTGAATATACACGTCCCAGAGGTGTAAAGAAATAACGCCCAAGTCTCAGAATATCTCAGTATTCGCTCTGCTGGTACGTGGGCTTATGAGACGGCCGTATGGCGACAAGAATTGCCACAACCCTAATCAATGAGGGGGGAAAAAGTAGTCGTGCAAGCTAGCCTACACGATTGTTAAGCTTTCACGAGGCGAAGGGCGCAGCTTGACGTCGAACGCTTTGAGGCGTAAGAGATCCCCGGCCCTCACGCTAGGGATTACCAATAGAACTTCAAAGCCGTAGCAGAAATAACGACGTCTTGCGTCTGGATTAAAATGCGAGTTCCAAAAATCCAAAAGCCGAAGTTGGACGGGTGCGGCGACCTTGGAAGAACAACAGTTGGCTTACTCAGCATTCGCAAATGCTCCTCTCTTTCGCCACGAGGAGAGAACGAGCAAAGAATTCTGTAAGCTTTCGTCGACGATGCGGAATTGAAAAAGCGTTGAACGGATACCGTATAGATCAGAATTGCCGCTGAACATGAGAGCCGCAATATCGTTACGCAATTTCATGAGTAGGCAACAACAGTCTCAAGTAGGAAAGAGCAAAGTGATAAAGCCCAAGTTCCCAGCCAGTGTCGGGGGGCAGGATTGGCTTAAATACAATCCTCTTACTACGTTGATGAGCGCATGACTAAGGGAAGGGGAGGAATAAAGTTTCTCAATTTTAGAGGATGCTGAACGAAAACCATGTTGACGTACAAAAAAATCACGCGAAGCAAGGAGTGATCAAGTGGAAGCACACAGTTAGAGGCACGCCAAGTATTACAGACACAAAAAACCATTGCATAGAATACAAAGTGTGGCAGGAGCAGAGTCCCCAAACACGAAAACGAGGAAAATCAGAGCCCACCAGCTACGGGAGCCTGCAAAGATGAATCCCTGACAGAATGTGAATCCGCTCATGAGTCTAATAATTCCCGGTTCCGTATTCCACGCTCGCTTTTTATTCCCGCGCACACCCACATGCCGACGACTGCCCACAACGACACCTATCTTGATTGCTGATGTATAAACGACACAAGAAAACCTTTGAACGCTCTATTGTATCATTTCCGCGATTGTCCCATTAGCACTTCTCCTCGTCCCCTCTTCGAAACACATCATCCTGTCAAGAGATGGATGCGCTTAACCAGAACCACCCTTGAAGGCCTTGCCGAAGAGGATGAGCTGCACCTGGTCGTAGATGGACAGCACACCAGCACCTGCAACACCACGGAGGATGTTGGCACCGGCACCCTTGAAGAGGGACCTGACACCCTCGGCAGCAATGATTTGACGGGCAGCATCGAAGGAAGACTTGTACTTAACGGCCTGTAGAACTGTTAGCCGCAGGACTCATCGAAGGTTGGACGTATCAACGATGTACTTACCTCACCGGAAGTCATCATCATGCGACGACGGATGGTGTCAAGAGGATACGAGGCAACACCAGCACCAGTAGTAACGGTCCAGCCAAGCAAGAAGGAAGCCAGGAAGTTACCCTCAAGAGAACCGACAAGGACGACAGGCTTGATCGAGTCGTACATACCGAAGTACAGACCACGGTAGACGATGATACCAGCGACGGAGGGCATGAAACCACGGTACAGACCAGCAATACCATCGGAAGCGAGGGTCTTCCTGTAGACATCAATAAGACCGTTGAACTGACGCTCACCACCCTTCTTAGCAGACTTGGCATCGTTGGCAAGACGAGTACGAGCATAGTCGAGCGAGTAGACGAAGAGCAGCGAAGTGGCACCAGCAGCCTGTAAGAAACTTGAATCAGATAATTGCCACGGCGGACAAAGGTTTTAGGGAGGGAGAACTTACACCACCGGAAGCCAAGTTGCCAGCCATCCACTTCCAGTAGCCGTCACGCTCCTTCTTGAAGGCGAACATAGCCTTGTAGGTGTCACGGAAAGCGAAGTTCAGAGCCTGGGTTGGGAAGTAACGGATAACGTTGGCGGTGTTACCTCTCCAGAGGGAGGCCACACCTTCCTGTTGTACAGTTCTCTGGAAGCATTCGATGATACCGTTGTACCTACGGTCGAGACGGCCACTCTTGATCATCTCATCCTGTTCGATTCCACCATCAGCATCCGACGTTGACGTTGCAAGAAGGCACAGCATTTGAGAGCTGGCCCAAAACTGACCTGGTTCTGGATAAGAAGCTTGACACGCTCGATGGGAGCAGCAGCAGTCTTCGAGATGGCAGCTGAAACACCACCCACTATTCACGGAAAAAGTTAGCATGGCCCTGACGGACACAAGAAAAATTATGCGCTCTGATTTGAACAGCAATTGCATCACCGACGATGCCAATTGATGGCAGTTTCATCCAGAATTGTGTGTTGTTGGTGTTTAAAGAGGTGACGTACTCAAGAAATCGACCACGAATGGCTGCAAAAGCGGAAACGTCAGTTATCGTCCTGCTATCGCGATGCAAGTTCCAGCTGGCCACTCCAGCCATCGGCAGCAGCGTCATCCATCGAAGAAGCTCATAAACCGGCCGGAGCCAGCATCGCACAGTAGTCTAATGCGAATGCTATGCGATTGAGCCTTCATCGCGATGAATGCGATGCATTGCCGTAGCGGCAAGCTGCCAGATAGATGACTTTAGATACGTACCGGCATGCCCATGATGCTCTTCTTGCCTTGAACGGCAGCCGGATCGGTTGCTCCCTTGTTGGCCGACATTGTGACTGATTCCTCTGTGACCAAGGTGACGGAAGGAATGAGAGGAGATGGGTGAATTTGTAGATGGAAGATAGATAGATGAAAGGAGTTGAAAGTTTTTCTGTTTAAGGGTTTGAGCGGACAGCCGTCGCCGGCGCTCGGGCCTCAAAATTCCTGCCTGGGGCGACAATCCGCCGGGAACTGTCGGAGCCCTTCCTATTGCCGCAAAACTGCATATTTTGCCCGTCATTGTCCCAACAATCAATCAATTTTTTTTATTTTGCGCATGAGCTGCGCCACAAACTGGCTGCTTTTGCATCCAGGTGGAAGCAGTTCGATATCTTCCGTGGTGAGGCTGTCGCATTTTCTTTTGTCGCGTGCTTTGGTCGGGTCCGACTATCGTTGCTTCGGAGACACGGCAAGGCTTCGGCTGAGCCTTTTTTTTTTCTTAGCCAAATTGGTACACGGCCTTGCTCGAGATTTGCAATGTCGAGTTTGCCATTTCGTGATCCACTCTTTATTTAATCTTCTTTCATATTACAATCTTGTAAAAGGAGGCGGTCTCTTGATTGTCTATAGCCTAAACGCATACCATCGAGGTTGGCCTTCAATCATCGCCGTGCCTATCAATGCTGTAAACCAAACATTCTTGTCGGCTCTGGATAACGTATCCGGTGAACACTGGGACTAGCCTGGATAGCCGAGTCGCTTCATGTGTGAAGGAAAATTATTCTGTGAGATGGCCATCCTATCGGGTTTCTTTCTATGTCCTGTTGGTAGCAGTACGGAATTGCAAAAGCATGGATATATGTTTGGCAAAAGGATGAGAGGAGTTGAAGTCGAGAAACGCGATGTACATATCACTGCCTCAATCGATTGTTTTTACGCAAATCCATGCCATAGCACACAGTGGTAAACAATGCAGGTCAATGTTGTACTTCTATCTACAAGCATGGCAAGTGCAACTCCTAGCTCATAGTTGGGGCAGCTGGACCCAATGTGCTTGATGGTCAAGTGCGCTCACATCTCATCGAGTTACAAACATACCTTGGCCTGCTTCGTGCTTAACGATATACATATTCCTTCAACTAGCCTCTCTGAATAGCATCCTTTTTTGTCTATCTTGCACCTGTATAAGCTACCCGAGACACAACACCTAATTACGAAACTGGCTCTCGCTCACATTCACTCCTGCCGCACGCGGCTCAAATATGTGCGATTCCATCAGTTCCATCACCTCTGCGACTGTAAAGTCCCTTCGGTCTATTGTAGGCGAAGCCGTACTTCTACAACAGGAGCCCCCCGGAAAATCCGAATTAATCTGGGGCATTTTCGTCCGCGGGTCCGGCGTTCCAGTCGCAATCGCTGGCCTCATTTGTCTCATTGCCGACTGGGAATATGCAGTCGAGATCGAACAGGATTGGAGTAACACTTTTCTCACTATTGCGGTGGGTGTAGCGGAGATTCAATGTCGATGAAGTACAATCCGAGTGGCTAATTTGATGAAGCTCCTCATTTCCATCACGCTCAATATTTTTTTGTTCACGAATATAGTGTTGAAATTGAAAAACAGTCCGCGGGCCTCCAAATTTCGTCGTTACCTTGCCTATATTGATGCGGTGGTCATTTCGCTTCTGGTCATTGGCGTTACGGAGAGATTACAGCAGAACAGCTCGAACGAGCCGTGGTACAACGACGTTTTGCCGTCGAAAGTCCAAATATGTGTTTTTGCCATCTCCTTGTCACTCGCGTAAGTGAAAAACTGTGTTGTTGAAACCGTCGTTGACACCTTTAGGTTCATGCATTTTGTCGGAGGTGCAGTCATGACTGTTGTTGCAATAAAGAATTGGATCCAGATACAAAGGCTGTCACCTGAGGAGTACAGAGACTTCAAGCTAGGCATCCGACCACTGTATCCACCACCAGCTTACTGCGCGTGAGGATATCTCATGCATTTGTACGTCGTAGTCATACTAAATCTTACTAAAGCTAGAAGTGCATTGCATACGGCTCACGTCCAAGCACTTGTAATCGGATCTCTCTCTTTGAAATGACAAGGGCTGTAAGATCATTCCAGTCTGAGAATCGCATTGAATCAAAACAGTATTAATTATTCGTTATGTCTACAGCTTTGCTTTTCCTTCTGGCGTAACTTCCACCAACAATTTGCCTACAACATCAGATTAGAGATGGTGATTCCTAAGAGGAGAAAATAATGCTTACCAGTGTTTACGCCTTTGTAAAGATCAACAAGCGCCTGCTCGGCGTTCGCAAGGCCGCCTTTGATTATTGTTTCCTTTCTCTTGATCTTCCCTTCCGCAAGCCATTGCGCGAGTTCCTTTCGAGCCTGCGGGAACTGCTTTATATAGTCGAACACAATGAATCCCTCCATTCGAATTCTCATTGCTACAATCATGAGATAGTTCTTCGGTCCTTGCGCTTCTCCTGTCTTCGTGTTGTACTGTGAGATACCTCCGCACATGACGAATCGAGCATGTGGTTTGGCACGGCTCAACGCCAAATCGAGGATCTCGCCGCCAACATTGTCGAAGTAGACGTCAATGAATCCCTTGGTAGCTTTTCTGAAGTTGTCTGCAAAATTGGGGTCCTTGTAGTTAAGGGCCTCATCAAAGCCAAGCTCGTTCTTGAGCCACGCACATTTGTCGTTCGAGCCGGCAATACCAAGCACTTTTGCACCTTTCAACTTCGCGATCTGGCCAACAACGCTGCCAGTAGCTCCAGCAGCACCGCTGACCACTACGAAGTCTCCGGCTTTGACTTTGCCAACATCGAGGATGCCAAAGTAAGCTGTTAAACCGGTGCCTCCGAGGACGCTGAGAGCATCAGTGACGCGGCCATTCGGCGGCAAGTCCATCTTTTCGAGGTGTTTTTCTTTGACGATGGCAAGCTCAGTCCAGCCAACGTTACCGACTGCGTAAGAGCCTACTGGGAATTTACTTGACTTGGAAGCCTTTATAATCCCTACGGCGCTGCCTCGCATGATTTCTCCAATCTGAACCGGAGGGATATAGGATCTGGCATCGTTGAGCCATCCTCTCATCGCTGGATCTAAGCTTAAATACAAAGATTGGAAAATGACCTCGCCATCCTTCAGGTCAGACGGCTGGGGTGCTTTGTGTTTCTTGAGTTCGAATGTGCGACCCGGAATGATTGCGTCGGTCGGACGCTCACGCAGGTGGACAGCGCTGTAGGAAGCCATGATGAGATGGGAAAAGGAATTGTGAACGAGGAATTCTTTCGACGTTACGCCGGTACATATTCGCTATTACATTGGACCACTTCTTAACGCAAGGGGATATAGACCGTTCAGGAATAAGGGCCGCATACCGAGGTGATATAAAGTGGGGAACTAAACAGTCTCTGATTGGCTGGTCCTGGATGAAGCGAGGCTGAGGGGATCAAATGTTGGAGCCATTGTTTGTTGAGATTTGACACAAAAGCAGCTGAGAAGTAACCGATATAAGACTCGAATGCATTTATTTTGGTGGCTTTAGGCCGCACTCTGTTAGCGGCTATATTGATCTCCAATAGAAAGGCTCTAGCAATCTCCAGATCCATATCCTAGTCATTCAGAGCTTGGAGGAAATTTCACTGGTGAGTAAAGAGTAGTATTACAGAAATTGAAATTTTTGATTTCTAGTACAATTTCTCGGATCGTGTACTCAAAGGGCTTCGTAATGTCACACTATGTCACAGCTCCTCCAAGGTGTCAGCGCACAGCGAATTTGTTACAATACGTTTAATTTATTCGAAGAGTCTCGAAAAGAGTGATTAGAGCACCAACACTTATGGGGAGTTTTTGAATTCCAAAAGCCTCACTTTAACCCTTTTGTTCATATATACTCCATATATCATGTAAGTTCAAACCCGGCAATAAATGACAGGCAATATTCCGACTGATTTGCATGCGCTCGTCCCCCACACGATTCGCTTTATCCCCGCGTCATTTTCCACGCGAGCTCTCCGATGATCGGCAAAAATTTCCACCTAAACGAATGATTCATCTCTGACTTGACTTGCACTCACCGCTCAGTTTATGATCTTTCTGAGCTCAAGCAGTCCATCCTTAGATTCTGGTTACTGAATGAAGCTTGTTTTCATCCAGTAAAGGCCAATTGACCAAGTTCGCCGATAATGGCCGTACAGATACCCGACCCAACGATTGTGAGACACTCCAGCCCTTGATGAAGTCGTAACAAGGCTAACTTCTCGGAGGACCTTGACTGGTCGGGATATGTTGGCTCGATATCAGAAATCTTTGCTAAGAATGCTACTGATCATCCCGATCGCACTTGCGTCATAGAGACTGCGACCTCAACCACGCCGGAGAGAAGGTTTACGTACAAGCAGATATTCGAAGCCTCGAACGTCCTTGCGCATTACCTGCACGATGCAGGAGTCACCAATGGCGATGTGGTCATGATATGGGCTCATAGATCGGTTGATCTCGTCGTGGCTATCATGGGAACACTTGCTTCGGGCGCTACCTTCAGTGTACTTGACCCGGCCTATCCACCTGCTCGGCAACAGGTGTACCTCGAAGTGTCTCAGCCATGCGCACTCGTGCAGATAGCGAGAGCTACAGACGAAGCTGGGCCGCTTGCCCCAGTTGTGCGAGAATACATCGATAAAGAGCTAAAGCTTAAGGGCGAAATACCTTCGATGCGCATAGACGACAACGGAGAATTGACTGGAGGGATTGTTGACGGCCAGGATATATTTTCGGCAGCACGAGAAAAGAAGGCACAGCCTCCAGATGTTATAGTCGGACCAGACTCCAACCCCACCCTGTCGTTTACGTCAGGAAGCGAGGGAAAGCCAAAAGGAGTTCTCGGACGTCATTACAGTCTTGCATACTATTTTGGCTGGATGGCGGAAAGATTCAATCTCAGCTCAGCAAGCAGATACACTATGCTGTCAGGAATTGCCCACGACCCAATCCAAAGAGACATTTTCACCCCACTATTCTTGGGAGCCCAACTTCTCGTTCCAGCTAAGGAAGACATTCAACACGAGAAACTGGCGGAGTGGATGAACAAGTACAAACCGACTGTTACTCACCTGACGCCAGCAATGGCACAGGTGCTCGTTGGTGGCGCTACAGCAAAGTTCGATTCGCTAGACCGGGCTTTCCTGGTGGGAGACGTACTCACAACACGGGACTGCAGACGGTTGCGTGATCTTGCCGAGAACGTAAAAATCGTCAATATGTTCGGAACTACCGAAACGCAGCGAGCGGTTTCGTATTTGGAGCTACCTTCGAAAAGAGAGGATCCAAACTATCTAGACAAATTGAAGGACACCATACCAGCAGGCAGAGGCATGAAGAACGTTCAGCTTCTCGTGGTTGATCGGCAAGACAGAAATAAAATCTGCGGCATTGGGGAAGTTGGCGAGATTTATGTACGAGCAGCTGGTCTGGCGGAGGGGTACAAGGGCAATGACGAACTTACGAAAAAGCTGAACGAAAGCAAGTTCGTGCAAAACTGGTTCGTGGACAACAAAAAATGGGTTGAGGCGGACAAAGTTGCAGACAAGGGGGAGCCATGGCGAAAGTATTACAAGGGCCCGCGAGATCGATTATACCGAACTGGAGATCTTGGACGGTACCTCGAGAATGGAGATGTTGAATGTACCGGACGGGCGGACGATCAAGTCAAGATTCGAGGCTTTAGAATTGAGCTCAACGAGATTGATTCTAACCTGTCGCAGCATCCACTTATAAGAGATTGCAAGACCGTCGTGCAGAGGAATAGAAATGAGGAGGCAACTTTGGTCAGCTACATTGTAGTTGAGCTAAGTCAGTGGCCAGATTGGCTCAAGTCGCATAACCTTGAAGACACGGTCGACGAAGGAATCGAAATGGGGCCGACCACAGTATATCTGAAGAGGTTCAGACCATTGCAAGCAGAAATTCGAGACCATCTCAAGGGACGCTTGCAGATCCAAGCTGTGCCAACAACCTACATCGTGCTTAACAAGCTGCCTCTCAACCCGAATGGCAAGGTCGACAAGCCAAACCTACCATTCCCCGATATTGCGGAACAGACGGAGGAGGCTACTGAAGAGGACATCAAGCGCTGGGAAAGCCTAAGTGAGACAGAAAGATCCGTTGCAACGGTTTGGGCAAAGTTGATACCTGGTTTAAATGAGAAGACTGTTGCCCCTGACAGCAATTTCTTCGACCTTGGAGGCCACAGTTTGCTCGCGCAGCAAATGCTTCTTCAAGTGCGGAAGCAGCTAAACGCGAATGTCTCAATCAACGCACTTTATGAATACAATACACTTCGAAGTTTTAGTGGCGAAGTTGACCGGATTCTGCAGCCTCCGAAGGGAGCCAAGGCCGACTCTGCCGAGGAATCTGAATCATTCTATTCGAAATCACTTGACAAGCTTTTGACGCAGCTGCCTGAGCAATTCAAGACTGCCGAGCCTGCGGCCATTCGTGCCAAATCCAAGCCAATAGTATTTCTCACGGGGGCAACGGGTTTTCTTGGTGCGTATATCATCAAGGACGTGCTTGAACGGATGAGCCACGATCGATCAATTAGACTTGTAGCTCATGTTCGTGCCAAGGATGAAAAGTCAGGATTGGACCGACTGAAACGATCTCTCAAAGCTTATGGCCTCTGGCAAGATAGCTGGGAGACGCGGCTGAGTTGCGTTGTCGGTGACTTGACTAAGCCACATTTGGGCATTAGCAATGAAAAGTGGTCGACTCTCGCCGACGAAGTCGACGTTGTCATCCACAATGGCGCTCAGGTCCATTGGGTCAAGAGGTATCAAGACATGATGGCAGCAAATGTGCTATCCACTTTGGAGGCTATGAAACTTTGCAACGAAGGCAAGCCTAAGCTCTTTGCTTTTGTCAGCTCGACAAGCGTTTTGGACAATGACCACTATGTAGAGCTCTCGAACCAGCAGATTAATACTGGTCAAGGTGCTGTCATGGAGGCGGATGACATGATGGGGTCAAAAACGGGCTTAACGACGGGGTAAGCTAATCTCTTGAATCAGGCTACTGCAAAAGTTAACGTCGTCAGATACGGTCAAACCAAGTGGGTTTCAGAACAGCTGGTGCGCGCTGCTGGAGCCCGTGGCCTTCGTGGAAGCGTGATACGACCGGGATACGTTCTTGGTTCTGAGCAGGGTGTGACAAACACGGACGATTTCCTGATACGAATGCTCAAGGGCAGCATACAGTTGTCTGCTAGACCCAAGATTGTCAACACGGTCAACGCCACGCCGGTTGACCACGTAGCGCGATGCGTCGTTGCCGCCGCGCTGAATCCACTACCAGGAGGGGTGCATGTCGTGCATGTTACCGGGCACCCAAGGCTGCGCATGAATGAGTTCTTGTCACCGCTAGAGTACTATGGCTACAAGGTGCCCGAGGTGAGCTACGACGAGTGGAAAGAGAAGCTGGAGGTCTTCGTGTCTGCTGGCCAGGAGAAGGATCAAGAGCAGCACGCGTTGATGCCCCTGTATCATTTCTGCGTCAATGACTTGCCGGCCAACACTCGTGCCCCTGAGCTAGACGATACGAATGCGGTTCGAATCTTGAAGGATGATGCTGAGAACTGGACTGGGGTCGACGAATCGGCGGGCTATGGCATCTCACGGGAGGCCGTGGGCAAGTATTTGTCGTTTCTGGCAGAGATTGGATTCGTGCCTTGGCCCAGTGGCAGAGGCCGTCCGCTGCCCGAAGTCAGCTTGAGCGACGAGATGAGGCAGGCTGTGGGCGGAGTGGGTGGCCGTGGGGGAACCGGGCGAGCAGCTTGAAGGAAGGCATAGAGACGCAACGGGGGCCCGACTCCAAGTGAAAATGGGATGGTTATCGGATAGCTTCAACGGTTCGACGGGCGCTGTATATGCGTCGTCTTCTCCTTTTCTTTTCTCTTTCTTTCCGTGGGGAAAAAGGCTCGGTTGTAGCGAGCGTTGCGTGCAGAAGCAGCGCCGATCCTCATGCACGACGACGGATTGCGCCCTCGAACCGACGTATCCAGGGCTGTGCGTTCCACGCTCTTTTGCTTTGGCGGGTGAGGTCCGTCGCACGGCGTGAAGACGGACGTGCAGAACGAGTGCGGTGCGCCGCTGCCTGCCCGTTCGAGCAAGACGGGAGCGTCAGTGTCGTCGGGAGCACGGCGGCTGAGCAAAGTGGTGTTCTGTGTAGCAGGCCGACATTGACGGCCGAGTCGCGTCCAGACAAGCGGCCATTTCGAATCATACAAGTAGGTCGGCAGCACGCTGCAGGGCCTTGCATTTCTGAAACATGCAGGCTCGCGGGCAGCGATGGCAGCGACGAATTGTGGGCTGCCGGGCCTGCCGTGCATCCTGGAGGACGCACATCCGCTGTACAGCTTGCTCGTCGTGAAACATCGGCCGCCCTGGCGACGTGGGCTCGGCGACGACCAGGCGCGGGCGTCGCTCGGGGCGTGTGCAGCGCGCCGTGGGCACGCGCACGCCCCCGTCGTCGGCTAGGCCGGTTCGGGCTGCGGGCGTGCCTGCGCCCGCGCGGATTGCGCAGAATGGGCCAGCAGCAGCGGCGCCCGGGCGACCGGTGCGGCGGCGTGCATGGGCGCCCGTCGCGTTCCTCGTCTCGTCCTGAGCCTTCTCTCTGCACCGCACCTTCGTCGCCCCCCGTGCCCCGTTCGTCAAGTCCCGTCGTCCCCACATGCTTCTGTCGGCGGCGACGGCCAGCGTCGACGTTCAAGAACTCTGCTGCTCGCCGTGCCCATCCCCGTCTTCCCTCCTCGCCCGCCCTCCTCGCCCCCGTTCGCCCTTGACCGTCCTCGCCGCTGCGCAGCTCTGCCCGTCCCCAGAGCGCCGCTGTAATCTCGCCGATCCCTGGCAGATGTGCCATGCCGACCATCTGAACGCTCGCTTTGCGTTTTGCGGACTCCGCACAAGCCACCGTCGTTCAGCGATTCATTCTGCGCCCTCCGTGGACTTCAGTCCCAAGACCTTCACCACATTGCTCGACGCAGCCATTCGCGACCGGCGACACCCTTGGTCTTTTCGATCAGCTGCAGCCCGTCCATCTGCCTGCTCTCTGCTACACTCCGCCAATCTTGGAATGGTACGGTTCGGGCCGTGCGCTGTGTGGTGACACCCTCCTTCCAGCTTGACGTTCTCGCACGCAAGCAAATCACAGCGTGCCCGCCATCCCTCTGCGCGTCTTCTGCGCGGTGCGCATCCATCTAGGCCAATTTTAAATAGTCCAGCACCCTCTCTGGGGCCGCCTTTTGCACAATGGCCCCGCGAGCGCGCATCAGCGGAGGCGAATCTCTAGATTCACCCATGCGCGTCACCTATGAAGACTCCAGCGCAAGCGAAAATGAGGATCTCTCGTCCGGAGCCCGTCCCACTCTGAAGCAGGTCCTGAAGAAGCCAAGTCGCCTGCTCATGCGTCGCTCAAGTGTGAGCAAGATGTCCAATCCTCCAAGCACGCCGTCGCGGAGCCTGTCCAGCGCTGCTGGCGCGGCGGGCGGCCGTGAGGTGCGTAGCAGGGGATCGCTGAAGTTTGCACCGAGCTTGGACAGACTTCATCATCGACCCAGGTCTGAAGACGAGTTTGACGTGTATGGTCATGAGAGTCCTCTTATGGAGACCCAACAGATGACCGAGGCCTTGCCCGACCTGACCCAACCGATGCCGAAGAGGATACTGCCCAGGGCAAACTTGGAGGCCATCATGTCGAAGCCACTGCCTGCGACGCCGCAAAGACAGGAGACGGTTCAGATGGCCCATAGTTCCACCTCGTCGGGATCGGCGATGGCCGCTTTGCAGCTAATTTCAGGATCGCCTGACGTCGCTCCTTCCGTTCAGAAGCGCAAGTCTTCGGGCGAGCTTGCTGATGGAGATGCAAGAAGTCTACCAAAGACTAGGTCTGATGTCGTGTCCGAGGCCACGAGCAAGAGAGAACCTACTCGCCTCACTCGGAGTGCATTCAAGGAGACTGCTGTCATGCAATGGATGGATGGCGTCGATCAGGACCCCCAACGAACGCCAGAGCGCAACTCCATCGTCGATTCATCCGAAGACCCCGCGAAGCCGTCGAATCATGCCAACGTCGTCCTGAGCATGCTCGATCAGAATAGAGACAATATCGCCCGAACTGCAGCCAAATTGTGCTCGAGTTCAGAAATGCAACACCCGCCACCCGTACCCGTTCCGGAACGTGATGCAAGTGCCCGACATACTCGAAAGCGTGATTCGTCCATGACTGCGACCAGCTTCACCCCATCCGTCTTCTCGAGAGCCAGCTCGTGGACGGAGCACACATATCTGACCACTCCCAGTGAGATGGTCGCCAACAATGTCCGCGACAAGCGAACTTCTCGAGACTCACGAGACAGCTGGAGATACACCCGCTCTTTCGCGTCCCCTCGCTCATCCGTCATGAGCTATTCGTCAATCCCCTTTCGGACCCGTCCTTTCAAAGCCGACGAATACGGGCCTGGACCAGACGATATGCCTAGCAGTGGGCAAGCAGATATGGATCAGGCAAACAAAGATCAGCCCGGTGAAGCTGAATCACGCTTTCGTGACAGTGCAAGCATAAGCCGGAGCTCGTTCCCTGCAAGCGAGCGTCTGAGCATACACCTTCCTCCACCGTTGTCTCTAAGCCCTGTTGAAGAAAACCCGGAGATTCGAGTGACCGCAGCCATGGATGCCGACGAAAGTGCGCACCGGCGAGTACTGTCGGACGCAACTGATCTGTCTGATATGAAGGACGAAAAGGCTTCGTTATCTGCCAACACAATGGACATGAAGGGAACCATTGCAAGCACGATCGAGTCAATGGATGCTGCATCCCGACAACTGGGACGCTTCAGAGGAGCGTTTTCGCCCGGAATGCCTACAGAAATCTTTGGATATCACACGTTGGACTTCAGTGCTTCGAATCGGTTACAAGAGGAAACTCCACAACACACTGCGACTAATCTAGCCGAGACAAGCGAAGATGCTGAAGACAAGGCACAAGTCAAGTCACTCGAGCACCGCCGTTCGATATCTTCAGATGTTCTGAGCGGCGACCAGACGAACCAGAACTTTCGACCACATTCCGAGGCGAACGTGGATCGTACGATCAGACAGGAGGCCAGAGTTTCGAATTCAACCTCTACATCTGAAGCATCACTTTCTCCAACGGATAGTGAATTTGGTGAAGGATCTTCTGGCATCACAGACTATACAGATGATGATATTTACCAACTCAGCGATGCTCCGGGCATTGGCCGAGTCCTACAGATAGCGCTGGCGAACATTCGACGTGACGTGGTGAAGCTTGTTGTGCAGGAGCTGAACGGAATCTCCTCCCATGCGCACGAGTCTAATGCATACACTAACCATGCTGGCGGCCAGCTACCCTCCCAAGGCGGCCCATCAAATGGAGAATCTTCAGGCGGCCAATGGGCCGGGAACAACGGCGGAAACAAGCGACAAGCAAGAGACCGCGGTAACGATGAGCAGGACGACCGGGAAGAAGGCGATCCTGGAAAACGAAGAAAACTGAACAACGGGGCAATTCATTCGTCGATTCTGCGATCACGATTCGCATGCCCGTTTTACAAGCGCAACCCCGATAACCACCAGAGATGGCGATCCTGCCGTGGACCAGGCTGGGAGGAAGTCCGACGTGTGAAAGAACATGTTTACCGCAGGCATATGCTATTTACCTGCCCACGATGTTTACAACATTTTGAGGAAAAGAGTCTCCTAGATGGGCATGCGCAGTCTGATGTTCCTTGCACGAAAGCGACGACTCCACCGCCTCAGGATATCGAAGGTTGCAGCCAAGAGCAAGAGAGGAAGCTGAGGTGTCGTAAGCGACCTCCTGGAGAGACGGACGAAGATCGATGGGCAGAGATGTATCGTATTCTTTTTGGTGATGACTGTGAAGTTCCAGGCCCATGTAAGTTTCACCATAGAGCCTTGTGATCAAGCAACGCATCCAGCTTACCCATCGCAGATTACGACTTCGATCTGCCGACAACCTCTCCAAGCCCTAGCGACCTACCTCTTATCGAAGATACTTTCCGTCAACTCCCGCAGCGCCTTGCTGCGGACATCAGTCGTAGACTGCGGCGACCACTCGATGACGAGGAACGTGATGCACTCCCGGAAATCATCCGAACCTCGTTACAAGCTGTGATGCCTCCTTTCTGGCGCATGTTCGCATCGACTCCAGGCTCCGATGCCCGAGCTGCACCGCCAGCCTCGGAGCAAGGAGACAGCGCTTACGGATCTGCGGAGCATGATCGCGAATCATCCGCTCCACCTCGAGGTTACCCAGGCGCTCAGACGTCGCAGACAAATTTTACCCAGCTGCAAACGCCGAATCAGACACCGAATCAGCAGCAGGCTCCCAACATAAGCTACAACCCACCACCCAGCAGGGACTTTTCTTTCACTCAGAACGTCGAACCTAATTACAACTCCAGCACTTGGCCGCAGTCTAGTCAAAGCTTCGTCGCAATTCCGCAAATTCCGGGCACCACGACATATTCGCAACCTTATCACCATGCTCCTGCTCCAGTTTCCCAGCCCAACTTTACGTCGGCACCAACCCACGCCGATCCTCCTGTGGAGGAAGACTTTTCCGATCTCCTTGTGCCACCAAATCCGTACCTACCCGAATCGGGACAACAGCAGAAAGAGTCGAGCCTTCGCTGGTCAATCCCTGTCAGCATTCCTGGTGCAAGTGCTGCAGACCTTCCAGCTCTTCCCATCGACACCATACCTTTCAGTATGCCTACTTCTGTATCTCAACATACCCCAGCAGCTACGATGAACTTCCAGAATGGCATCAGCCCTACCACAACGATGGGTCCGAGCACAAATTTCCATCAGTACATTAACGCGCCCCAGATGATGCATCCGTATCAGCAAGTACCTACCTCGATGCCCTATCACGAATCCAATTCCGGTGCGGTGCGAACACCAAACAGACAGAGCATCAACTTGCTCAACACAACGGATCAGATCGATAACTGGATGTTTAGCCTTAACTCCAGCGCAGCTGGTCAGGTGCAAGATGTGTTCGCCGGTACAGTTGGCCATCATATGGGCAGCATGGTACCCGTTGGAGTAAGAGATGGTAAAAAGAGAAGACCTGAAGTAGGCTATTAGCGTGAACAGACAACGGCCTCATTCGGCATTTCAAAAGGGACACGGGCTATCATTTCGTTTGTCACGAACATTTCATTTTGTACAAACACTTGGACGACCAAAAAAAATTTTTAAGGACTTGAGTCTTGGATACCCCTTCATATATTGTATTATCATTAGATACTGACCAAATGAAATAATGAGGGTTTAATACTTGCACTTTTTTTTTTGATCACATACTCAATGTCTTCTTTGATTCTAGTACGCTCTTTTGCAGAACGGCATGTTCAAGAAAATGATTCAGATGCAAATCGGATATGTAAGATGTAAATAATGGGAGAATCTGCAAAATTAAAAAAGAAAGAAAGGGAAAAAAAAAGAAAAGGGAAAAGATCTCGAATGTAATATTTGAATCAACGTGTTGTTTCATCTCTAAGATGGCTCTTACTGTATCATGGCTTCATCCACTTCCCAGTCTTCCCAGCTAGGCTTATCGAAGCCGTTTGGCCTCGTTTGTCTAACGAATCCATTATACGTCCCCTCAACCTCGACCACGGGCTTGACGTACTTCACTTTGGCGTTGAAGGCCTTGGAGAACGTTTCCTTTGTGTTCCTGTCGTCCTCGAACAGCTCGGGACGTATTCTTCGCATCGTCTTGAGAGCCCTCTTGCCCACTTCGTCCACGCTGTCGTAATGTCGAAGGGCGAAGAAGTCAGGGTCGTGCTGGGCCTTGATCTTCGCCTGGAGCTCCTTTGGATAGGTTCCCAGAGACAGGAGAAACAGGTCGTACTGGCAGAGCGAGGTCGTGCCGTGATAGGAGCCGCCGTGCTTTGCCCGCTTGTACAGGCCGATCAAGGCGGCTATCGTGCCGATGCAGCCGGTGCCGTAGTCTGACATTGGGAACGGGGGCACAACGGGCTCGTCGAGACCCATGAACCAACCTTGCTCCCAGGCCACGCCAGTCGCGCAGTCCGCGATCTGTTGCCAGCCCGGCCTTGGTGCCCAGGGCCCTACATGGCCAAAGCAATTCTCGGCGACGTACACGATGCCTCTCCCTCTATGTCTTGTGAGCTCGACAACCTGTCTCGGTCCGTAGCCTAGGCGTTCCAAAGCTCCGAGTCGAAAGCCGTCGAAGACGACGTCGGCGTCCTGCAGCAACGCCTCGAACCTTTCGCGATCTGCCGGACGGCGGAGATCGAGGTCGGTCGTATGCTTTCCGAGATTGACGTCCACCTGGAAGAACGGCACGTCGGACAGATTGGGAGATGTGACTTTGATGACCTGGGCACCGTATTCTGCAAGGCCTTTCGCCATGCTTGGTCCGGCTATGATGCGGCATAGCTCAAGCACCTTGATGCCATTGAGTATTTGCGGCTTCGGCGTCTTCGACAGCGTCTGGGTGAAAGGAACGGCAGGAGAATCGGATTCTAGTGTGCTCAAGCGCCACGGAGGCTCTTGGCTTAGTATTCGGCCATGCTCTGTAGCTCTGAATTGCTCTGGTTTCAAGCATGTGACACCAGCCTGCCGTCTCTCTGCGTTCATCTTTTCCAGCTGCCCAGCCGTGAAATTCCGAACGTGACTTTCAATGGTGTTTATCGCGGCATGGTAGTTGGTCAAGTCGGGCCGGTGGCCTGGCAGACCAACCATATTCAGAGCCGTCGTTGCTTCGAGCGAGCCGTGCAGATGGAAGTATTCGCCGGCGTTCTTCGTTTCGTAGAGATTTGCAGACAGACGTCGATACAGGTTCGATTGAGCCGCCAACAGATCAGTATCTGGTGCTGTCAGCGACGATTACTCCGTACCTATGACCATCTCGTGTCGAACCTTTCAACAGAGCTTTCGATTTTGGATTGCTTTTGTCGTAACCGCCCACCGTGGCCATGTAGGTCGAGAATAGGAAGCACGATGATCTCTCGAGATTGACGGTGGCCTTTCTCTTTTGCTTTCCAAGGACCAGGTCAGCGATGGCTGAAGCAATGCCAGCCTCTACAGCTTTCAGCGCTCCTATGGCCTCATTCTCCTTCAGCGGTACAGGAAAGTCAGGAATGCCGGTGTGGGCGTTGGTGAATTCGACATGGCGAATGGTCTGCTTTACTTCGGGAGGAATCTGACATTTGGCAGCGCGAAGAAGCGTGTCTAGTGCCTTACGAGTCTCTTCCAAGACAGAATACGTGTCGCTTGTGGTGCCGTTCATGGCGTTGCCTACACACGCCTCGTCGGCTGCGATAGCCGAAGGTGACATGCTGAGTGCGAGATAAACTGGTCAGGCCAGCCTTATAGGGGGAGCAAAAGAACACGGGCTAGCAGGCGGACACTCGCACTGCATGTGCCCTGCTAATTGTAGCATTACGGACGACCCGGCTAGACGAGGGCGTCATCGACGCTCATGACAACGAGCTTGGGAGCGAAAGCGCGCTCTCCGAGGTGGAGAAACACTTCCGAGGCGAATGCATGGGAGCAAACTAAGGCGACGGGATGGGTCATGGTCGGTAGTGGCCGAAGAATTGCACTTGAGAGAAGGCTAGGGCGGTTCGATCACGGTCGGGGGGGTTTTCGATCGCTGACAGCACGTTGACGAGTGCTCTACCCGATCATCCATGGTTGTTCAGCATGGGTGCACGGTCCTCCTGGCGACTCTTCGCAGATTTGGCAGGCCTCCGCAAGCAACGGCCGAGCAATGCCTCGCATAGATCCACGGTCGGTGTCGGTCTCTGTCGACCCAGCAGCAGCAGCTCCCAAGCAAGGCATTGAAGCGAGATGGTCCGCGGCAATTCAGACTGACTAGGCCGACCAGCGTTCTAGGTACATATCCGACTTGCTGCGGCTTCCGATCACTCTCGAGACCTCTTCCGACAGCTTTGGCACGTTACACCGGGCGCGCTCTTCTCGATGACGAGACCAAAGGTCCCGCCCGACCAACGCCAGAGGACCCAGCAGGCGTGCAATTCATGCAAAAGACGCAAGCAGAAAGTACGTCGGCCTTCCGATTTTTGATGTCGTCTGAATCTGCTTTTGGAGGAGCTCGACCCTGCCAGGATCGAATCCGCTGGTCAAGCTCACCAATGGCGCGCGAAACCATGCTTGTTTTTTGTTTGATCCCCATCGACTGTGTACTTGCTCGCTTTGCTGGGCGATCCTTCGCATGTACATTTCCTACCTGTCATATTCTGAGTTTTTTCGTCGGCGTTCGCAGCACGTGAAGTCTCCTGACACGTGATTCTGATCTGAGATTTGCAGTGTAATGGTCTAAATCCCTGCAACACATGTGAGAAGCGTAACTTTGAGTGCGTCTATGATGATCGGGGAGACGGTACAGCTTCTGCGGGGTCGCCTCCTTCAAAGAGGAGAATGACCGATGGCTCTACCGAAACGCGAACGCCTACAGATTCCGCTACGCTCAGTGCGTCTAAGCATGGCCGCAACTCTCCGATTCCAAGTGTGCGGTCAAGTGATATCGCACGAACCGCTGCCGGTGTACCCCCTCAAGCATCCACCGGCAATGAGCCTCGATCTCAGGCTCCCCAAAATACGAACAATCAACCGCATCAGCCTTCTGCGAGCTCGATCAGCACTTCCGATCCTTCAATTGAAAGTGCGGCAAGATCTCTACAGCAATTCTCAGCCCCCAGGCCAATCTCTCAGCCCGCACCAAATGCCGATGCAGCTCAAGTCCAGCAAGCTGGAGCAGATGAGGAAGCTGTGGTCTACTCGCAGACTAGAATGCTGCAGGATCCTACTGGACGACTTCGTGAGTAAAATAAATATCTTGCTCGACTCAAGGGCACTAATGAATCAAAGTCTATGTGGGCGACTCCGCGACGCTATCTTTCCTTCAGCTGATACGGATGATGGTCGAAACTGTTTGTGGACCGTCGCCATTTACAACAGATCCGCGACGACACAAGATCATGGAATCGCAGTTCTCTCTCCCGTCAAATGCTCGAAACTCTCTTCTGATACCCCACAAAACCACTGCCCTGTACCTAGTGGATGCATTCTTCATAAACACGCATGGCTTGGTACACGTCTTTGACCGTAAGCATTTTTATCGAACCTTGGACACGACCTACACGGATCCTCTTTCTGCTGACCCAAACTGGCTATGTCTGCTTAATCTTGTCTTTGCTATCGGTCTTACAATGGCGACTCCTGCTCACGGCACGCCCGAAGCCGCCGTGATCGAGAAGTTGCGGCAAGAGCACACCGATCGTGCAGAAGTATTTTATCTGAATGCAAAAAGCCTCAACGACCCAATGATCGGGTTAGAAGACGCCGATTTCTGGTCGGTTCAGGCTTTGGTTCTCATGACGGTCTTTATGCTCGCAAAATCCAAGAGGAACACGGCCTTTGCCCTGCTGGGAATGGCCATTCGCTCCGCGTATGCTCTTGGATTGCACCGTGAAGAAACCCTTGTTATTTTCAGCCCAGAGGATCAGGTCGTGCGACGGAATGTGTGGCGAACTCTATTCATCATGGACCGCTTTCTGTCTTGCTCCTTGGGGCGGCCGCCCGGCATTTCTGAAGATGAATGCAGTTCAGAAATACTCAAATCCCCCAATCCTCCAGCGCCAACTGATGACTTTGGATTTCAGCAAGCTTTCCATGGCCAGGGGAGTTTCATACAGTCCGGCACGTACGGTCTAGAGGCTGCTGTACGCAGCTGCAGTGTGATCGGATCAATTCTGAAGAAAATATATCAACAAAGAAGAGTCAGTACAAAGCTTGTGAGTCTTCGTTCCGTTTTATTTTAACGCTTCTAATCACGTGTTTAGGCCCAAGAAATAGCGGATGTTTGCAAAGAGTGGCCCAAGGTATGTGAAACTCCTGGCACCCCAAAGTCTTAGGATATGAGGTTGACTTACTTGTTATAGGAGTTACATCCAGGACTGCACTGGCGTCAGGCAGCGTCCGCAAATCCAAGCCAAGGCATCGCAATTCTCCACGTAAATTTGCTCTATTGCCACTCAATTGTACTTCTAACTCGTCCATTCTTCTTGTTCATCTTGAACGATATTCTCCAGCAAGGACAATATCCAGTTCTAAACGGTATTCGTTCAAAACGTGCGTTATTGCATGCAAGTTCTCAATTCGTGCTAACTTCTTTATCAGGACAATATGCTAAAATGGAGAAATTTAGCGAAGCCTGTGTCATCGCATCAACTCACACGATTGTCCTCGTCCAGAACGCTTTCGAGGCAGGCTATCTTCCACGCCGGAATCCATTTGTAATTTACTTCCTTTTCGCCGCTGCCTTGATACTCATGTCGAACGAGTTTGCGCTGCTGTACCTTAACGTCGCCGCAGATCAATGCATACGGAACGCCATCACAATCATGGCATACTCGGCAGAAAGCGATCCGCAAGCAAGCCGGCTGCTGTACATTCTTAGCACATTTCGCGATGTCATTGTGCAGCAGAAAGACCAGAGGGCCCGACAGCAGCAATCGGCGAATCAGCTTGCACCTTTCAACATAAAAGCCAACATCAACCCATATGGCACGCAGGGATCATCTCAATCGATGTCCGCCGCAACACAATCGAGCCCACAAGGAGGTTTGACTTTACCTTCGGTCACAAGCGCTTCTAGCTATGGCCCGCTTGCTCCTATCAGTGCACTAGGCGGAGGCAGTGGCAACAGTTCCAGTAATCCACTTCATTCAAGAAGCAACGCACAATCAAGGAACAGTATTCCCGGCGTGTCTTTCCCACCGAGCTCCCCGTTCGCGACACTGGCGCATACCACAAGACCGTTGGAACCTTCTCTAGCATCTCCTGCGCCCCCAAATCCTTTGTCGCCATACCCTTCAGGCTTGCAGACTCCAGCGTTGGGGACGCTTGAGAGACAGTTAAGCTTCTCCAATATGTTCGATCTTTCGAATTTGGGTGACAGGCTTAGCGTCGATGGCGAAAGTACCGGGCCCGAAGAACACATTGATTTCGATGCGTTATGGGCCTGGGGTAACGCGACGCCTGCTATGGGTAGTCCAAAGCCTGCTGCCGCGCAGGCCATGTCGTCCAATGACGCAGCAACCTTCACAACTCAGCAGGATGGCCGGTGATACTTAATCATGGAAGCTTTTATCTTTTCGGAAAGTAACGACTTGTACGATCATTATGACAGGATTGAAGGATTAAAACTTGATACGATGTGGTATATCTGCTTGTTACCTGAATGGCTAGTGTTGTATGTTTTCGTGAGACAAGGTCTGCAATCACAGCAAGGCAGAGAAGTTGGTCCACTCTTTGCTGAAGGGATAATCGATATAGCCCTCAGGACTGCGCACCTTGTAGAAGGTTTTTCTGTTGTACTCGTTGAAAGGAATGCCTATTTGGATCCTGAACGGCAGATCAGGTGTCGAAATGAAGTACCTCCCAAATGCGATTCCAATATCTGTGTTGGGATATTCTTTGTCCACCTTTTGAACCGCAAGATCGGAGTTGTAACCTCCCGCAATGAACACGGGAGATGTTGAGTCCCACAGCTCTACAGCAAAACGAAGATCGCCCGACGGCTCAGCATCCAAAGGGCCCTGTATTCTACCTTCGATAAGATGAAGGTATGACAGTTTAAGATCCTTGAGGCCTTGAATGAGGTAAGAAAACTGAGGGATCGGATCTTTCATCCGCATGCCTTGAAACGTGCTGAACGGGCTCAGACGGATAGCCGTTCTTGTCGGTCCTACAGCTGCCACAACCGCCCTCGCAACTTCAAGACCAAAACGAGCACGATTTTCGATGCTCCCACCCCACCGGTCCTTTCGTTTGTTGCATGTGTCCTGCGTGAATTGGTCAACGAGGTATCCGTTGGCTCCGTGGATTTCGACGCCATCGAAGCCTCCAATCTCCACGGCATTCCTGGCCGCGTTTGCATATGCCTCGATGAAATTCTGAATCTCTTTCTCACTCATCTCCCTTGGCGTTGCCCTCTTCTCGTCGATGGGGATGTTACTGCTGCTAATCAAATCCAGGCCTTGTTTGCGCAGTATCTTCGCCGAAGCGGCTCGCCCCAGTGCCCAGAGCTGGCAGTAAATATAACTTCCTCTTTCATGCACTGCCGTTGTAATCTCTCTCCAAGCATCCAACTGCTCCCGCGTCCACAGACCTGGCACGGAGTCCATGCCTCCTGCTTCTGGAGATATGAATGTTGCCTCAGTAATGAGAAGCGTACCAGGGACCGATGCACGTTGTCCGTAATATTCTTTCATAAGCGGAACTATGGGAACGTGGTTTTCATCGGAGCGGAGGCGCGTCAATGGCGCCATTATTATTCTGTGTTGAAGCTTCATATTGCCCACCTTGAGGGGCTCGAAAAGTCTTGAGTTTCTGGCCATGTCTTCGATTTTTGAGAAGGGCTTCTAAAGTACTTGCTTGAAAATGATGGGGGTTTTCTTTTGACCTCTGACTAGAGATATGTGTAATATGTCTCTGCGACGGCATCTATTGGGATTTGTAATTCCACAAGATCATTTGAGAGCGCTCGAAACATGTGCTAATACGAACAAACAAGCTTAGCTAGTGAGAAAAATCAAATCCAATAAAATTGATCGCTGTAAATTGATTAGAGGAGATCTACTGTCTTGCCTGGCAAAGCCTCAAGGCGAGTTGCTGCCGTTGGCGAGTCGAACGTGAAGCTTCAATGAGGCGTAAATACCGAGGTTGTGGGGCGCTACTTGCATAATGCCGAAGACGGTTCGTATGCCATGTCGTCGACAGACCTGAGATTGCCTAAAACTTAGACAAAAGTCAAATTTAGCATGACTAGCTTGAACCTGAATATTAATCGCAAATAGTGCCCAAATCAAAACTTCTTTAACAGCTAATATTCACGTGGTTCAAAGTGTGCTCAGAAAGCAGACGTAAATACAGCTAATTAGCGCCTCTTCTCAAATTTTCGCAGAGTGAGTATCTTCATCTTCGTACTTTGCCATGCGGAAATCGTAGGGCAATTCGAAATCCGCATTTGGATCTCCTTTTAGCGGTAAAAAGTCGACGATCAGATCATCTTTCACCGCGAAGACACTGTCGTTCGTGCAGTAGGGATCCTTTCGATCAAAGATTTGTGTGACGATTGGCCTGTATCCGGGCGCATTTAGCTAAATCGGTATCAGCTGCCAAATATGTGAAGCTTTGTTATTGTGGGACTGACTATGAAATGAATATGCGCAGGCCTCATCGGATGTCTATCCAGCAGCTTCAGCAGTCGACCAGCCGGACCGTCGTAGGGGACGGGATAGGGCACCGGCCTAAGGCAATAGAAGTTATATTTGCCGTCTGGACCTGTGGTGAAACGTCCTCGAAGATTGAAATCCGGTTGGTCAGGATCCTGCTGCTCATATAGCCCATTTGGAGCAGTGTGCCAGACATCAAGCTCGGCGCCTTCAATTGGCTCACCGGTTTTGAAGTCCGTTACAGTTCCGTGCATCCACTGCGATTCTCTTAGCCTCTGCTGCTTCTTTGATTTTAGGAAACAATGACAAACCGTCCTGTCGCCATTTGACATCTCCTTGATGACGATCGAATCGCCCATTCTTCGTATTGGCGCGTCTTTTCTCCAAAAAGGTCCAAGAATTGCGGTCGCAGTGGGCTGGTCTTTGGCATCTGAGGCTAGCTTGTACGTGATCTCGTCCACGAGAGATTCTAGACCAAGAATGTCACACAAAAGCTGCCCCTCGTTGCGCACGTTTGTCGACATTTGCCCAGCTTCATTGATCTAAAGTACTCAGTAAACGACCTTGTCGGGAAGACACGAAGAAATGATATACAAAGTTCACAGCTGCCATCCATTCGTCTACCGTGATCTCATTTTCACGGGCAAAATCGTGCAGATGTTGTATTAAGCTGCCCATTACTTGACGTAAACGAGGCGAACATTTTGGGCCGGTTGCTTTGATAACATTGCTCGTGAAGTTGGGGTCAAACTTGCGTGCGACATCGCTCTTCGTACCGTTTGCTGTCATCTTAAATTGTAGTCAAACTAATCCTTTAGATGGGTTGGCTATCAAAGACTCTAATTATTTCTTGCATTTGATGATGTGAGGAGGATTTGAATACGAGCGCGACCCTCTTGCAGACATTGATTCCAACAATGGAATACTCCCTGCCTGCTGACCTCAGCTCTTTTCTGATTGTCCAAACACTATACGATGCACCATTGTGGGGCTCCAGGATTTCCCCACTTTTACACTACTTAAATGTCAACCTTCGGAGCATCGGATGATGTTCGATACCTCGCATCCGATGGCATTGTTTTTTTGCGGGGTTTCTTTCAATTGAGAAGGCATGGATCAAAGCTGCAAGGAGACGAATTGGTAAACTTGCTGTGAGCATTGATGTCAATCTGGTATTGAAAGCGCATGCTGTTCTGATTATTGACGATGAGGCTATGATAGAGACAGAAATATATATTCTACGGATGGTCATTAAGCCAGATGACGTGGATTGTATCAAGTGCAAAACTCGACATCCATTGTTGGCAATATACGAAGGAGACATGCAATACCTTCCCGGCTACTGAAGTAGTGAAGCCGCATATTGCCGGCGCTTGCTCTCTTCGGATCTAATCTTGTCATCTTGTCGGTATATCCATCAAGCCCTTGCTATAGGCTGGTCAAACTCTAGTACCGCGCCGTCAACCTTTCCAGTCCACTTCTCAAGCATTTTTTTGCACGCTTGAATCGCATCGTCATTCCCAAAGTCGAACTCAAAGAGCATGTCCTTGAATTTTTTTGGATCAACAATTTTCTTCCGGCCCATAGCCGTTGTCTTGGGTCTCAAGTCGTGACTGGGGAGGAAGCCACCAGCCGTTCGACCTGTGATATCAATCTCCATAATCATCGGACCTGCATATTGCACTAGAGCAGCAAGTTGGAGCTCCGAAGGAATACCCCGCTCAGTAGAGCGATTTTCCTCGACTGTCCAAACGCAGCAGTTTCTTGTTGGTGTGCCTCGAGCCGTACCGGTGATCGTAAAGGCGTGCTGCACTTGCTTCTGCGTCTCCGATTGACCCGATGGAGTCACGCCAAGAGAGACTGGTCCGACTGGAACGCTAAGTGGCAGTTCGAGGCCCCAGGATATATTCCGCTGCTCGGATGATGTCGCCCCAAAAGACTTGTGGGGAGCATGCGCAACGATGTTAGGATTTGCGGACCTCAGCGCTTGCCTTGCCTTTGACGACGCCTGTAATTTAGAGTTCGGCGGGGCAGGCGTGAACTTAACGGATGCGATAACGCTGGAAAAACGGCGGCCTATCGCGGGATGGAAATTTGCGGCCCATACAAACAATGTTGTTCTTGCATCAAGCATCTGAATAGTGCTCGGAATGATGGACATGTACGACCTTTTGACAGAGTCAGATCCCGCTTCGAGGTTAGTGATCTCTCGACTGTCATCAACGGGAGTTGAGGCACTATGAGGAAGCCAGATTCTATTAACGGGTTCTGCTAAGATAATCTCGGACTTTGAATACGTCGCTGGTGAAATCACTTCTTCTTTCTGCCGCATCGCTTTTCCTGCTGCTGACCCTGGCTCGACTTCATCTTCCTCAGTGGCTTCATATTCGACACGAAGATCTGCCAAGATCTCGTCTTTTGTGAGTGGTTCCCAATATGGATCCGGCTGGCATCCATTGGTGGTTGGCGTAGATGGTTCGCTAGCGCCGTCGAGCAGACCTGATGTCTTTTCTGACTGTTTTCGTCGTGATGCTTTGCGCTTCAATAGCCTCCATATACCGCTCATGACGAAGATGTTGCGTTTATACAGTACAGAAAGTACTTGCGATGAAGTTCAGCTTTTTTTTGTTCAGCTCCAATGGGGAACGCCTTCGAATGCATGATTAAGTCATTACACCGGCGATCAAATTGAATCTTGCATCTCCGCTAAGTTGGTACGTGGCTGTTATCACAACGGGAGGAGCATCATGAGACGCACTGAACCAAGCAAATTATCAAAGCCTTAAGTAGGATTTTGAGACCAAAAACAAGGCTATGGTTGTACATGCTGGGAACGAGAACTGCACCAAGAGACTAAACTGAAATCAGAGAAGCATTTAGCCGCCTCAGGCAATGATCAGCAACATTATTTCCTTTGTCCTGTTGTTTAGACATCGTAATATGCGCACAAAAAGCAAGACTTTCATGATCTTCTGTTTCGTATAATGCAACTGAATTGTCGTTCTGGTTCTGAATCTACCCAAATCCATACGCAAAATGTTTGTGCCTCAAATCATGCGGGCGCATATCTAGCTGAATCCGACCCAAAACAGGTTACTTGCGCCAAATCCCGTAAGGTGATACAAGATTACAGATGAGCTCTCTCCTTGATACCGTGTTGGCTCTTTAGTTCCTCGGCCCACTTGTTTTGCTTTTCAATCATATCTATGTAGGACGCGTGTTTCTTGTTCTCGATCTTCGCCAGCTGAGCCGCGTGAGCTTCGTCAGGTCCATCGGCCAACCTCGTCGTTCTCAAGTACGCCCACATCTTCGCAAGAGGGAAATCGTTACACAAGCCACCAGCGCCGTGTGCCTGCATGGCGCGATCCAAGACTGCCAGGGCCACATTTGGCACCATGATCTTGCAGATGGCCAGCTCGACGATCGCATCCTTGGCCTCACCTCTGTCAAGCATGTCTGCGGCATTGCACACGACCAAGCGAGCTGCGTCAATCTCGATTCTCGACTTTGCAATCCAGTCTTGAATGACACCCTGCTCCGCGAGGAGCTTGCCTTGCGCTGTACGCTGGTGTACACGTGCAATCATATATTCAAGGCCACGCTCGGCGCAACCAACGGCGCGCATGCAGTGGTGCAGACGGCCCGGTCCCATGCGTCCTTGCATGACCTCGAAACCGCGGCCCTCTCCCAGGATGATGTTGCTGGCTGGAACTCTCACATTCTCAAAGAGCACCTCACAGTGACCTTGAGGCGCGTCGTCAAAGCCGAAAACGTTAAGAGCGCGCTTTACGACGATGCCAGGCGTATCTGACGGAACGAGGATGATACTGTGTCTCTTTGACTTGTTTGGGTTGCTCGGATCTGAGCATGCAAAGACGACGAACAGCTTGCAGCGCGGATCGCCGGCACTTGAGATCCACCACTTGTTGCCGTTGAGGACATATTCATTGCCCTCTCTTCGCATTTCCAGAGCGATATTCTTTGCGTCGGATGACGCCACGAATCGTTCCGTCATCACATATGCAGAACGAATCTTGCCATCCAACAGCGGTTGAAGCCATTGCTTCTTCTGCTCCGGTGTGCCGTACTTCGCAAGAACCTATTCACGTCAATATTCTGAAACGTAAGATATCAACAGAATATCTGATTACCTCCATGTTCCCTGTATCTGGAGCGCTGCAATTCAGCGCCTCCCGTGACACGACGCTCCGACCCAGTATCTCGCACATGAGCGCATACTCGAGATTGGTGAAGCCAGCACCGCCCTCGTAATGGTTGCTCAACCACAAGTTCCAAAGACCAAGCTTGCGAGCCCGGTCCTTAAGTTGCTCCATGATGGGTGGAATTGACTTCCACCGTTTATCAGGATCCCAAGAGAGCTGTGCTTCGAACAACTCATCCGCAGGAACACCTGCAAAAGAAAAAAAAATTTGAGCAACGTATTCCAAAGACAAGGAACTCTCCTAAATAAAATAGTGCTTACATTCTTCCTCAACGAATTTCTTGACCTTCACCAAGGTCTCCCTCGCACGAGGGCTGATTTTGTCAGCGATCAGGGGCGGTATTCTTATCGCATCCATTTTCTATTGCGTATGTCTATTTGAAAAAGAGAGCGAACAACGGAAGGAGAGGAATCAGCTTTATGAATGCTTTCTCCCCTTCAAAATATGACCTGATAATTTAGGGGAGTTAATTATATTGCCTAGGCATCTTGTCGTGGTGCGAACGGCTCTTCGGTTTTCGTGTGCTGTGGGGTAAACATTACCCGCATGCCGACATCCGAATGTGGACGTTCCAGTCCGTGTCTCTTCAATTTTTTCTATGCTCAGATCGATGATTTTTCATGCATTCGATAATTAGATGATTGCAAGGATACCACAACCTTTGTTCGGTATTAAATCTATATTTTGATCTATTTTCTCTACAAATATTTCCAGCACTTATCCATAATGAGTAATCACTCGTGTAAACCCAAGCATTGATAGGAACAAAGTCCAACTCCACTGTCATGAATGTTGGAAATATATTTGCGGCACGAGTGCAGAAGAACACGCCACTTTTCAATCCACTCGGACTATCCATGGTAAAAGTGGCGTGATAAGAATTAATAGTGAAACAACCCACATGGCTTCTAATCCCGTGAAAGCGCAATATGGGTTCAAGTGCCGCGGTACTGTACCTGTCCCAGCATTGGACCTAAATTTCGTTCGCAACCCATTCGTCCAAAACTGCTCTACCTACTTCAAGAGACGTCCACACTAAAAGATAAACTAGCAAGCCAAGCCCAGGTGGAAAAATATGAAAATTCAGCTGGAGGCCATGAGAGCCGTCTAAGGAATACTTGAGATTGATTAGAAAATGTCTGAACCTAGACTGTGCTTGGATCATTGAATCATAGCTCATGATTTTTAGTCTGAGAATTCGGAGGGTACGCAGATTAACTTCACACGTTCTGATCAAGGTTTCTGTTACAAGACGATTTTGTGGAAATTCCAAGAGCGATTTCTCGAGGGTTTCAACGGCGTTGGTAGCCTTTGCCAATGTCAATACCGCAGACTGGCTAGTTCCTTACGATTCCGTGAAGACCTGAAGCCCGAGGCTGATCAGATTTGGAAAATGCGGCGAAGAAATGATGAATACGTGGATCTCTCTGATCCCATATGTCTGCTTCGATCTTCAGCCAAGCGCGTTGAGAGACTCAACGCCAACTCCAAGTTTGGTGAAACACGTGTTTTGAATCGCATAGAGGGGCAAAGGATGAGGGTTGACGTTGACAAATCTGAGGGACATGGACGCTCTGTGAGCGGCGTTGAGGGCTGGCCAAAACCAAGACTGCAGACGATTACATATGAACAAAAGTGAGATAGACGACTCGCCGAAGATTTCAGTGCAACTGCCCAGTTTTGCAACAGTAAAGGGGACCGACACGCGGAAGGAGCAGAACTTAGGATGATGATGATGATGATGGCAGTGCAGCTAGGCAGACAAAAGATGGCCTCGTGTAGCAGTACGGTGGTACAGCGGTCGTCGCGTACCAAGAATGGATTTGAACAACTGCAAAGCCCTTAGCATCGACGCAAGAACGTAGATCAACATGTATCTCGGTGGCCGCGTAATTGAATTGGTCGTGGCGGACAAGGCTAGTGGAAGACTGAGAGCGCTCTCGCGTTCAGCGAGAGTTTGATCAGCGAGATGGATCATCGGAGCGGCAGCCAACACGCACTGCGGGTGAAGCTTGAGCAGCTCCGAAATGTGCATAAAGACTTTAAGTCTAGACAATCGGCAACGACGTTCAGCCATTCTGAGGGGAGCGAATCTAATGGAGGAGCCATTCCCATGAATCGAAGCCTTGCTTTCCGAGTCGAAACGAAGGACTCTGTGAGAGCCAGCCAGGTGATCCGAAAAGTAGATGTAAGTTCTGGGAATCGAAGAGAAATCGGGTCTAAGTTGAGACTGCTCCCATGAGGAACGGACAATCTGTCGCTTCTTCCAGCAGGCAAACACCAAAGTTACAGGTCAGACAAAAGAGATAATGACTAAGCATGGCCAGAGCGATTTGTTGTGCCGCGCTGTACTGTGATGTGCTGAGACGTGCTGCGGTGTGCTCGAGGGTGCTGTATTCTACCGACATGTGCTGTGCCATACTGCGAGTGCGAGCCTTGGGCCAGTGAGCGGCTGTGCATGCTGGATTGGGCCGAAGAGGTCACAAAACACAACCCAACTTTTTGCACAAGAAACGCCACAACGCGCCGGTCTCGTTCCAGCTGCTGGGTGCGGGAGAGGCTCGATTATCACGACGTCGTACCTGCGAAAAAAAGGTCCCCTTCCGCCCATCCATGCTCTGTTAAGCGGGCGAGCAAGTGACGCAGTGCATTTAGCTCTCTGCACCGTTGGTCAAGCTGGGCTGCTGCGCGTAAACACAGAACGCGGTCGCTCCCCAGCGTTGGCCGACCTCGTCATTCGCCCTTGCGACACATACCTCCACATCCACCGCAGCCCCCGGAGACCGTGAATGAAACAGGGCCACACAACATTCCACATATCCGACTCGGCCCAGATTCTTTGATTCTTTTGAACACAGTCCATTGTCAGCGACCATCGTCATCGCGGGCTGTCGCTGTCTTCCCTGCTCTCTGACTGCGCATGCCTGGAAGTTTCGCTCGTTGCAAATCGGGAGGTGCGAACCGTGGAAACTGGCCTTCTCCATCTGGCATCGGATCCACGAACACGAAGGGGAGAAAAGCCACTTGCCAGCAGCGACGAGGAAGAAAACGCCTGAATCTCGCTAGCCTGTCGTGCCGCACACAGAATCGTCGCAGCGAGAACGCCCGGCATCCGTACGATTACTTTCTCTTGGTCGAGGAGCGCACATTGCCAGCTTCTTCCTGCGCAGAAAAATGCCCCCCACCGGACGGCGTCGTCGCAACAAAGAGCCCGAGCAACGGGTGGATGCAGATGACGCTGATACGACAACGCCATCCAGAAAGAGGAGACGAGTAAGCCCGCTGCTGCCGCTTGGTCGTACCTTGGCGGGATGTACTGACTGTGTACAGGTAAATGGTTCTAGCAATGCGAATGCCGTCTCCGCCGCGTCACGAAACCAACGTGCATCCGCAGAGTCCGACGCCACGATTGACAATCAGGAGGGAGACAGCAGCAGCAACATGGATGAGGCGCCAGAGTATAAAGAGGCAGAGGCTATCATCCAAAGGTTGCGAACGGCACATTACCAGGTTGGCGTCTCCATAGATTACAACAATAGTATCGTTCCACCAAACGAACAGGCCTACGCAAAGATCGCTGGTCGGAATTGGACGTACTACGTAAAGGACACGAGCGTCGTCATCGGTCGCCCGAACAACAAGCCCAAGCGCGAGCCTGTGGAAGAAGCTGGTGGCACACCCGTCGGAGTGTATGATCACGGTATGATGGTTAACATCGACCTCGGCCCCGATCAGCAGATCTCGCGTATCCACGCAGAGATTTATTACGAAAGCAATGAACAAAAGTGGTTCATCCGTTGCAATGGTAGAAACGGCCTACACCTGGATGATATGAGACTCGAGCGCGGCTACGTTTGCGCTCTTCGTTCAGGCATGGTTATTAGTATACTCGGCACGCAAATGATCTTCATCCTTCCTAACGAGCCGCCTGAGATTCACCCTGTTATTCGTAGATCCCTACTGGAGGACGGGGATGGCGAGGATGAACAGTATCAACCAGGTGATGGTGCCCCAAAGGGCACAAATGTTCGCCTTGGTGGGCCACCCGGAAACTCATATCAGGGAACCTCGTACCCGCGAACCGCCAGCGGGAGCGGTACCCAAGCAGCTCATGCATTGGCAGCATTGTCCAGCTCACAACAAGCGCCAGGCACGCCCAACACTCGCCCGCAACCTCCCCTACCGAAATCGAAGAACTCGCCCGCGTACACGGTAAAGGGAGTCATGATCGAAAGTACAGATGAGATTGACTACAGCGCCGACAGCGCCAAGGACATCAAACCGCCGCACAGCTATGCGCAAATGATTGGGCAGGCAATCTTGTCAAGAGAAGGAGAGAATGCAACGTTGGCACAGATTTACGAGTTCATCAAGGACCATTATGCGTACTTTAGGCACGGTGGTGGTGGCTGGCAGAATTCAATCCGCCACAATCTATCGCTGAGCAAGCACTTTGAGAAGATACCTCGCCGGACAGATGAGCCAGGGAAAGGCATGAAGTGGCAGATTGTTCCTGAGTTCCGCGAGGAGTACATGAAAAAGAATTTCCACGAGAATCGTCGACCGCAGCGAAGACTAGATTCGTCTGGTCCTAATTCACCTGCGATGACAGGCCCTGGCGTGCAGACCGAGCGTCTTGTAGGTGCCTTGAACGCGGATTCGACTCGGATCAAACGTCAATCAGGTTCGCCGACCCCTCCTCGCCATTCATACCCAGCACCCAATGAATCCTTTACGCCTGATCGTGGTCCACGCAACATGCAATTACAGACCGGCCAACTACCTTCTGCAAATGGTGGTGCACCAGTGTCTGCTGCGTCCGAGCTCCTCACGCCGACATTCGATCGTGCGAACCCTTTAGCATCTCAACAGACTTACTCAGCTGGCTCTCGACAGGGCGAGGCCTTGCAGAACTCGGCAGTGGACTCGCCGCCTACCCTTACTGCTTCAGGCTATGATGCGGTTGGCAATAGCAATGTTTTCACACCATTACCCGCGCGACAAGCACCCAAACCACATCTCCTTAGCACCATCAAGCCGCCTAGTTTTTACGCCAAGGAGCTCTTCTCAAGCCCGGCTCCCTTCTGGAAGTTTGCCGAGATACCAGGCAGCACACCTCTTCGCCCAATGGCCGACTTTTCTCCAGGAAAGTTTCCCAAGCCCGCACCTGCAGACGATGAGATCAAGACAGACCAAGATGAACCTATCGAAAGGGAGCATGTGCCGAAGAAAGAAGAAGATGATGATGTCGATGATAAGGCTAAGGTTCTTGCCTCAGCAAGTGGTGTAGAAGCAGAAAGCGAACCGATGCTCGACGAAGCTGATCCTGAAGCTGAAATTCCACCACCATCGAGTCCTCTGGGCAACAAAATTGCGGACGGACTGGATCAGAGTCCTTCGCGTACCGTCAGCCGACCTGTGAGCCGTCGAGAGCCGTCATCGATGGCCAACACCGTGGCCAATGGCATCATGAGCAACGCTCCCAAATTGGCTCCGCCTCCAGCACAGCCGAAGTTCAATATAAGTGCTGTAAATGCGCCAAGCTTTAGAATGTTCGGGCCAGTGAACGGAGACTTGGATGAGGATGACGATGAGGGAATCGACCTGAGCAAGTAAGCAGAATCCAGTCTTCGATTTACGAGTGAGCGAATCAGGTAGAACGTGAACTGACGCCATATAGGAATAGTTTTCAGAAGATTGGACAATATCATCGCGTGTTGAACGCTGCCAGGCCGACGGCGCCACGCTGAGTCGAGCTGCTGAAAAAGTGGATCTCAGATTGGCTGATATTCGGGCACCATTTGAGCGACATTTTCTGTTCATGATTGCGTCACTGAATTGGTGTCCTGACTCTGGGGTGCGTGAGCGAAATATGATATGACGTTTACATGAGTATGGAAAGGTGGGTATTGATTGTTTGACTGCATATTTGGGCCTTTTGGTAGTAGTATATCACGCGCATGAAATTCTTCGCGCAGACACTTAGGATATATGATTTGTGTTACCTCTGCGTTCAGCGCTCGGGCTGTACGTCAGTCACGGTCGGATATTCTCGTAGATGTTCGACCAGGCGACTCCTGATATCGCTTCTTTGATTACTCTGCATCATAGAAAGAAGATAAACCATGTCAACATGTTGCTGAAGTTTGAAATTGCGAAAACATTCGATGTTGGTTCAAGCTTGCTAGCCTTTCGTGTGGAGATTGAACACTGGCATCAAAGCTACTTGTCCGGTGCAGAGGAAACCAAGGCGGCCAGCGAAGTGGCGCGAGGTTTCCGCGGCGCAACCATCGCCGACCTTCTGGGACATCTTGTAGTTAGCTGAAGTGGATCGGATGCTGGCCACTTGTGACCTCAGCCCTCCCAACCCAAGAGCCATGGCCGACACCATCGATTGGCCGTCGTACACTGACCGCAAATGAGAAAACTACTATATACATCACTCGTTCGCGTGGCAGGTTAGGTCATTGGCCTTGCATCATCTACGTGATCCTGAACGAGGAAAGGATCCCTGTGAAATGTCTCGCGCGGGCGATCTGGGGGATGTGAGCATGCGAAAGAATCGACCTGCCGGTTCAGCTTTCCCAAGCTGGAGACGTGATGGTCAATCAAGGCACGCGCTTCAGGCGAGGCAGGATTAAATATGGCCGTCAGCTTGGTCTTGGGTGGAAAGGGAGAGAGGAGAGAGGGGGGGGGGGTTGTGATGTAGAGGATGGTCGATCGGAACGGAGCCCGAATTGCAAAGACGTGAATTCTATGCAGGCAGATTCTCTTCGACCTTTTGGAGCGCATGGTTTTTTTTTTTCCCTTTTTTTTTTTTCCTTTTTTTTGCTCCTCCTCCTACGTCCTCTGTCCATCCCCCCTTAGTTTACGTTATTTTCTGGAAAGGGGGGTGTTTTGAAACCTTGGGAGGGGGTTCCACGCGCGGAGGGTTCATGATGCAAGGGGCATTTTTGCATGTTTCGTGAAACAAAGGCATGCGAATCCTGGCTGCGAAACAAAAAGTTCCTTTGTCAAGTACTAAGACCGGTCTCTGAGATCGCGCTGCGGTCCGTTGTGGTGAGCGGCCGTCGCGGTGCAAATGTCGCAATTCTGAGCTTGCCCCGAGGAGCCGACCGCATCGAGATGACTCGCTTCATGGCTTTCTCATTTCCGCATTTAGCAGCGTAGCGGAATCTGTACCTTTGTATAACCCCCCTCCCCTTCTTGCTCGTATTCTTGCTCGCGCGTCTGATTTGCAGAGGCGCGGCTGGACGGATGATCTTGCTGGCACCAAGTCGCAAGGCGTGAAATCTATTCGCACGACGTTATAATGACTGCGGAGCATCTCGAATAGCCCAAAAGCACGCCAAGGCGTAGAGGACAGACACACCTCGCGCTCAGAAGGGAAGAGTCGCATCGAACCTTTTTCTCCTTGTTGCTATTTCCATCCGACAAAACACATTCGGCAGCACAGGCTGCAGCTGGTCTGGACGTTAGCGACCAGGATGCATGACGCGCTGGCGAATGGATTTCGTACAATCTGCCAAGCCGTGTCGATCAATCCTCACTAGTTTCCCCTGGACGCAAGATTCTGGTCTCCCTTACTGAATAGCGGGAGGTACACGGGCGCGAAATTAAAAAAAAACTGGCAAACAAACTTCGTGATACGCCGCAGGGGGCCAAAGAGCTTGGCTCCTTTCTAGACCATGGTGGAGAGGGCTGGCAGAAAGGCATGAAATTTACGCTGGCCATCGTGGTTGTGCAGCGGCTGGCTGGCCCTCATGCGTCGGGCGACTTATACATGCCCCTTCGGCTGTAGCCCGTCCATGATTGCTTCGCTTTGCTTGATCAATTAGTACTGAGTTTGAAGAAAAACATCACATTCTTTTTATTCACGTTCACTTCTCTTTTCTCTTCGCGCTGGGCCGGGTTTGCTTCTTTGGACCGTTTGCAGGTTTCTGATGACGATCTGAGAGGCAGAACTCTTTTGGAGCAAACCGTCCAAGGCCTTCTTCAGTTTTCGTTTGCTCACCGCTGGAGATTCCTTCTTAGCCGCTCGTTCGTCACACTTGAGAGTCGACGCCGCAAAGATCAGGAAGGATTCTGCCGTGCTGGAACTCTGACTGCAGCCGAAGAAGGCAATATTAGAACCGACCGCTGGAAGGGACTTTTCATTCGTTTTCATCGCTTCTACCTTCGTTTCTACCTAACGGTCATTCTGTCGTTCGATTACGCGTAGCAAACTATGGCAGCCTTCGTTCTTTCGCTACTACTCCTCCCGTTAGCCACCAATGGCTTAAGGATCCCTTGGGCGCAAAAGGGTGGCAAGAAGTATGCTTTGGAAAAAGCGGAGTGTAATGCTTTTCAAGGACCATCACCCGACGTTGTTGTGGACAACTACCTGCCAATCTCTAGGGCACCGAACATGACGTCCCGGAGCTCGATCTTCTTCGACAATGTCCGAAGAGCAAACAATCCCAGCTTGTATGCTCGCGATGGTAACCTTCTGCCTCGTCAGACTGGCGAGCTCAGTACTGCGCTCGGAGGCTCCGAGTACCTGGTTGGTATCACGTTTGGTGGGCAGGCTGTCCAGGCTATTCTCGACACCGGTTCATCTGACACCTGGCTTGTTCAATCGGGCTTCACTTGCATTGACGCTTCAGGCAATCAAGTCGCCCAGTCGACATGCAACTTTGGCCCACTCTACAACGGAGGCTTCAGCCAGCAAATTCAAAATCAAAACTTTCAAATCACCTACGGTGATGGCGAAGTTGCCACTGGTAGTATGGGCTATCAGTCTGTGACCATTGCGGGCATCACAGTCCCATCCCAAGAGGTATGAGAATGTTCTAAACACATATGATACGTCTGTTGCAACGCGGCCGGCTGATTAGTGAGCCAGGTTGCTCTTGTAAACCGAGCATACTGGAACGGCGACGGTGTCTCCACTGGGCTCGTCGGTCTTGCCTTTGCTCAAATTACTTCGGCTTACCAGGGAACGGATCCATCCAAAAACAGCCCAAGCACAAGAATCACCTACGATCCACTATTCACCACCATGTGGAAGCAGGGTCTGTCGGCTCCAACATTCTCCCTCGCCTTGCAGCGCAACCAAGGTGGTTACATTGCGTTCGGTGGTCTTCCGCCCGTAACCACTACTGGTAGCTACGCTACTACGCCGCTCCAGAACTTCAACGGAAAGGCAGGTTCTGCTTTCACAGGCCAATCGTTTTACACGATCACTCCCGATGCTCTTGTCTTCTCGGGTGCCGCTTCGAAACAGTCAAACCAATACATGTAAGTCGCTGGTCGTGTTAGGCTTCCAGGCGAGAAGTGTGTCAGAATAACAATGCTATCTTCAAAGCCATAGAAACCCTACAACCCTGAAGACTGGAGAATTCGAGCTGACCTATATGTTGTTAGCATTGACTCTGGCACCACACTTAATTATCTGCCATCCAGCACGGCCATGGCAGTCAATTCGCTGTTCTCTCCAAAGGCGACCTTGTCGAATGGTATTTACACCGTCTCCTGCAACGCGAAGCCGCCAGTGTTCGGTGTCAAAATCGGCGGTCAAACTTTCGTCATCAATCCGGTGGATATGATCTTGCAAGACCAAACCAGCGGGCAATGTGTAAGCGCAATTCAGGACGGCGGAGCAGCTCCTGGTCCCTTCATTTTGGGCGACGCATTTCTGAACAACGTCGTTGCTGTGTTTGATGTTGGCGCAGCGCAGATGAGATTTGCAAAACATATCTATTAAATCGAGATAATGATCCCGACGAGTTGGGACGATTGATAGGTTTGAGGAAGCTCCAGTCCTCGAAGTGACGATGCGCATGGTGATATATTCGTAAACAGCATGTGCAGTTATGCTTTGCGTATAATGAGTAGATTACGGTCCACCAGAAACCGAAGTCATTATACTACTTGTCTTGATGGTAAAAAAACTTATCAAATGAGGACCAGATCACTGCGATTACTGGTAATTGAACTATAGATCTCACGAACCAGGTTCCATTGCGAGGAAATCCGCTTGCTGTCGAAACAATGCTTGACATGTTAACGGAGCCGAATTCATCATGACTGCTCGTAGTGAGCCATCTAAATAGTAGCCAACGATAAGCGAGTTGCATTGGTTAGTAGATCTATTTCGAAATGTCTTTGTCGAGAAGAGTCGTGATGCTTTCGGAGATTTGTCCTTGTAGATTACTAATTCTATCGAGCTTCGATAGTTTTAGCTCCCTAGAATGGACTCATCAAGCCTCTCTTCTCCACTTCTGAATAATAAAACACGGGTTGTTTCCTTCCACTGCATACGTACGATCTCTGCGGCCTGAAATTGAGATGGCTTATATTTAATTGCTCAGCTCTGCAGATATGGCTGGCCTCATTCGTGTATGCAACGCCCTTACTCCCTGTGTCCTATTGGCTAATGGACCCGTTCAAGCTACTTCAGCAGAAATGGAACCCTCCGGCCGACCCAGACGTGTCGTTCGCAGGTAAGACCGTCATTGTCACAGGCGGGAGCAGCGGACTTGGCTTTGAAGCGGCTCTCAAATTCGCCCGGAAGGGCGCCTCCAAAGTTATCCTAGGCGTGCGTTCTCTAGCAAATGGCCAGGTCGCGAAGGACGCTATCGAATCTAAAACCGGACGAAAGAGTTCGGTCGAAGTCTGGGAGCTCGAAATGGGGGACTACGACTCTATCAAGGCATTCGTGAAGAAGGCTGAAGGCCTTGAGAAGGTTGATATTGTCGTCCTCAATGCTGGTCTCCTTGCCAAGGACTACCGAGTGGGAAAGTATGGTTGGGAGGCTACGTTACAGGTCAACGTATTGTCAACGTCGCTTCTGGCTATACTCCTCCTGCCGAAGCTTCGCGCTTCCAAAACCGCACATTGGACGCCTGTCATTGAGATTGTTTCATCCGGTCTACATGCTAAGGTCAATGTATCCGAGGCCGCTGAGAATGCCCCGCTCGAGGAGTACAACAAACCAGAAGGCTTTGAAGGTCAACAGCAGTACAACAGATCCAAACTATTGGTCCAGTGCGTCGTCCGGGCCCTTGCAAAACGCTTGCAGCCGAATGAAGAAACCGATCCGGAGGTGATTATCACGAGTGTGTGCCCCGGCGCTTGCGCGACAGGTCTTGGTCGCGAGCTCATGACCAACTTCTTCATTCGGATGGCAGCTGCCGTCTTCTTCGCTCTCTTCTTCAGGACGGCTGAGCAGGGCGCTCGATCCTTCGTCAGCGCGACTATTCAAGGCAACGCCGCCAACGGACGTTTCTGGAAAAATGACGTATTTCAGCCGTAAGACTTAAATCGTCCCAAAAGATGAGAAAAGGGCTCTGCTAATGTTTATGCAGCGACGCAGCTAATATTTCAGGCGAAAAGGGCGAGAGGCTGGTGGACTTGGTTTGGTACGAGGTTGTGCGGAGTTTAAGCAAGGACGTTCCAGAGATAACAGGTCTCGTGAATTAGGGTGATGACTATTTTAAGGGGGTAACGATATTCGGATGTCATCTTTGACGGGACTATGATTTTTGACAATTTTGTTTATGACCTTGTCATCTTCCGTAGTATTTACATTTTAAGATTTAGCGCATCACTTGATTGATCATATTGTAAGTCAAACCATAGCGCAAAACCTAGCCCTGGTTTAATAGTTTCAATTTTCTAAAAGGAGAAATCACACATGAAACCAGTTGAACATATTCCTTGTGATTTCTGTAGGAATAGCAAATTTTGAAGCAACTCATAGGTATTCCTCATGGGAAGATACTATGATTTATTAAAATCCTATAAAAGAATGGAGGTCGCGACAACGAAGATTTACTCCAAAAGGGGTAAGGGAGATCGGGTAATCGATTCACATGCGCACAACCTTTGCTGAATAAGTGGTGGATAGCATCGGATCTATATTATAACATCGTAAGTCCATCTCTAGACTTAGCTCTGGGTCAGATTTGAGTATTCCGTATATCGAATTCAAATTGGATCTGCGCGAATTTCAGACAGAAAAGCCGTCTGCCATTATCTTACCCTAATCTAATGTACTGCATGTTCATCGCTAAATGAATTCAAATTCAGAAAGCCTAAGTCCTTCTCTACATAATCAGTCATGTAACCACGTAGCAAGGTGAGCCAAGGCGATTCCTGCTCGCTCACAACTGGCATCGCCAAGCTTACGCAATGTAACTCTTAAATCGATCGCATAAGCATTTGCACATTTCAAGTGGCGACTCAAATATTCCACAATGCTTATCAAAACAATACAGAACTGTCTTGACACTTGAATCATGAAGTGGCAGAATTTGACATGGAACTTACCCCCCCCTATCGCTGATACCTCCGAAAAATTACACATTATTGTACAACAACAGGATGATTTTCTCCAATATGAGAACTTTCTCGAGGAATTTTCAGGATTTGGTAAATATGTAGGAATCTTGGAAGACCTATTAACATTGAATATGTCAGAATGAAGCACCAAAAACCAAAGTACGGGGCCAATACAACACAAGCATAGAAAGTAGAAATATGTAAACCACACGCCGATCGAGGCCGAAAGCAGCACCAATGCGCTTGGTAGAAGCAAAAAAGTGAAGAGTCATGACATGGAACGCTGCTGTATGTGACTCCAAATCAGCTCTTCCTTCATTGATAGAGTCTTCAATAGCGGCTCGCTGTCTTAATTGAGCGCTGTACTTTATCTCGCCCGATCAAAGCATTCAACATATTCATCGAGATTCTTTGCAGGCCCTACACGCCATGTCGCGACTACTGCAAGAGGACGAAGGGGTCCATCTGAAAAGTGTATTATTTTCATGGTATTTTGCCCCTTGGATGTATATGTGCAAAGGCCAAGGAGGGTTTCCTTATGCGCAGGTGTAGCACCCAAAGCGTCACCCTCTTCTCTCTTCATTTCGATACCAGCTTGCTCGTGGCTCAAAATTCCTCTCTTGATCACTTGGCTCTTCTGATGAAGGGTCCTAGCAAATATCTAATTGCGCAATTATTTTTTAGAACCAACTACGATACTGCAAGGTTAGCATATATACAGTGGAGCTGCGTCGCCTATGTTTCAGAATAGCAGCCAAAGTTGAACGCGATTATATCTTTCTCCTCAACGCACTTCCCTGTGAGCGAAATATTGAAGAGATTTCGCATTCACATCTCCATAGTCCCCACTCCATCGTTTCTAGGATCCATCATACCATATTAAAGCCATTAGTCGTAGCCATTGCTACCATATTTTCGTCTTGCCTGTATTATGCAGGAGGGAAAATAATATCGTTTGACGAAACAATTTTTCGAAGAAAAAAAATTGCAGCTTGAAATGGCGCAACATTAAAAGTCGTGGAGTGGAAGAACGGCATATGATCTGCTCTCTGTTGCAAGCTTTTGTCGAATCTAGTCAAGAAGACTTCGGAACCTAAGCCTCATGGATGATTGAAGCGATAGTGTACTAGCAATCTGAGATAGGTGTGAAAGGAACTATCCCTGTTTAAAACTGAAAAATTAAGCTGATCGGAATCGACAGCAACAGCCAGAAAAAGGCCAACCTCATCTACATAGCAGCCTTCAACTGACTTTCGGGCTGCAAGAAATAGCTGCGGATTGCAAACGCCAGATAATATCCGAGAGGATACCGCCTACTTCAATATTGAGCCCACAGCGCAGCATTGCAATGATAGAGGCCGTGTTAGATCTGAATTTGAACAAGACTGATATGGGATATCACAATCGACTCTCTGACTCACGCACGAAAGAATGGGCATATTCGTATGAACTTGGTAATGCAAAAGTGACAGAGAGCACTATTTCCCATGCGTTTTACCAATGATGCATAGCCGTTCAAGTAGTTGACTACGTTGCTCAGAAATCTTTCGTGCTTTCTGATAATGGGCTGGCCTCTAGATTACAAGTCCGCTTTGTACTTCTTGAAACAAATACGAGAGACTTTGCAAGAGGTTATTTCATTCCCTGCGCCTTGAATGTGTTTTCATTGGAGCAGAAAGCCTTCAAGGTTGCTCAAACAGAGGGCCAAATGCAAAAGTGTCAGAGCAACTTTACTATCGAGGTGTAAGAGTCAAACCGCCACTTAAAATATATTATCAAAAGACAAAGTGAGATTCAAATCTTGGCCTCGAATAAGGGTACTTGAGCCATGGTTGAAAGAGCACGCGTTGTTCACATTTGATTTTGAAAAAGCTGATTGAGGAGAGAGATTGATAAAGGAGAGCATCGCTCTTTGTAAGGTCAAAGACGTCGCCGCACTTTTCATATTTTCTAAGAGCTTGACAAAAAAGAGAAAAGAAAAAAAAAGTCTTCAGGTATCGAACTTATGGACTACCTATATAGAAGAGGTTAGCAATCAAACCAATCGAATTTAACGTGGCGACGCGAGTGATTGGGAAAGAGCAAAGTGAGCTTGAGCTTGAGCCAGAGCGCCTGTTTTGAGTGCAATCTGCGTTGACTGATACATATTTCCGCGAGTAGAATCCGTTTTGGTCTTCGTCGAGCTGGATTGGGGTCAAAAACTTCTTTGCTCAAAGCATTTGAAAGTCTGACCCCGAGCACTCTCATATGGTAAAAAAGAACGACTGTGCCATCCTTTAAATTTATATGGTCTGTCCTATCCATATGACATATTTCATACTGCCGGGGCAGCACTAACATGAGGCCATGAGAGCTTGGCGAGGCTGCACTTTTGAGGCGAGCTATGAATTGAAGTCTCAAACCACCACAAACTCCAACGTCCAAGAGCAACTAAGGAGTTCGAATTGCCCCTGGTAGAAAGCCTTGAAAAGTAAGAACTCAATATAGGCAGCTGATAGTTGACTCAGGCAGGATCAACGAATACTCGCCAGGCATAGTCAGTACCCTAAACGGAAAATGCTGCCACAGAGTTAAGCGAAGCAAACATAACATATCTTGACTGACAATTGTTTATAGCAGGCCTCATGAACAAATGTCTTCGATCTAGACAACCAAAGACTCATTGCCTTTACCGCATTAGTTTGTGTGCAACCTGAAAATGTGACAAATCAGACAGCAACAGGCTCAGCTGTAGCCAGCAGATTGCAAAAGGCGAGACAAGACATGCAAAAATGGTATAAATGAGGAATATGCAGCTGAAAGCAGTAGTAAAGAGCACAACGGATGCCGAATAGGAGCGCTCCACGAATGATCGGTTACGCCCTAGGGTCCAATTTGAACGATATCGCTTCCAAACACGGGTTTGAAGCAGCTTGGCCCGTTTACTGGTGATACAAACATGTTCTTTGTTCCGTAAAAAGCTATGATGTCCAAATACGCATATCTCCGGATGAAGGGCATCCTATGTCGAAGAGTGCTAATATTTAGGACACGAGGCTCCCGAGACCACTGGATCAAATTCCGCCAGCGTGTTTTAGGCCAATGATCAATTACGGCTCTTGAATACAAGTATATAACCCTAAGAACAACGTATGGCTCCAAGACAGGACAAGAGCTTGGGTGGTGTATAGCCTTGGATCATTGAAACATTTAGATAGATGGTGGCCAATGATCGTCATCATCCAATTCTTGCAGGACCATTTTCACGTTTCTCAGCCCTTCATTGACAGGATTCAAACCGCCAGCCAACAAAATCATTCGAATAATCACACTGGAGTCTCTCTTTGCCCCCAATTATTGTAGTCGCACTTTCGGTTCGATTCTGGTCGCTTAAAATTACTTTCCTGGGAAGTGATCTAATACGTGATCATTCTATGCCAAACATCCAAGCTCTTTCGCCAATCTGCACGCGGAATTGGGACAAATCCATATGTAAGCATTGTAAATCTCTTGTTTGCTTCCATCATCCAGATCAAATCATTCGAAGGCCTGTGGAGTCTGGTAGTTGGTATTCTCCAAGCTTTTGCCCAATGGCTCAACTTCTCAAAATCGATGCCTTGGCCTCAATGATTCACTTCCATGGAATTCAAGCCCCTCTAACTTCTATTATGTTCAAGAGAGTGCACATTTTGTATCCGAGTTCTCTGCTGACTCTGTGAAGTGCATCGGTCGGCTATTCATTCCGTAAGGAAGCTCCAAGAAAGGTTTTTTTCCGACGGCCGTTATCTACTGTCCAGACAAGATTCCAAGACGTGCCTCAATACAGTTCGGGGATAGCTTGTATACGTAATATCCATTCTCAAAGCATAGCGAAGGTTGCTAACCATGGCCACAGATAATTGTCATGACTGGGCCTGAAGCGACGAATATGCCTTAGGGAGTATCCTGTCCTGTACTTTAAGCTAGTTCATTGTTCGGATGAGAATACTGTCTATATTTCCTGCATCGTGCCGTCGGACATAGCAGCTACAGAAGAGAATCGCGAATAGCAGGCCACGACAGCATGATTACTTGTGAATTTGTTTTCGCCAGAGGTTGCAGACAATGTTTCGAGAAGCTTCATCAAGCGACAAATCTTCCTGTGGAAAATCATTGAGTGATTTTTTTCAGGCTGTAGGCGTTACGTTCAGTGTTAACTGTGGCGTAGCGGGCAGGAAAAACTCGAAATAGAAGTAGACATTAAACTGCCGCCAAGGACAACGTCAAAAGCCGCCAGGTGCGTATTTATCATATAAAACCCTTCTAACTTGATGCATGTTGTCAAGTTAGTAAACGTTCGGCGGAGTCCGTTTTGTGGCTGCTTACCTTTGATTTATCAAAATGATATCAAGAGCTGAGCTAAAGTATGGTGTAGATTATGGTGTTCTACAAGATATCAAACACTGCAAGGGGATAATCGAGAGTCACTGCACAAAACCGACTTGATAAATGTGCTGGAGATTTTTTCCTTCTCTGACCGACTTGATGATGAATGAGGAGAGCGATGGATTGTACGTCGGCCATTTTCATTGACTATCATTGCATAAGGGCCAGCCCTGCTCTCACTGCTTGGGATTCGTGGTTTTGACTTCCAGCATCAAAGAAAACCTGCAGAGCATCGACGAAGTTTTTACTCACCTTCATCCTACCCTGAAACAATGCTCATTCAAGGGGTGCGTTCTATCCCAGGACGAACCTTCTCTTCTAGCAATTGCCACTTCCTGGTAGATTTAGTGGTGCATCGTTTAAGAACAGACATCTTCTCACGCGTCCAGGAAACCAGCCGTGTGTCACGATATCAAGCTGTTCCGTCGTAGCGAAACCCTCTGTTCCGCTCGAACATAGGAGGATGCTCATCAGAGTAGAGAGCAACGCAGAGCGTGTACGAACACAAAGCCGCTCAAAAGTAAAGCTTGCGACCCATCAAGATCCTGGCGAAGAATGACTGCGAACAAGTCAACAGATCAAAAAAAAAAAAAAAAAAAAAAAAAAAAAAAAAAAAAAAAAAAAAAAAAACCAAGATGCTTAGCGTAGCCAAGCAATGTCTAGCTACAGGGCCAGCAAGACCTGCCAGAACGAGGGGGCAATTCTGAACAGCAGAGGCGACATTGACCTGCTCGATTGAGCCAGAAACAAGTCTGTTTAGCGGTTCACGTTGACTACGAGAGAATTTGATGATGAAAAGTGGTCGGAAAGAGCAACATAAGAGTGCCGTAGTGGATGCGAGCGTGACCAATCAACATCGGCTCCAGGACTCCTAGACTCAGAGAAGAGACTTTCGCCTTGGCAGGAAAATATAACTCCCTTCCAGCTAAAGCAAACGGTGGGCACAGTAAGAACGGTACATTTTTTAAAATCGAGGGATATGTAGGAGTTTGAGACCTCACCAATACTTTCGAAGGGGTTCGACGGAAAACTGATTCAGCTCTTACATATCTTTTCCTCGAGGCGCCATGGTAAGCACACCGATTTAAAAGGCAAGACAAGGACAGTTCACTACGATATCATCGTTGACGGCACTTGTGTTCGAAAATAAGTCAGAATGTTGAGCATTCAAGCTTTCCTATCGCCAACTTTGTCGCAAGAAGCTTTCCACATGCTTCTCCGTATCTTACACGCATCGCCAGAGAGGGAAGCAAGCATGTAATGCCCCCATAGAAAGGCCCAATGAACGCCATCGCTTTCATGACACCAAAATGGACCTTCGCTTGAAAATATTCCAAACCCCGGTGCTCCTTGCTCACTTTTCCATAGCAGAGTTTTTAAGTATTAGGTCAACAACAAGATAATGTTTTGTGAAACCAACAAGTGCTTATTTATACAAAAGAATCAGAACTCTCCCACTTTAGCATGAAACGAGCTTATCGCGTCGAAATTTAAGTAAAGGAACTGCATCTAGTACGGGGGCTTGGCGCCCAAAATGCCCGCGCCTCCTCGACTGCTAATCCCTAGCGCACCTGGTGCCTCCGCATTGATGTCATCTAGCAGGTCTCGTGCGTTCCAGACGCGCGACGAGGTCGTCATCGCCGAGTTGCGGTTCTTGCGGCTCGCAACGGAATGTGAGGTACGTGGCCGATCACGTTCACGCATGCTGCCAAGGGACCGTAGGCTCTGTGCTTTCTTTGAAGTTACAGACAAGGTTCTATCCGGCAGTGAAGATATACCCTCACTACTTGCTGGTGACCGCAGACTCGCTGGCAGTGGTGGAACAGGGGGAATATCATCATTCTGCTGGGAGCCTACGCTGGACTTTCGCTTCAGGTTCTCCGTTGACGGCTTCTTATTCAGTTGCGCGGAAGCAGCCGTGAGTGGGCGCGGCGTTATCGTGCCTTCTGTGATCGCGTCGCTCCGTGTTCCTTGAATTTTCTCTTGCGCATCTTCGAAGTGGTCCTCATCCTCGCGTACGGCCATGCCTGGAACATCAGCAGTCGCATTAGCAGTTGGGACATAGCTGATTTCGCTGCCTTCGTAGGAAACCATGCTCTCACTACCTGTCTCATCGCCATCCCCGTCAAGAGGCTCAACTTCAGCGCCTGACAACGTACCCGTCGGTAACGGAGCCCCACTCAACACCTTCTTCAGTTCGTCAATGCGGACCGTGCTGCGTACCGAAGATGTTGTCGAATAAGGGGTGGGACTTTGACTTGTTCGTCTGCTGCGGCGCGATTGTGGACGGCCAGAGATGCCAAGTGCCTCCCTCATAGCGTATCCAGGTGCGTAGTTTGGAGGTACAAAACCAGCAGTCGCAGAGGGCGGTCTGTTACTCTGATGCTGTTGATGCCCCCTACGAGGCGATGGCAAATCACCGTTTGCAGCGGCGCCGTTAGCTAGAGCAGTTGCTACATTTAAATGTCGTGGTGCGAGTTGATTCATTGTTGGACTCGACGAGCCATGGGTTGAGCCAGACCTCGATGTTTCTGATTTGCTGGTGGCTGCGATGACTGCATCCCTTGACCAGTCCGATAGGAGAACCTCCTTAATTTTGGCCGGGAGAGTGTTGTTCTTAGGCGGTTTCGGTGCTGAGAAGGAAGGTGTTCTCGCAGCTTGTGAGAGCATTGGCTGCGAGTATGTTCGACTGGGTGAGCCCGGAGGTGACGACGGCGGAGAGTAGAGCATGATCGTGTACCCCTCTGAGATTTTATCAACCATGTTGGCACGTTTGTCGAATGGTTTGAGAGTCTGCGTCTCGATGGTGGCACTTGTTGGTTCGGGCTGCGAGCTCCCAATTCTCTCCTCAATCTGCTCAAGAGTCATTGGGGGCATACGAACACTGTTGAGCCAAGTTGCATGATTGAGGCGCCTTGATATCTCGTTGTAAATTTCACGTCCAGTGCTTGCACCGTCGAAACTGAAGTGAACGCTTAATGCCCAGAAGTATCCGTGGACCAGGCTGCCGATATTGATTTTGGCTTTGGGAGATTCGATAGTTGGTATATCTTCCTGGAGACGTACAATCATAGGCAAGCCATGCTGTACAGCATTTACACCAAGCCTCATCACCATCTGACTGAGCAAAAGGTGAAGTAAAAGGATGTCTGGCTCTGACTCCGCGTACTGTTGAGCGTTGTCGTAAACAGCAAGGTGCAGAAGTGGTAAGAATGTTTGACGCTTTCGCTTCGGCGAGTTGTCACGTCGCGACGCGTTAGATACAGCCCGCCGAGCTAGATCTGTATCTCTGGCTCCCGGCTCCTTTTTCTGCGAAGTCGTCTTCTTCGGCGGTTGCTCTTCCGCAACGCGGAGATCATTCTTCTTTAATTCATATTTCATCCATGTGAGCAACACATCCACATAGGCAGCTCGCACCTTCCAGCTTGGGTCTCTCAGCAGCCACTGCGTACCCTCCCATCGATCCAGCTCCACAGGGTTACGAACAGTATTATTTGGCGAGCCGTCCTTCTTTGTCCAATTAGCAAAAGAAATGATTTCTTTTACGCACTGTAGAGCGGTCACACGGGCCGTCTCGAATGAGAAGAACCCGTCGACGCCGGATTTTTCGGTGAGGTTGATTGAACTTGCTACGGCGTTGGCCGTGTCGACTGGATTCTCGATAGCGCTCGCAGTGTCAGGTATGCCCATCAGCACCGAAGGCTTCAGTCTGAACAGGATGGTCCCAATCATGTCTGAGATCTGGTCTGCATAATACACGTGCACTGCCAGGCAGCCAACGCAGCGTTGCAGTTGGTTGAGGAGTTGGATCCGGGCAGGAGAAGGTGTTTGGGTTGTCTCCACGACAGCCGGCGATGGCTGTGTGGAAGTTAGATCTTTGGCTGGTTCATGCGGGTTTGCCGTCGACAGAGCTTGGATGTTGGATCCAGATCCGCCCAGCTGGAGAAGAAGTAGAATGTGCTGCACCAGCCCAGCCAACACATCCATAACGCTTAGCCCAATGAAATTTATGTCCGAACTCAAGAGCCATCCAATGATCACTGCGATCACATATTGGTTCTCCAAATCCTTCTCGATAATCGGGCTTCGGATTAGCGTATCCATGGCAGTGACCAGTACCACGTAACGATCTTGCACAGGCGCCCACCCGCAGATGAGAGAAAATAGCGTGCATGGCCAGCTTCCACCAATGAGTGTCGTCGCAGGTGTCGCTGGGAAGTGGTCTCTGGGCTCGACGCGATGCCCAACCCACCTTAGCACTTCAGCCGCGACTATCCGCAATTGTCCTCGTGGAGCCTTTGTGAATATGTTTTTTAATGCTTGCAACGCCATGACACCCGCCTCTTGTTCGGCAAGTTCGTCCGCCGCTTCTGTCGTGCCTGATGCCGCCACCGGGTCTGCCTCGGTTTCAACAGTTCGCACCGTGGATATGCTCTGCCTTCTCCGGAGGGCCGTCTCCTTCTCCATTTCCGACTTCTCTTCTTCGCGATGCTCAAGGAGGGACAAGAATTGTCCACTTTCGGCATAAATATTCTCCAACAGTGGTGGAACGATTGCCTGCAGTTGACGCTCTGTTTCCACCACCAGTATGTCCGCTGATGAAAGTGCCTTCAGCGCATTCAATCCAACCTTGCGGTACCGAACCATCGACGGTATCGTCCTAGCCGTTCCAGAATCGTAGGGCGTGTCCTTGGATGCGAAAGACGCATATATCCTGACAATTTCATCGTACTGCCGTATGAAGCCCTGATCAGCCGCCAATTGTGCCGGGTCCTGATGATCGCAGAATGCCTCAAAGGTTGGCACCGTTTCCTCTATCATGGACAGGTCTCTCGAGTTCAGGATCGTGCGGAAGATGCGCAGAACGGCCGAGGCGTACAGCGGCAGATCGCGAGGCGTCTTCTCGATAAGTGCCCTGACGATCTGAAGGGTGACCTGCACATTGCTAATTGGTCTCGCATGAGCACGCAAACAATCACCGGCACGGGTACAGCATCCAAAACTTACCCTATTCGACGTTTCCACACATCACTGGTGGTGCGCTTGTCCAAAAAGTCGCCCACCTTCTGCAGCTTGCTCCGGCGCGTGCTGGCATAGTACAACAGGTAGCTCAACTCGCTCGAATTAGGCTTGACTTCGACATTGTGCTTGTGGTGGCGCGGATAGCAGTTCAACACCAGGACCTGGTGCTTCGGCCTGCATTTCTGGCGTACGGCGTGCATCTGGAGCCGTGCTGGTGGACACAACGGTTCGGTGATCGGAGCCGGGGTAGCGCGGAGCGGACTATTCAAGACACGCACGCTCGGCGGCGCTGAAACGGATAGAACACAACAGATGTCGTCGTAGCAGCGGCGCTCAGCATTGATTTGGGGAGCGAGAAAGAAGGTCGGGGGCAATCGCAGAAAAGCGCTGGAGGGGGTCGACAGCTGGTGGTTGTGGTGGAGGACGTCGTTGTAGGTTAAGGTTTAAGGAGTATCGAAGCCACCTAAGGCTCTCTCAACACAGGCTGCCGCTGTCTGCGCGCGCTCCAGCGAAAGAAAAAAGCTAGCCAAGGGCGCTGACGTTATTTTTTTCCGTGGCTAGATAAGCGCGACGGGTCAGCGCGGAAGGCTGTCGTCGCTGTCGCCGTCGTCGTGGTCGCCGCGAAAGGGCCGCGCCTGGAGAGATTTTTCTTGTTGAGGACGTTTGGGCTTAATGCAGCGAGACACACATGTCTTTCTGGAAACCGTATCGTCAACAGGCCTGCGCAGCTTAGGTGAATGGCGTAGAGCAGCCTGCTTGCGCCCGGACACCCGCGCCCAATGCCACGCCCCGGGGCTGCATGCCTTGGCTACCTCCATTCCAAACCGGGCGCCCGACGACTCACCATCCTTGTTGCTGCCTCGCGTCATCGAACAGCTTCGATCACAACCATCCGTAGCCCCGACTGCTACCTCACTTGCTGCGCTGTCCGTGTTCAGGTTCATCTGGACTTCCCTTAAGCTCCCTCCTTGCTTTGGTAAAGACATCACGCACGCAGGACGCACATCCCAGCCCTCATCATGAGCCACCCCCTTTTGTCGCCCTGATTCTCACGTGGCTTACGATGCAGGTCACAACTCGTAGGTTCGGGACTTCTACCGCTTGTAGACGAGCTTTGCTGGGACCGCCCAATCGTGCTTCCGATCTTGATATTGGTTTAGTCGATGATCGACAGCGGGAGCAAAGAGGCTCGGCCCTACACATCCCACGCCAGACCGACGACAATAGCGAGGTCTGCTTCGACATAGAAAATCAATACTCGTAAACCCAAAACAGAATGTTGCTTGTCTCCCGCGGGAACATGGCAAACTGTGCACGATGAACGAGGAATAGGTCCATATCCTCAAGGCGTCGTGGACTTGCACGCGCCAAATTTGGCGTCCACATCTTGTATTCCAGATCACAACTCTCTGTTCCATCCATGCCCTCAAATAGGCTCTCCGCTTCGCGCCTGACCCTACCTGCATCATCAAACAGCGAACACGCGTCAGTGAAAACCAGCCCTATGAGCGGAACCCCATTTGGTGGTCGGCTGATCCTCCGCCGGCCTGGCCCGACGACTTCGAGCGCGAAGCAAGCTACGGCGTTGAACAAACGTGGTTAACTTGGCGGTGTGCTCAAAACTTGTCTCTCGCAAGAGTCATCCAGCTGGAATATACACAGTGGTTGGGAGGGTAAGTTAAGGTTATGTACACGTGACCAGAACCCTTTCTCGCTGAGACAGCACACCATGCCCTTGAATGAATGCAGAGCAGTGCTGAGAAAGGTGCAATCTACGCCCATGCTAAGAACACGGAATCTCTGGTCAGATGAAGAAGCTATTGCTATCGCGATGTTTGGTAAATTGGTTCATATCCGTCCGTGCATGAAGATGACCCTTCTCGACCTGCAAGAGCTCGGCGTAATCCTTTTTCTCTACTATTGCCCGCCTCGTGATGCCTGCAGCCTATCTGTCCATAAATACATCATCTCTCCATTCATAAGTAAGATTAGCCTAGGTAGGCTGTCCAACATGTACAGCGCCAGCAATGTAATCTAGTGACCGGTTATACATGAAAGCAGACTCACTCAGATCTGCGCGGTCAAATAGAGTACGTATGATCTCAACGTGGTTAACGCGGCTTCGAAAATTGAAAATTCAGGTCTCGACGGTTTCTTTGTCATTCTAAATTGTCCCTCACGCCCATAGTTGTTCTTATTGAGTGTCGATTTGAAGGCTCTCAGGACTGGCTCTTGATCATCTCTAGGAGCTCTTGCTCATATATCAAAGCGGACAACGCTCCTCATTCGCCATACTTTAGCAGCTACGCCAGAACCGTCTCCAATGTCAAAATCAACAAGCGGATTTCGTGGTGCACTACAAGCTCCTGGGTACAAGTTTGAATTCCTTGACCCGAGTGGAACGACGGGAGCTAATTGTGCGTGTCTCGACATCGAAATTCCAGTCTCCGCGGTCGCGGCTGCGTGGTAGCTCAGCCCAACGCCGCCAGGGCCGTCGCTAAGACTGGGCAGAGCCTGGCTCCTACAAAAGAATATCAGGGCTGCTCAAATCATGAGAAGCTACAGGTCCGTATTTACGCGATCAAATATGTACGTTTGAGGACTGAAACTGTCAGAGCATTAACGAACAAACTAGTATGCTACTCTTATCCTGAATATGCCGCGATGTTTGCCAAAATGTGTTGGTGACAACGATCAACATTCACCATAAGCGAAGTCCCAACGAGACAATCGTGGGATAGAGCTCCCGAATAGCGTAATCATACGTTGAAGCAAAGGGTAGGACTCATCTCTTTACGGGCCACGATTTTGATGTCCGCTTATTGACCGCATCGAATACCATTATCATCTTTAATCTGTATTGGACGACAATTGTCAATGCTATATGTGGGTATTGTTCAGAAAATAGTACAAACTACACAAGAGATATGTATCTGTGTCTGCTAATGCATCCTGATCTACACGGGCATGTCCTCCACATCGCACTCTGCAGCCCCACCGCTTGTAACACCCCCATAAATTCTTAAAGGTACCGCCACTTCAAAATTTTCAACCCTCAAGCCCTCGATTCCCTGTAGGATCACTCCCCGGTCATCCTCGATGACCTCCTCCAGCAAGTCCTCATCCTCCCCAACCGAGATTCTCGGGGTAACGAATTCCACCCTTAGGCGCCACTCCAAAGAAATCCCTGCGGTCACAAACTCTGGCGTAGCATTGCCTGGGATGGCGAGTGCAAAACTCAGGCGCTTGGCGAACAGTGCACTTGCAGCATCGTAGGCATGCACTTTGCGTGTGTATCTGTAAATGCTGGCGGCACTGCGCATGGCGATAGCAGGGTCAACCGTTTCTCGTGTCTCAAGCGCAACTTGGATCGCATACGTCGGAATGGAGGCGCCCTTGAAAGAAGCAACTAGGTGGATGGTTTCGCCTAATCGGTATGCTGGGCGGGTGAGGTGTAGCGTCGCGACGTGTCGGCCTGACCTTGCGATATCAAATTTGTTGCTCAACCTTCCCGACGATGACGATGACCAGCCGTTGGCTCTCTGATCCTGATGGTTGGCACGTAAGATTGCAAAGTCTATTATTTCCAGCTGTGTCTGAGGAGCCTCGCCGACGCTGGACTGACGGCGCATAGCATTGGTGTTAAGGGGGCCGGATGGTGCAAGTGGTGATGTGGGGGAAAGAAGGGCCGGTTGTCCATTTGGTCCAGACTTATCGAGGAGTGCTGAGGTGTATGCTCTGAAATCGGCCTCGCCCTCCCGGTCTGGTGGTTTCTTAGGCTTGATGTCTGGTTTCGAGGCCGTTGTATCGACTACGGATGTGCGAGCTTGGTCGCGTAGCAGTATATAAGGAGACATGAGATCATGTCCTAGTATTTCTCCACTCGGATCGACGCTCCCAAAAACTCGAAACGGAACGTCTACTGACCTCACCTGTTGTTCTCGCCCTTTTCCCGGCCTCTGGGCGCTAATGACAAGCTGATACGTGACCTTAATCGCACGTCCTCTGTGGCTAGGAGGCAAACCCCTCGGTAGAGTAAAGCGATAGGAATAACTCTTCGTCTCGCCCGGCGCCAGAGTCAAGTCTACAAAAAGAATAGACGGAGGCGTTGTGATGAGCGGTATGCTCTTCTGATTCGCAATGCCTCTCATCTCCTTGATGCTACTGAGCTCGCTGCCACCCAACAACCCGCCGATGGATTCACCAATGTTGCCCCATCCGAAGGAACCGAAGAGCCCCGAGTCACGCTTCGTACGCTCGACACCAACAACTCCACCACCGCCCTGAGACCCCACCACACCTTTTCTTTTGATCTCCTCGAAAGGAGCTTGATTCACTAAGGAACCTTCCAACGTAAACGAGCCCATCATCTGTGCATAGCCCATCATGATTGTCTCCGGTCCCCTCGGCGGATCTCTCACCCCCAGCCGCGAATTAGTTCGTACATGATTCGAACGCGGTAATAGTCGCGTAAGTTGTTGAGGAACGTACTCCGATATGAACGTTTCGTCTGAATGGTTGCTCATAACTTCAGAGTGCAAGTCTAGACTGCTCCTGGGCGACCCATTGGCGCTTGACTGTGACAATACACGTGCGATAGGGTTTGCGTTTGATTCTTGCGTAGGTGGAGGCAGTGACCGGAAGGGCAATGAGTCCGTTTTTGGGCTGACAGCCGACTCTGCGTCAGCGGAAAGTGGCGCGTCCTCTACGTCCGGAGCAGCCGGGAACTTGAAGTCCTGTTGCAGTATGCCCGGAGATCTCTTGGCCTCGGACAACGGTCGACTGCTTGCATTGTGTCTCTTAGCCCGTATGGTGCGTTGCCCGTCTACATCTTGTTCCGTGATGATCGGACCAACGATCCTCGGGGAGCCTTGCCCACTACTCGGGCCAGCATCAGGCTTGCCACTGCTCGCTCTGCGCGGCGCTGTTTGCAAGCTCATAGTTCTTCCATGTCCACCTCCTCGCGGGCTTCTTATTCCTCCTCCTTCGAGACCACCTCGGCTGGGCACGCTAGCCACAGTTCCTACATCCGTGCCCATAGACAATATAGACAAGCTCCTTCCATGGCGAGGTCGGCTTCCTCCCTCGCGATGGTTTGGTCCTTCACTCTCTGTGCCTATCGAGCCGGATGGCTTATGTTGCTGCGCGGCGGCTTTTCTCAGATGTGGTGGTATGTTCGGACCGTAGCTCGAGTGTCTGGTGGGCGAAGGTATGCCCAAGCGGCTTCCCTGAGCATGTATCGGCGTCACCTTCCTAGCACGTTGCTGCTCCAAAAGTGCAGTGCCACTGTAATGGGGACTCCTAGGACTCCTGCTAGGAGAGCGATCTGCGCTGCCATGCTCTCGTGCAATGTTCTTGAAGGTGATGGTGCAAGCAACATCTTCTCCAGCAAACACAGTCGGGGTATCGAAGGTGACAGAGACGCGTATATTTGATGGGGTCGATGTTTGGTGATATCGCGAAGCCATGGTGTCTTGTCCGCTTGTTCAGGATGTCCTAAGCGTAGGGATAGAGAGCACACAGGAACAGCGGGAGTCGCGCAGTGGAGAGAAAGGAAGCACCGTATCAGCGGAAAGGAAACACCATCATCACCGTTCCTGTCCTTTCCTTCGGCACCGGGTAGCACCGACGATTGCTGCTGCAAATCTTCCTCAACGCGAAGCCGTCATCATACTTGGCAGCGGATCTCCTGTGCATGTGGTGTTGAGAAGGGAACTGGTGCAAGTATGCCTGGACTCGCAAGTTTAAGCGAACCAACAGGGAACCAACGAGCTCACTGGAAGAAAGCCGCCTACACATGGGGCCAAATAATGCCCTAGACCTTTTGCCTATGCCCGCACAGGCTAAGTTCGTGTCCCCAAGCTCCCACAGGCAATGGACTATGACTACGTCAATGTCCGGTTTGTTAGATCTCTCATGGCGTTGATCTGTATGCTAGTTGCGTCGTCGATGGCCCGCCGAATGGGATCTAGTGACCGAAGATCCGTCGTAACGTCATGCCCGGCATGACGCGAGACATGGGGGATAAATCGTCCGATCAAGGAGTGCAGGTCGACCGGCGGATTCGGTCTCTGATTTCCAAATGAAGCTATATCGCGTTTGACATCTGCGCCGAAACCTTATCTATACCGAGGGTGCGATTGTGTCTTTGACGACTCTCCAAACCACCAAAACCTCTGTCCACTGTCCGTCTCTTGCCCTTTCTTTGTTTTTGGCTGCAAACATACAACAATGACATCGCCGAAGCGACCAAAGTTCGTTTTGATCACTGGGTGAGTTGACTCTGTCACATGTTTGCAACCACCAGCCGACCAACGTCTACACAGGTGCAGCAAAGGAGGCATAGGATATGCGCTGGCTCGCGAATTCTCCGCCAAAGGTACAGCCGTCTCCTCTGCGACGCAAATTGATGCAAGCTAAGCATGGCACAAATTCAGGCATGCAGGTCATCGCCACCGCCCGCTCCAAAGAAAAGATCGCGGACCTCGGCCCTCTAGGCATAACCCTGCTCTCCCTCGACGTGGACGACCCGGCCTCGATCGCGCAGCTCAAAGTCGACGTTACGCGCATTACAGATGGCAAGCTAGACATACTTGTGAATAATGCCGGCCGTAACTACACCGTACCAGCGTTGGACATCGACTTCGCCGAAGTCGAGCAGACGTTTCGAACCAACGTGTTCGGCGTGATGCGTATGTGCCAGGCCTTTGCGCCTCTGTTGATAGAGGCCAGAGGAACGATTGTGCAGATCGGCAGTGTAGCTGCGATCATGCCCTACGTGTTTGGAAGTGTGTATAATGCTTCTAAGGCAGCGCTACACCAGTATTCCAACACGTTGCGTGTAGAGCTTGCTCCTTTTGGTGTCAAGGTCGTGACGATCGTGACGGGAGGCGTAAAGAGCAATATTGCAAATATTGACAGGGTTCTGCCAGAGGATTCGTACTATCTGCCTATTGCAAAGGAATATGCAAGACGAGTGAAACATAGCCAGGAGATGGGCATCCCAAATGAGCAGTATGCCAAGTACGTTGTACCGAAGGTTCTGAAGAATCGAAGTCGGCAGATCTGGGGAGGCTTTGGCGCGTGGTGGATTTGGTTCGCCAGCACCTTTCTCCCAATGTCACTCCTGGTGAGTTCCTTTTCGAAGCTTTTGCATACAACAGTTGGCTAATGGTTTTGGATAGGATATTGTATTTACCCGCATGTTCAACCTTTGGAAACTTAAACAGGCAAATACAAAGAAAAAACTGACATGAATACATGACTTTGACGCAGTTAAACGAATTTTTACGGTCTTCCCGCTGAGTCAAGATTAAAATCTAAAGATACCCTGAATCGAAAGTAGATTTTTTCTTCCTCTTTTCGTATGCACAACTTGCACCGTCCTTTAGCCTTTGTGGTGCGATCTTTCTCCCTTGATCAGCACATCATGATCACATCGTCACTTTTCCGCGGGGGCGAATTGGAAAAGTAAACGGGCTACAATTCTAACAAAAGTTAGGACATTCACCCATAAAAGTCCGTTCAAGTCGATTTTCTCCAATGCTACTCGCTGTACGCATGTCTTGCAAGTTGTTCGGGGTTGGCATGTAGTCGACCTCTTCGTGTGACTTGGGTGAGGTTTGTCGGTTTGTATCTTAATCGAATTCGCAGACAACAAAATCAAGTCGCTGAGATACATGAAGTTATCTTGAATAGAGTGCGAATAGGGTATGCATTCATCCTTTCATACCTTCTTCGAGATTCAAAGCACGTATACAATGTAATCGCGTCATCTCTTAGACAATCTCGATACCGCATCCAGCACAATGCACGCGTTTTGCGATGGAACCCACCGATGCGAGACCAGAAAATCTCGTCACTGTCGTGAACAAATCTTGGGCTGTTTTACATGGTTTGCTCCTGTCAAGGCACTTTGCCATCTTACTCGGCCTTTCTACGTCTCCATTTTCTTCTCCTCGGTCATCATATAGCTGCTCCACGGGTCCACCGTCGTCTTTTTGCCATCTGCAAAGTAATCTTCAAACAACTTCAGGCTCAAGGTCTCATAGTCCTGCACAAATAATTGAATACCCAATCGTCCCTCTCCATTCTCGATCACGGGACGTATGGAAAAGGGAACCTCATAGTCGTACTTGTCCTTAAAAGAATTACGTAGCACTTCAAGATGCTCCTTTATTCTGTCGCTGTGCTCACGCATCGTAGTTGTCTCGCCAAGGAGTTTGATCGCGCTCATGACGTCGTGGTTGAGACAGCTGGTACCATCCATAGTTCTGGGTCGTGCTTGAACTGGAACGTAGATAAGATATTGGCGCGTTATGGCGTCTATATTGACGTTCAGTTCATCTTCTGCCTCTTTGACTTGATCAACGTCGGTCGGCCAGCGCAGTGGCCTGATTCTGTCGTATAGTTGGACAGATTTGCAATCGAGCTTGTGGAGTTTCCAGTGCGCAGCTTGACATATCTTGTTGCAGTACCATATGTTGAGGAAATCGCGGCAGCCATTGCATCGAAGATATGCAGCTGCGCCGCACTCCGCACAATGTGTAATGTCAAAGTTGATAGGCGGCGGAAACATCACCACTGGATGATACAATAGGGGGAGACGCCAAGAATGGGTTGCAATAATTCGGCTTTTTTTCTGCTGATAAGGAAGCTGCTTAGCATGCAGTTGATCGCCGGTAGGACTTATTAAGTCGAGTTGTAAATTGAAGTCGAAAAGCCGAAGGTTGCTCGAGACAATAAGCAGGTATTACCTTCGTGTTATTTGAAGTCCGGAAGTGAATCAACATTTAATCGACAATCTGATGAAACCGGTACCATTCACTTGAGTGCTGCAAGCACGAAACTCATACATTACAATTACACCTCAACAGCGCCTCTTTCCACCCGCAGGACCAATTGGTGATAACAATCTATGCTGCAGAATTTCGTTGAAAGCAACAGGAAACCTAAAAACCGCACTCGGCCAAACGCTGCTGTTGCTGCTGACGTGCCAATCTGATCCTCTCGGCCGCCTTTCTTGCGGCCTCGAAGGTGACATATCTATCAAGATCTGAAGGGTCTTCAGGCGCCTCATCGTACGCTTCTGCGATGTTTCTAAGAGTTGAAGAGCTCCCTGAGGCATGGAAAGGCAATGAAATCTCGTGTGACGACAGTTGCTTTTTATGTACACGGTGTGGTGATGTTGGAGAAGATGGGAGCAAGGTTCTTCGTTCGATTGCTGCAGAGGCAATAGAGGTCTCGTTCTCTGGATTTGTGTTTGATAAATGGCTAACACTCTGGTTCGCAGTACTGGGCTCGGACTCATGAAAATGATGCTGATGGGAACTCCTAGAGATCGATCGTGAATGACTATTGCTTTGATCTTGAAAGCTCAGCTTCGATGAAGACCTCTTAAATCCGAACGAAGGCGATGGAGTACAGCTGTTCCCATGTATTATCATATTTGCCTTGCCAGTAGTTTCTTGGACCTTAGCCTTTAGCCGCTGCTTACACCTTTTGCGTTGACACCAGAGAATAGCATTCATAATCAGCCCGGTGGCAACGAGGCTTCCAATGATTTGACCGGCGATTGAGGCATTTGCATGAGCATTGTTCACCATCTTCGAGACTTCTGATGTCGTGAGGCATGTTGCAGGTGGAGTACTTGTCGTGTTCGTAGGTTGTCCAGTAGATGCTGGTGAAAATAGCGTCGACAGCACTGAAGACGACACAGTTGACGGTTTCGACAAAGAAAAGAGAGAAGTTGGGACCGGAACCGGCGTTATCCCCTGATCCTCAAGAACTTCAGCAGCGTTGACGGTTGCGTTTGGACTTGCAGGGTCAACAGCAAATAGAGGGTTTGTGAATGTGGTTGCCCAGCAAACATTCGTTTGATTCTCGCGACCCGAGCAAGTTTCCCAATTCCGGAGACAACACCAAGATACTCCATTCGCGCTGCAATCTACCTGGTCTTCTCCGGCCCGGCCGTCTTGACCTGAGCAAGCGTGGCTCCAAGTCCAACAAGAAGGGTCTGTTGCTTGACAAAGCCAAACAGAATCGTAAACTTCTGGAATATAAGCGCAAACCCCGGGTCGTATGTTCACGAAGTCGGTGTAAATGGAGGCGTTGTTATAGTGGCAGTTCCATGTTGCATTATTGACGAAAAACCGTGGTACAGAGCCGTTGTCGATTTCCGATGACATTGCTGTGCCTCGTACGGGCATATGAGAGTGTGAAGTTGAGTTCGATTGATGGGTGCCAAAGAGGGCTACGAGGATGTCTATATTTTGACCCACTTACTTGAACAAAGTTCAGATGGATGAAGGATTTGTCATAAGGACGAATGGCAACTTGAAACAATAGCGAAGAAAGGTCCTGTTGAGTGTGGATTTCGGACTGTGGTACGAGTTTCAACTTCTCCGCATATTAAATTTAAGTATTGGTGTGCTTTATGGCTTATGAAGCCTAAGTTGCTGTTCTACAGCGAGTGGCGATGGTGCACTTGGTAGTGATCTCAAAATCCTGTTTGACACCGCTCGGCTGTTGGACCGCTCATATATTTAGAGCCTTCTTTCTGCTGCTAAATTTATCTCATATCACCTATAACACTGATGCTGGTGCAGTTGAACAAATCGGGTGCCTCCTGGAGCAGTAGGATTCAGAGGATTTATGCCAGCTACCTTGGGTTCACGGACCATGAATCTCTAGTATCCTCAAACCAAAACCATGCAAGTGAAGGGCGAGATGCCACCGGTTAAATTTATCGAAGCCACATCCTTAGGTTCATGCATTTGCTTAGGAAAGCATTTGCCATGAAAGTGTTTGAAGGGTGGGAACATCGCCTAGGGAATAGCCATCACAGACCCGCCAAAGGGGCTTCAGGAATCATATTTTCCAGAATAAGGGTATATCATAAATTTTTCTTGTCGTCCTCTCAACGAGCAATCCGATTACTCCCTGTCGCCTGTGCTTGGAGGAGTGGCACCGCCAGCAGACGTTGTACCACTAGCTGTCCTCCCTTTCAAAAATACTCTACGCGTCCCGCCCACTTTCTTCAGGTCTCCAAATTCAACCTTGCGTCCCACCTTCTTTGCCTGTTCCACGACGGAATCAACCCACTCTTTTTTCTCACTGCTGATTTCACTGCTCTTTCTCACAGCTGCTGGGCCCATGAGAGATCCACCCTCGTCCCAGAATGCATTACCTCTACGTTGCGACCCATTCGCTGAAGCTGTAGCCGACGTTGGCGTAGGAACATCTTCGTTCGGCCCAGAGATGCTGTCCGTGGTGGCAGGGCTTGCACCGGGTAGATCTTTCCCATTGCTGGTGGTAATTGAAGGATAGCCAGTCGACCCCATCGTACTCGATCTCCTCGAATCACTTAGCATTCCTTGACGCGAATCTGTGCGCATGCCCAATCTGCTACCACTTCTTCCCTCGGCTCCCTCGACACGGCTCTCGCTCCTAAATCCTAGAGCGGAATTCCTACCACTATTTGCTGATGTGGGAGTTAGAATTCTATCATTTCCTAAACCTAGCACCTCCACCCTGCCTTCGCTAACTGTTCGGTGGCCGTGATGCTCGGCATATGTCTTAAGATATTCGCCAAGGTCGGCCCATCCACCCCCAACACGTACCATAACGCGTTCGCCATTCTCACCCACACGTCGAATGAACAACTTCAGAGGTTTGTCGTTTCCAGACATTAGGTGGTAGACCTTTATTTCTGGGTCATTAGCGCCTCTTTTTGGGCCAGGTTCGTCAGCTGGTGCTAGTGTAATCCCAGGTCTTCCTGTCAATGATGGGGTGACAGCACGACTACGGATCCCAGATCGAGGGGCGTCGGAGGTCGCAGAAACAGTGGATGATGTAGAGGTCCTTCGCTTGTGCTTAGACTTGACCTCTGGAGCGTTGGGCGTGGAGCTGGATGTCAGCTTTATTCGTGCCGGAAGTGATTCAAGAATACTGCTAATCTGCTCTTCCAGAGGTACAGACGGTGATCCTGGTGATTTAGTTTTTGTTGGCGAAGCAGGTATTGTTGGCAACGACGTGTCGAGATTTAACTCTTGATCCGGGAATGGGGTTGATGCCATTCTCGACGCATCAATGCTATTATTGTTTCGACGTTTCTTCATTGTGTAGTTCAGAGGAGGCTTCGAAGAATGGTTCATGCTGGCTCGCACTGATGGTGACTCGTCACCCTGATTAAGTGAGTCCGAAACATCAGAAGCAGGTGATGTCATGGATGAGCCACTATTTCTGCGTAAAGTTGGTAAATTGGGAGGAGGCGTTCGTGGTTGCGTTTGCTCCGTCAAAAACTTCAAATCAGGCCAGTCCGATACTGATTCAGTCGCAAGTGGACTTGTTCTTGACGAGCGTCGAGGTTGTCCTTCAGCTGGAGAGGGGGTTCCCGGAGTATCAAATGTTCGTGACATTGGCCGTTTGACGGAATTAAATGAGGCAATACTACTTCTGCGGCTGGGTACATCGACACTCTTAACCTTGTATTTCGTCAGTCCGGGTGAGTATTGCGACATGATTCAGGGCTAGCTTACCTGGTCGCGTGTGAACGACTCGATGGAGGCGACGGACGCGCGACGTAAAACCGCTTCTACCGGCCTATGGACAACCTCTACAATGACGGGTTCTTCCTCATCCTGCAGATCATCATCTTCCGCCGAATTTTCATCTCCATTTAGCGTGGAATAACTTTCCTCGACAGACGCTCTGGATTGTTCTGCGAAAGTCTCCTTCGTTTGATCTTCAGAACGCTGGTCGTCCATTCCCAAAGGCAATACTGCTGCCTCTGGAAGGAGCCCAGTCTTTGTTTCGTGTGTTGCAACATCCTGCGCCTGACTAGAACTGGGCTCTTTTGGCTCTACCAGACTATATTCTACTGTTTCGGAAAGAGATTTGACCATTGCTGCCTCTCTAAGCAACTCACGATCAGCATGTCGTAGGTGGAAGAGCTTCCTATCGGCCTGGTACGACCACTCGCCGTAGCTCTTTTCACTGTTTTCGTACTTATCGATCCATGCATCTGGTAAGCAATCGTCCTTCCCTTCCAGCATATCCAACATTCTGTCGAGCTGAGAGCCCAGCTCCGTCACCTTCCGTTTCAAAGCAGCTTGCGCCGTGGTAAGTTGTTCGTCCAGCGCGTCGATGTCGCTGGGGTCAATCTCCGTAATTGATGCATGCTTCAGGCCTTGCCAAGCTTCTTTGAGAATCTCCTCTAGGAAGCTCAAGCCACTGAGATATGTTGGAACTTCACGGAACACGTTGAGTCGAATATTCCATGTTTTGAGATAGTCTTTCAGCTTTGCATAATATGGAAGACTGTAGAGTAGCGACTCGGTCACGAACAGTTGAAAGTCATCGTAGAGAACTAGGTTTGATACGCTGGAGGAGGAATAGCTTGAGGAGGGTCGTGATCTGCCGCGGTGAATGCCTAGTATTTGTTCTTTGAGATCGTCGACTTCGAGGCTTTGAAGTTCTTCGTCAATTTTGTCTAATCGTTCGTCGTACTCCTTGACTGCTTCTTGATCTAAGCTAGGGCTCAGATCGGCACGTTCAAAAGGGTCGCTATCAGGTCGACCGTATCGCTTGTCAAAGCTGCCTGTCCAACCCCACTGCTCAACCTCTCTGCACCATCCCTTGAGCTTCTCCGCGGCACGAACAACGCGTGTTGCAAGTTCTTTCTCTGCCACAGTCGAAATGTCGCTGTTCACTAGGCGGTGATACTCATCGTAGTTCACTATAGTCTTAGGACCCGGTCGCAGCTGTTTCGTTGGCGACCTTCTGTGCAGCGTGTCTTTGTACGGCGACCTGCTTGGGGTCGCAGGGAGGGCGAAGTGAGGTGCATCGATGGTAAGGTTGCTGTCGTATACTGCCTGTGAGCTGGCCGCGGATGCCATTGTGTCAAATATCCGTAGCGTGCATCCGCACGCAATGCTCGTAAACGAGTACTTTTTGTAAGTCCTAGACACAGGGCTTGGAAGAAATATTGATAGGAAGAATCCTGTCGCGTTCGAGATTGTCGCAGAAAAACTTTCCGTGGTGATACCGCGGCTTGCGATGGCGTTAGGTTCGATATCGTTTATTACCTGCAGACGGCTAGCGCTTGCGGATCCGGGCGTGCCAACTTTATGCACGTTGCTCACCACCCGGCCGCCTTGTTGTTCTGTCTCAGCTAAATTGCATCCGTAGTTCGTGATTCACCTATAAATCGGGCATTGGGGGTCTACTTATGAAGTTCCCTCTAGATCGCAGCCGCTATGTGATTTTCCAGTAGCTGTCATTTCCGTTCTCTCATCTCAGGGGTAGCCGCCGAGAGATGCGCGGATTAGCCAATGACGTGATGTGAACTACGCGTACACGCGATGTGTCGCGAAATGAGGAGTAGCACAAATAGAAGTGAAATTAAGCCAATTACTCTCTGATACTAGTTCCAAACAGTTTGAATAAATTGGAAAATACGATTTATATCGTCAGACGCACTTCACGAGGTGAACAAGGCTCAGCCTTATCATGTGACGTGGTCCCCTCTTGCAAGTTAACGCTATGCCCAAAGTAGATGTGCTTAGGATTTCCAACATCAACAGTATTGTCGTTCTCAGTTGCTAACCCATTAGGACACTAAAACAACTTGATAAGGACAAAGTGCACATTCGTTTGCGAGTGTTCATGTCCTCTACCTCTCAGTTTTATCTAGTCCCCAACTTGAAAACAACATAGGCCAGCTCAACGCGTCACACGCGTCTTTGTAAACACCATCATGGGACACTCATCACAATCAGACCAGGACGTCAGCACATCACGAAAACGCAGATCCGACGTTCAGGACCAGAGTAATGAGTCGCCGCGAAAACGCAAACAGAGATTTGCATATCTCAAACCCCAAACTAGACGTATCTCTCAAGAACTGGTTCTCACAGAATGGAAAAGTCTGCCTAAACCGGCTCAGCAGCAAGTGCGTGACATCTTCTTGACTGCGAAGCGGACGACTTTGAATCAGGTCCTGGATGGTCCAAGGAGGACTGAAGCCGAGTTCGTGGTGAATGACGTACTGCGACGGCTAGAAAAGCAATTACCGAGGATGCCCTTTCCACCAAACACTAAGGTTGCGCATCTAGATTTGGATGGAATCCTTGAGCAAGTTGTGCGTCGACCCTTATCTTTAACTCTTTTTTTTCTTTGACTACAAAATTATTCTCTGATATGCGTGTCCGCTGACTCCGTGGTAGAGGATTTTGGAGACAGAGAAGGCATCACTAAACGACTCGGTCAAGCTGCTTGAGGGAGAAATCGAGCGCGAAGAGAAACGTATTGAGTTGAAGCGGAAAGAGCTAGCAAGACTCGAGAAGGAAAGCACAGCAGCACAGAAAGCACGAACACATCGTGCATCAAAGGTACCCATTTTCTTCTCTGCCTGATGCGTATGCTTTTCTGACAGATGAAAGACACACCCACTTCTTGAGGAGAATCTGCGCAGGTCGTCCTTGAATGATGATACTGAGAGCATTGGGCTTGTTACGTCTGCCAGAACGCCTCCCATCGATTTCGACGAGCCAGATGATGATCTTGCGCCGTTGCTGTCTCGGTTGCAAAATCACTTTGATTCGATTAAATCTAATACCGATAACTTGACTCAAATCGAGCACGAGATGCGGCGGACGCGAGCAGCTCTAAGCTCAGTTCTGCCTCCGCAAGTCTCGTAAATCATCATAAGGCCATCGCTAAATCCATACTTGACTGAAAAATTCTTCTGCTATTAGCGGCTCTCGAAGCCTCTCCTCTCTCAAAGAGGGCATATCAGACAGTCTGATTGCTTCAGGGAGAGCTATATCCAAATAGGCCTCCAAAACCACACTTGAAAAGAGCCAGTCCTCTCGATTACATTATTTGAAATCGAGCCAAGTCACAGAGTAAAATGGGCCCGCTCGTTCCAACGTCGGTTTGAATGAAAAGTCCGGTTCAAACCGTCATACAACATCAGTTAATAACCAGCTTCGACACTCTCAATCCCGCCCAGCAGCAGGCGACTAGTAACAAAGCTGAATATGGCCCGTGTTCGCTCCAAATTTATGTTGGTGCAGTCGTTCGATTGTTATCAATGGTCACTTCGAGTACAGTTTATGTGAAAGCTGTCATGCAGAAATCTGAATGGTTGTTGAATAGCAAGACAAGAACAATGCTCAAACGTCGCATGTGTCCATAAGGTCTTGGTGGATTGTGCGATCATATGTAGTGCCCACGACTGTTGTAGCTGAGTTTGTTGGTATCGTTGCTGATTTTGATGGGGAGATGGCACTCTCCAGCGCCACTGATTTGTATCGTCATTTTGCATAAAATTGAATTAAGACCGATTAATCGGTGATTACTCCACAGATGTTTCATGACAAATTCATGCTTGCAATCTCCACGTGGAGGTATACAGGCACATAGCAACAGATACAACGATATCTCAGCCATGACAGGCACAGATGTATTGAACCCAGCCCAGTTGAGGCCTAGGTATCGTTGCGGAGGCATAGGATTTCAACATGGCATTGAAATCCCGCTATTAGGAAAAGCCATGGAAGTACCTCTACAGAGAAGAGAACACCGATCATGTTGAGCTGGGGTTGATTGTAATGCAATAACCTTATTATCTTTCAATCTAATCTGTATCTGAGTAGTGATCTTGTATGAAGCTAAAGTTGAGGAGTAAAAAGCGTATATTCCTTGCCACGGAGTTGTGACCTACAGAACATTTCTCAGCTCATAGAGTCGGGGAATAGGTGTGGAACCACCATAATACGCCTGGAAATCAAATCTCGATGCATTTTGCTTCAGATTCAAAGCTCAAATTCAAAATAATCCATATACGGATCTCTTTTTTGTTCATCGAGAATTGAAGGTACAGGCATTGATCAAGCATATACTTCCGGAATTCGACTTAACGGTATTTTAACACGTTAGTTATTTTATGATCTCCATGCAAACTACATTGTAATGATGTCGAGTCATCAAAAAAGCTCACGATGGATTGCTTGCTAGACGGCAGTCGGTCTCGTCAACCGCGCGCAGTGTGACTTTTGCATGCTGCACACACGTGGCTAACGCTTCCAATTCCTACCTTCTGCCGACAATTCATTTCAGGCTCTTATAACTCGTTGATCAATATCTCGAGGTTATTTGCCACGTATGAACGCAGCCTCGCCTGATACAGCCTTTTCTTCAAATGGTAGCATTGACGTTTGTACCGAGGGAGAGCATAAATCCAAGTTCAAGCATCAAATAGTCATGCCCCTACGGCAACTCCTCAAACATCCAGTCATGTCCGCGTTCTTGAAGTCGATGAATCGTCTCTTGTGCTTCTTTAAGACCTAAATAGACCTGTGTATCTGCCGTGCAATCCCTGCTGTACCCGGCGCTACTGCTGAAGGCCTTCCAAACCAGCTTTACATCCCTTACGAACCCTATTGGCAAGTATGTATCCGTGGCAAAACCAGAATTGTCTCTCCAAAGTCGATGTCGACTTCCCCGTTCAAGAAAGCTTTCAAAGGGGCCACAATCGTATGAGTATGTGCACTCGGCATCCTGTACATGGTATTATCTTCCGTCTTCAATGCCCTGAGCAATACCGTTTCTATTTCCTTGTTCCGAAGACTGGTGTGAACAACTAACTGGAAAGTTTAATACACCTTGCTACCATTTGATGTCTCCTACGTATAGGCGATCGCGTCTCCAAGTTAGAGTCCTTGGATGAATGTAACTCTAATATAAGCCATCAGCTTATTGTCAGTACAGCAACAATATCTAGGCATGATGGGGCTCATCCATTCTGGTTTTCTGAGCCGTCCACAGTGTACACTTCAAATTCCTTCATGGGAAATGTAAAGAGCTCCAGCATCTTTTGGGACTTGGTAGTTAAAGGAATTGAAGCTGTCCGAACGCTCGATACCCGTTGGCCCCGCTGGCTGCGCAGTGTCCATGATAGTTAACTGTATGGAAACTAGGTAGGTACTTCAGGTGAGAACTTATTAGCATCTGTATATGAGGGCTTTCCGCACGCAAAGCGGACTTCAGAGAGGGCAGGATGAACGAGAAAGCACGAGCATCTAGTAAGAGTGATCACAGGTTTATCGGAGTATGACTTCAATGCACACAAATAGAGTCCGAGGCAATTGGATCGCATTGGCTGTTGTGTTTAAACTGTTTTTTCATTCAATGAATTGTGTCCACGACTCCCGCAGCCTTGCTTGCGCCTATGGTTGGTAGCAGTAAGCCCCGAGGCCCCAGCTGTGTTCAAAGAAGTTACACTATGCAGATAATCGTCCCATCATGCAAAGTCAAAAAGTCCCCATCTAGCGCATTTTTGATCATTTGCCCAAATTATGCTTGGCTCGTCAGGACTATGCGTACTCGCCACCATCGGCACCTTCCTGCTGCTGCTCCGCAAGACGCTGCTGTTCGGCGGCCTGCTGTGCTGCCTGTGCTTTAGCACCATAATCTTGAGACATTGGCTGCACCACGGGTTGCTCCTCCTTTGGCTCGATGATTGTAACAGTATCCGGGAGAGATTTCTGCGGACCGGACTTGCCCTCTGGGTCTGAGCCGCGCATGATCTTAACCTTGATACCCAGCACACCCTGGCGCAGCAGAACGTGGCGGGTGGCCTCATCGATGAAGTCCTTGGCCGGTTGGCCGGAGTGGATCATGAAACCGTCCTAGACGTATATTAGCACACCTGATTGAATAGCACTGCATACGGGTAATGGAACGTACAGTGAACTTCATGCTCTTGGCGCGAGCGGCCCTCAGCTTGCCGCTAACAACCACCTCGCAGCCCTTAGCACCTGACTCCATGATGAAGCGGAGCACACCATAGCATGCTCGGCGGACCGCAAGACCATTGAGAAGCTTGTATCGGAGGGACTCGCACTGAGCGACGGCGGACAGACCACGGTTCTGAACCTTGGCAGCATAAAGGGAGACGGAGTTCTCGGGGAACTTGAAACGCTTCTGGATGAGCGAGGTGAGTTCTCGAATGCGGCGTCCCTGCTCGCCGAGAACTTCTTGTGTGTGGGTGGCGCGGATGATAATATCGGTGACGGTCGGTGTAACGCGAACCTCAACGCCAGAGTAGCCCTCCTCAGCAAGTTCGCGCTGGAAAAACTCGTTCAGCTCGGCGTAGAATACACCGTCTAATTGTCCGGAGGTTAGCCAAAAAACATTCGTATGATCATCTAGGTGCGTCCTTAGGTTGCCCAGCTGCCCATTCACAATGAATCTAGTCCGTGATACAAGCATCGTATCGTTGGCCCGCTGTAATAAATTATACTCGCTGTGGGATGAATCATACCTGCGACGAACTTTCTCCGCTTGGAGCTTTTGCAATTGTCAGCACATGGGTATGACAGCGAAATTGACGTTGGACATACATAGCACCAGAGTGAGTGGCCATTCTGTCTTAGGTCTCCAGGTGCGTATCGCAAAGAGACGTGGTTGTGCGGTGGTAGAAGAATTGTCGTCGCCGAGACGATCTCGGAGTTCGAAAGTTTGCGATAATTGCTGTGTGGTGGGCCTTGGCATCATGTGACCGAAAACCTTCCGCCTTGCATACGACTCGCCGACTCGGAGGGTATTCGACGGTCAACATGAAAAAGAGTGCGCTGTCATAGCGGCTAGCAATCGCAATCATAATATCTCAGAAATCCTTATGCTTGAAACTTATCGACTATGCGAAAGACATTCTTCCTCCACGTGCATTAGATGTTTTCGGAGCAAGATCAATGGTCCTTATTGCTGATTTAGCTAGGAGAGTTCAAAATACGGCATGAGCATTGCCACAGCATGCACCAGCCACAGCATGACACCCCACCGATAGCGGTTCTGCCACTGACGAAACGAAGATCCCATCCATTGACTTGGTCAGTCCCAGGCGTACGTGACCTTGTGGTTTGCACATTTAACTCGCATCCACATCACGATCTCAGCTCTTACATTCCCGTTGCATCCTACCATGCAACACGAGCTTCGATAATGCTCCATGCCCTCGCTTTAGAGCCATCATGGACCGTGCGAAGGTGCCCATACCCAAGGTGGAAGACGTGACATGTTGGCGAGGAGGGAAGAGCGTAAAGGGTACACTGCATCTTTCGGTACGAACCTGAGAAATCTCGACGAAGTTTGGATGTGCTTTGAAATCCACTGATCGACATGCTGACGAGCTTCCCAGGCGCACCATTTCATATTTCGATATGCGCTGCCTAAGCCAGAAGGCGAGGCTGCAACAAATGCGCCGGAGAAGCATAAGGAAATGTGGATCACGTATCCCATGATATCCTACTGCGTATATAGGCCTTCTCCACCTGCTTCTCACCAGCCACCCACGATACGTCTGCGCTGTCGTGACTTCACGTTCATAGCCTTCAACTTCCTCACAGACAAAGAAGCGCGTGCCGTGTTTGAGAGCATACGCGCCTGCACATGTAGGTTAGGCAGTCTGGACAAGCTGCTAGCCTTCTCTTATCATTCTGTACCAAGGGAGAAGAAGATAAATGGCTGGGCGTTGTATGATGCGCGCAAAGAGTTTGCGAGGCAAGGGATTGGCCCGAAAAATACAGACAAAGGATGGCGGATAACGGAGATCAATAAAGATTATACGGTACGTATGTGTACGCGTCTGACGACTGAATTCAGAGTCAAGGTGACCCTAATGGCTATGCAAGCCATGCAAATTTTTTCGGATTATGCACGCCATCTTGAGATTTTTCCCTTTGTTTCCAACTGTAACATTCTCATTTTCGAGCCGCTAACTCGGTGTTAGTACTCGCCGACATACCCGGCGGTACTTGTTGTACCATCCAGTATATCAGACAATGTGCTCAACTACGCGAAAACATACCGCTCAAGAGCTCGGATACCGGTGCTCACATATCTTCACCCAATAAACAACGCGTCAATAACGAGGAGTTCACAGCCGATGGTTGGCGTTCGGGGCAACCGCAGTGCTCAGGATGAAAAACTTGTTGCAGCCGTCTGGGCGTCATCCAAGCCGACCAGACCGACAACGAAATCAGCGCCAGCAACGCCTAGAGGAAGCAGATCTACATCAGACTTGTCAGACTTTGTTGACAGACCGTCTGCTGACAGTATCGGGGATTCACAAGCGGGCGATGGGACTGGCAAGTCGAGTGAATCCGACATCAAAACAGTAAGCGATGGCACAGGGTCAGAGTCAGGTGAACTACCACGGGTCTACGGTGCCCAGCAGATGAACTTGATTGTAGATGCGCGGCCTACCGTGAATGCGTATGCAATGCAGGCCGTAGGCATGGGCACGGAGAACATGGACAATTACAAGGGCGCAGTGAAGGAGTATTTCGGGATTGACAACATACATGTGATGCGCAAATCACTTCAGGATGTCATCGAAGCCATGCGTGACTCAGACTTCACGTCGCTGCCGCCAGACCGGGAGAAACTGGCAAAAAGCGGCTGGTTGAAACACATCGGGCTCTTGGTCGACGGCGGCGTTCGAATCGCGCGCCAAGTAGGCATCTTCCATTCTCATGTTCTCATACACTGCTCAGATGGGTGGGATCGGACAAGCCAGCTGAGCTCGCTTGCGCAGCTATGCTTGGATCCGTACTACCGCACGCTAGACGGTTTCATCACGTTGGTCGAGAAAGACTGGCTCTCTTTCGGCCATATGTTCAGGCACAGGACGGGTCATCTGAGCAGTGAGAAATGGTTCGAGATCGAGAACGAGCGTATCGCAAATGACAGAGCTAGTCTAAACGGCACACAGACAAGCGGTGGAGGTGGGAATGCGTTCGAGAACGCGCTGTCCAAAGCACAGGGCTTCTTCAAGAAGAACGACAAAGATTCGGAAGACTCTGACTCGGACGAGCCGCCATATTCGGGGAAGAAAACTTCCTCATTGGAGGACCAAAAATACGCGACCAAGGTCAAGGAAACCAGCCCGGTGTTCCATCAGTTTCTCGATGCGACATATCAGATTATGTACCAGTTCCCGACACGGTTCGAGTTCAACGAGCGATTCCTTCGGCGGTTGCTTTACCACGTATACGCTTGCCAGTACGGCACGTTCCTGTTCGATAACGAAAAGGAGCGAGTGGAGTGGAGGGCCAAGGAGCGGACCAAGAGCGTGTGGGACTACATCTACTCGAAGAAGGAGGAGTTCCTCAACAAGGACTACGACCCAGAGGTCGACGATCATGTCCAGGGCAAGGAACGAATTATCCTGCCCACCAAGGAAAAAGTGCGCTGGTGGGCTGAGATGTTCGGTCGCACGGACGAGGAGATGAACGGCCCCGCCGTCAGCGGTCCTCCCGCGCCGCCGATGCTGGGGCCCGAGATCAACTTGCCGCCCGTCGTCACGGGTGTCGAGTCGGCGAACCACGCTGCCGGCGTCGGTTCCACCAGACATCCGGAGCCGCCGCAGACCAGCCGTGTCGTACAGCAAGGCCAGGAAGCCCTCAGCGCAGGCCTGGCCCGGCTGGGCATCGGACGCGGCGACAGAGCCAGCCCCGGCCCGAGCCGGCCGCGCAGCCCGCGGTCGAGCAAGGAGCTGATGGAGGTCGAGATGCAGTAGCGGATCCGGCGGCGCCGTGCGAGGACTTGACGCGGAGGCCGGGAGGCGGACAAATGGCCCAGCAGCACGGCCACTCACTCAGCACGTAGCTTACATCTAACGAAACTTAATCCGACTTCTTCTTTCCCCGCCTCCGTCCTTTCCGTTGCTGACCCCACCCACCCATTCCTTGCCCGAGCCCTTGCTACCCTCCTCCTCGTTCTCCACTGCTGTCCTTCAACCTTCCATGTCCCTCTCGTGCCCTCCTGCTGCCCTCCCTCGTCGCCTCGCCGAGCATTCGATCGGTTTTCTGGGAGTCGGGGTGCCTGCGTACCGAAGCCGAAACGGACGTGCCGTCGCACGGCCAGGTGACCAGGTCTTGTCTGGAGCGGGACATTGGGCTGGGCGGGGAGAAAGCGCGGAGGACGGGGACGAGGACGGGGGAGACTTAAGCGTCAAGGAAAAGTAAGAAAACACAAGCCTTTCTTTTTTTTGTGGAACGAGAGAGGAAATCCCTCCCTTGCCGGACGCAAAGTTGACGCAGAACGACGCAGATTAAGGTGCGCGGGAAAACCTCTTCTGTTTAGACGGGACATACATGTATAGATATATACATACATGAATGCATACGAACGTATTTACATACACGTGTACATGTCGTATTTACAATATCTTGTCTGCTTCACGTGCTCGTCTCCTGGTGTCACCGCAGCTGACGGCCCGATTTCGAGAAAAGTAAAGGAAGAGTCCCGAGTTGCGCACCACCATAAATGAAAACGAAGGGCGGGAAAGAAGAAGAAGAGAGAGAGAGAGAGAGAGAGAGAGTCGTTGTATGAGATACAGGGTTTGAACGAGCCGCCCATGGCAAAGGATACAGCCCGGCATGCTGGGTCACGAACTAATAGTACATGGACGCCACGGAACTTTTCACAGAAGTCCGCCAAGGGGGATTTCTTCGAGGTTGAAGCATCTTGGGTAAGAGATGTGGCAGGTAGAAGATGTGCAACGCTGAATACGGAAGCCGCCAGCCTTCGCCGGCGTATGAGCACTTGGGGTCTGCTTCGAGGAAATTCCAGCGTGACGGAGAAGAAGCAGGAAAGCCGTACCATCAACAAGGGTCACTGGAGTGTGTTGGGATCTTAGGAAGGGAAGGGGGAATAAAAAAAAAACACACTCCCCATTAGCCCGCCCGCCAGGTTGCTTCGTTACGCAGGCATGACTTGCTTTAAGAGCCGACCGAAGACGCCTCGAATACGGTCCGGCCGTTCCTGGGCTGCGGTGAGCACGATGGCTGTGCTGATAGCGAACGCGATTTCCTCGCGCCAGCGGTGCTGCATGCCTGTTAGCATACCCCCCATTTTCGTCGTGATCCGTTTGTGCATGCGCATCAAAAAAACAGAGTACATACCTCGCGCAAGTACCTCCTCGGGAACCAGACGCCAAGGGCCCGAGGAAGCACAAAGAGCATCAGTTCCGCCTGCCTGTGTGCAAGTTCGAGCAGCACGCTCCAGCCGCACAGCAGACAGCCCCCGAGGACGCAGAGCCCGCTGTCATACATTTGCGGCGTTATCGTCTTGCGACTGAAGAGCTTAGGCACCAGACGGGTCCGCGTCAGACAGACACCGTAGTAGAACAGCGCGACGAAGGCGCCCAGAAATGCAGAGCTTCTCGCGGTGTCCACGCTGGCCTTGCGTAGCACATCGAGTCGCCTCACTTTTTGGCTCTGCAGTCTCCTCAGGACAACAAGTGCCTGCAGAGGAGCATAGACGCCGAGTGCAAGCTTCCACGAGCGCCAGAAGCGCCAAAGGGCGTGCTTTTCACAGCTCGGTCCGCAACCATGATGGACGAGTTCACAAGGGACGGGGATCGTCTTTGCCGGGTCACCATACTCCTCAGGCAGATTGTATTCCTTTGCCATGGATCCAAGGAGAGGTGCCATGCCTGTATCTTTACCGTACACGAAGTTTCCGTACCGCGCCTGTCTCAAGGCGTGGATGAGACGTTCATCACATTCGGCGATCCGCCCGATCCATTGCACGTACGTGTAGGGCAGACGGGCCGGCGCGTAGAAGAAAGCGTTCATGATGAGCGCCGATGAAAGGGCGAACAGGATGGGTGAGCTTTTGCCATCCCACCATCGAGCCAATCTCCCTTTCGTCTTCTTGGTTTGCCAGTACCACTGGGCGAGCACGTCGGCCGCGCGTGCGACGGCGAAGAGCGTCAGGTCCATAGTCTTGCCCGCGAGCGGAGCTCCAAGAGCCGCCGCCGAAGGTTTCGAACTGACGGCCTGGGCAGGCAGTGGAGGCAAGCCCGAAGGGATCTTGGATGGCCTCTTGGACCGCGGCTCATCGCCATCGATCAGGACGTCGGAGATCCGCCTCGTAGGTCTGACGAATTTGGGGTTCGACGGACTGTTGAGCAGCCGGAAGCCTACGATGGCTGACAGAACTGCGGCCACAAATCTGGCGGCGACGCGATTGTTGCGCGTCCGAACGAGGCTCTCCCGCCCATGGATCCTTGTGTCCAGCGTTTGGAATACATGATTGATCGGATCGCGCAGCGCCGTCGAACCTCCCACGACAACGGTGCAGAACGCAGGAAATCGGTTCAGGGCGAGTCCTGATGCGAGTGCGTTGCGCACCTGTGGCCAAGATGTTGTCAGCACCGAGGTCTATACAATCACATGCCAGCGGGACATGAGGAAGGCAGATAGTAGGCCGCCGACGAAGTTCTTTACCCCAGTCTTGGCGCACACCCATAATAGATACTTGATCCCTGCAAAGAAGAAGATGCGAAAGTAGAATATCTGCTGTTCGATCGACAGCAGTGACGTACCTGGTTGAGTGCTCTGGCTAGATCTCCATGCTTACGCAAATGTGAGATCAACACGGAGCCAATCTTGGGGAACGTGGTCGATAGGTAAGCAAGCAAGAACGCTGCCGCCGTTCTGTTCTCGTTGTCAGTTCCGATATTGCCCTCCTTCACAATTTGGAATTTTTTTGGGAATTCGATTTTGATCAATGGTGGGGAATGTTTGTTTCTGGGATCCGTCCTGCGGGTTTGTTGGGGGTGGGGCCAGCGCAGTTCACAAATGCAGGAAGGGCGAGGAAGTTTGAGGGACTTTGCTGAAGGTCCAACATTATTTGCTTCCTAAAACCACGCTGTCCTTCTGAAGGGCGCTGTGGACGAATGGCTGGTGTGTGTAGCAAAGCGATGCGGAGTCGCTTAGGCAGGCACACGTTCGCGAGAGCCATGCGTGCATCCAAATGTCTGACGTCGATCGTTTCGTGACAACGTGCTTGTCAGCTGGGAAAGCATGACAAGCAATCACCCTCGGCAGGGAAACCATCCTCTTGCAGCCAGGGGGAGAAGTGTACTACGGCGCGAGACCCGGCGGCCGGTCCGGTCGCGGGGAGGAAAGGGTTATGAGTCGGGGAAACAGCATGGGGAAATGAAGATTGGCAGAAACTACTTACGGCTTCAGAATGTTTCGGCGAACGTTCTTCGGGCGGATCGTCGTCGACGCCATGATTAACGACCGACGTGGAGCCGAGGCCTGGGAGTTGCGAAATCAATCCACGCCCAGAGCAGTGACCGGACAAAGTTCAAGCGTTGACGGTGGTGTGGTCACAACAAGCGACGGGAGGCCGGTGGACGCAACAACAACCGGGTTAGGCGTGCAGACCCGGGGGGAAGGAGACTGTGGACGTCGGCGAGTGTGAGAGAGAATGTGGGTGTGCTTGCTTGAGACAACGTCCGTCGTCTTAACAGCCGCTCTCGCAGACGCCGAAGCAGCACAGATGGTGCTGCGGATATTATTTCGCGCCAAGGGAACACGCAGGGAGGACACGCGAGAGTTTGAGCAGGGAGCGGTAGGGCAGACGCCACGCAGCTTAACGGCCGTGGCAGGAAAATGGAGAAGCCGAACCCTGCCCTGGCCAAGCCTGACGTTCCTTTGAGTCAGCAACCAGAAGGACGAGGATCAGGAGGTCGAGTCGAAGTAGCGTGAGGATGCGGTTAGCAGTGGAGGGCTTGGGCTACGAGGCACAGTGCCGCGCTGGCAGGTAATGTCGAGTGAGTAGGGTCAAGTAACAAGCCTGGGGCGCCGCGCAGGACGCAAGGAGTCTGAGGGCGGGGTCCAGCGGTTGCGATCGATCTCGGCTGATTGGCCGCTTTGGGATGGTGTGGAAGGCGGCAGCGGGCACGAGCCGAGGCTGTGTGCGTTTTGGGGCGAGCACGGCGAGTGCGCGAACAAGGGCCTCCTCTCGCTGGCGGCGGGCGCAGACGCAAGGGACAAACTGCAGCAGACGAGATGAACGGAGGGGCGCGTGGAAGGGGAGTGAAACGGATGTCTGTAGAGAAGACGGATGGAAGTCGCATGGAAGCATTCGAAGGCGAGACGAAGGGAACGGGAGATCTGGGGTGGAAGTCGAGGGCTGGGCGCGACTGTGGGAGAGAAGGCCTGGGTGGTGGAGGGCGTGCGGCGCGCCAACGTTTGGCTCCTCTGGTCTCAAGGAAGAAGCACCGTCTCGGCCAGCCCACGAAGCAGAGCAATCGGCTGACACAATGAACACACGCTCTCTCTCGGATGTCCCTCTCATTTTCTTTCCCTTTTTTTTTCTCTCTCCTGCCCGTCTACGTGCACAAACCGGGAACGCAGGACCGAACGATGCGCCGGGACGGACCACGACAAGCCGAGCCTTGGGGCGCGTCACCAGGCTTCCCGCTGCCAAGGAAAGAGTGGACGCGGAAGCGGGAAGAGGAAAATTATTCGCCGAACGAGACCAACGACGGGCAACGGCGAGGGTCGTCTCTGATGCGGCAAGGCAGGTACCAGCAGCAGGACGTGTGCCGGCCAGCAGAGCCGCAAGCCGCATCGAGAGAGACGCGGCTGGCAAGGCCGGTGGTGCGGAGGAAGACGGTAGTAGCAGGCGAGTACGTAGGAATGCAAGCAACGCAGCGAGTGGCTCGGTCTTCACGTCGGGACACGCGTCTGCGTGTGTATGTGGGTGTTTACAAGACAGAGAGCGAAGGCTGTCCTCGGAAGAGACATGCAGTGTCCGTCTGCCTCTCCGTCCGTCACTCTCCTTCTCTCCTTCTTCCTCTGCTCTCCGTCTGTGTTCATGTGGCTCCCTCTAAGCACGAAGTCCTGGCCAGGCGTCATCGATGGAAGCGCCGGTGCGCTCCGGGCGTGCAGAGGGAGAAGAACTGAAGTCGCATGGGTTAGCAGTGCGTAGGATCCAAGCAATGCACCACCATTAGTCAATGCGACGCATCTAGATGACGGCAGGGCACAGAGAGAGACGGAGAACAACAAAGGTGAGACACGCGTAATTAGGACCTGATCCGCGTTCAGCTGGCTCGGACCAGGAGGGCAGAGTGCAGAGTGCAGAATGCAGCGTGCAGAGTCTGATGCAAACTCGCATGCGTCAGGCTCACGCTCACGCTCACGCTCACGCACACGCACAGAAGCTGGAGCGGATTGATCAAGATGAGGCTGTTTACTGTCGTTGGTGGCGCTGCAGGGGGCGGAGGCGATGCGTGAGGGAAGACCAAGATGGGCGCGCTACTGCCAGGACGACTACCACTACTGCTACTCCTCCGCCTCCCGCTGCTGCTACTACATCCGTCTGCTACTGTAACCGTGAGCCTGCTCCTGCTCGTATCGTTGCGCCTGTTACTGCTGCTCCTTTAATAGCGCGCACGACTGCTACCAGCCATTTCTGGCGTGAAGACGGTTCGGTCACCTGCCGATGCAGGGCGGCGGCGTGGGAAACGGATGGCCGTGTGGTGAGTGTGCCAGGTCCAAGGCCAGTCCCGCCGGGTGCAGGCTCCGATTGGCCGACACTCGCGGCGGGGGGCTCGAGATGCCTCGTGCAAGAGGCGCAAACAGACCCGTTGGATCAAATGAATTAAGTTTAGATGCAGTTAGCGTCCAGACTGGACGACGGCCGACCACTTTCACATGCAACATCAGAAAAAAAAAGTGTCGTGCACGTCCACGCTTCCCAAGACGAATCTTCACAGCCTCGACCGTGCTGAACCGCGACGTCTTGACCTGACCTAACCTGACCTGACGGCGCCGACACTGCGACCCAGAATCGGACTGCTGAACCGACTTGACCGGCACGATTAAGCATTGCTACGGCTGCGGACAGTCAACCCCAGGCGAGCTCGGTTTTGGTTGAGAAAAAGAACGGGGGTTCGAGCGATCAGAGGGCCCAGCTGGTGCGTGCTGTTCGTTTCGTCTGGCTTGCTGCACCGCGTCTTCCCGGTACGGATCCGAACGAAATCACTCGCGCTGCGCTCAACTCCGCCGTTCGCTTCTGCTTCAACCTTGGGTAAGCTGCCCCAAACTCCCCGAAAGCCGTTTTGGACGAGTTCCGCAGAGCCCGGTGGAGGAGGAGGAGGAGGAGGAGGAGGGGGGAGACACACGGGGAACGAACAGGAACCAGAGGCCGAGAGAGGGGGGGGGAGCGAGACAGAGCAGAGAGTTTGTGTGTGCATGTGTGTGTGTGTGAGAGAGAGAGAGAGAGAGTGAGTGAGTGAGTGAGGAAACGAGGGGAGAGAGCGAGGGCGGCAGAGAAGAGAGCGCCGTGGGACGTCAGTGTGCGCGTGGGCGAAAGGACGTCAGTGTCGCTGCTGCTCGGTGCGTGCATGAGCGCGTTGAGTATGGGGTTTGTCGAGCATGTGGTGGAGTGGATGTGTCTGTGTGTCTCTCTCTGGGCCCGTCCTCCGCCTGGCTCGCCCGAGTTCCGCTCCAGCAACGCCCTCTTATGCACCGTTGTATTATGCGCTTTAGCTCAACCTAAACCCAACCCGACCTAACTTCACCCAATCTTACCCTGTCCTGCCTTGCCTTACTGACCTCAACACCACCACCACCGCTCCAAACCCACCGCATTCACCCGCAGACACCCACAAGTATCCGCAAACGGCTAACCCGCGCAGCCGCCAGCTTCAAGCGCTTCTGCTTCTTTGCGCGCGCACGCTTGCAGCACAAAGTCCACGGAAAAACACCCTACCATCGTCTTCTTCGCCTACACGGATCTCTGCCGACCTCAATCCTGTCAGACAATCATTCGAGATCTCCCAAGATTTAACCGTTTCGAACAGCCCCAACCCCAGATCTTCTCTGTCCGGCATACCGTCCCAAGCCTCTTCCAACCCATATACGTACGAACGCGTGCCTTTTCCCGCCGAATTGGGCATGCTGGATGATGCAGTCGACTTTCCGCCGCCGTCGACACTGCCGCTGCACATTCGCTCCCGCTGCTGCATAACCACCAACACCACAACCTCAATCGTCGCCACAGCTACAACCACAGTCGCAGCACCGCTGCGCCCCTCCCTCGCTGCCTGCAGTCGCTAGTACGGGCACGTTCGTTCCGTGCCGCTGCTCGAAATGAACTCGGCTGGCGCTCCACACATTCAACAAGCGGGCCCTTTCGGATGTAAGCGAAGCGCACAAAACAGCTCTTGCCGTCCCAGCCAGATTCCGAGCCACAGCGTGAAGAGTGCGTTTTTACTGACTCTACCGTGCTACCAGACTCCTTCTTCCAGCATGACTCGTCTTCGATACCTGACGCCGACCCCACCGCCACCACAACCACCGCTGCGTCTGCCTCTACCTGCTCCTCGTCTGTCGCTGCTGCTACCACCTCGACCGCCGCTCCGCCTACGCCGGGTCCCTCCCTGCTCAATCACCAGGAAGAGGACTACATCAATACCTTCTTCATGGCCCACGCCGGTCAGGAGATGACGAGCAATTCCTTTGACATCGCCATTCAGCAGGCTTCCGACCAGCTCCAAGGTACCGCCATGACCCAATTCGGCTGGCTCATGACCGAGCAACCGCCAAACTTCATCACTGCCTCTGCTACTCCAAAGCAAACCTCCCACCACCTCGGGCCGTATCAGCATATGGCCCACCACGCGAGTCTCGACTTTGGAAACGGGCACCATCAGCACCACCAGCACCCCCTCCACACACAGCACTTCATGGACAGCAACGACATGCTCAGTGGGGGCGCCGCTGTCGCGAACGACTCCAACAATAACGCCAACATCCACCAGAGCATGCTCGCACAGGGCTCGATGCTGCAACAGCATGGCGGCATGGGCGGTCCCGCGCACATGCAGCCTCCACAGCAGACGCCCTCGCTCGTGTCCGGTCCCAGCACCGAGGCCAGCGACATGATGCACCCCACCGACGCCCTGCAGGGTCTGCCCGTGTCCTCCGCCTCGCTCATGGCCGGCGGTGCAGTCATCCCGCCCACAACTATCCTCCCCCACGAGCTGCGCGACATCCTCAGCGCAAATCCGCTGACAGCGCACGCGCTCGGCAACACGCTATCGGGCCTCGCGCCTCTGGACACCGTCCTGCACGACGTGCACTACGACGGTCCGCACACGGCCCCCGCGCGGCTCGACGAGGCTGCTGACGCGCGCCTGTTCCGCTTCGGGTCCGACTCGCATTTTGGCCTTGACGGCTTCAAGCCTTCGTCCAACTCGGAGCGTCACGAATTCATCGCCCAGCGACTCACCGAGGAGCTTCACATGCTCAAGCCCATAAACCGCAGCAACAACCCTACTCGCGCTTCCTCGCCCGTCGGCGGTGGCCCTGCCGTCGGTCATGCGCGAAAGCGCTCCTCGGCACACCTCGACGGACCCGGCGGCATGAGGACAGATGACGATACTGGTCACCCCGGCAGGCCCAAGAAGCGGCGGAAGGACTCGGCTGACGACGATGTCGGTGGTGACTGCGACGGTGATGACGATCAGGCCGGCGGTGGCGCGGCCCCTGGGAGACGGAAACTGCCCATGTCAGGCAACCTGCGCATGCGCCGCGTCTCCTCTGCAGCCTCTGCCGCCGACGATCCCAACGGCTCTGGTCACGTGTCTGCCAGCCCCTCCAAGCGGCGGCGGTCCTCAGGGCCAGGGGCAGGCGGCAAACCGCCACGCGAGAACCTGACGGAAGAGCAGAAACGCAACAATCACATTCACTCGGAGCAGAAGCGGCGCAACCTGATCAAACGCGGCTTTGACGAGCTTCGCCGGCTCGTCCCGGAGCTGCGCGCTGGTGGCCTCAGCAAGAGCATGGAACTTGTCGAGGTCAGCAACTTCCTCGAGCAGCTTGTCGGCGCGAACAAGGAGCTCCGACGCCGCATGGGCATCGTCAAGCCGGGTTGACAACCTCGCTACCCGGGCGTCCTGCAGAACGCGACGGCGACTGGACGTGTGTCATGTGTACATCCCGTGTTTGCCGTCATCATTGTTGTTGTCATCCTCGCCTTCGTCGCGTCCTGCTCCTATTGCCACTGCTGCTGCTGCTACCACTACTTCTGCAGCCGCTTCTCGTCAACATTATTATCATTGGTCATCAACAATCACATTCCATGTTCTTTTACGCTCCCCATGGCAGAAACGGTTCTTCTTTTTTTTTGGACGGGGATTCACGAACGACCATCTACGAATCATGGATCATGGCATACTCAGCTCGAAGGTTCTATTTTTCTCTCTTCGCTCTTTCTCTCTCTCTCTTTGTGTGTGTGGGTGTGTGCCTCTCTTCTATTCGGAGGTTTTGGGAAGGCGTCTTGGATGACTTTTCTTCGCCTACACATACGACCGGTTTCTCCGTTTACATCTACTTTTTTTAATCCAGCCTTCCTGGCGCGAGAGAGTCTTAGCCGCGCATCGCCAATAAAATCCTCCTCTCCAGGCGCACATGCATCCGTGGGGACGAAGACGTTTCTGCGTCAACACATGGGATTTGCGGACTAATTCACCCAATCCCCCGGCCTGCACATACCGCACTTCCTTGCCTTACAGAGAGTATGTGCCTGGACCTCGTTTTCCACGGGGACCAGATGCGGGATGGGTCTCAAGAGCGCTGGGAGGGCCGCGTATGAGGACGGGGGAAGGAATAAAGGAGGCACAGATATCCTTTTGCCTTCCACTCTTTCTCCCACCTCATTACCGCTTATTCTGTTTTTTTGCTGCCCACCGCTTGTTGGTGAGTTGTGTAGGGAGGCACGAAGAAAGGCATCGACGAACAGTGAAGGAGAGATGGAAAAAGCACACACAAAAGAAAAGGATGAGGATGAAGAAGAACGGAACGAAAAAAAAAGAGGAGAAAAAAAGGAGGCGGGAAGGGGAATGGGGAGAGGGGGAGGTTGCCTTTGGATAGAACAGCACACGCCCCGTTCTGGCCAGCTCCCAACTGTGTACCATAAAGCGTTTTTCTGTTCCCTATCGCTGCTTGCGTTGGCACCGGCTTCGGCTCTTTTATCTTTCTCTCTTGGGTCCTTAGTCTTTTATCTTTCCTCTCACCTGGGCTTTTATCACACGTTGCCACATGGAACCAAAAAGGCGGAGTGGCCGGCCCAAGCGGGGTCCAACAAAAAGAATATATTCCATGTACTCATATTCCCCTCCCTTTTTTCCTCCCCACCCCTCAAATGGGGGACGATTGCCACGATTAAGCTGACTACACATGAGATTAAAGAGAGAGAAAGAGAGAGAGAGAGAGAGAGAGAGAGAGAGAGAGAAAGAAAAACATGAGGGAAAAAATTGGGGGTTTTTTTTTTAACGTGCCGCGAAAAGATACGTAAGAGTTTGGTGCCTACTTTTTCCTCGTTTCCATTTTCTTCCTTTTGTTTTTCTTTTTCCTTCTCCTTCTCGACCTTCCTTTTTTTTTTTTTTTTTTTTCTTTATTATCGCCCTCTCCCTTTCCTTCCTCTTCCTGGGAGGAGGGCTTCTTTTTGTCTTTCTGACGTCGCCGGAAAGACGAGATTCAAGGGCAGATCGTTCACGAGGTCCATGGTCGTATAAACGACGAGAGGGGAGGGATGAGGGTTTCGAGTTCCGGGTGGTGTACATTCTTTGTGCAATTCTCGTGTGGCACTCGCGCACTTGCTTGCATGCACGCACGTGTACACACACACACACACGTATGAGCCTACGTACCATACATACATGACCGATTCCATCCTCCTTTCCTCTCTGACAAAGACGTGAAAACACAAAGGCAAAAAGGACGTGAGACGTAGGCCTTCATCGAGTCGCTGCTGCGCGACGCTCGACAGTAGCAGCTCGCGATGCTCGAGCCAAACATCGGAAAGGAAGCCTTCCCCCCCAACCCCCCTGATAACAAACCCAGCGAATATCTCCCTCTCATAGAAAATGTATCTGATATACGTATGTAGTTGTATGTACATGCACATTCTGCGCGCAATATATGAATGAGAGGGGAAGTACGATGGGGAAAAAAAAAGACACTGAAGTCAGCGAGAAACATATTGTAGGGCAGTTTGAGAGAAAAAGAAATAAGGTAAGGGGAGTGGGTATAACGACTTGGCTAGACCGCACATGAAACGAGAACGATTTGCTATAGGATACAGAGACTTGATTGCCTAGCGGGTGTGAAAAGAAGAGAAAGCGAAGGAGAGAAAGAAAGGGAAGAAAAAGGAGTCTTAAAAAGGCATGGAAAAAGCCACGGCAGGTTTCCATTCAGCGTTCCGTTGGGCTGAGCTGCTCGCCCTCCCGCAAGGCCGCTGCAGAGAAGCTGCCAGGGCTTCTCCGTATCCCCGTTGGCGCGACATCCTCGGTGTCTTCCTCGACAGGCCCTGGGCCAGGGCCGAAGTCAGGCTCTGTGAAGACGGGCTTGCCTGTGGCAGTCGCGCGCCCCGCGATCTCGGCCTCGAGAGTGGTAACTGAAGGCGCCGATTGCGTCGCTTTTGGGTCTAGCGCCTCGCCCTCCAAGCCCTCTTTGGCGCTGCCGCCGAGGACGTGGCTGGACTCGGTCGAGCTGGGCTCCTCGGGCACCGTCTGCAGGCTCTCGCCATGCGGCGACGTCGGCCCACTGAACAAGGATTGCTCAGCAGCGGCCGTCGAGCCAGCTGGCCTTTCCGAGGCCGGGGGGGAGGCCACCTTCTGCGGGAGTGGCACCGCATGCGCTGGCATTTCCCTGTCCGAAAGACGGCGGCCCAGGACCTCTGGCGACTTGAGGTGCTGCACCTCGAGCAGCGAGTTGCGCCGCAATTCTTCGAGCTTTTGCGCGGGGTTCTTTAAACATGTAACACGTTAGCGCTGCGTCACTGGGCCGGTGAGCCAGGCGGGAGGGCTGAGCATGGGCTTCAAAGGAGACGTCAAGATCTCCGTCTGCGCGGGCGCCGTGGGTGTCGTATCGCCACTGCCTTGAACAGCAGTTTCTTTTCCGACTGCAAGAAGAACCACGCTTTCTTCCGACGGCGTAGCGACAGCTTCTTCCGCGAGGACGCCCCTTTCACCTTCTGCCTCGATCTCGTGAAGCACCTTCGTCGTCGGAGACGAATCAGACCTCAGCTTCGACACGCCTTCCGGGCCAGCAGTCACGGTCGCGGACGGACCGCCGACCGCCGTGCTTGTAGACGAGAACGACAGGTCAGACGAGCTTTGCCTGGGCTTCGGACGCGGTCGTAGATGTGGAGGCAACGGTATATCATCCCACGCATTTTTCGCGGGTGGAGGCGGTCGGGGTGGCGAAGGCAGACGAGCAGGCGCAGCCGGCACAGCGGCAGGATGATTTTGCTGTTGATACGCGATGGCAGGAGAAGCAGCAGGATCATGAATATTCGCATTTTCGGGCACAGCCTGTTGCTCGCCCTTGGCGAGGGTTGAAGCAGAAAATGCAGAACGCGAACGATGGAAAGCAACGGGGGTATCAGACGAAAAACCGCATTTAGGACATACCCATTCAGCTTGATCTGGAACACCTTCCGCCGCTGGCAGCTCGCCTGCCTCGTCTCGCTCCTCTCCCCAGAATGTCGGTCGTCGGATCGGTGCGGGTGTGACTGGTAGACTCGGCCTGTCGTCTGCCGATGGGAAATCTGTTATGATCAGACTCTCCCGTCGTCCTGATGGGGACAGGACTTCTGGAGGCTGGTTTGGAGCCCTTGCTCGATGGCGACTTTGCTGAGATTCTAAAACAGCACGAACATATCGTTCAATGCTGGGATTTTCGTCCCAAGCGTTCGCCTGAGGAGAGAAGGGCGCAAAAGTTTCGTCAGCAACTGCACCTGCTTGCGGTAAAACGATCGAGCCTGGCTTCTTTTGGTCTTTCCTTTTACGATCCTCTGGCACCATGTCTTCAGCGAATCTCCTGGTTGCCTTTGGTCGATCGGGGTGTTCGTATTCCCAAGGGAAAATCGGCTTTGGTGGCTCTTCCGGCTTGGGTTTGGACTCTGGAACTTCGTACCACATGTCCTTCGGCGGTTCCGGGTAGGAAGGAGGAGCACGGTACAGGTCTTTGCTCTCGCTAAAGTCGTATTGCACCGATGGGAAATTGGCGGCTTCAGGTCGTGATTCCGCCGGCGGGGCGCCCACTGTAGCGTCCCATTCCAGGTGCGGAGCTGAAAACCTCCGTTGCTGGACTGTGGGAGGAGGCTCTACCCGACCACGCTCTTCGGTATCGTTTCTTGCTTCCGGCTTTGACAAAGGCTGGTCCGCGTGAGGCGAATGCTCATGCGACGTCACTTGGATTGCAGGAGCCGGTGGTGGAGTAGCAGGAGCTTGATGAGGTACTAGTGACGGAGCAATGTCAGTAATGGCCGGTGGCGCAACTCTTTGTTCTGGAGGAACACCGTAGAATTGATCGTGAGTCTCTCCCGTCACGTTCTTCTGTATGACCATCGTCTGCTGTGCGAACGGCCTTTGAGGATCGTATGCCTGTGCAAATTAGTGCTTCCAGCGTTGCAAGTCAGCTGGTGTGGAGCCATACGGGGTTCTTGAGGTGCCGATCATATACGGCCCACCATTGATTGACAAGATCTCCATATACATTGCCCTGCTTGCCTCTAGCCTGCCTGCCTTTCATCCAAGGTTTGTCCTTGCCGATGAAATGCACGGCCTTGATGTTGCTCTTGTAATGCCGGTAGGCTGGCTCCCATTGATACTCGGCGTTGGGCGTACAATTGTAAGTGAAGCTCAGCCTATGCCAGCCACGGTGCTCGAAGTACTGGTTTAGCAAGCCCTGGTCTGCTCCATCGAAGCTGTCTCCCGAAGATGCCAGCGTCTGCAAGGCCCAGAAGTCGCCCATGTTAGGTGATATGACCATCAAGCCGGAGTTGAATGCATCCGGCCATCCTATGTCTGGCGCCGCAGCAAAGGGGGCGTCTATATCAAACAACTCGTCCAGCGCTCGCAGAGCAACAATATCAGCGTCGATGTACACAATCTTGCGAAACTGGGTCTGCCGCCAGAGATTTATCTTTGTAAATGCGTACAGCAAGTCTCCCCGGCCCATAAGGAAGACGTTGCCGGGATTCGGGTTCGCTATGCGTTCTACGGGTATCACGATATCGTACAGGCTCTGCATTGGCTCTTCGTTAGCCGCCATGGGCTTCGGCAATGTTATGGATACAAACAAACCCTCAACTCCGTCACGGCATCTGCTGACAACGATTCGGGTGTTATCATGACAGCCAGCCTCTTCTTCGTTCCATTATCCCGCAAAGAATGGGCGAGAACGGCGGCTCCTGTGGGGCGTGTTAGCTTTTGGCCGAGCTGTGGTTTGATGTCATTGTCACCTGGAAGGTATGCATCGTTCATTACGAGCTGGGGCGCCGCGATTAGCAGAGTTCCTCACAAGGCAAAGTACAGGTGCGTACCGTGCAATACACGTCCTCGCCGCGAACCGCCATCTTGTTTGATGGAGGATGGGTTGAAGGGGAGGAGACACGAAAGAGCGCTCGGCGGAAAGATTGTTTGTATGCTGCAGGGCCCTGCACAATCAAGCTCTGGGCGAGCTTCGGAGGCGGGGAAAGCAAGGATGCCCACTGCGCAACGGGCTCGCGCACGCCTCCAAATTGGCTCACCAGCAGGCCGTCTTACCTCTTTCTTTCCTGGAGACGGTGCAGTCTCGCCGTTGCCAGTCGATCCCATGCCGCCCATATATGCAGCAGCTGGAGTCACGCCACGGAATCAACGAGAGCGCAGCGGCTGCGACCCGCTGTGACGGCAGGACGACGGAGCCGGCGCAGGGAAAAAAAAAAGGCTTTCTCTTGCTCGCAGGCAATTTCCCACGCGCTCACTTGCCGGGGCGCTGCTACAGCCAGAGCCCATGAGCCGTCGAGTTGGCTTCTTGCGTCAAGCTGCAGCGTCTGCACCTCGAGCCTCAGATGACTCCCCAAATACCCCAACTCGGGCGTCACCGTCGTGCTAATCCGCCTCGATCCATGTAGCGCAGTCTGATCACGCTGCCTCTGCTGATCGGTCCATCCTTCTCTCTTCTGGACTAATCCCACGCCTGTGCCGTCTGTCTGGATGTCGCGGCCTGGCTGATCTTTGGCACGGCAGCGGGACGCCCGCAGAGTTCAAGCACGGAGCAACGTTGAGCGCCACAGAACGCTTCTCCAATGTGTTTTTGATACCGCTCGTGACACGCAAGGGTCTGTAGCTAAGGTAAAGGCAAGCTGGGAAAGTCAAAAAAATGAAGGCGTGACAGAAGGTATCCTGTGGACTCGGGTTGGTTGCAGCCGAACCGATGTCTCGCGGCACGAATGCGCTGCACCAACCTCAATCACTCAACACCGCGAGCTTGAAGGCGACTCATCGTTTTTTTTTGGACCTTCTTCTGCTCATCGTAGTTCTGTGGTGCATATGCACGGACAGAAATTCGTGCCGGACGGACGGCCGTGGCCACCAGAACCCCGTTCCGTCATTCCGCTGCCATTGCTTAAGACCTCTGCTGCTGCTCCAGGAAGTTCTACGCTAACAATTATGGCGACGATGTCTCACTCTCTGGAGGCTAGATTATCGTGTTGCACATCACTCCGTGTGCATAGTTCGACCGAACTCATCCTGTGCTCCGCGTTTCTTATCAAGATCTTCGATTCGGCCGTCGGCATCGGCCGAGCTGTGGCTACGTTTAAATCTTAGGCAAAATCCGTAAGATGCTCGCCTTTCCCACCAGCAATCGATTTGTGCAGAAGGCATGAGATCAAAGACTCTACTCACGGCCTTGTGGTCGCTATGCTTTTCCTTTGATGCAACTGGCCATAGCATGCATCGGCGAGATGTTCCACCACAAGATGCATTGTATGCATCATCGGGTCTAACAATCAACTCGGTGCCGTATTCAACACGCGTTCACTGGATGCGCAGAGCAAATGAAGCTCTGTCAGAGCTGGCTTCGCCATGTCCGTTCGCCGCCTTCGGTTCCGTCATCGTAAATCACACCGACACCTCCGGCTTAGGCGAGGAAATATGCATCGGCGCAAATGCCAACTCTGCAGAAGGGAATCCAACGCTGCATGGCGAGATTGCAGCCATTAATAACTGCTCCGAGGTCTTGCAAGGCCCCCGTTTCAACCTTAGTGCTGCAGAGGCCCTCAGCGCCATGAAATCGCTGAGTTTGTACACAAACGCGGAGAGCTGTCCCATGTGTGCCTCAGCGATCAGATGGGCCGGCTTCAGAGAGTATATCTACGGCACTTCGATTGATTATCTGATCGAAAAAGGATGGGGCCAGATACGGATCAGCAGTCTAGAAATCTTCCAGGAAAGCTTTGATCTGCCGAGTCAGGCAAGGTTGATTAGCGATGTGCTTAGGAACGAGACAGACGTCTATTTTGGGTGGCAGTATGATCCTGCCGCACCATGTCCCTCGGGATGTTCGAGGGAAAGGGTGTCGGGGTCATGCATACGGGACTGAAGATGATCGCTTCACTGCAATAAAATATAAAGGAAAAGAAAGAATCACTCTCGGACGAGACTAGGTGTTGATTTTTTTTTAAAAAAAAAATATCTAAACGCGTGGTTTTGTATAAGGATCCGTATGTTGTAAGATTTTGATGCGAATAGTCGAGCGATGGCTCCAAAAGTCAGCACGACGAAGCACAAAGCTAAGTCGCCCACAGACTGCGAGGCGCAAGAAGGGCCCCTTGATCGTTCCACGCTCGATCATACATTATGCATAGTCGTTAGAGCATGAATATTACCAGTGTCATCCAGAAGTCAAAAATGTCCTTAACGAGGTAACATCATTCCGCACCACTGAACTTCCGGACAAACCCTAATGTTGAAATTGAACCCAGGTTACTTCAACAACATCCTTCAAGCTCATATAAAGAGTCTTTTTATCTCCACTCTTTTGGGCTCGCTGACTCGGCCGTACTGCGGACACATGCGGAATATCTCCAAGCTCGTCAATGTGAACCTTCGCACGACGTTTCATTGTGGGAGCACGCGCACATATGTCGACGTTCTTGAAAGAGTCTCAGAAACAGCTAAAGCAAGTAAAGGCAAATCCGTCTTTGATGGTTTCTAGTCTGCAGAGCTTCTTCTCTAATCGATAGAGGATAGAACTACTACGCGTTTTAATGACAGACTGCTTTAGCAACGATCTGGCTAGTCGATCGTCTCAAGATCTTGTTGAAGTGGACTCTAGTGTCTCCGGAGGTGATGTTCATCAGATCACTGAGACAGCGACGAAGTGCTTCGACGGACGCGTACAGACGCAGTAAGCTTCCGAGCAGTACCAAAGGAAACAAATATGCCGGGTTGGATACCAGACCTCTCGGAATCAAAGGGACAGTCAGGGACGCTCACAGCCTGAGCTTCAGCGGCGCAGATTCCATCTCTGTTCGCTCCTTGGACAAGCCAATGTTAGCACCCTATGCACAAAGAAAGGTCAGATAGTAGATTGGAAGTACAAGACGAACCCCGACGTTCGTTTTTCATTCTGCGCTCATGTCGTTTCCCGACATGGTCTGCCTTGCAAACGCGTATGAAGATCCCACGTGTGGAGCATGGATGGAGCTTGGACCACATCCGGTCTGCGCAGGTTGCTGCAGTGATTGGTCCGAAGCCACCGTTTACGCAACATGTCCTCTCACTCTCTCCATCGCTTCTCTGCATCTCGTCTGCTTTTGTGATCAATCCAATTTCTCGAAAACGCTCCCTCGCATACTCTATTCTTCGTTGTCATTCTCTATCCGAACTTTTGGAAGGCTTCCACCTCATATATTAAGTTTAAGAACTCCGATCCAGACGTCACCCCAGTCTCCATAAACCTGGGGATTTACATCCCCACAATCCAGCTTGTCCTCGAAAGCTCTTAACCCATCTTATCTTCCGATCGCATCACATTCGCAAACATGCGCACTTCATCAATACTTCTTGCTCTTCCGGCACTAGCTCTGGCCGAAACCCAGGCACGACTGGGCTTTTTGGACAAGATCAAGGCCGCGTTCGAGACTGCATCCAGCTACATCCCGAGCGCCATCCCCTCCGTCATCCCGGACCCCGTTGATGCTGGTGCAGCAAAAGTGGCAGCGCGTGCGGTTCACCAGCTCACTCTGGACAACTGGGAGAGTACCCTGTCGTCGGAACGATCAGAGAAGAGCACCGGACCTGAGCAATGGATGGTGTATCTCACTGGTGGCAACAAGACATGCTACGGTCTATGCAACGATGCTGATGCTGCTTGGAATGTATGTCGCTCACGTCTGATATGGGAAAAAACGGTGGCTAACTTGGAACAGAAATCAGCAGCGGTGCTTGCTGTATCGCCCGACGGCCCGCATCTTGCCACCGTGGATTGCGAGCAGGAAATGATCCTATGCAATGCATGGGCTGCTGGTCCTCCTTCGATTTATTACTTCCTGATTCCGCAGCCTCTGCCCGATCAAACTAAGCCAGCGACCACCGTTCACTACATTCCTCTCAACAGAACCTCGGTGACTGCTATCGAAATCACCGAGCTGTACACCAAGCAGAAGTACGCAGAAACTGCACCGTATGAAGGCTATTTCCATCCATTTGACAGCCCGCTGGTCAAGTTTGGTGTAATAGTTCCAATGGCCTATGTCATGTGGGGCTTTTCAAAGATGCCAAGCTGGCTGCCTATGGTCTTAGTCTCGTTTCTTTCAAGAACGTTCATGTGAGTGTCAAAACCAATCCCAAAAGCTCGTTGTACTAATAGGATGCATTCAGGGGTCGTCGGCTGCCACAAGCTCAAGGTGGTGCTCAAGGTCGTGGGGCACCTGCACCAGCAGCCCAATAGAAATAACTAGGCCGCGGGCGAGCGCACGAGAAATCACGCTACACCCACGTGACCTTCACGACGACCGTACGACTATGGTGGAAGGGCGCGTCAAGATCGACAAATCTTTGGCGTTTCTGGGGAGCAACATCATCGTATGGCTTGTTTTATGTCTGCGCTGGCGATAAGACAGGCCAACATCTTTTGCCGTCAGGCCATCATGCAGATACCTTAGGACGACTTGAATTAAATTATAATGCTACCTTTTTTTCCACTGCGCACGAGTTCGTACATTCTGTATCCAGTCTCCCCGAAAACTCATCGACCACCTTCAAATGAAAAATCAAACGCTGATGTAATTCAGTTCCTGTGAGCGAACCCTTTCCGAGATCTATACACAATCTGCTCCTCCATTAGGGATCTCTGTTCGGCTTCTAAAAGCATATCAAGAAAGGGAGAATGTCCTGCTAAAGCCACATGTTTTGCTCTAACGGAAAAGCATGGGGTTTCTGGTGAAAAAAAAAATACCTCAAATTGGTGGATACTACCAGGGCGCGGTGAACTGTTCGACGTCCATACCTAGGCCTCTTGTTAAGGCACCAAACTAGCATCATGTCATTACTCTGTCCTCGGCTGTTCTTGTTCTGGTAGCGGTCCTTGACGCGCGTCTCATCCTAGAAATGTTCCGTAATGGTACTTTTCCAACGCAGCACTTCTCCCTGGGCGTGTAGTAGCGTGTCGTAATGTGTCGTGAACTCATCCTTAAAATGTTTTCAATGCCGCTTCGCCGAAGGCGGCGATGGCTCTGCCTCGGAGAATGTCTCAAGACGTTGGATATGCAATGGCTCCTGAAACGTATGGCTCTGGACACCTCCCGGTCCCTTACTAGGAGATAGATGTCCGCACTTTCTCCTTTCCTGGTCGTGTGATAAAGAAAAAATTTCGTGGCATGAATGAAATATATGAATGACTACATTCTGTTAGCTTAATTGTCCATTTTAGAAGGAGTTCTAGGCGTCCACTATGATTGCCTACAGTTCCGCCTGCATGGCAGAAACTCTGGCGCGGACGACCTCCACTGGCACTGGGATATGATCGCTACGAATCTCTTCGAGAAGGTCTGAATTAAGTAGATGTGGGACGATCTCTGGCGGAATCTCTTCGACTGGAAAGTAGATGTCGTCCATCTGCGGAACATGCCAGACATTGTCAAAGTCCCACGGTTTCAGGTAGGCCCTCTGTTGCCACGGCACGTAAGAATTGTAGTCATTTCGACGTGGAATGCCTGGATAGCGGCCATAGCGTCCGTTCTCCGATGCAACGCGCTGGTCGCCTTCCCAACTCATCTCTTCGTGATCCGGCCATGTCACCAGGGGCCGAAAAGGGACAGCAAATGGCAGACCCCAACGCTGCCATATGGTGAGCTGGGAGAGAACAGGGCTCCGTTGAGGGTGGTTCGGATGGTGATCTCCGATCATGTTGGCAAACGCATCGTCGAGACGACTGTTGCCGAAAATTTTGCCGTGGAAGGCTGCCGGCAGGTCCTTTGGCGGATTCTCTAACGTGGCGTAGATTTGCTGGTTCCGGATCCACTTCGCCACGGCTATGTCTTCTGCTATCGCCATCTCAACCACCTGGTGGATGTAACTGCCGAGGCTTCGTGGGACCACCTCGCAAACTTTGCCTGGTGCTCGATGCTCAGGATAGGTTCGCACGATACGCGGCTCTATGCGCTGCCACTGTTTCCGCACACGCTGAAGAAGACCGGGAGCTTCTCGCTCGAGACGTTTGATGATGGGATCAACTCGATCGTGATTGGTGACAGTCAGTCGCCTCATCGTCACCGGCCCTATGACGCTGTAGTTTGACTGAGCGAACACTGAGCCCTCGATGTCTACTTTTGCAGCAATTAAATTTCACTGCTTGTGACCGCAAACGGCTTTTAGACCGGTATATGTAACCTAGAACCATTGAGTTAGCTTCCTGATACACCGTCTGGTCCGTTAGTTCGAGAGCGGACGGTGAGATGTGAGATGTTGGGTTCAGAACTGGTGCAGCCGTCGGCAGATTTTTTGGATAGATTATCACGGGCACAATATGCTGAACTCAAAATCTGCCTAGCCTCTATCATCTACTTCGCAGCTCTGGCCCACACATTTCAAAGACACTTCTCCCCCACAACCCTCCTTTTTTTTTCTCCTTCTACTGCAGCACATCGTGCGGTGGACTTACCGACCCCGTTTGGCAGACGAACAGTGATTTTTAAAAAGAGAACGTATTCACCGCTACGGCGTAACTCGACTTGTCGTTTTTGCTCACGCAGGTCCAAATTTCGATCAAGTTACGTCCGATATCCCGATAAATGTTCCCCCAAGACCTGACCACGCCTCCAAGACCTCGCCCGGCTACGCACAGTCATGAAAGACCCAATTCGTTGTAAGAACTGAAGTTGTATACAACGACAGACTGAATCATGCAATTTCTTCAAATGCCAACGGCAAGGTCTTACTCAGATGTATCTTCTACCAAAAAAAAAAGGGGGGGGAAACGCTTTCTCGAATGCTATGAGTGTTATAGATATGTTTGCCCACGCCCAAAGACGTCAAACTGATGTGACGGTGAGAAAAGCCGGTGAAGGCGTAGCTGCCTTGCTCAATCACCAGAAATTGTCAAGAACAAGCGCAAGGCTTTGAATAAGCACTTGGACCCATCGTCCTCGTGGCAAGCTGACCGAAGGAACACATGACCTAGCGGCCGCGGACGACAGCAGGCACTCTGCATCCGCTCGATCGTCGGCGCCATGTGAAGAACGTATGTTCTGGTCCCGTAGCCATGCCCACCCACCGCCTGAAAGCCACCAGGACGCGCTCGCGCCGCCGCTCAATGGAAAGAGGCCTCCCGACCCGACCGTTGAGAGAAACTCATTGTAATCCCGGTTTCCAGCAAGATCCATTCATCTCCCGTAAGCCACGCCTTCCACCTATCAGCTTCAGTTCTTAGGAAGAGAGAGAGAAAACAACCCTCCGCGTCGTGACGAAGTCTATTGATTCTTTAGCCGTGCATGCCTTAACCCATTCCACTCGTGAATTGGACGGTCGTAACCGTTATCCCGATATCGGCTTCAGATACGGAAAACGGGAAGGGGGGGTGACCCGGCAAAAAGACTAGGACGGCCAAGGACTCCACTTTCAGCGGTGTGGGGAAACGAAACGGGACTTGAAAGGGAAAGAGGGGGAGGGTATACAAAGAAGAGAGAGAGAGAAGTAAGGAAACAAGGAGAGAGGAAATTGAACATGTCCTCCAGAGCGACATGGGCATCGCAGGATGTTCAGGTTCGATTGCGACTCGCTCATTTTTTTGGCGTTTATGTAATCCTACTTCGCGACATGACCACGATCCGAAAATCCGTTTTCACGTCATATAGAGACCGCAGGGACGAAGTGGAAAAAAAAGGGGGGATTTGCTCGGTAGCCTGCGATTGCGGAAAGAGGAGCGCTCAAGAGCATCGGAAGCAAATGACGCCGAAATTTCGCTTCCCTTCCCCTCCCTTGCTTCTTTTTTTCGTTCGTCTTACAACGTCTCCAGAACTCACTAAGGTATGTCACCCCACGTCTCACGCTGCGCCATTGCCTATGATGCCTTCACCAAGGCCCCTGGTACTCCGTCCAACATCCAAGAACAGCGATTCGCATTCCTCGACATCGTTCACGCCAACCTCTCCACGGCCGCCCACCCGTGCAAGTACTTGAGCAGGTGCCAACAGCTGCAGCGCGTACCTCAGACTGACCCTTACTCCTGCCTCACTGACCTTCTGCAGGGCATCCTCGGTAATGGCCAATTTCTCTGTGTCGGCACGCTTCTTGACGATGAGCTTGATCTCGTCCGGGAGGTACGGATGCGTGGGAATGATGAGAAGGCGTGCAAGAAGATCTTGAGGAATGCCATGGGCCGAAGGCGGGATGGAGTCATCATCGGCGCCGCGGATGGGCGTTAACCCACGATTAGAAGCGAGTATTACTATGGGCGAGATGTGTGACTCGAGCGCGCGGGTCAGGAAGCTAAAGGATTCAAGGTCAAGCATGTGGACCTGACGCGGGAGACAGTCAGTCACCTATCTCATCGCGCGCAAAACGTAGTTGAACTGAGAGAGGAAAAGATTGAAAGCATACCTCGTCGATAAAAAGCACACCAGGAACCAGCTCGGCGACACCCTGATCAATATACTTGTTCACAACCTTGTTAATCTCAGCCCGAAGCTTCTCCGTAATTTCTGTTTTCTTCGGCTTCATCAGCTGGCCCATCATGCTCATGACGTCCTGTCCACCCTGCGGCCGTGCATTCGCCACGTCCAGGTCATGTAGTGTCACGTCCTGCACAACCTCCTTTTTCTTGTGCACGTCGCCCTTGGGTACCGGAACGTATTCTTCAGCCTCCAGGTCGAACTCGGTCGCATACGCGTCCGAACGACCCACGCGCTTAACCGCACCCGTGTTGGCTTCAATATAGATGACGTCGCCAAGGCGGACACGCTCTTTCTGAATGGCCTCGTAAATGGATGGGTCTAGGCGTAGCTTTTTGGTACCGCGTGCTGACTTCAGCGTCAGCAGCAAATGTGAGATCGTGCGTCCGTAGCTGCCAAGAGGGTTTTCTGTTTCCTCCGGCGTGAGCTCGGTGACTTCGCCCTCGTAAACTTCCTTCGTCTCCTTGACCCGAAGTCCTGTTGTTCACAAGCATCATGTTGTCAGCAAATGGAAAACGTGCAAGCGCGTTCAGAGAGCTAGAAGAGCTGGATTGAAAAGGTGCGTCGTCGTACCGATTGCCCGTCTAAAGTTCTCCATGAGCGCCTCCGTCTTCTTCACTTCCGCCGAATATATTTCGCTGCCCACAATTGGACAGAATGGCACTTTTGTGCCCAACTCTTGCGACACGGCTAGCGCGAGGGCCGTTTTGCCTGTGCCTGGTCCGCCAGCTAACAGCACAGCCCGTCCAGACATCTTCTTGGCCCGAATCAAATCGACGACGATGCCACATGCCTGATCCTTATGTCAGCAACCCCGTATTTCGTTACTGTTGTCATTATTGCCCATCTCGTCCATCACTTGGGCCTTTGAATGCGTTCGTACCTCTCGCGCGGCCGTCTGGCCCACAAACCCCCCTGCGTTTTTGTCTGCCGTTCCATCTGGCCGTAGACCCAGGCCCTTGATGTGTGAATGTGTCGCCGTCCGATTTTCCCTGCTGTTTCCCTTCACCTCGCTGATCTGTACGCCTGGCGCCATCTTGTGGCGCGACAAGTCCGTTCAAAGTCCCTGAGACTTTCCGATGGACAATAAAAAGAGGCGGGCGCACACGATTTTTCGGTGGCTCAATGGATTTGTGATGTTTCGTGCGTGCGCTGCGTTTTGCTGACGAGGGTGTTGACGTCGTGTCCGAGTTGGAAGAAGCGTGGGCGCAAAAAGTCGATGGAAAGCTTGAAGGCGAACGAAAATGGGCGAGGCGACGCGCTCTGAGCTTTCCAGAGAACAACGACAAGAGGAGCATGGGGAAGCCCCAGCCGCAGCGCACAGATCACGTGCACACTCATCACCACGACCAAAATTGGAATTCGTTATGTGTCCAGAGAGAACGGTAATTGTGTTCTTATGCGAATGATGCTGGGAAGCAATCTGTCATAGAGGAACTCTGGGAATGTCTGGGAACTCTGGAAAGCACATTGTACACGCGACAACGAACCACGTCCATTCAATTTCGCTTCGCTCGACCCCTAAAGCTGCTGAATCTCATACTACAAAGCGCAGTTTTGCAATCAGGAAGCAGGAAGCATGTGTATTGCCCGTTTCCATCATGCGGCATAGAACGCGGAAAGTAGCTTTCCTCCGCAGACGTTCTTCGGCAAAACCGCCGAACTATCTGATCGATACCTCTTCATCTGTTTCTCGTACAAAAAATAAACCACTTGAACCGTCCCCAGTTATAACTACGTAATGGTGTCACAAAATTCTTTCAGCACTCGTCTTTGCGGGCACTGCGCCAGCAGTAATTATACATATTCGTTCGTGGGAAGAAGGGAAATGGGGGAAGGAAAGAAATGAGAAGCCCAGACGACTATAGAGAGTGGGGATCAGAACGGAGAGCGCCTTCGAGCAGGTCGAAAGCGCCATGCCGTCACAAGCAAGCCATCATTCTTCCTCACTCGACTCACTGTCGCCCTCATCTTCGCTCTCATGGTGCTGAGCAATAGGGCTCGCAGACGAGCCGGAAACTCCGCCGCCTTGCAGCTTCTCTTGCAGCTGTTTGATGCGCTCCTCCTGCTCCTGCGCTTTCATCGGCTTGTTCTTGCGGCGTGGACCGCCGACACCTGTGGAACGAGCTTGGTACGTGTCGTCCTCATCGTCGTCAACATAATCTGGGCTAGGTTCGCGCTCGCGCTTTGGAGCAGAGGCTTTTACAAACTCCCAAAGCTTGTAGACGACATCCTCTGGGATCTCATCAATGTCGAGCTCAAGCTCGTCATCTTGGACATTCTACGACATTGGATTAGCATTTGCATTGCGCAAACGTTGGCCTGATCAAGACTTACTGCAAGAGACGGCACGCCATTTCGAATGATCTGGACCGCCTTGCGCATCTTTGCTTCATCCAGATTGGCGATGCCTTCGGACACTTCTCGCTTCTGGTCCAAGGTAAGCTTCTTGGGCTTCGATGCCTTCTTGGGCTTCGACTTTGGAGCGGAGACGGTCTGGCTCTTCGATGCTGCTTTGGGCTTGCTGGAGCTAGCTTTTGCGGATTTGGACTTGGTCGACACCTTTGGCGACATGCGTCGGGTAGGCTGGATAAGCTGTTGAGCCTCGGCAGAGAGTGCCGCGATCTGGGCCTGGATTTCCTGCATGCGGCGAATGTTGGGATCCTCGGGCTCCTCTTCTTCCTCCTCGACATCCTCCTCTTCCTCTTCTGAGGCCGGTTCGGACTGGGGCTGGTTGTCTGCAATCCATTGATCTTTGTTTGCCCACAGCTTGTCGAAAAGCTCCTCCGTTTCCTTGCCCATCTTGAAGACAGCATCGGTAGGAGGATTGAACTTGTAGCAGTTCGCAAAAACAAGCTTGCAGTCCGCATGAACTTCCTTCGCGCTCGAGTACTGTCCGTTCTTGAGGTTGGTCAGGATGGTGCCGAAGTCCATTGGCTTCTTGATGATGCGTAGGTAGTTGGGGATGTTGAGAGCAACCGGGTCAACAGGATACAGGAAAGCGTAGGTAAAGGATTGATGCTTCTTCTTGTGAAGCTCTGCAACAACTGTCTCTGCGAACCGAAGTTCGAGCTGCGCCTTCTTTTTCTTTGGTCGCGCAGAGCTTGCGGGCAAGTCGCGTTTTGGAGGGTGAATCTCCCGCTTGGGACGGTCGTTCTGCGCCGAAGAATCGCGCCGTATGATCGGCATGCCATGCTCGTTCAAAAAGCCGGCTGGCTTCTCAGATGCGGGTGACTTTGCGGTCACTGTGCTAGCTTGACGAGCAGGTCGTGGCGCCTTGGGAGCCGCAGGCTCAGATTTCTTGGGCTTCGACTCAGTAGCTTTTGCAGCCTCGCCTTTCGGCATCATGCTGACACATTTTATGAAGTACGCACGCAGCGATTGTCCTGCTTGTGCAACTGGATGCTGTGGGCCGTTGAAAATCTGCGAGTTCTGCACCATCGTTTCGAAGTCGGTCATCAAGTCGTCCGCCGTACGGTATTTGCCCTGCTTCAACTTCTCTTCCATAGTTTTTAGATCCATCGGGTTCTTGATGATGTCGGGATACGTGGGAATGTTCAATGCAACATAGTCGACAGGAGTAAGGTAAGCCAGCGCACTCTTAGTCTTCTTTGCTTTTCGGATCTGCTCGAGCAAGAACTTTGTTTGCGTTGGGGTGATCGGGTTCGAGTCCAACGGTGGTTGTTTCGGTGCTGGGATGGCGGCTGGCACCGACGTTGATGCCTCTGCGTCAGCCGCAGATGCATTTGTTTGCTCTGGCGCTGATGCCGCCGCGCCGGTAGGTGCAGCTGGTTGTGCAGAGTCCGTAGCCGCTGCACCCTCCTCCGTGCCTTCTGTCTTTGCACGCTTTGCGACTGGTTCTGCCTCCTCGTCCTCTTCGCGCGGGCGCACCTGACCCGCCGTTGCTTGCTCTTGCTGGGTTTGTGTTTGGGTCTTGGCCTCCTGTCCGGGTACTGGTAGCGTCGATACCACTGCAGACACATTCGGAGTTGCTGCTGGCTCAACGGATTCCATTGGCTCGTCCGGTCTCTCCGCTAGGCGGACTGCATCAGTGGAGACGTGCGACTCGGATGCTGCTGGGGCATCCTCGCTGGTGTCCATTTTGTCTTCCACGGGTGCCTCGGTGGCTTCCTGCTGCGGCGCTGCTGGTTTGGTGTTAACCAGAGCTTCGGGCTGGCCTGTCGCAGCTGGTGCAGCTTCAGCAGCAGGCTTCGACATGTCTGTAGGAAGCGGCTCGTCACGCACGTCAGACGTCGATGCAGCGACCGCAGGTGGTTCTGTCGTTGTGGACAGCATATCGGTGGCCGGGACTGTCGAATCTGTTGCGCTGGCTGGTACGAAATCTGCAACACCAGACATACCAGCTTCGACGTGCTCTACAGGTGCAGTGGAGGTGTCCTCGGCCGCGACCACGACTTTTGTGGCGCCAGCACTTTCCTGGGACGTGGAGTTCTCTGACGTGCCGTTGCTCATACCGTTCTGGGCCGCGGAGGCGTCAAAAAGTGCGTCGTGGTGGTTCGTGTTTCTGGCTGATATTAGTACGGACCGGATGCTTTGGGAATGAAAGATGACGTACCCGTTGAGTTGGGTCTTTTCGGACAGTTGAGACGTGTCCGGTAGTTGTTGTGCCTTCTCTGGTAAGGCGGGGGGTACAGCGGGGGTATCTGAAGCCATGACAGCCATGTGTGGGGAGCGTCAGCGCACTCAGCAAGACATTCGAGTGATGCGAATCGATGCGCGACGGGTGCGCAGTCCGTTGCGGATAAGTTTTGGTGATGCGCAGCGGGCGGCGGTCGCGTCGCGACACAGGTTGCAGGTGGCAGCTGCGCGCCGGAACAGCCAAGCGGTGGGAAAGGTGACTTATGTAGATGCGCGGTGGCGATAGCGAGGCGCAGCTGGGACGGTCGCGATGACTCGACGGCGATGTGCAGACGCCGGCAAAGGTGGGAGGTTGGAAGTTGGCGGCGAGGAATCGCGGTGGGTAGACAAAAGCTCTGGAAGGGCCAGCGCACGTGACTCGCTCAAGGTGCGGAAGCTGCACGTCGCGACGCAGCGTTCAGATCGCGTGCAGGCGCGTCGAGAAAGCAACAAAATAGAGGCCCCGGAGCAAACGGGCCAAGAGATAAAACGTACGAGTCAACTAGCAAAAGTCACTCGCAGCGATCGGCCGGGGGACAGTGGTTTCCAAAAAGAGATTTTCTTTTTTCTTCGCCGCGAAGGAAGAGAGCAGCAGCGCGCGGTGGTTGGGAAGCGAAGCGCGCGGGACGAATGTGCGGCTGCCGGGGCGTTGGACGGGCGAGGTCAGGTGACGGGCGAGGGGCCGTGCGGAGGGCGGGCGTGGCGGTGTGAGGCAGAGGGAAGCGTGAGCGTGCGAGTGCGAGTGCGTGTGCGTGAGCGAGAGCGGGTGCGGTGGGAAAACTGAGCGTCTTATGATTTCGTGCGAGTGCGGACCCGAACACGCTTTATGGAAAAATCCTCACGGCTCAGGCTCCAACCCGGCCCCGTCCAAGGCTGCAATCTGTCTCTTTCGCCAGCCAATCACCGCCCGTTTCCGCGGGACCCGCCCTGCCCGTACGTGGTCAAGGCGTTCCCGTGTGGAAAAAAAAGTTTTGATGCTGTTCCTCTGCTACGTCTGCTGCTACTGCTGCCACCGCTTCTGCTGCCCCTTCTTCCCAAGCCCAGTGCGTCGACGTTTCTTCCTTGGTCTATGCCTTTGTCGCCGCCCGCTGCAAACCATTGAGCGCCACATCGCCCGCTGCACGCCCCGCAGCTCTGTGACGGAGTAGTTGCGTGCCTCAACAGTGCGACTGAGTGCCTCAGCCCGTCTCCAGCACGGCCGCCTGCACCGGTCACGAAACCCTCACCATGGCCAAGTCAAGAGCCCGGCCAGCTGCAGCAGAGGATTCGGCCGTTCCGCCGCCGGCAAAGCGACGAAAACCTCTTCCCGACGCTCGCTCCACCGGCTTTGAAGACATCCTGCTTAGCAACAAGAAGGCCGGCAAGAAGCTGGCCCCTGCCCACACAACCAAATCGAGACCCTCGGACGCATCGCGCGTCAACGATGAGGGCGCAGTCGTCAACACACCCAATGGCAATGCGGACGTTATCCGGTCAAGACCGCAGAAGCCAAATGTCGACACCATCAGCATCTCGAGCGACGATTCCAGCGACGATTTCGACCTTGACGAGGACAGGGACGGAGAGCAGGACAATATCACACGCGCACATGCGAAGGTCGAAGGCGCTCCGAATGGCGTCGAACACAATGACGATGGCAAACACAGCGAAGATGAAGACGCTGCTGACGTTGCTGACAACATTTCTGCTGACGAAAATGACGGTGACGAAGCCACCTTCGGCGAGCGATTAGCAGCGCAACAAGCAGAACCGATCGACGTCGAGGCAGCCCTTATCCCAATGGAGGGCGAGGCCACCGACAAAACGTCGAAGGTGAGACAGCTCATACCCACCGGTGCAACATTCAGCACTGTTCTCACCCAGGCTCTGCGCACAAATGACACCACTTTGTTGGAGTCCTGCTTCGAGACGCATGATCTCGAGAGCGTTCGCAATACCTTGTCCAGAATAGACTCCACACTTGTCATCGGGCTCATGACCAAAATCGCAGAGAAGATCTCCAGAAGGCCAGGTCGGCTGGGAAACTTGATGGTGTGGATACAGTGGATCATCATCGCGCACGGCGGCTACCTTGCTGGACAGCCCGACGTTGTGAAGCAGTTAGCCGTGCTGCAGAGAGTCATCAAGGCGCGCGCAGACGGGCTGCAGCCACTCCTGCAATTGAAGGGCAAGCTCGACATGCTCTCCGCACAGCTGGACCTGCGACGGGACATTCTGGAGCGAAATGCACGCAACGAGGAAGAGGAGGTCACCATCTACGTCGAAGGCGAAGAGGACGACAACATGGAAGTATCCGATGAAGAGTCCGAGGGTTCTGCCGGTGAACAGAGGCTTCTTCTGAAGGGCTTCGGCGGTGCAGACGCCAGCGACTCGGACGAAGAAGATGCAGAAATGGGCGTCTTCAGCAACGGCATCGTCAAGGGTGATGCTGAATCATCGGGCGACAGTGACGCGGAGGAAGGCCTTTTTGACGACGAGGCTGAGGAAACCGATGATGACGAAGAGTCCGAATCTGACGATGAGGCGGCCTCAGACGAGGAGGACAGCGACTAGGCTAACGAACATGCCATGCTTGGGTGTCTGTGTGAAGGAATCGTGCATCTGAACAGACGAGCATACAGCCTCGACAAACCTTTGTACAAAGCAACTTTTCTGACTCGTTAATGCAAGCATGGATTCCTGACCAGGAGAATGCGCTGGTTCACGTGCATGGTGTTGTTTGGAACAAAACAACAAGCTGGGCATGACTGTTGATCTTTCAAGCATATGGGAAAAGGCAAATCATCCTTGGGTAGATTATATTTTAGACAAGAGTCTAATTCAGACCATCGTCTCATCCTTCCCATAAGCAGTCCCATTTTGCAGACATACATGAAAAGTAGCCCTCTCTCAGCGTTTGTGCATTACGTCAGCCTAACTCGTAGACATTCCTAGCCCTAGTCCGGTGACGAGCCCTAACTACACCTCTGCAGGCGGAAAAAAACGAAAAGAAGAGAGAGAGAGAAACCATCTCGGGTGGTATTCCTTGCTCGCTGCTATCCGGAGTCAGGACGAGGACAAGTTGTCGCCAAAATGGCACAGCACGGGCCAAAGCAGTCGCTTCACACAGGACGTAGTACGACATGTTTCGTTCTTTGTAGTTCAAGGACAGGAAAGGGAGAAGGGGGTGGGGAAAGGAAATTTTTTTTAAAAAAAAAATTTAAAAAATAAATAAATAAAAAATCAAATAAAAAAAGCCGGTTCATCTTCTATCGCGTCTCTCCCAACCTTACCTCGTCCTGCGGCACAATAAAACTAGGGCGAGATGCCCGTTTCGTTCTAGAAGGTCTTCCCGTGCGCTTGCGTGGAGTACGACCACGGCTCCCACCGAGCCCTTTCGACGTCGTCAGTCCAGACCGGGCAAAAAAAGGGACGATTTGGGGAGGAGGGGGTTTTTGCGTGAGAGTTATTTATTTTTTTTCTGGTTCGTGCCGGTTCAACCACAGGTCTACCGGGCACATCCGTCGCGATCAGCCCGGGGCGAGAACAAACTCCCCCTCCCTCCAAAATGTAACTCCCGGCACGATTGGCTCGACGCGAGGGGCACTAGGAAAAATTAAAGGCATAGTCCCCCTCGAGACGACGGCACCGCTTTGTCTTCTGCGATCCTTTCGTCGTCGTCGTCATCGTCGTCTTTTGTTCTCACCCTGTCCTTTCCACCTTCTCCAGCTCGTTTCCCGCCCGACCCTTTGCAACGGTCCAGACGCCTTTCGCGGTGCGGGCGAATGGGACTATGACTTTGGACACGGCGCTGACGGACAGTATTCCGGTTGGAATCGGCTTCCCGGTAGCACCAATCGCCTAGGTTGCGCGTATCAGGACCGCTTCGTGCGCCTGAGGCGGAGGCAGACTTTGACAGTCGAGGAACGGCGTCAGTGAGCACAGCGACTCGCGGAGTCGCTCGCTTCAGGTTACATCCTTCCGTCGCCCGTCGACTTTGACCCAGTACATAAAAGAATCCCGTCCACGTAACTCGACCAGGCCTTTTTCCTGCTCGCAGCCGACGAAGGCGTGCACGTCTTCAAAGCAACAACACAAAACCAGCCTTCGGAGGACCCGCCATTTCACCTTCTGTCCCTTCGTTGGCAGGGACCTTGGCTGCTCGCTTCGCAATGCATCTACCTTCGCTCCTCACTTTGGTCCTCGCTGCCACCGGCGTCGCGGGCCAGTGGCGCATGAAGCGTGGCCAGGCCGCCTCGGGGCTCGTCCACCGTGTCGGCAAGCCCAGGTCATTGGACTCTCATCTCATCATGGCTCATCAGGCGTTGGCCAAAAGCCCGCGCGCCAATGCCGTCGTGGCCTTCTACGAGGGCCCGCTGTGCCAGGGCGTGCCCGTCTACCTTCATGCCCGGAACCTCACCTGCTATGGCCCCGTTCGCGACGACGTCACATTCACGCTGCTGGCCGCCGACCCGGACTGTCAAGGTGAGTTTCGTTTCTAACCGTCGTCGACGTCGTCATTATTGTTGTGCGTTTGCGCGGTGCGCTAACTAAAACCTGCTTGGTAGTCATGATTCGCCGTCATCCTTGTGGGGTTGACCGCGATGCTACGATCATGGACACCGACGGCTCTTGCTACGCTGGAAGCTCCGATCCAAAAGGTTTGGATGTCTGGGTCCAGTGCGGAGTGCCGTCCGCTATACAGGCCCCTCCTCCAGCACCGAAGAGTACGTCCACTTATTCCTTCTCGAATGATGGCTTCATGGGACCAAAGATCTCATCTTATGGTGGATGAGAGACTCTCGTGTTTTGACGTCTCACAAGACGATGTTCGAACACACGCTTTGGGAGGGTTGCAGGCAGCATATTGTGGACCACGTGAATCGACCATTTACACAATGACAACAGTACCAAACACACAGGACGATCAATGTCTGGTAGCGGATGGCTGGACCTGCCCAGCTTTTAGCGATAGCATAAAATGACGTACTGCTACTAAGCTTCGTGGACGAAGTGCAGCCATTTCGACGTGTTTTACCCTTTTTCTTCTTTTTCAAATGCTCATGCTGTTTCGAACACTGAATGTTGCAGTGATTAAAGTCCCCCCTGTAACATACACCAAGATTTCAAAACCGGACATGAGGAGTTGAATGAAACTTCCGTTTTCTGACCGAGGCGCAAAGGGAAGGAGGATCAGCTTGCGCACGAGGTTGTCGTGGGCCATGACCCGACCAGCCCAAGCTCTTCCCCAAACAAGGCGTGATCGGCAACAAATTGCCTTGCACGTCCAAATCTGCCTCATCGTAAGCATGGTGCATCACCGCATGTAGTCCACGACCGCCAACTTCCAGCGGATCGACATGAGCGTGTTAGCAATCACAGAAGGCCCCACGAATCATGGGGTAAGGGAGAAGCAAAAGACTCTGACTCCCTTTCTAGGTAGAAAAAAGTACGCATTTCATTACTTTGATCTAGTCTTCCCTGTATTCGTCTAACGTTAAAAAAGGGGGCCTCGCCCAAGACCCTCCCCAAGAGATACGAACGTGCGATGCTGACTGTAGCCTTTCCGAGAACACCGAACGAGAAACAATGCCGAGCGTGGTTTGCATGCTCTTTACGCTTCATGTCATGCGCAACGGGATTCTTGCATGAGGATGAACACGATCCCGGAACGGGAGCCAAGAATTTGCGACTCCCCGTGTCGTGATATCTAGATCTCCAGGCCATGCAACCGCTCAAACCACGGCTTCATCTCGTCCCGGCAGCTGCGGTCAGGCGAATCGCACTCGGCAAAACTGATGACGAAGTTGCCGTTTTCGTATACTCCATTGTCCGTGGCGGCGCGCTTGTCCTTCTCGGAATAGGCACACAGCATATGCTGCGGGACCAAAGCGAGCTTCGCGAGGATCGTACCGTGCCACCTGTTCCGTGCTGTTAGTTCAATGGTCGACGCGAGCGTGTGCCTTGTATTTTTTTTGGTTCTGCACTTACTGCACGATGTGCTCCAGCGCGTGACGCTCGGCCTTCTGGAAATTGTACGTTCTGTAGAGCGGGTCGAACCATGCGTCCAAGAAGAACTTCGCCCAGTCCCCGTTGCGCAGAACGAAACTGCGAACGCTCAGTCCTTCCCTGTCCTGAACGAGAAGCAGGTCGACCAGATCGCCCGGCTGGTCTCGTGTTGTCCTAATGACACTATCTGGGGGGACCACAGGGATATCAGTTATTGCCAGCGACTCGATGCGTTGCTTGTTGGTTAGGTGCTCCTCAACTGACAATGACGGATTCGCGATCAGTGTGCGGTCGTCAAGGAAGAGGAAGAACGGCGTTCGTGGAAATACGGTCATTGCATGACGTAAAGCTGGAACTTTCGCCCAGCTTTTAGGAGAGTCGCCAACGTTATACTCGGTCGCCTGCGGCATGAATGTCGCATAGCCTATGAGGATGTCAATTCTTGCGTAGCCAGTCTTTTGCTGCAGATATCTTACCGTGCTTCTCTGCATACTCTTGTCTATTCTGTTTGACAGCCGTGTTGTAGACCTGCCCCTTCTCGTCGTCCAGTACGGTCACTATCACCACATTCGGCTCTCCTGATGGAGCCTTCGTAAACACTGGTGCAACAGGTATGCTGCTTATCTCCGTGGATGATGACGAGAATAACCATGAAAGCACCAAATACAGCAAGCCCAGGGCCAATGCGGCTGTTAACAACGTACGCAATCTGACACGTCGTCGTATTGTGTGTAATATTGACGAACGGCTTTGTCTCGGTGTGAAAGAAGTGGGATGTGAGGATTTACGCCCGGGGTAAGCGTAATGCATTGTGTAGAGGGAAGACTACTCCTTCAAGAGTAAGAGTGAAGCTGAGCGAAGGTTTATGACAAGGTGGAAAGCAGACAGTTGAAGGGGGGCCCGTATCACTTCAAGAATCGACTGAAGCGTTTAGACACTAGTAAGAGACTCTTCGTCATTAGAGTCTGCGTCATGAAGAACTGGGGAACGATGATAATGCAAATGTCGAGTCCAGGGATGGCTCTCCAACTTACGGTGTTGTCTTTGCGCGTGTCGTGTGATTGGTGCGGAGCAGAAAGTGGGTCGCCACCTATCTCCTTTCGACATATGCTTCGAGAACTGTTCAAAATTAACATATCAACATTGTTGCGATACTTTTAAATGGAGCGAATTGTACTTCGCTATGAGTTTTCAGATTTCGTCTGTCTTTGTTTTCTGTAATTCACTAACTATAAAGGACGGATCCCCTTGCTCGTCATAATGAAAGCGATGCGCGACTCGCTGGCTGGCGTGCGATATGGCAGTAGCTATATCTTCATATCAACTCTGGTGCTTGGAGAATTCAACCGTATGTCTGCGACCATACTTCACTCATGCTTGATCTCACATACTGAAAGAGGAGGTTGGGCAGATACTTCGTGATATCCACTATGACGTCTAGATGAGCGCAGATCGTACAGGGGAATGCTTATCACGCCTGCAGAGTTGAAAGAGTTCTGTTCTTGCAGTCATTGAACACGTACTAGATATATGTAAATTCCACATTTCTTTATTTGAATCTCCCCCTCTACCGAAAATGGTCCAATCCGTACTCCAGCTCAAGTGCAGCTGCAACAATTATCCTTGGGGAAAGCAAGGCTGGGATTCAATTGCGGCGACACTTTGTTCGCAAACGCCAGGAACAGACTTTAAAGTTGACGTCAACAAAACCTATTCTGAGATGTGGATGGGGACATATCCTAACTTGCCTTCTTATGTTCTGGAGTCGGGGGAGAGTCTCCAAGATGTTATCAACGCTTATCCAGACCAGCTGTTAGGCAACGCTGTGTTCCAGAAATTTGGTCTGAATCTCCCGTTCCTCCCCAAAATTTTGTCCATAGCGAAGGCTCTGCCTTTACAACTCCATCCTGTACGTGAAGCCTAAGCTCTCTAGGAGAGTCTGACTCATGCATCTCATCAGAATAGAACACTTGCTTCAGAACTCCACCGCCGGAGCCCAGAGCAGTTCACAGATCCCAACCACAAGCCCGAGATAGCCATAGCGCTTGGGACATTTGAGGCCTTCGTAGGCTGGAAGCCGCTTGAGGACGTTGACGAATTGTTGCAGCTAGAGCCTCTTAAGCAGTTTATGCCGCCAGCAAGAAAGCCAGCGTTCGATGACCAGATGCTCAAGGGCGTTTGCGAATTGATGTTAAAGGCAGACGAAGAAACTGTTGCAAGAGTAGGACAGAGATTGCAAGAGCTGCCGAAGGCCATGTTCAAGGAGAAGCACAGGTACATTCAAGAGATGATACCCAGGTTGTGGTCACAGTATGACAAAACGGTATAGTGCCATGTCTTTCAAAGCTTGTCACAGGAAGGTAGTCTTATCGCATGCAGGATAACGGCATTCTCGTCTCCGTCATACTGATGAACTACATGAAATTGTCTGCCGGAGAAGGTATTTACATCCCTGCTGACAGTATCCATGCTTACTTGTCCGGCGACATCATCGAATGCATGGCCAGCTCGAACAACGTACTCAGTACAGGGTTTTGCCCTCGCGCCGATAGAGACAACATCGACACCTTTCTTGAAACACTGAGCTTTATCACGCATAGCGTCGACGAAGCAAGGCTGGAACCTCAAATATTCAAAAGGTCCAGAAGTGGCAAGACCAAAGTATATGAACCGACAATCAGCGAGTTTAGTTTGTTGGCCACGGAGCTTAGCAGTGAAGAGAGCGACTTCATCGAAAAATTAGACGGCCCGAGTATAATGATTGTCACAAGAGGGCGTGGTATCATGAAAACCGGAGAGTATGACTACGAGCTAAAGGAAGGATTTGTTTTCTGTATAGGAGCAGGAGTCGCAACCGAGTATATTGCAGTAAGCGACTTGCAATTGTTCAGAGCGTACACAGAATAACTTGAGCAACGCATCTGGAGTCAAATGTCAAAAAGTTTCCGAGAGATGAGATACAATGCTCTATTTTCCCTCAAAAACGCAAGTAAAACCGACTAGAAACTAGCATCTGAGATGCTACCAATTCGTTCGGATTTTTTCCCTGTCAGAGTGTCCATGCGTACCCACAGCCATAGCGATACTGGTTAAAGAGGCATCTCAACGCATCTATGCAAAAAGAGCAGCAAGAAGCCCAGCGACACCAGCAATTCCGAACACTTTGACCTTCTCGGCAGCGCCAGAAGAGGTGGAAGACGTGCTTGATGAAGTTGTGGTTGAAGCTGTTGAAGAGCCCGAGGTGGAGCTAGCTGTTGTCGTGGCGGAGGAAGAGCCGGAGGACGCCGTACCGGAAGCAGCACCGCTAGCAGAAGCTGAAGCAGAGCTTGACGAGGAGTCGGTCCCGAAGGCACTTGCATCGCCGACGATGCCTCCTTGAACGTTAGATGGAGACTGCGAGCGGCCGGAGGAGCTAGCAGCTTGCGTGTAGGCTTCAAGGGTGTCGCCTGATGAAGGTGGATTGATGACCATGGTCATGCCGGACTGACAGTGCCGCGCATAGCCACAGAAGATCCAGATGGGATCCGTGCTGTTGATCTTTACGGAGAATGCACCCTGGGACGTGCAGGTCAGCGATACGCAAGGCAGGAACAAAGCGGATACGGCCATACCGAGCTGAGTGTGCCAGAGTTGATAGCAGTGTTGCTGGTGGAGCTGCACGGCGAGCTGAAATCGGATTGGACAACTGAATGCGTGCCATGGAAGTTGAATTGGACAATGTCACCGTCCTTTGCGGTCACGCTGTTGGGACTGAAAACATCTCCGGACGAACCGACGTCAACAGTGATGACATCGGCAAGAGCACTCGATGCTAAAGCAAGAAATGACAAGGACTTGATCTGAACCATTATGAGCAAGAATTGTTAAGCTTGTCTATGTGCGGATGCAAGAATGCCAAGCAACAGGCTAAAATTTTAGCGAAGAGAAGGTTAGAGCAAGATTGAGAAGGAATAGTGAGAGGCCACAGGAGTTGATATAATACCTCGTCAAGGAACGATCTCCCCTATCAAGTCTAAGCCTAACGGCCCCAAGTAAGCACAAGGTCAGGTAAACCCTGGTCATAAAGAAGTATGGCAGCCGAATTTCAAAGCAGGATGAGCAGCGCCTGAAGCACCGTGCAGATACATCACTTGTGGTAGATCAGAGCGCGCTATCGTCCAAGCGCGCTGTTTGAAGGACAGCTTGAGTGAAACCCGAGCAGACCGTGATTGGGTGCGGAGTATGTGGCTTTCTTAGTGGAAATTATGATTAGAACAAAGTAGCTCTGGGCTCGCATTAGCTTGGCGTGCCTGAGGACTAGCCCTGGAGGTTTTACGAGACTTTGTCAGCAAGAATACGGTCCAATCCGACACATGACGGGCACAGTCGTGGACGCTTGTAGACGAACAGCCTGATGGTGCTCATGTTTGATTGTTCCCCTGACCCGGGAGCTCCCTGTTTCGGACGCCCAAAATAGTAATCTCAGCAGCCACCCCAAAACACGCTAGAAGGCTTGGAAGCTGACTGTGATTCGGCATTTTTCACTATACGGCGTGGAATTAAGCTCATACTGCATACAACGTCGGAGGGTTGTCGTCAGCTTGTGCGAGGTGATGCAGAATGTCTTTTTCGAATGAACATCGGCGCCATGCATTGTCCGTAAAACCAAAGCGACGTCGAGAACTTCCGCTCAGGACTTTCAGGCTTCACGATCTTCGACCTTATTAGATGTCATTCAAAATTTAAGCGACTCAAAATTCTATTCAGTTCAATAAATAAAAGGGCACGTGTGTGAAAAGCAGACAAATATCCACTCCGTTAGTTGATATGTAGAAGCAAAACCAAAATAAAGCCATGTGGGCTTAAACTCTAGTTGAAAGAGCTAAATACACAATGATGAGTTCAACCCCTATACATTGAATCTCCGCACTACGCCTAGGCTTCGCTTTTAAGGTTTTCGTCAGAGCCATTGCTCCAGAATGTACGTCCATAACCAATGATGCAGTAAGCCTGATGCCCCAAGCGCTCTACTGCAGTCTCTTCCGTCCAACAATTTTTAGACACACTGGCGTCGGAATGTCAAGACAGATCAGCACACGGTATAGATTCGGCCTCAAGAACATCAAATGGCTCTGCTGGTAGCGCAACGTGCATGAACAAGTCACCTCTGCTGCGGTGCCGTTGTGCGAATACTGCGACCCGACCCCCGGAACCAATAAGGATTCGAGCAAGGGCCAGGGGGGTGAGCACGAGCGCTTTGACGGATCCCCAATGTTGTTTGCTGCTGTGCCTGATCCTGTGGTGAGACGTCGTTGTGAGCCAGTGAACAGCCGAACAAAGACCGCTGGGTTCTTCTCTGGGCTGGAATCGAGGCGATCCGTTGCATCTATTCCAACATGCTCCCTCCCATTAGCCCCAACGTCCTTGAAAACAATCCTAAGTTCAAGGCCTTGTACACGAATCTTGCAGGCTCGAGGTTGAATGCCGATGGGTCAACACGTCTCATCAAGCAGCAGAGGGCGCAAGCCGAATTAGAGAAGGTACACGTGAAGCTGATCAGGTCTTCATCTGTGCTGCAGCACTGACTGTTCTTTGAATAGCAACTTGTCACCGCGCGGCGGGATGCAGCCCAACGCACACTCCTCAAGGATGCTCTTCGAGCCGTAAGCCTACGTATGAATGATCTTCCTCCGGAGGTAAATACCTTGCATGGGTGCTGATCGTTATGGAATCCGCTGATTGTTATACCAGTTGATCGAAACCTGCCACATCATCTCTGCACAGCTAGAGGATGCGCTGTCACCGTCTGATTTAGATATTCTGACCGATGACATTGATTATTTTGTGGTACGACCCACTTTCTCATCAGTTGACATCCAAAGTCTCACTTGTTAGTCGCACATTAAACCAGTTGCATCCGAAGTATCGAAGCAACTGGAGGATTCAGCACTTCTTCTTGCCAAACTGGCTCTCGCAGACGTGAACATCTCTCAAGATGCACAAGCTCTTTCTCAACTCACTACTCACGCTTCGGCCCTTCAAGAGACTATTGCGAACCAGACTGCGAGCATATCACTTACGAGGACCCGAATCACAGAGCTAGGCGACCAGATCCATGCGGCATACCGCGATCTGTTTGAAACCTCCATTCGAATCATCGAACAAACGATCCATGGAAGTATCTCTCGTGGTACGAAGGCGAAAGCAGAGCACCTTGCTGTTGTCGCCAAGGGAATGGAGCTCAAGCTGCAAATATTAGCCCAAACAGACTCCATACTCACAGATCCCGCTCTGCAATCTGACTTGGAGGAATACAAGTCACGTCTGGAAAATGCGGATGCTGATCTTTCGTCACGTGCAGCTGCAGCTGAAAAAGCACTTTCAGAATATGAGAGAGCTGGAAAGGGCATGACTGAAATTGCCAAACGATATGCGGACTTGATGAAAGCATGCGACGGAGTTCGAGATGAGATTCAGAAACTGGAGTCAAGAAGCTCGGACGTGGACTGAACAGCACCTGAAAATTCTTCATTACCGAGCTTCCCTTCCCCCACTTGTCATGGCATAAAAGGTCTTCTACGGTATTAAAAGGGGGCGCCATAACGTTAATCAATGGAATATTCCGAAGCAACGCTACGCGGTTCTCTTTGCAACCAATGCTGACTTCCTTGACTCCGGTGTTGCCCTATTGCCAACATGTGTTCCAAAGAGTCATCGCTCCCGCGTTCTATCCATGTTGTTCTCATCGGCGGATACTTTGACTGCTCAGTACTAGCACTGGTCATCGTCACCTGGTCAGCCGGTACAACCTTACGCTCCACCTCTTTAGTGACTACAATGCCGCCACCATCCAATGATGGCCGACCAGATCCTCCAGCATTTGCAGATATTTTGGTACGCATGTTGACTTTCTTAGCCCTCTGTGGGTATACAACAGGGAATTCTGCATCTCCCTTCACTCGTATGGGGCGAAGAGCCGGATGTAGCTCGTTAAACTCCTCGACTGCCTCCTTTTCATCTGCCCGCCTTGCTCTGGCTGGCTCTTCCACGTAAGCCGGAAATTGCATCTCATGGCTTTCTAGGTTCGTCTTCTCCTGCTTCGCATAATGGCGACCGTAATATGAGGGGTCACTTGAGTGATTGTGCACCTGTCCCTTGAAGAGAATTTTAAACGGCGCCAAGTTGCATACAATGCAGGCAACGCTAGCTTCAATCGCCGACCAAATGTTCAACCACGATATCTCCGGCTGTCTATGTTCTTTGTTTGTGAAAATGACCCTCATAATTGCGAAGAAGATTATCAAACCACCTAGTGAAAAAACACTGATAAGCGCCAGGCGAGTCTTTAGTGGTAACTTGACTCTCCAGGCCAGCGACATTGGGAGCGCCATGATTAAGAGATCTGTGAGGATATCGACGGATGTGCTAAACCTTAAGGAAACCAATGCAAGCCGCACGTTTCTCGGAGTAGTGCATCCAACTACAAAAGTGTTAGCTTCAACATGCCAATAGCAAACTCTGGCTTGCTTCCTACTTCCGGAAAAGTCGCTGCACGAAACTGGATATGTTATCACACAGCCAATATATGCCAATGCCGTGATGATAACGATAATCCACCAAGCGATTAAATGACCTCTAACATTTGTTGCCAGGCGTCTAAAAAATGCTAGAAAACTACCCTTCACTGCCCACAAGCATGTCCAATAGATCATGGTTTCGGCAAATTGATATTTCAGGAAATGCGGTATGGTTCCGATGATGTTTATTGTCGCTGCGCGTTTGATCGATGCTGAAAATTGCTCCATCTCCACCGCAACGTACATGGATGGGAGCATTATCTGAGTGAGGGTTGCGTTCGCTAACAAGCAAATCAACGCAAAGCCAGCTAGACCGTCGTCGATGAAAATGCGCTTGGAGAATTTGATCCGGATCAGTATTCGAGCGCAGAAGAAGAGTGTGGCGATTCCGAAGAGTGACCAGACGATAGAGATGAGGACGACATGTTTAGCCTTTGCGCCTTGGTCCTCGTAGCTCACCATCTTGATCTGACGTTTTCGTCGACAAAATCAGCAGAACTCGACCTCCTTATTACTGAGAGGAAGTCAGAGCCAGAGTCTATCCGTTCTTGGTCGTAAATTTGGCGGGTTATCTGTATCCCACAAAGATATAGATATAAATCAAAGTCCACCTTCGTACGCGCAGACAGTATATCATACTTCCACAGTCTGATCGATGTCATGGTCGCGCGTATCCAGCACCTTGTCCGGCTAAATCACGCAAAGGGAAATAGCGTGCATAGAGCCGAGTCTGCAGTGTACAGAAATTGCATATTTCTGGCAAAGAGCAGGAATTGGACCAGGCCGAGAGGAACAAGCACAGTCGGCGATTAACCCTCGGAGATGGAAATCGCACCAGGGTTGAAATCTGTTTGGGACAGGGCATTACTTGTATGGCTCGTATATGAATTTATCTCCATCGTTGCTATTGGAGTGCTGGTAGTTGGACCTTTGTTCTTTCTCTGCTGTGTATGCCTTGGACTTGCGTATATCTGTATTAGATTGTGAATAGGTGCACACCAATCCAAGGTGTCCAACATATAATAGTGACCATCAAGTTCACGGTCCCTTATCTCGCGCGACGAGGATGCAAATCAAGATATGGTTGGCACGTGTGCATAGCGAAAGGGTTTTTGTTTCATATCACCAAAGTCGGATCTTTGCCCTTAAAGAATAGCCCTCGTTCCAGGGCAGAGGAGGGCAAAACTCTAGAAAAAAAATCAGTCGTTCTAGAGCAATTTCTAGCCGGCGACGGAAATTATTCGTCGAGTGTCACTGAGATGGGACTTTGGGGAGGCAATTTCAATCCGCGAGCAAATTTACCATTTGGTTGACCTCGTGTGCAAGATGGTGGCAACTGCACAAACTTATCCATCATAAGGACTTCCATTGCGGCGGACCGTTCCCGAATTCAACTACAGCTCTTCGTCTCACATGTGCCAAAAAAAATTGTGGTTTCGAAATTTTGGAAGCTCTTTCTGCCCGTCTTGCGCGCAAAGCGCGAGCCGGTCACCCGCGTAACTGGCATTGATGGATAGAAAGAGAGGGTGGAGTACGTTTTACTTGCGGAACCATAAATACGACATTGTTCACATCTGTTACCAACAGGCCGCTAAACTGACAAATTATTCGCAATTTGTGATGCCGGCTTGTCCCACAGCCGGGAGAATCGAAATGTATCAGCGGTGCCTTGCTGATGTGTTCCACGCGCTCGTTCAGTCTGCGATTTCTGCCCAGTTCTAGCGTTATGTCTGATCCGACCTGGGAACAGAATCCTACGGCAGCAACCGATATGAAGGAACGCCACAGCTTTAGAGAGTCAAATATGCGCTCTGTGTCGTGATGTCTTATGTTCGCTTAGCATCATAGCAAGAAGGATTTCGGCGTGTTGTTCTGACAGCTTCATATGTTTCGCTTTTCTGTTAATAACGCTGGTGTCAGGGAAACCTTCCATAACCTTCATTTGATATACACGGTTTCCATACTTGACTAGTGTCTCCTTATCTTCTAAATTTCCATCGGTGTTGGCCCTTTTTAATTTTGAAGCATGCGCTTGGCAGATTTTTGGCCGGTCATCCTACTTTTTCCCGCAGTTACCGCTCGGCCAGACAGTTCAATTGACTTAACGTTGAAGACCTCCAATACAATTGAAAGCCGCAAAGATGAATCTAATTGTGTAAGCTTAAGACCTAATTCACTATTTACATCACCTCACGGCGTTGCTCTAATTTCTTATTCAGTGCGCGGTGTTACAAAAAGCTCTTCCAAACAAGATCATAAGCCCGAATCAGATATTTAGCTTTTATTCCCAACAACAAACCTATTGGGATAACCAGGAGCGTGAAGTCTCTCCGGCATGTTTTGTGTTGCCCACAAGCGCACAAGAAGTGTCATCAGTTCTTACAGCACTGGTTGGACAGCAATGCCCGTTCGCAATAAGGAGCGGAGGCCACAGCCCAATCCCAGGTTGGAGCAGTATCCAACGCGGTGTGACCCTCGATCTCAGCAATTTTAGTGGAATAGACGTTGCTGCGGATAAGTCTTACGTGAATATCAAGCCTGGAAATCGATGGTCGTCAGTTTACTCTCAGCTTGACGCTCTCGGTTTGGGGACCTCAGGAGGTCGGGTAGGCACAGTTGGTGTGGGCGGGCTGGTGACTGGTGGTGGCATCTCGTACTTCTCCAAGGAGAGAGGTCTGGTGTGCGACAACGTCTTGGAATTTGAGACTGTTCTAGCTAATGGAAGCATCGTCATGGCTGACGCGAATACCAACAGTGATCTGTACAAGGCGCTTAAGGGAGGCACCAGCAACTTCGGCATCGTCACAAATATCAAGATGAAGACCTTCAGTTTCCCAGGGGGAAACATGTGGGGAGGAACCGTCTTCCATAAGACCGATGACGCAACACGAACAAAGCTTTTCAACTACTTCTCTTCCCAGTATGCCACGAGCTCGAGCGACGTACATGCCCATTGGATCTACAGCTGGAGCTACGTCAACGCGGTCGCGACCAACATCTGGGCCAGCGCGAGCAACATTCAGTACACAGTTCCAGTCACAACGACGCCGGACATCTTCAAACCGATTGTGTCGTCCGACGTTGCACTCATTTCCACCGCGGCGCCCAGCACTCTCACAGACCAAGCCCAACAGATGGCCAATTTGAATCCGGATGGCAGCCGGCAGCTCTTTGCAACGCTCACGTTCAGGAACAACGCTGACTTCATGGAGCAATTTTACCAGCTGAGTAGCAAAGCTGCCCAGTCCATTGGGAACACTCTCGGCCTGCAATGGACCATGTCGTTCCAGTCGCTCCCCCATAGCGTGTATAGTCAAGGAACAAAGACGGGTGGCAATTCCCTCGGACTGGATGACGAGAAAGATGATCTGATTGTGGCTCTGCTCACGGCCACGTGGAAGCTTGGTCTGGATGACAACGCTGTCTACACTGCTGCTCAGAGTTTCTTCACCCAGGCAAAGGCCAAATCAGTGGAATTCGGCGTTGACAACGATTTCCTATACCTGAACTATGCAGCTGAATTTCAGGATCCCATCAAGAGTTATGGAGCTGCTAGCGTTGCAGAACTCCAGCAGGTCAAGGCAAAGTATGACCCGCATGGTGTCTTCTCAACGCTGGTGCCTGGAGGCTTTAAGATTCCACCGTCATGAGAAAGAAGATGGTATAAGACTAGATGCAGTTGTATACACTGTTAATATGTAGTACAAGTAATTATAATACATACTCGTACACATTTTGTTATGAGGCAATCTGTGTAAAAGCAGGGCTCAATCTACACGTACATACGTGCAAGCCAAAAAATATATGAACTCATTATCCTTTAACAACCGCATGAGCTGTTGAGCTATACAAAAACAGCCGACGAGTTCAATTCTTTCGCCCCTGTAAACGTGGGTATCATGGAATGCGCCTCATGGTCTCGTTACTTTATCCCGGACACGACCCTCGATCAGTCCGGCCATCTCGCTCACTTCAAGTAGTGTTTCCTGTACAAAAAGATCGACACGAGCAGCATGAGGATCGAACCCACCACGACTACGACGATGACGGCCGTCAAGGCATCCTTGCTCAAAGCCATACCTTTCGTCTGACTTGGATCGGCAGCGGCTTCGCTAGCGAAGCTCACGCCGCCAGCACCAGCTGGTACGGTCGAGGTCGTCTGCGTGCTGCTGGCCGCGGCCGGTGAAGCTTGAGAGGACAGCGTGGTCGACACGCTCTTCATCACGCTGCAAAGTTGATTGACGCCGTTTCCGTCTCGGAAATACGACAACATCGAGTTGGCGGGTATGCTCTGGCTCGCGCAGGCGGCTTGCGCTTCCGTCTGTACGGACTGGAGAGACTGGATGCAGGAAGACGAGCACGGGTTGAGCGCGTTGAAGTCGTACGGTTGGCATGACGGGATAGGCTGCTGGTAGACGGTGTTGCAAGCTGAGCTAAGATTAAGGTCCGTCGGGTTGTCGAAGGAGGCAATGCTGTAGTCCGACACTGCATCAACGCACAGCCGCAGGCTGGAGATGAGGATAAGAAGGACTGCCGGAGGCCAGGTTCCAAATTGAAAGAAGATGTTCATGGTGTCTTTGAAACCCTTGCGTGATCTCTGCATGAGCGTTCCGCACAAAACACAACAGCCAGGATCTGGTGATAGACAACAATGAGATACTATCGAGAGGTTTAACACGCATGAACACGAAGGGGGGGGGGAGAAAAATTGGAGCAGTGAAGCTAAATGTACTTTGATTGAAACCTTCTGCTTTTGCCAACTGTCTGTATCGCCTACCCTAAGTTCAAGGGGGGTCTCGTAAGATTTCTTGCTCGTCCCCCCTCCAAAGAAAAAAAATTGTTTTGCATCCTTGGTCCTTTGGGCCATTGATTTTGATCTGTCGTGACCGTCGATAAGACCATTACCCGCCGAAAATGGGTTGGAGCACCTCAAGCTAGTGGGCGACGAGACCTTGGGCCTATTTCGTGAAACCGGGGGCTGGCTCGTTTCGAGTTCCATCGGCCTATCGCGTTTCTTCAACGATGTTTGGCTGGACGCAAAGGCCCAGACGACCAAGTCCCGGGCGAGGAGCGAACACCATGGGCTGAAGAAGGCCGTTGATGCGACAGCTGTATTGAAGATGTGGTAGTGCGAAGGCTGTTGTAGAGCCAAGCACCTGCATCTAGCGTGGCATTTTTTGACATGTTCTAACTGCAGCCTTCCGCTCTTGCATTTGCGCTTGCGTTAGTTCAAAAAAAAAAAGGCACTGTTTGTGGATTCAATCTGTTCCAGTCCTAGGGGCGAATGAACACGGCGAAAAGGAGGCATTTCAGAGACTCCAATTGATTCCAGTATAGAAGTATCACGCCATGTGGTGCGTTGAGGGGGTGCGAGATATGCAGTGTTGTCAGCGAGCGCTCAAGGAGCGAGGTGCTTCAGGTCGCCTTCTGTGACTGTACCAAGGCATGGCGGCTTGGGCCGAGAATCTCCCTTCTCACCTGATACTTCTTCAAGCGACATTCCTCCTTTCGCAAGTAATGCTCTTTCAAATTTCTCTATGCTAAATCTTGGAAACGCGCCTGGCGTTACATAGCAGGACTTTGCCTCACTGTCATAAATTTTTAACCCCTGATTTGCTGGAAAATCCCTAAATGCTCAGTCGTCCCACGATTCATCCAAGTCATCGATAAGTCTGTTTTCATCCTCGGCATGTCTTCCCCTGACATTGCCGTTGCCATTGAGCGACAGACGAGAGTATCCCCGCCTTCCTGGAAGAAGTCGGATGCAGGAGGAGAAAAGGATGACGAACATGTCCTTTTCACATGATGTCAGCCAGCTGTTCTTGTGTTTTCAAGTGCCGCATAAACAATGACGTACCGAGAAGAAACTCCAGATACCCGCCCACATTGAATAGTTGGGCAGCTGTCTCCAGCCGCGCTGATGCATCACTGTCCGCTGGTATACGCAGCCACCGACCAGGTACGCCATGACGGCGATGAGGAGGCTGACACATATCAGTAAGCTGCCTTCAAGAGACGAACCAGGACATCGTCGCCATGTAACACTTACATAACTCCAAACACACCTCCAGGACTCAATTGTGACGGGGTGGTCTCAATGCCAGCACAAGCGGCCGTGCTCCTCGCCTCAAAGAAGTAAGTGCACTTGTCCGGGCTGGCTCCAACAAAGGACACCGACACCTTTTGAGCGTTCGGCAAGACATCCTTCTGGCACAGCAACGATATGATAGTCGATTTTCTCCTTGTCTTCGTCTTCGACACGCGTAGCTCCTCCGTTTCATGCCCGAAGCTTTGTGAGCCCTTGTGTTTCAGGTCCTCGTCATCGTCATCGTCGCAGGGCGAGCCGTTCGTGTAGTTGAGCACCAGCTTCGATCCTCGAAAGACGAGCTCCGAATTCTGCTGCCTGTGGCGACATCAGCGTCAGCCTTTCCTTTTGGCGCGGTCAGATCTGGCCCCGTGATGTTACACACCCTATCGAATAGGTCTTCTTCCCTTGCGTGTAGAAAGCGCTGACATTCTTGCGCATACTCTTTGAGAGACCCTCAACGTCGTCCAGCTCTTCCACGACGGGCGCGCAGAAATTCAGGGTGAAGTTCGAACCGTAATCCCAGCCGTTAGCGTGCCAACTCTCTGTACGCGCGTCCGCCTTCTTCTTGTCCTTGGGGTCGGGGAGGTGGACGGAGATGGGGTTCAGATCAAAGAAGTGGCCCGTCGTGGGACTTCGAATGGTACACGGCTTCAGCATCGGTTCTCTCGCTTTCTTTTCGCTCTTGTCGGGCGAATCGGCCGCCGTGGGGGTCGCGACGGCGGCGAGAACTGCTAAGATTGCGCTGAGAAGCGTGGACTTCATGGCTACCTCCGAATCCGCATGGACGGGAACACCAGGCCTTTCAGAGGAAGAGTTTGTTGGTGCGCGGCAGCGGCAAGTGAACGTGTGCTTCTCCTTTCTCCTAGGGCAAGTCTTAGGATGACTTAGTCCAGCGTACCGACTACCAGCAAGGTAGCGTTCTGGCGCGTGGTGAGAGTCGCTCAGGCGAGCGGCTCAAGCCCAGCCAGACGCCGCGACAAGGACACGCAGGCAGCGCGAGTTTCCCCCGATTGGCTGCGGGCGAAATCTGGACATCTGGCGCTAGCCGAGTGCGGAACCGGATCTGGAGAAAGGCGTCATGACCTGATGAACGAAGCAACGGCCGGACGAGCATCCGGCCCGGCAAAAGACTCGTACCTGAACAAGTACAAAAGATGCACCAACTCCCTTTCATGACGGGCCACTGACGCTGCCAGACGACAGCCCTTTAGCCACCGCTCGCCCAATTCTGTCGAAGCGTCGCGTTTTGTCTCTTCTTTTGTTTTTTTTTCTTCTCTTCGCACCCCTGCAAATTCGAGGGGGTTTCTGTAAACAACTGTGGTTCTGTCTGAGGTGCCATACTCCAATTGACAACGTCAATATGGCAAAAGGCCAACACGCAGCCTCTGCCAGGTCAGAAAAGCATGGCTACGAGTTTTTCGGACCGTACGCTCCATCGTTGCCCGCTTGGCGGATCCTTCACTGAAACCTTCTAGGCCCGGCGCGTTCGTTATATCCACTTGCCTCCCAATCCTCTCCTACGCGTTCGCACTTCTCTGCAACGACATCACCGGCTGCCCCGCAACATCGTTGCTGCATCCGTCGACGCTGACTTTGGAAAAACTCAAGCTTGAGGTGGGATGGCAGGGCTGGTCTACGATCTTCACGTGGAAAGCCTTTGTGGCTAACTTGGGCTGGTTTGGCTTAAGTCTGGTGCTGAATCGAGTGTTGCCTGCCACGGAGGTTGAAGGCACACAATTGAGATCAGGCGGTAGACTAAAGTACAGGTTCAACGGTCCGTTGGCATGGTCGGTTTCTGCGTGTGCAACGATTCGACTAACCTTGCTTGATAGCATTCTACTCCGCCGTCTTCATCATGTCCGTTCTGGCAGCTGGCACCATCGCTCAGGGCGCTGATTTCGTCGTCTGGACATTCATCTACGACAATTTCGTGCCCCTACTCACATCGAACATCATCCTCGCTTATGTCCTTGCCACGTACTGTTATCTCGCTAGTTTTGGTGTGAAGCCGGGCAACAAGGACAATCGCGAGCTAGCGGCGGGCGGGCATACTGGTAACATGCTCTACGACTGGTTTATCGGACGTGAGCTGAATCCGCGTGTGAGAATGCCACTGCTAGGAGAGATCGATATCAAGGCCTGGATGGAGCTCAGACCGGGCTTGCTTGGCTGGATTGTGCTCGACTGCGCCTTTGTCGCCGCTCAATACAGACACTATGGATATGTGACCGACTCCATTATTATCGTGACCCTGGCGCAGAGTATCTACGTCTTTGACGCGCTGTACATGGAGCCTGCCATCCTCACCACCATCGACATTATCAGCGATGGCTTCGGTTTTATGCTCGCATTTGGCGACATCGCATGGGTGCCCTTCATCTATTCTCTGCAGGCACGCTACCTATCTGTTCATCCCGTTTGGCTTGGCTGGTGGAACGTGCTGGTCTTCAGCATTCTAGGTCTGGGTTACTGGATCTTCCGTTCTACCAACAATGAGAAGAACCGTTTCAGAACGAATCCTAATGACCCTCGCGTCAAGCACCTCAAGTACATCCAAACAAAAGCGGGCAGTAAATTGCTCGTGAGTGGCTGGTGGGGCACGGCGCGACATATCAACTACCTCGGCGACTGGATCTTGTCCTGGTCATACTCGTTGCCTACTGGCATTGCAGGCTACCAAGTCTACCGTGGCGCCTCGGCCTTGGCTACAAAGGCCGCTGCCGAAATCAAGTACGGCCAAAGTCTTCCCCCAGGCGGTCACCAGATGGTAACCGACGAGCTCGTCATAGTAGCTCCCGGTGACGCCAGAGGTTGGGGTATGATTGTTACCTACTTCTTCATGTTATATTTTGCCATCCTCTTGATTCACCGCGAGCGCAGGGACGAGGAGAAATGCAGCAAGAAGTATGGCGACGACTGGAAGGAGTATTGCAGGAGGGTGCCAAGCAGAATCATACCCTATATATACTGATTCTTCTGCTCTGCACGTCCTGTTATGGAGTCGGTGGCTCATAGCCCAGCTGGATTCTTGCCAGAGCTTCCGTGCAGAAACGTATGGTTTTATTTTTCGGGCTCGTTCCGGCTGCTGTCTACCTCATTTCTTGGAGATTGGCGCAGAAGTCTTACTCAGAATATTCGAATTGTATTCTTTGATTCAAAGCGCACATGAAACATATCGTGAGGCAGCCTTTCCATTCTCTTTCCGAACTTTATAGGCCAAGTGACCACCGTAAGTCGAATATTATCATTCTTGAATTTTTTTTTTTTGCAACGACGCTCGAGCTATCCTCTGGCAATTAGGCGATACGGCTCGAGGCTCGCCTCGTCATTGCACGAAAGTTTTCCCAACCGTTGTGCAAAAGGTAATGTAAAAGAGCACATGATCGTTCACGGGGAACACGAGCGGGCTGACGTCAGTAACGGAGATCTCCAAGGACGTCGAGCGCCTGGGGCGCTTTTCGAGGAAAGGAAGATAGCGGGCAAACGGTTTTTGCGTGGTGTCAAAATCCCATCGGTGAAGCGACCTAATGCAACCGTCCGCGCAGACTGGCACGTCTTGTTCGGCAAACCGGACTAGAACGGGAACGTCCCACTCGTGCTAAAGCAATGGATGCAGGCAAAAATCCAAGTCATTGCAGATGGCGCCTGACTCCACGGCGATAGATGAGACGAGCCGAGAATGGTCGGCCAAAACACTGTGCATGTATGGAGTGGCTTGTCCGGGCGCGAGTTGCATTCGCTCCAGTCACCGGTGAAACTTCAATTGAAAGAGGACGTCAAGCAAAGGAGGGGGACGACTCTGCACCATGGCGTTGGACGGCGTCAGTAGTTCTCGGAGACTTGTGGCTCGAGGAGATTATCTGATCTGCGGGATCTGGAAGCGTCCATCACTTTGACAACGCACATACGAGCGTGCCGATAGTGTGGGCCGCGAAATAGTTTCAGCTGGTTCTGAACCCCGCCATTGTCGCTTTGATACTTTGCAGAAGGCTGCCGTCTGGGACGAGAACATTGATTTACATATTCATAGGGTGCGGGTTAAGCGACTAGTACTCAATACCACTTTCGTCGCCACTGACAACTACACGTCACGGGGGATCGGCGGTATGGCCTGCGGACATACTCACCTCTTTTCATTTTTCCCTTTTTCTATTCGATGTTTGGCGGGGCCCTCCGGCAGCTTCTCGTCGGCAACCTCTTTCGCATCCATCCGAAGATTTTGGATACGTCAAGCTCGGAAGAAGTGAAGTGACTCATATCCGGGCTTCACTCGAGGCTGAAGAATGAATGCGCATTGCGGTTATCACTGGTTGAGAAATTTCACGCAAACTTGAAACAGGTCAAAAGGAATGTTCAGAGTCGCAGGGTCAGAGATGTATTTGGTATCTTATGTGCGGTTTGCTGGTTGAATTTTGGCCAAGCTCCTGAAGAATGTGGGCGCCACTAAGCATGACCAATCCAAGCACAAGAGCTTTCCATCCAGGCTGATGTTCCGCTGGATGGCGGCAAGTCATACGTTCTTGCGGCGTGCATTTATATGGTTGCTAGCCATGTTTCAGGCATTGCGGACCGGCTGACCTCCAAGGCTCGACGTTGTAGGGTGGGTGGGAGGAACGGGTACAGCGGCGGAGATGATCGCGGTGAAATAAAAATGCTAGCAATAGTATCCACAATCCAAAGACGGCATTGTTGATTCAGGGTCGGGCGGGGTGTTCCCTCGTCCGTAGGCGTTTCACAAGCTTCCCTCTGATCGTCGTCTGCGAGGTTGTCTCGACGATCGACAGTTCAAATTGCCGCAGCGGTGGAAGGTGAGCAGTCCCTGTCGGAGGTCTGCCGGCGCGTGGACGCGGACTGGAACGCTGCAGGCCATCGCGTGGACCTTCAAGAGACTGCCTTTTCCACTTTTTTTCCCTCGCAGCTTTGGTTGGATTAAGCGAGGATGTGTCTGCACAGGAGGAGCTCCCGCGAGCGCGAGGCAGGCGAGCAGCAGCGCTGGTCGTCGATCATTGCCTGTCCGCGCAGCAGGCGGGTCTTTCGGCGGGCCTTCAGAGCTTGCACGGTCGTGATTGAAGGAGGCTTCCGCGCGTGTAGCCTCAACCACGGGCTGAGTGGTGTTGAGCTGATGCAGGACCGGGTCGCTTTTGGGCAGACGACGAAGCCAAAAGCTGCACGTCTGCGCGATGATCTCAGCGTGCAGACGATGACGCCGGGGAGGGGGAGCGGGAGTGCGGGCTGCGTCCGAAGAGACCAGCGTACCTCTGTCGGGCGCCCACAGATTGCTGCGGACGCTGCTCGACGAGCGTCGAGAGCTGGCCGACGTCGTCGCCGCCGCCGCCGACTGTGCACCCCACGGCGGCCGCGGACGTGCTGGCTGCAGGACAGCACTCCGGGCCGGGCTGGTCGATGGCTCAGGGGACCGGCCTCGTCGTTCGAGTGGAGCGGGCGCTGTCATGGTCGCAAGCGGGCTCCACAGGTGGTGACTTGGGGGAGGGCCGGAGCTGTAGGATGATGCATGCAGGATCTGTCCGAACGACGACAGCTACACGCGCTACGCCAGGTTTGCACCCGGCGACGAGCAGTCGGCCAGAGTGGCCGCTGCATCAGATCGCGCCGCGCTGGAACAAAAATTCGAGCACGCCAGCTCGACTTCGTCCTGCTCGTCCGAGCCGGAGTCTCAGCCCGCCCTCTTGTGCTTCTGCTCTGCGTCCTGCGTTCCTCGCTCGTGCCCGGCGCTGCTGCCCCGCATCCCACTTCCACCGCACACACAGAAAAAGGCGGCTGCTTGGGCCTGACCACACTTCGCCATCGTGTCCATCGGAGCTTTTCGCTTCGCAAACCGCTGCCCCGTCGACCTGTCTGGAACACGGTTGCCGTCGGCCGTCTCGACGACCTCCAGCGACCAGATCGACGTCTCCAGCCCCTTCCGTCGCCTTCGTCCTCGCATTTTTCGCGACTCTTTTCCAGAGCGGCTGGTGACCTCATATCCCCAGGGTCGACCGTCAGGAGCCCTCGTTGCGTCAACTGCCGAAGCCGCAACCTCTCCGACGACAACCATCTTAACCTATTTCAGAGCTCCTCAGAGTCCGCTTTTCTTTCATCCTAACGGCAGCAGCTCAGATTGTATTGTAATCCGCCTCAGCCATGGCGCCAGATGAAAGCGTGCGTCAGAGCCCCTCGTCTCTCCCCCCCAGGCCCAAAAACAAGATCCTGACCTCCGACTGACAGGCGCTGTACCTTGGCGATGACATCGATCGCGCAACGTTTGAGCAGATCCTAGAAATGGACGACGACGAGAACGATCGCGATTTCAGCCGCAGCATCGTGTTCGACTTCTTCGAACAAGCCAGCGAAACGTTCGAGAAGATGCAGGCTCGATTGTACGGCGAACCCGTCCCTTCCTCGACGTCTAGAAAGCATGAGCTAACCGTTCCTCCACCCAGAGCCGAGAAAAACCTCGAAGAGCTCTCCGCGCTTGGCCACTTCTTGAAAGGCTCGTCCGCGACGCTTGGTCTGACGAGAGTGAAGGACAGCTGCGAGAAGATACAGCATTACGGCGCAAGAAAAGATGCGACTGGCACCAAAGACGAGAAGGACGACGCAAAGAGTCTCGAGCGCATCGAGCGCACGTTGGCCGTCGCCAAGGCAGACTACCAGACCGCGGAGAAGAAGCTCAGGTTGTTCTACGCAGAGTAAAGCTATCCGCAGCGTTCATCCCATGGACCGACGAGACGTGGGAGTGGGGCCAGAGGAAGATCAGCCTGGCGACGCGAAAGGGCCGCTAATTCCTACACTGCTGAGCCACGCCCATGCTGGCATTTTCGTCGCCATGACAAAAGGAAAGACGTCTCACTCATCACGCTGCATAGTGAGGAAGCAGCAGTACGCCGCGCTTCATGTGAGAGCGTTGATTCGGACTATAGACTGGCCAAGTGGCTACTGAATGAATCATATCTGCGTTACACGCTCGCTAGATTACGTAGCACATGTTTACCAGAAGCTTCAAATTGCGGATGTGTCCAGGGTGGACGGTGCTGTATTTTATTTCTCCACGCATGGTCTTGTGCGCAATCACTACAAAACGTTCTCAACAGACCAAGCCCGCATCAGATGCGGCTCGTTCCCCTAAGAGTGCAACACCTTGGACGTCCACGACACGTTCTTCGTCGTCCGAAGGAAGCGCCGATGCTTCCGGAACGTCCTCCCAAGCACGTGGCCTATGCATCGTCGTTTTAACTCACACCAGAAACGTCCGCTCCTCAATCGGGAAAGCGTCTTGCTGAAGCGGCCAATCGAACGCCAACACACAAACGCATATAACCACGTCCACGCTGTCTCCCTCCTTTCGCTGCTGATGATTTCGTTTGCGTGCGCAGCCAATCTAAGTAGACCCTGTGTCCACAACGTTACCGCTCGCTGTAGGTCGTGGCCGTGCCGCCCCAAGCGCGAGCATCGTACTCATAACGTGAACTGAATTTGGAGGCGATTCCATCTCCATGGCTCTTCTCGTGTTATGGCTACCGATGTCCATTCCTGGAGAGCTCGCCGATTCGAACACTAACCGTAGCAGGTCCTCATTTCAGGGAAAGGTCTTATGCCATCATGGCCCGCAAAGGAGCAAGTGTTGGAGGCGGCTACAAACGCGGCGGCGCCAGCGGATCTAACAAACACGGCAGAGCGACCCACAAGAGACCACCGCTCACGCATTTTGTGTGCATACCGTTGGTTACAGATGTCACTCGGCCGCAACTTGACGCGTCCCTCTCTCGCTTTCGGGATCTTCTTGCGGAAAACAACAAAGGCGTCGACGGACCCGCTTCGGCGCAGACGTTTGTGCCCGTGAAGGCTGTCCGACCGGTTGGCACGATCCACTTCACCCTCGGCGTCATGAGTTTGACCTCCGTCGACAGGGTGAGCGAGGCGATCGGCTTTTTACAAAGCCTCGACCTAAGGCAACTCATGCAGGAGGTGTTGCTTGAGAGGAAGAGCGACAACGGGGTGGCGCCGTGGCCTTTGAAGATATCGCTGACGTCTCTGCATTCCATGCATCCACCAGAGAACACCTCGATCCTGTACGCGGGTCCCCAGGATGCCAACGACGTTCTGAGCCCTTTCTGCGCAAAGCTGTCCCAGATGTTCAGGTCCGCTGGTTTCACCTCGGACGACAGACCGCTCAAGCTTCACGCGACCATTTTGAACACCATCTACGCCAAGGCTGGGGGTCGTGGACGGCAGCCTGTTCCGGCGGGCCCACGAGGCGAGAGCTCGTCGCAGGCCACGTCTGCCCTACGGCGTCCCCAAGATGCAAATGACGCCAAGTCAACGATGGCCGGAGAGGGAGGCTCAGCTCAAGACGATTCTGGATCTGAAAGACAAGGAAGGGATCAGGACACCTCGCGAGGCCACGGGCCAAATGCGAGGGCCCCCATTCGGCTCGACGCGACCTCTTTGCTGGAGGAGTGCAAAGAAATCGTGTGGGCATCAGACTTCACGTTGGAAAAGATTGCACTGTGCAAGATGGGCGCAAAGAAAGTGTTCGGCGACGACGGCGAGGTCGTCGATGAAGAGTACGAGGAGGTCGCCTCCGTACCGCTACCATTGTGAATAGGATTACCGCGGGGGCTTCTTTCAGAAAGTAAACGTGGTCCCAACTGTGCAAGGAGCCAACCGACCCGGCATCTGCCTCTCAATCTCGTACTTGGCCTTCCAGCCCGTGCAATGTCCCGCCAAAAACAGCTTTACGTTCAGGGCCTTGAGATCGCGCACGGAACTCTCGATCTGAGCCATCTCCGCGTCGGCGAGGTGGTAACCCCCGACGATGGCGAAGAGCGGTGTCCCAAACGCTAGTTCGGCGGCGTGCTTCGAGGCGTTGACGACGCCAGCGTGACTGCAGCCCGTGAACATGATCACGCCCTTGTCTGTGACGCTGGGGTCAGGTTACGGCTATCGACCGACGAAGGGGCAGCGGGCAGTCGTACCTTTGACTTTGCACATGACGAACCGTTCGTCCTTGATCAGCTCGTCCTTCTCCCACTCGCCTTTGGCGATACTGAACCTGGCGCCTCGGCGGATGCCATGCTCGTACGCCGTAACCCTAGGGATCTCACCGGAGATCATGAAGAAGCCGCCACAAACGGCGTGCGCCTTGTCGTTCTTTGACACGCGCCCACCCCCGCTCTCGATCTCGGCGAAACTGGGGTCGGCTTCGAGAGACATCTGCATCGCGGGCGTGGTGACGCCGCGGAAGTCCGGCCGGTCCGGGTGCAGGTCGACCACGACCTTGGCCTCGCCGGCCCCTTTGGCGGCGTTGATCATTTTGACGGCGCGCAGCATGCCCCCTGTTTTCCTGACGCTTAGCCTGTGAAAGAGCCATGCTGTGCGAGAGGTGTGCCAGTACCGGAGTGGTCGCGATGCCAGTGCGACAGGTGAACGACCTCCACCTTCCCAAGCTGCGCATGCAGCCTCGTCGCGTTGCGCTCGAACGCGTCCTCTTCGGGCCCGACGTCGAACAGCATCGAGTGCTCCTCGCCGTCCTTTTTCCCCGTCTGCGATCCGGTTCGTTAGCCCCGTCAAGCTTTTGCCTTCTTCCCCACCCTCCAACGCCAACTCACCATCAGGATCGACAGCCCGTGTGCGCTCTGGCAGAGCTGCTCCATGCGTACTTCGTGCACGTTGCCCGGCCCTCGGTCGGTAGGTCTGTACGGAGACCCAAACGCGATGTCCGCCAGGTTTCCCGTTGCCACGACGCCCTCGTTCTGGTAGCGCGAGATGGGATCCAGCTCGTTGTCGACGATGACGAGCATCTCGAGCGAGTCGAGCTCGACCAGCCCTGTCGCACTGCTCATCTCGTCGCACCTGAACCAGCGCTTTCAACCCTTTGTCTTTTTTTTTTTTTTTTTTTTCTTTTAAACGCTTCCGGCTTTCTCACACTTCCCACGGTTTTGCGTCCGAAGATGCAGCGCTGTCCCCTAGCTTTTGGAGATTTCTTCGGCCTCGACAATCGGGACCGTGTCGGGCGAGCAGTACCAATAGTATGCGCTCACTTGTGCGACTATAATTCAATATACACACACACACACACACACATAGACATATATATATATATATATGTACGTACATGTACGTATGCACGTTGCGTGGACGTTGCCCCGCAGAGGCTACTTAAGGCCCAGGGTTTGCCTAGGGAGGTCGCGAGGGTGGGGGGATGATTATCGGACGCTCGCAAAGGAGACTGTACATTCCCCAAAACAGACATACAGACGAGACGGAATCGCGAACGCCACGGTGTCGGAGGTGATCCTCAGCAACCTCGCCTCGATGGAGGGAAGTGTAAGAGATTTTGTTTTCGCCTGCTGAGCGTAGTTAAATCTAGAGAAATGAAAAAAACTCTCTCTCTCTCCCCCTCTCCGGCCCCCTTCTTTCTCTCTCTCTCTCTCTCTCTCTCACACACACACACACACACACACACACATTTTCCTTTCTAACGGACTCGTATGCATTACATTCAAATTAATGGCCTATTTGGCATGCGCCACGCCTTCTAATGACGAGCTATACGCCTCTCTCTCCTTTTTGCCCGGGAGAAAACGGGGGTATATCTGCCCTTTCTGTGATAAAAATCATTTCTCCCCCCCCCCCACCCCCCCTTTATTTTTTCTTCGACCACCAAAGCTCATTTACCCGAAACTCGAGAAATGAAGAGTCACTCTCTCACCATCCAAAGGCCAATTTGCCCCGCAGCAGCTTCCACGTTGAATAGATATGTGTACATCATGCTGTCGTTGAACAATACTTCGTATCATGCCCGGGAAAACTCCGCTCCGATGCAATGAGGATAGGGAGGTATAACATGCAGTCCTCTCTCTCTCTCTCTCTCTTTTTATTTTTTGTTCTCTCTCTTTTTCTTCTTACTTCCCATTCAGCATCTCCCGCATGTTGTTCCACTTCTGCCGCAGCGCCTCGAGCTCCGAGTTCAGGTTTGCGTGCTCCAATTTCAGGCTGACGAGCGCCGCCGTCGTCTCCTCGTTTTCCTCTTCTAGTTCGCGGTTGCGGGCGTGTACGACCTGGTTCGCCTGCTTCACGGCCTCAATGTCGGCCTTCATGCGCGCTTCGACTTCTTCCGTCTGGCGCTCGACGACACGCTTCAGCTCCTCGACTTTGCCCTCGAGTGTCTCGTTCTCGTCCTGGAGACGTTCGTTCTCAACTTGTATTCTGATGAGCTCAGAAGCCGCCTGCACGTGCTCCGCGTCCACTTTCTCGACGTGTTGTTCCAACCGGCGCACTTTTTGTAGGAGCGCCGAGTTCTGCGTTCGCAGCGACTCGAGCTCGGCTTCTCGCTCCTTCTCGACCCGCTCCTTCTCCTCCCACTCCGCCGTGTACTGCTGAAGCATGTCCGGGGTGATCTTGACCGACGTGGCATCCTGCACGAACATGTCGACTCGGTAGACTTCGTCGCCTCCTCCCGAGCCAAAAAAGCCCGCTTCAAGAATGGACTTCTGTGAAGGTTGCTTGTCGATGTACGCGTCGAAAATGCGCTCTTTCAAAAAGGTGCATAGCTGACCCATGTCCTTCATTTCGAGAAGTGTCTCGCGGTTGCGTTGTATAAGCACGAGGCCAAATTTCAGGATTGCGCCCAGTCCTTCGCTTAAAACGAGATCGTATACGCGGAGGACAAGTTCGAGTGGGAACCTGTAAGCAAACAAGGTCAAGAACCATTGCGTGGCGTACAGGTTCGCGTTGACTCCTCTGCGGTTGAGGTGGCAGTACACGGCCGGTTCGAAGTCTTCCAGCAGTCTCTCAAATTGATACAGATGCTTGTGAAGGCCTGGCATGTCCTGGATAAACATCTCTCGCATTCCGTACTTGGACATCAAGCGCACAAACAGACAGAAAGCTTCGGGTCTCGACATCTACCGCAAGAGTTTAGCGTCGGCTTGTCATTCGAGCCTCGGTGCGAGCCCACTTACGTTTAGCAACAGCGGCTGGGCGATGAAGTTCATGCCCTGCGCGTAACCGACAGCCTCGTCGTACAAAGCGTACGCCTTGCAGACGGAAAACAAGCCATCTGGGTCCTTTGCCCCCTCGAACTTTGAAAACGCTGTCCGAGAGCCGAGATCGCGCTTTATCGTCTTCTCAAGTTTCTGTATCTTGCTCAGCTCCTCTTTGGTAGTCTTCGTCTTCACCTTCATCAGTCCGTTCTGGAGGTTGCTCAAATCGTCGTTGACCTGGTCGCTGGGCGACACCTGCGGGGAGATGGCGCTCGCTGTTGTTGCCGGCGTTGAATGCTCGGAGTGAATCGAAGATGCCGAGGACGCGATCGAGTCCTTGTCCTTGCTGCTCGTGCTCGCCAGACTAAGGTGCCCGTTCGTAGCCGCCTTCTCCTTGTCCGTGCCGCGAGCGACGAGCTCTTCGTAAAGCCTCTCCAAATCCTCGTTCTTGCTGCTTGCCAACACCTGCCAGACAACGCCTCGAATGGGATGTGGAATTCCACTCGCTATAGCAGCTTCCATTTCTTCGGGGCTTGTGCGTGCGACCGCTGCTGGACCTTCGTACACGACGCTCTGCCACAGGTCCCAGTCAACAGGGGCGGGTGCGCTTGTGGAGGGCTCGGACTCGGTGGCACCATGGCCTGTGTCAGGCGAGGACAATGTTCGGGTTTTCTCTTCTTCCGGGGTCATGGTCGGAGGGCTTGTTACGCCCAGGCCAATACTTTGCGACCTTGCTATCAGACCGGCGATAGCACCACCGTGCTCCGCAATGTGGGCGCTGTCTCGTGGGTACGGTTGGCCCGTTTCGGCAGCGATGCGAGCTTCCTTAAACCTATCTTTCAAGCTATCTCTGCTGTCCCTCTTGCCTTCGTCTTCGCGCTCATCCTTGAATTGTCCAACCAGCAGATCGGCAGATGCAGTCGTGTTCTGACGGCCGCGAGTGAGTGGAGGCGATCTCTGCGCAGGTGGAGGCGACTGGGCTTTCTTGTCGCCTGACGTGTTTCGTGACAGCCACGAGAAAGGGCTTTTAAAGCCTCTCGTCACTGCTGGCAGAGGTGACACCTTGTCCGAGGATGGCGGCATTGTCTTGGACGGCGATATCGAGCGAGTGGTGGACGATGCTCTTGAAGAATCTTCCGGGGGAGCCAGCGGCGCGGACAATTGTGTAGCAGTGCGGGAGTGGGCGGTGGACGCTTGCGCATCTGTAACTGACATGAGTACCTCAGGTTAAGCAGGAAAATGAGGGAGGTTAAGAGCATGACAGTTCCCTTTCCCTCCACAATTCACCCCCCCCCCCCCCCCCCCCAACATAAAAATGTCCTGGCCATGTGGGTGAATTGGGTGCACTCATAAACAGCGAGACTCACCTCCACCGAGATTCACTTCGTCCATGTCTGACATGTTGACGGCATGTGCCTTTTCCTCCTGGGCAATCAGACCATTCTCCTTGACCGTGTGTGCGGAAGCGCCATCCATCGCCGGAGGATGGCTCGTGGTGACGTCTTCGGCGGTAGCGGGCGTGCTTCCCCCGGGTCCTTTCTCGATCGTGGCGGACGACGTGCGCCGTTCCGTCAGCGATCTCGATGTGTCCGGGCTCTTCGCCCTCGGTCTCGGGGTGATGTCAGGGGCGTCCTCGAACGTGTCCTGCGATGCGTGCAAGCTGGTCAGCGTGGTGGACTTTGATTCGGCCCTTGTGGCAAGTGGTGAGCGGTGCCAGAAACGTACTTCACTGCCCGACATTCCTCCCATGTCCAAATCGTCTCTTGTGGGCGTCGTGGGCTCGGCAGCCATCTCGCGCAAGCCAGGAGGGCAACTGTCTCGTGTATAGTGCTTGGTTCGAGGTCGTGACGGGCGGAATATCAATGGCAGCGCCGTCAGTTGACCATGTTTTTTCGATCAGCAAGGGCTAAGCAAGGCAGTCTCCGAAGGGTAGGGCAGCACAAATCGATGTAGACAGCACGAGGAGGCCAATTGGGAGCGGGTGTCTGGGCGCAGTCGAGAGTGGTTGCTGGCCGCTTGAGCCAGGATGCGTGCGTAGGGTTGATGCAAGTTGTCTGCAGCGTACCGCGGCCGGTCCTCGCGCGGCGCAGAGTTATGTTTAGCCTGGCACAGTGGCAGCGCTGGAGCTAGGCAAGAGCACGTCCGGACATGTGCCTGCGACGGGCGACGGCGTGAGAGAAGCAGCAACGGCAGCGGGCAGCGGCAAAGGGCGAGAACGCAGGGGAAGGAAGGAGAAGGCGACGCGGACAGCAATGCTATGGAGAGAGGGAGATGAGCAGCAGCAGCAGTCGATGTCGGGCAGGCCAAAAACTATGTTTGGCTCCAGAGCACACATGAAACAATGACGGGGGGTGGGGGGCGGAGTTCTTTTGCTGCTCAGGCTCTGACTTTTTTTTTCTACTGTCGAAATTATTCTAATGAAGGTTAGGAACATCCATAATCACAGGAATAATAGCAATAATAATAATAATAATGATGATGACGGGAGGCCGAGGAGCCACAAACCACCAACACCACCACCGCCGTCACAACCACAATACCGCCACCGCTCCCATCGCCGTTACCACGGCCGTGTACGACGACGACGACGACGACCAGTCTGCACTCTAATCACGCAGCTCCTGCTCGACTCTGACAAATCTGGCCACGTCTGCTCTGCGCATTGCTCCTGACCCGTTGTGGGCCTGAAGTACGGAGTACGCATCCGCGAAACGGCCCTTCCAATCTGCCCTTTTCCTTCTTCATTTCCCCCCTTCCCCCGTCGCAGCGAGCAGATCTCCTCCTGCGTGAACGACGTAGATGCTCGAATGAGTCTCCGGCTTGCCTGTCATCCCCACCCCCCCTTTTTTTTTCCTTTGCTCCCAGTAATCGCTCGCCGCCCCATCCTCTCCTGATGTCTGTGCAGTATGCGCGCGCCTGTCCTTTCCAGCATCAGACGCCCTTTACCTTGTTGGGCTCCTTCGTTTCCGTCCCTCCTGTTGCTTCCTTTCCCCGTCTCTCCCCTGACAGGGACTTCGCTGGCAATTGTATCTGTCCTCCACCACGCCGTTCGCCGGTCCCCCCCTAGGATGATGTTATAGCGTGACATATGCACAAGCTGACCCCGTGAAGGCTTCGCCGAGTTTGAAAAAGTGCACGTATCGATGGATGAGCTTCATCACATGTTACGCTGTCCGTCCCGTTTCGCACGTCTTCAAGCGGGATTCCTACAAAGACCGGCAACGGCGCAAATGTTTTTTTGCCGGACAGTCCATCATCACTTTCCAAACTGTCACCATCCCTTCCTACCTGCGTTACATGGTACGCTCGCTACACGTACGAGACAAAGCCGCCGCCCATCCCTCACGTCTGCCTAGCGTTCACATGGTAATCACTGCGACCCTCAATCGATCATTGAGATGGTAGGATTGTACATTCATCTAGCAATGGCTACATCTCTCGCTTCGTAGGAATTGGTAAAGACATTCTTTTTTTACAATCGCACATGTGCAGAAGTTTGCCAAAGAAGAAAAACAAAATCAGAACGTTCGTACATAGTGAACTCGAAGAAGCTAAGAAACCAGCATACACTATTGATTCCGTGCTCATCCACCGGTCCTTCTCCGCCCAGCTCGCTGGGGTATACGGACGAAGAAGGTTTGGAACAAAAAGAAAACAGTGCGCAAAAAAGAAAAGACAAATTCCTCAAAAAGCCCCGAAACGGCTTCTTTTTTGTTCCCCTCTCTTCAAAAGTCGGCACGGTAGGGAAGAATTCTGAAAGTCTTGAACGTGACGTGAACAACAACACCCTAACGGAAGCTCTCGCCCTCCCTGCATCGTCCATGGAACTTTAGCTTAGGTCGTCCCGATGGTTCGCTTCATGTTGCGTTGTTGAATGAAAGTTTACTCCTCAATCAAGCTCTCTGGCTGCCCTCGGCTTCTCACGCTCGTCTTGCTCGCCTTCTTGCCAATGCCCAACATGCTGAGCCTCTTCTTAACGCTGCCTACGCGGCTGCCCAGACTGGGTGCTCCGGGACTTGCGCCCGTGCCCTGCGTGCTCTGGTTGCTCTGTCTCGTGCTCGGCCTCTCGTAATCGGAGATCGCTACGTTTGGTTGCTGAACCGGACTTGTGGTTGCGTAGCTTACGGGGGTCTGCGACTGGACGTGGTTGGACGCACCTCGAGCGTGCTTTTCACGCTTCAGATCAGTTGGTCCCGCTTGGTACTGCGACTCTGGTATCCCGAAATATTTTTGAAGTTTGTCCTCGCTCTGGCTTGACGGACTCATCGCTCCGGATCTGTCGTTGGCAGGCGTGCTGCCATTTGCTTGGCTTGTCTGAGAGCTGTGGCCGCCAACGTCCACACTCGGTCGGCCGTTCGTCTTCGTCATTCCATTTCCAGCCGCGTTCTGCACAGCCTCTTGCATGCTCGTCCGCTTTAGAAACGAAAACCTTTTCTTCTCCTGCTTTGAAGCCTTCGGTGATATGCGGTCAATCGGGCTTGGAGATTTGGCTTGGATCAAAACAGAGGTGGTAGCGTCGCCGCCATTCGGATTGTTAGAATCCCACGTGGCCGACGTGTTGGGTCGCTCGAAACCCAACGCTGTCGACGATGCCAAAATTTTTAGCTCGGCACCAAATGTGATTTCAAAGCCTGCGACGCACGTTAGCGGGGGACCGTTTCCAAGAGCCAAAACAACAATGAAGAACATACGTTGCTGCAGGTCTGCGCGAGTGGCTTGGTGCGCCGGCCTTGAGTAGTGCGTCAGACATCGCTTCACCGCCATCGCGTAGTCCAGAAGTGCAATCCTGAGGGCATTCTCCATTGGGTCCAAAGGCTTCGCTGCCTCCTCCACCTCGTCCTCATCTTCCAGGTCAGAGCTCGCTTTTCCCTCGTCTTCCGACACTATCAGCTGGCGATAGTGCGAAACACTGGACACAGAGTCAGGATCCACAGCCAACATCAGCGCGTCCGTCAGGCTGGATAACGCCGTGTCTTCGCCGTCTTGGACCTTCTTCTCCAAAGCCAACAGCTCAGCAGCCTTGCGCGTTGTCCTTTCGATTGCTATTTGAAGTGGTCCGAGCGTGACCGTTGTCTGGGAGATGATCTCGCTGCGCCTGAGAATGGTTGGGAATGCTTCAGCCGTGGTAAACACGGCCTTCTCCAGGCTTTGGTTTTTCACCCCGACATCGCTGATCTTCCTTCTTGTGGTATGCGTGAACGTGTTTGGCCGCGAGAGCAGATAGTAGTCCCTCACGGACTGAGACACCTTGGCCCTCTGGAAAATCGGATGCGTCAAGTCTCGCTGTGCACTCACGTTGTACACGTAGATGTACTGTCCTTCCAGGTCTTCGCCAATAGAGCCCGCGGTCGATACCTGAGCAGATGGGTGTTGCTCTTGCAGCCTGTCGACGAACGTGGACATATGATCGGTGGCGAGGCCTTGGAAAATGAACTCCTTATCTCGCAGACTGGGCGGGAAACCGAAGCCTTTATAGATGCATCGGAAGTACCGCGGGTTTTCGCGCTGACCTTTGCCGATAGACTCGTAGATGGTTGCCATCGCTCGCTGGGTCCGGGCCAGCTTGCCAAAGTCGAACACGTTGTGCTCATACTGGTCCGCTAGCTCCATGTAGCTGCCGAGCGCGTTGTCCCACGACTGCCCATCTTCATAGTACTTGATCATCTGGAAGTAGAGTTGCTCTTTCCTGTCGAACGCTGTCTGTGCAGGGAAGAACGGGTCGCGTAGTTCTTCCACCGTGTTGGATGGATCCCAGTCGTACAGATCAGCATGCAGTCGCAGCGCCAGCCCCGCCTCCGTGTAATTCTTCGAGCTGGCCTGGAGGTCTGCGAGTTGGTGTACATAGCGAATGAAGATGTCCTCCTTTTGCATATCCTTCAAGAAGTCCATGAGATTCAACGTGTCCATGATGCGGAAAATCTCGCCGTTGCCTTCGCTACTATGCACCGCCGCCAGCAGATCAAGCAGCTCGTCCACCGTTGCCACAAGATTCTTCACAGCAATGAAGAGAGCGTCTTCGGGACCTTCTGATATGGGATCAAAGCGTTCGATAAGCTCACCGATGAACATCTTCTGAAGCAGAGTCTCCGCTTGCGTCTTCCGCATGAACAGCTGATCCAGACAGTCAATGATTTCCGCTTGGATGAGTGAGAGGTCTTGACTGAGTGTCCATTCGGAGATGATCATCGTCTGCATGACTTGGATCGCCACGCGTCGTAGGCCCTCATGCACGCTGAGGCAGAGTTCTACAATCGGTCCAACCAGGCCGGGCACATACTGCACTTGATAACCACCAAGCTTCTCAAGGCCGTATTGCGTCTTGTCCTCAGGGCTCGTTTCCCATCCGATCGCCTCCCATGTCCGACGCAGTAGATCGGCACCAAGCTCTCGCACGTCACCGGCAATTTTCCAGACAGCCCTTCGCTTTTGTTCCGGGAACGTCTCGAGCGCCAGAGCGTCACTCCCAATCAACTTGATCAAAGCATCGAAGAACGCTCGCCACAGTTCCGTGTTGAATTGGTCTGCCTCGTCAGGATGCGGCAAAAATGTGTCGATGAGAATGCTTGAGAGCTTCTCGAGGCTGCGCATCGTCGAGCGGTGATGGTAGATGTGGACGCTGAGCCAAGAAGGTGGGTACGCCTCGCCATCCAAGATCGAAATGTATACCTGCAGCGCGCTGAAGAGGAACTCCGCAAGCTCTTCCCGTGGAAAGTCGAAGGCAAGTGAAATAGGCAGGCTGGTGATGGACGCTAGGACTGCAGCAATCTCCACCATGGCTTCGTCAAAGTCTGAACGTTCTTTCGCCAACGGCTTCGTCTGAAATGGATACGCCCCTGGAAAGAGGAGAGACAGTGCCTTCCGCGGCGTTCTTGGTGCGCTTTGCAGAGCTCGGTACGAATCCACCAGCTTTGGGATGTGCTCACAGGCCTCTTCGCCAAACTCCGCCACCTGCGAGGCAACCACGGAGCAGCAGAGTCTGACCTGTTCACGCCACTGATCCGTGATCATCTCCGTCTTGCCCCAGTACGGCGCCAGCCATCGTATTGTCGTGACCCTAAGCTGCTTCTTCACCTCCGGCAGCTTGAAGATGTCTAGCTGCGAAATATTCTTGATGAGGACTAGTCTGTACAGAATGAGCTTTCCTTGCGCGTTCGAACAAGAATCCACAAAGTCAATCGCAGTGCTCAAAACCTCCTCCGGCATCATCATGCCGACGAGCTCCGGGAGCCAGGAGTGGAAGTGCTGCACAACCAGCGTCTTTGTACCGACGAGAATAGGAGCCGGGTTTCGCATGAGGTCGTGCAGACCCCGGAATATGCCTTTCATATCGCTCAAGAAAGCCGTGTTGGATTTCAAACCCACAGTCTGCGCCTTCTTGCGAATCTGCTCGGCGCGTCCCACAGCAATGAAACGGAAGATGTGCGCACCTACTTTGAACGTCGCACGAAGCTCACGGGACGTCTCAGTGTCTGTCGGGTTGGCGAGAAGTCGTTTGAAGCTTCGGATCAGGCATGGGGTTGCCGCCGGGAACCTAAACCGTTTCTCGGCATACTGATCGACCAGCGGCGCGAGTTTGAAGCGCCTGTCGTGGACGATTCCGAGGACGAAGACGAGGTTTTTGAACACCAAGGTTTCATACTCTTCACTTCCGGCTGCATCGACGAGAATTTCGAACAGCGCATCAAATACTTCGTTGAGCAGCTTCACGATCTCAATCTCGGGTACGAAGGCAAACCTGCTCAGTAAGCTGGGCACCTCGCCTGCTGGCTGCGACTGCCACTTCAACAACCCGAGCAGGTTGGGGTCTTGGGAGTACTTGGTGCTGCACAGATATGTTCTTAGATTCAGCGCAGCCAGTGGACCCTCAGAGCGAGCCCCCTTTTCCGCCTCCCACGGCAAGGCAAGATAGGCACCCCGTCCTGAAATGATGCTCGAGGTGTATTCGTCGTACTGATAGAGTGCCAACACGTGTTCGTTGTCCCGAATGAAAGCATTGTCGTCCCAGAGCGGCATCCAGCACAGAGCAAAAGGAAATCCGGGGAGGTCGGCGATGCTCATTACAACGTGGGATCCAGGCACGTCTTCCGGTGCAATGGCGAGTCGTATCGTGAGGTTCCACGGTTCTCCTCGTTCGACCGCCGTGGTCCTCCACGCTGTATGGCCCTGGCTGTTGCATGAGGGAAAGATGCAATTTTCTATACGCTGGCCCGTAGATCTCCTCACTTCAAGGGTAAGCTGTAGATTGGCGAGACCTTGCTGCGCGCCGAGCGGAACTGTGCCTGTCTTTGGGTGTGACAGGAACGCGTGACGGGGTAGAAATGCGTCCGTCAAGGTAAGATAGATGTCGCTTCGTGGTTTGTTCGGCGCGCCCGAGAAGCCCATCTTCCGCGTCTGGCTTATGTTCTGCAGCCAGGTCGGCGTTCTTCTGATCAGCGCATCCGCATCGTTGTCTGCGAAAGCCTTGATGACGACCTTCATGGGCTTCGGGAATGAGTACTTCTTGTAGTCACCGCTCTGGCTGGGCAGCAGCTCGGATAAAAGTGCCTCCCAATTGCCCTCCGCGCTACCTTGCTCTTCTACAGGCCCGATGGCAGGAGTCCACAGTGCAACTTCCTGCTCAATTTCCAAATCTTGCTTGAGAATGTGATCGACTCGTATCAAGCCAGCCGCGACCGTCCTTTTCACCGTTTTGCTTTCCCGCGTGGGAGGTCTGCCCTCGTTGCCTACGCTCTTACGACCATCAGACATGCTGTCTTGAGGAGAGATATCCGACCCCTCGGTATCCTTGCGCGAGCGTGTGCTGCCGAACATAACGCTTCTTCTTCCACGGACGCTTCCACTGTGGGCCAACTCTGGTCGGCCGCTCGACGTGCTTGTTCGAGAAGCGGAGGCAACCTGGGGGCTACGCAGCGGCTCGTTGACGATTATCTTGAAAGCCAACCACAGCGTCGAACCGGCCCCGGCGCCCTCTCCCATATCTGCAGCCCCAAGGTCTACGAAAAGCGTCCTCATGTTGCCGTCCGACGACATGCCACTGGCGGCGGAGACGTTGATCGCGTGCACCTCCGAAACAGGCAGCAATGGCTGACCAGGCATCTTGTTGCACAGGTGTATTGCAATAGTCCTCGGCGCGGTCAGCTCTCCAAGTGAGTCTGGCAAGCCGACGTACAGATGGCGCGCAATGTGCTCGTCTGTTGGGACGATGGGTTTCTCGTTGAGCAGGCTCATCATCGACTGCAGCCTCGTGATCTCGATCGCAGAATCGTCGCCGGTCAAGATTCGACCACGCTGCTGCGGGTTGCGCACGATAACCTCGCCCGATAGCATCTTGTTGCCGTTGACCAGGTCCCACACGGCCGATTCCCGCAGACTCTTCAGCTCTTGATCGGTGAGCACCTTGTGCAACAGCTGTCTCCTGTCCGTGTCCAGTCTCTGCACAATCGTGGACATCTTGTCCAGCTTGCCGTAGTGTCTCGACAACAGCAGTTCATGAAGTTTCGTTGAATGCCACTCGCGCAGGCACGACGCGATCTCGTCCACAAGTGGTTCTTGCGCAGACGTTGGCGTCTCGTCGCCAATCTTCAGCATCGGAACCGGCGCGGGAGGACGAGGAGAGCCCGGGTCGCGTGAACTTAGCGACAGGGGCGAAAGCGGTAGAATCAGCTGTGAGCTGTCCGACTTGACCGTCTGCCTAGACGACGAAATCACCGTGGCAGACTTCATGGCCTTGCCCACAGACAAGTGTGCGCCGTCGGCCTCAGCGTTGCCCTTGCTCGAGACCGCGCTCGTCGGCGACGAGCCCGGACTTGAGCTCCCGTTTGGCGTCGGCATTCCATTGACCTCGCGCGCCTCCCCATTCACGGGCAGCTCGCCCTTCGCCCTGTTGCGCTCTTTCGCAGCGCCAGTGTTCGCGGGGCTAGCGCCTTTCGTTCTCTCATCGCCCAACACCTCCCGGACTTCGACGCACACCCGGGGAAAGATGCCGGAGAAGACCCTCGCCTCCAATGTCTGGCCCTTCACGCTGGTGAGGCCAGCGAGCAAGCTCGGCGGCGCCACGAGGTAGCCTCTGTACCACTCGCCATCTCGACCGCCCTGCTCAATGATATACAGCTCATCGCCAATCTCGAGGGGCAAGTCGGCGGGCGAAGAGGCGGCGAAGGGGTATGTGCATACTCCGAAGGCGATTCTAGGGAGCGGCCGCCAGGGCATGGTTTTAAGTCCGCTTGATTGCGGGAGTAGGTGCGCGCGCGGGTGCGCGGTAGATGTTGCTGCGTAGTATTACTGCCGTAGGCGAGCTGCGGAGGCGTAGCAGCTGCTGGGCATTACGCGCGGGATAGGCCTTTGCGGTCGACGCTATGGCGGGTGCGGGCGCGCAACTTTCTTCACGCGGGTTGTGAGCGACAGTGAAGAACGGCGTAGGACGACAGCTACGCAGCTGCAAAGCGGATAGAGCGATTGTCGCAAGTCTCTTTGTTTTATGGGGAGACAAGAACGAGCGGACAAGCAAGCAAGCAAGCACAAAAAAAATAAAGAAGAAGCAGTTGTGTCAAAGGTAAACCCCGTCTGGAGGACTTCCCAGGATCAAGGGGTGCCCGTTTAGGGCCAGTCTGGGCGGCGTCGATAGAACAACGGCGGGAGCTACGCCCTGCTAGCGAATGATATTGCACGCTGCTGCAGAAGGGAGAAAGAGAGTAAAGAGAAAGAGAGGGGGGAAACAATGGGCATGCAAGAGGGGAAAAAAAAAAAAGAAAGTGCGGGACTGCAAAGGCTGTCCACGTCCTTGCCTCGCGGTTCATGCAAGGGCGGTGAAGAGGGAGTCCTTTGTGGTGGGCGATGTTTGGAGGTGCGGCCGGCACAGCTTCTTCGCATTGCTTTGTCTTGCCTCTACAGCTTTTTTCTGTTTGTACCGGCAACGGGCAAACGGCCACACGCTCTGCACCATTCTTCTTCTGCAGACCCGTCCAGGCGGGAATGGCTGTCTCGTCTGAGGCGAAGCCGCACACAATGTTTATCTGTTCTGACCACCGAGCAGGCGCAGAAGAAGCCCGCGCCCGGCACGCGTCCCTGGCTTGCTTCACCCACGAGCAGGTTCAACGTACGCTCTCCCTTCCGTCCAGGCACTCGCTGCTGGGCCGTCGCGACTCAGTGTCACGGAAGCAAATCCTCCTCCAGCGGGACGACCCTGGGGGAAGCTCAGCCAACCTGGCGGCTGGAAGAGGACTAGCCGGCCCGTCTTGCTTGGGCTCCATCCTTGGCCGGCTGCTTGTCAGATCCCATGGGAAGACGCGCCAGGTGGCCACCAGTGAGCAGACGCAGCCGGCCAAGCGGCTCCCCTCGCCAGCAACGCGCACGCAAGCGTTCGAAGAGCGACCGTCGACGGGCGGGTTTCCTGTCTTTGCCTGCGCTCGTTCTCGTCTGAAGACGGAGAAGAGCAGGGGCGCGGCAGGCGGGTGACAATGAAGCACAGTATTCTAGAAGGCGCCGCGCCGCACGTCCGAGCAAAAGAGGAATAATGGATTCAGATAAAGAGCGCAAGGGGGGGTGGGGAGAGCGACGCCGGCCCCCAGGCGGGCCACGCGTGGGAAACTCCGCAGCGATCACGAGCGGCAGAAGGCCAGGAGCTGCAAGTTACTTGCTGTTTGTGCACCACGATGGCAGAGAGGCAGCGCGAGCTTGCGCCAGTCGGTCGCCGAACTGGTGCTAGCCCACCGCGCCCTCCGCTCGTGCTGCCACCAGCACTGCCAGCGCTGCCGGGGCCCGGCTCCGCAGTGGGACGCCCCTGGAAGACGCGTCCGAGGCACAGAAGAGAGAGAAGGCCGGCGGCAGGAGCAGACAAGTTGCCGCTGCCATGAACCAACTTGCTGAAACCCGCCGGATTGGCCAGCTTCACTCGTCAACTGCGCACGCCGCCGTCGCACCCGCGCCGCTCCCGATCCCTCCTCCCCATGCGTGTGCAGACGTGTCCGTCGCGGACGCTGGGTCGCGCACGTCGCCGCCCGTCGTTGCTTCGATGCGCAGCCATGAAGCCGGCGCGACGCGCAATCCCACGTCTTGCCCGCCCTCGCGCATCCGAAATTGACGCCGCAAATGGGCCCAGTCTCACGCCGGAGATCTTCACGATCGCCGTCTTACTTGGGCCCGTCAACCTGCATACGGCCAGAGGCGCGAACCGCGGGCTCCGGTCACGAATGTGTCCCTTGGTCTTTCCTTTCCGTAGGGACGATCGCCGTTGCCATCATCAACTATCGTCCTTTTCTTTTCGTTCTCATTGTTCTCGTGCCTGTACAATGTAGCGATCGTCAAAGCCAGTACGGTGATGGGCATGACAATGATGCTTGTGATGAGGGGTTTATGCGACACCTGCTTTGTTTCTTTGTCTCTTACACAAACACACTCTTGCTCTTTGCCTCTCTCTCTCTCTCTCTCTCTCTCTCTCTCTCTCTCTCTCTCTCTCTCCCTCCCTCCCTCCCTCCCTCCTTCCCTCCCTCCCTCCTTCCCTCAGACACACGTACATTCAAATGCATACGCACGATTACTTCGTATTTCGTATGACCCCATGGCCATGCCATTGCATGCACGACAGGCACCGACGCAACGTGCTACGCTGCGTTTGCCAGCCTTCTCATGCGAGCCAGTGATGCCTTACCCGCCCGGCTCTCATTTGATCGTGAAACCTCCTTTGAGATCCACTCGCCCACCTCTGCAAGCCTGACCAGGTCCACGCCCGTTCGCAGCCCCAGAGTTTCGAAAAGGTAGACTAGATCTTCGGTCGCGACGTTGCCCGTTGCTCCGGGGCTGTACGGACACCCACCCAGGCCACCCACGGCAGAATCAAACGTCCGAACGCCTGCCTCCAACCCCACCATCGTGTTGACGAGCGCCTGTCCGTACGTGTCGTGAAAGTGGAGCGCGATGTCGTTCGTGTCCACGCCTGCGGCCGCCAGCGTCTTCAGCAGCTCGCGCGTGCGAGGCGCGGTCCCCATTCCCGTCGTGTCGGCCACGCTGATCTCGTCGGCCCCCATCTCCAGCAGCGTGACGGCCAGTTCGGCAACCTTGTGCGGGTCGACGTTTGGTCCTTCGTACGGGCAGCCCAGCGCAACCGAGATGTACGCGCGAACCTTAATCTTGTTTTGCCTGCCCGATTCAAACACTGGCTTGAACCGCTCGAGTGACTCTGCTATGCTGCAGTTCGTATTTTTCTGCGTGAACGTCTCCGTGGCGGCCGTGAAGATGGAGAGCTCGACTTCAGGGCGGTTGGACGGTGGCGAAGGCGGTGGCGTGAGCGGTTCAGTCGACGCTTGTTGCTGCTTGTTGAACACGGAGAGAAAATTGTCCACGCCTTTCTTGTTAGGTACCAAGAACTGATACACGATGGGGTCAGGTGCTTGGGGAGGTTTCGTCAATATGCTCTCCAAGATCTCTGAGGAGTTCGCCATCTACGCTGTGTCAGTTCCGATCCCCGACCCACGGGTAACGAGCGATTCGCAAAGCTTACCTGCGGAGTCCACTTTGGAGACACAAAAGAGCCAGCTTCAATCGTTCGAAGCCCCGTTTCCGCCAGTCGGTGTATGAGCTCCAGCTTAGTGTCTAACGGGATCGTCTTCTTCTCGTTCTGCAGTCCGTCCCGTGGGCCGACTTCAATGATATTGACCGCGTCCTTCGTAGCCGTGCTGGCATACCCTCTGCGGGCACGGATACGACATGCTGAGCACCGGTACCCCACGCGAGCCAGACGAAACAGCGAGGATCTCGAAGCCATTGTGTAGGTGTATGGAAGAGTGAAGGCAGATTTGCCAGTTGCGATCACAAACCTCGTTCTGAGGGTACAGACGGAAAGCTTCCCCACAATCCACTAGGCCACATGCGGGACAAGCTCCGTTCGTCTGTGCAAATTTCCCACAGATCCAGGAACCACCACTGTCCCCTCCTAAAGGCCGGCTCATCGAGGACTTTTCATTGTGGTTGGAATCGAATCTAGAATTCTTCTTTAAGATAAACAAGTCCCCTTTTTCTATGCTTAGAGTACTCCTGCGTCGAAATCTCTACGCGACACAAGAAGCAAAAGAAAGAATGCCAGCTTAAGAGTGCAATCAGGTTGCACACAAGGGATTTTCTCCACCATCAGCAAAAGCAGGCACAACTAATTCGCATCCTGTTGCATTCGTTAGGCCCAAAAAGGATTTGTCTTACGTCAAGTCTCTTTTGATCAACTTTAATGTGCTCATTTGTCTACAGAAGGGCAGCTGCGCTCGCTGTCCTCTGCAGATGCCGCATCTCCTCCCTAAATGCTGAGGTTTCCTTTCCGTGTCGTGACAGTATCAAACATACGTAGTGTATGCATTTTGGGAACCTACGATTGCGTTGTATTTCAAAGTTGCTGCTCTAAAATCGTGCGTACGGGAAAATGTCCTAGCGGAAAAGGTGCATTTCGTTGGAACCTTTCCTGAGAGCCGATACTTTGCGAGAACCAAACGTACGGCTGCCAGCCGCTTGTAAAACCAAGTATCAACTTCTCGATGATGCGGGTCCTATTGATGAACCTGTCTTGATGCAGATCCTTCCGTCGCTCGACATCCAGAAGAACATACATTCCAGAGAGCAAATACATCTACACGTATTTCATCATATGGTATGTGAAGCGGCCATCACGCGTCTTCGCATCAGGTTTCTTGACTCGGATCGATGCGTACAGGCAAACTTGAAACAGCGACAGAAGCACGTTACGGCGGTGATAACGCATCTACGCTAGAATGGCTGAGGTCCCGTGAATGTGTAAACTTGGTGGTGGCTGAAAGTCAGCGAAGAGAAGGCGAGAAACGGGGACGCCTCGCGCCATGATCCGCCATTTCTTGCAAGGGCACGCTATCAACGATTCCATACCATCCTCGAAAATCCAAATCCTCATCCACACGCTCAAAGTCCTCGAAAAAGGAAGACAGGGCCGCAAGAGTAGATGTTTCAAAATGGTAGTCTGTAATGGCCACTACCATTGTCGTCACCGACCTGTGCATTAAAGCCTTTGGCTTCACTCCGGACGTAGTGTGCATACTTTTTCTCCGGGCTGGCGCCGGCTTTTAGCGGCTGCAGGATTGAAAAATTTGAGCCTACTCGGAATTACGCAAGCAATACCCCATTCTACGCCGGTCATTCAACGTGGGCTATCCTCTTGCTGAAGATGAGGTCAGGCAGTGCCGCCTTAGTGGACGGAGTTAGTAAGGATCAGTAACATCACTCGGTCGAGTTTTTTGCCATTGCTTTGAACGTCATTGTCCCAAAGCATGAAAACGTTGTGAAAGAAGATGAAGGCTTCTGTGTGTCAGGGTTCTCTTTGGTGTCGGAGACAAGGCACCAAACTTGACCCCGATGCTTCTGGAGATAGCGTCATATTCTAATGCTATTGGGCCGTGATGTGTAGGACGATATAGTCGTATAAAAAGGTTGGAGCTCGCCTTGCTAGAGCTTAAAAACACCAGAATCATTTGAGTCAACTTGATACCCCTTGTCTTCTTGAAGTCGACAAAGCCAAAAAGTACACCATAAGTCGGAAAACAAAATGACTACCAAGTTGGTTGGCAAGACTGTCGGCACGACAGGCTTTGGCCTTATGGGCCTGTCTTGGAGAGCCAAGCCTCAGCCGATCGAAGACTCGATAGCGGTGATGAAAGCTGCGCTGAATGCCGGGGCCAACTTTTGGTAAGCACATTGTCCGCTTCAAGAAGAGAAAAAGTCGCCTTCGTAGCCATCCGCTGAACGCGTCGACAGGAACGGCGGGACCTTCTACGGCACGCCCGAATACAACTCTGCCCATGTGCTCAAGGCGTACTTCGACAAGTACCCGGAGGACGCTTCCAAGGTCGTGATCAGCATCAAGGGCGGCCACGGCAAGGCCGGCATCGACGGTTCGCCCGAGAACATGCGCCGGGAGGTCGACAACTTCTACAGCATCGTCGGTGACCGCTGCAAGATCGACATTTTCGAGTGCGCCCGCGTCGACCCCAAGGTGCCCATCGAAACGACCGTGGGCGCGCTCGCCGAGCTCGTCAAGGAAGGGAAGATTGGCGGCGTGGGGCTCAGCGAGTGCAAGGCCGACACGATTCGACGCGCCGCGAAGGTCACCCGGATCGCCTCCGTCGAGGTCGAGTTCTCCCTGTTCTCCGTCGACATCCTGACGAACGGCGTCGCGGACGCCTGCGCCGAGCTGGGCATCCCCATAGTCGCCTACTCGCCGCTCAGCCGCGGCTTCTTGACCGGCGAGCTGCGCAAGTTCGAGGACCTGCCGGAGGACGACATGCGCCGGCACTACCCGCGTTTCCAGCCGGAGAATTTCGACAACAACCTGAAGCTCGTCGACGAGGTCATGAAGATTGCAAACGCCAAAGGCTGCAGCGCAAGCGCCGTCGCGATCGGCTGGGTGAAGGCCCACAGCGGTCATCCTGCTGAGATCATTCCCATTCCAGGAACAACTAAGCCAAAGCGCTTGGAAGAGAATATGCAGGATGCCAAGCTGACTTCAGAGGACATCAAGCAGCTTAATGAAGCAGTCAAGAAGTGCGAGGTGCTGGGTGGACGCTACCCAGCAGCAGTCGATGCTCTCTCATGGGGTTGATAACGTCAAGGACGGGATACGAGAATGTACTGTTGTGGCAAATAAGCAAATTGAAAAGGAATCTTGTGACCGTTTGACACACTTTTTGACTTCTATCGCACAAATAACTAGCCAAAAAGCAAGCCAGAAGTCCGAACCACATGTTTGTCTATCAAAGCGGAGATTCATGAAAAAGGAGAACAAATGCGCGATGCATTATGCCAAGTCGGATGCTGGCACACGCTTTCGTAATGTACAGATCGACATCATCCCGCTAACACTCAAAGGCACCGTGCAAGCTCATTCTTCCTATTACCGCTCCCACCCTAACCTTACATACACCCGTCCGCTACTGTTGACGTCGAGATGTTTACTTGGTCTCCTCGCGGAGGAAAGTAATGAGATCATTTCGATCCTTGGCCTTCTTCAGACCACCGAAAGCCATCTTGGTGCCTGGGATGTACTTCTTTGGGTTTTCTAGGTACTCGAACTATCATCTTACGTCAGCGCTCCAAGCTCAGCGGATGCGTCGGCAAGCAGTATCAACGTGCGCATCGACACAATCTAATAGACATCGCGATACGTTGCAAGAATTATACAAAGTCATTCACATCGCCTATGACGCATTGTGTGTTCTTTGCTACGGTATGCTTGCTTGCCATTTTTTGGTTCAAAACTTACGAGAGTTCCCTCATCCCATGTGATGCCCTTCTGCTTGTTCGCATCGGTGTATGAGAAGCCTTCGACCTGGCCAGTCTTGCGGCCGAAAAGGCCGTGCAGGTTTGGACCAATCTTGTTGCCCTCGCCCTCCTTCAGAGTGTGGCACTGAGCACATCGAGTCTAGATGAACGTCAGTTGCTTTTCAAATATATAAAAGAAAAGATTTTTATGGATCCCTTACCTTGAAGAGGTTGGCACCCTTCTTGCTATCGCCTAGATGAGTCGAATTGTCAGCATGCACATTCTTGGAACGTCTCTCAGCCGCGGTGACGTCGCCAGAACTTCAAGGCTCGTTGCAGTCCACAACACGAGAGTCAAAGACTCAATGGCAGTAAAGAGGGCACCAGCAGTTAGATATCGATGATGCGCAAGCAGTCATCGATATTTAAGAGTTGGATACAAAGAGTTTCCACCATGTAGTCGATGATTCGCTCTCAAGACGTCCTCGTACGATGGGAATCGCCTACCTTCTTCGAAGCCAGCCATCTTATCTGAAGTGGATAGGGAGATTTGACGATCGTGAGATGTCAAGTAGCTTTAGTAGAAAGAAGATAGTGATGAAGTTTTCGCGGGAGAGTGTGGATGGAGGAAAAGATGAAGGCGTGGTCGAGTCTCAAAAGAAAAAAACCCGCGGTGACGCTTCGGTTGCCAGAGGCAGCACGAGCCACACGGACGCCACAGTTTGGGCGCTTTTCTTTCCATCAATCCGGCTGCCGCCGAATCAGCAGCCGTATCTTTGTCATCCGGGCTTGCATCCACTTAGAGAGCGTGGACTGGAGTCTAGTAGTGGAGCCCATTATCTCGTTTCGAAGGAAAATTGTTAGGCGTAAAAATTGAGTTCAGTTCGCTCGACATGGTGCTTATGAGATGAGGGTCATTGTACGTAACACACGTTTTCCAGGTCCAAAAAAGGCACGGCCTAACCTTTAACTTCACTCGGGTCTTCATGTTCATCTCACTGCAGACTGTAAGATTTTGTAGCGGCCATTAACATGCTCGTCAACATTCTTTACACAAAGTTGAGCTTTGTATCTTTGCAAGCCGTAGCTCTGACCTTAGTATGGTCGGCCTTGGCCGGAATCCTGGTGTCACGAGCGCGCAAGTCGCATGACTTCGCTCGCATTATTTCCGGCTGGAATATGTTTACGACAAGACATTCTTTATTTAATCCGCCTTCTTTTTAGATTCGACAAAGTGGTCTTCTGGGTGAAGGAGCGGTGAAGATATTTCCCTCATCCAGTTCAGGTTACACAGCCTGGAGTGGCTCTGATAGTCAGCGAAGCCTTATGTCCGGCACCATGACAACTGCCTCCGCCTCAGAAAAGACATGGCTTGTAGTTGGGGCCTCACGCGGCATCGGCCATGAGTTGGTGCGACAACTTTTGAACAATGGCAACCGTGTTCTGGCCACTGTGAGGGGTTCCGAGTCTGTTCATGAGCTTTGGGGCAACGATCAAGCGACGGAAGCTAATTGCCAGCTTTTGCAATGTGACATGCTCGATGGTAAAAGCATCAATGTGCGCATTGGTCAAAATATCCCAAAATCTCTGGCTGTTAACAGCGTATAGCAATTCATCACAGACCTGCAGCATACAGGGACGAAAAGGATAGATTATGTGGTCCTCAACGCAGGAGTGTTGAAATACCCAAATGTAGGACACGTATCCATTGGGGTGACTTGAACTTGCTAATGTTCTCCACTGTACAGAGAGCCACTGAAATGTGAGATGTTCACTAGTTCCTTAAAAGTAGTGTGACATTTACAAATTGTAGCTCGTACGAGGATCTTGTTTTTCATCTGAACACGAACACCGTAGGTCCTATCATCACGGCTCGGAAGCTATTACAGTCCGGTGTCTCGATTGGGACGATAGCTTTTATGTCGAGTGATTCGGGATCCTCCACCGAGTTTCGGGATTTTGAGGATGGATTCGCAGCGTACGGCGCATCAAAGGCTGCGCTGAACCATATGCTCAGAGTCGGTATCTTCTCTTGAACATCGATGTGCGCTAACCGTTCCCTCAGCACATGGCTGCAGAGCTCAAACGAAAAGGAGCAGAGACGGTGATTCTCGCCCTGCATCCCGGTGAAGTAGCAACGTCCGTCTCTCTCGTTGCCTGTGTGTTACCCAGCTGATTTGATGCAAGCGACATGGCCAACATCGATCTTGGGTGGGAAGTTGAAGGCCAGATGACTGCAGAACAGTCGGTTTCTGCATTGCTGGAGGTGATCCCGAGCAAAACTCCTGATCAGAGTGGCACGTTTTGGACCTGGGAAAATAAGGTACGTCTGAAAAGCACCGTCTTAGACCTTTGAACAAGAGCCACTCGGCTAAGCGTAGATAAGCCGTATCCGTGGTGACGCAAGTCCTGTTAATAGTGGCACGGCGTGAGGCGACGCTGCGGGTCGCGCGTGCAGGTGCAGCACAATACTGTAGATTACACAACTTGTGGTAGGACGCGGGCCGCGAGCTTTGCTGCAGATCGAAGCCAACTGTCATGCTGGATCGTGTACACTGCAAAAAAGGTATCCGCTGCCACAAGGCGCTAGAGAATGATATACATGGTGGCAAAGAGATCCTTGAATCCGAAGTTCGCATTACATTTGCATTTCTGATTGGTCTTCGAATCAATCGTAGTGTCTCCCGTCCCCGCTCTCAACCTTTCAATCTGTGACTCGGAACTACGGGCAGCACATTGCGTGTGTGTGCATATGTGTGCGTTCGTCTGTGCACACGTCAGGACGAAGCGCTTGTAAACCTCCTTTGTTGCGTTGTGTTCAATTGAACGTGAATGCTTGTGCGACCTCTGCGTCAAGGCGCCTAAGTCTGGCAGGTCACAAACTACATGATACGCGATCGGACCGGCTTCCGCTTGTGCTGGAAGATGAGGATGTAGATGTCACGCTGTACGGAGGCACTGTCAGGATACATTCGCTCATCGTACATATCGCTCACGCAGAGCGAAATTGAGATGTGCGGCGTGCAGACTGAGCATGCACGTTGAGATGCGGGGGAGCCGATGACAAGAGAGGTGATTACGGATGATGCTTTGCCAGCGAAGACGATTTGGACGGTCGTCGACGCCGGAGGGAGGGCGGCCATAGTGGCACAGGCCAAGCGCGGCACTCCCGCTTCATCGTCACCGTCGTCCACGCTCGTCACAGCCGCATCGAGGCGGCAGAAGCATCTGCTTTTCGCCCCAGGCTTTCGTGGCGACTCCAAGTAACACGGGGCCCGTCGCTGCGGCTATCTGCAGGTCCCGGCCTCGAGCGTGGTGTGAGATTGGCTGGCATGAAGTTGCTGTGCCGTGGCCGTACCGTCGAGATGGCCATCGCTGCGCCTTCCCACGCTACCAAGAGCGCCAGCATCCCTGTCCTCGACCTCTCCACTGACCGCCTGTTACGCCGTCGTCAGCGGATACGGTGCTGAAGCACATGGACACTTCAGATTCTCCACTCAATGTAGGGCTGCGCGCCATCACACAGCCTGCAGACGCTTTGTCTCGCCAATTCACTTTTAATGCTCTCTTCATATCCGGCCCTGCTAAGCGCAACCTCATGAACCTTTCCTTCCTCGTCAGACCTTCCACAGATTGTACATCGCCCTGCAACACAGACGCTGGATGGACTATTCATATGACCCAGTTTCCCGCGGTGCACATGGGACCAAGCATGACTCGTTTCTCTCTCCCAGCTCACATGATGTCTACGGATACTCCCGCAGCTCCAGATCCAGCGTCCGCCTTGATGTGCCAGTCGCTGCCATGAACCGGAACAAGTCCGTCAATGAACGTGAGCGCCGACCGTATCATTATGAACCAGACCATCGCTCGCGGTCCTCGATACGGCGGGAGGATACGTATCCGGAGTTTTCGAGGCGGTCGAGGTCAACCCGCCGAACAAAAAGCTGGCCCCCACCGCCGAGCGTAGAGGATGAAGATGAGTCTCTTGCAAGGGAACACCCGAGACGCTCTAGCCCAAAGCCTGCAGATGACGAAGTGTGCATGCCTGGCACCATCGATCAAAATCCTGTCTTGATCGACCTTGAAAACCATGAGCGTCGATTTATCCTAGTGCCACAACATGACGCCAAGGAAGAGACTTCACAGCCAAAGCAGCAGCGTCCACGCAGCGAGCAACTACCATCCCTACGGATAGAAGTCGAAGAACCAGATCTGTTTAGTCGCAGACAGCCATCTCCTTACGCGTTCTCGAAATCTCCAGGCTCGGCCGGAAGCAAAGAGTCGGCTAACCCCCTTGAACCATCCAGCGCCAGTCCCGGTTCTGCAACGACCATGTCATTAAAGGACGAGAATGGAAAAAGATATAAGAATGGAAATTTTAGTTCAGATGAGAGTGAGTTGGAATCCCGTGCTGCAGACCGCTTCCAAGAACGGAAACCAAGGCTCGATGTACCATTAACTGGTTCAACCTCATCGTCGAGCCGACGACCAGAAGTCAAGCGTTTCAACAGCGATTGCACAAGTCCCACGGACAGCCGATCGCACCCTCCGACGGATGGGTCGGGCTTGTGTGAACGTGCTCCGAGGCAACCCAGTTCCGCGCCTACATCTGACGACGAGATGTCATCTCGAGTACCGGGCAAGAGCGCAAGCTTAAAACCTGTGGATATTTCAACACAAATTCCGCTCCGACAGCGTATTCATGCAGAGAGCCTGCGTGGCAGCAAACACAGTCTATATGAAGCCTCGGAACAAGAGCGCGGAAGCAGAATGAATACACCACCAGGCTCTCCAAAAATTGGGGAAAGGCCTTTGCAGAGTGATTATTATGGTACATCACGAAGTTCACGTCAAAAATCGTATACTGCGCAGGGGTTTGAGTTCAACGACTTCGCCAACGACCCCCCCCGCAGCGTCTCGTACAGCAATAGTGAGCAAAATAGTGCGTACGACTATGACCGTCGTCCTAATAGTGGCGTTTGGACTGCCACTCCGCAGTCACAAAATGCTTCATTCACAAGATCCAGCACTCTTCAGAATGATGCAAGTATGTCCGCGACAGTTCTTCCATATCCGTTGGATGACCCGATCGTTCATATGCCAAATCACGAGCATTTCATCGAAACGCCAACCTCACCTGCAATGCCGAATAAGCCGTATTTAGATGCACACAATGCTGGTGCCTCTAACCTCACTAGTCAAAGCACTGCCAAACGTCCAACGTTTCCATCTCGGTCCGAGACGACAAGCAGCGTTTCCAGCGCGTCTCGAGATTCAGACAACGCCAATACCTCATTGACTATGCCGAAGAGTCTGCCCGTGTGTCCGAGGATGGAATATTCGAAGGCTTATGACGACTGGTACACGCTCAAAGAAGATTCATCATTCGACATATGCCCTACTTGCCTAGAGGGGATAATCCGCAAAACACCATTCAGATCAGAGTTTGTGCCGGCTCGACGAAGGGGCGCATCTGTGCGCACTCGTTGCGATTTTGGCTCACCCTGGGTGAGGTTGGCCTGGTTGTTGACCATCAAAAGGCAACGCAAGGATCTTGAACTCATCTATGCGCTATCAGCCATCTCCAGTGTAGATTCGCCATGTCCAGATACGAAGGAGGGAAATGGTCCTTGGTATGGCCTACTAAGTACAGATGGCCAATTCATCCCTGGCTTTGCGATTTGTTCGTGCGATACGAAGTACATTGAGGCCTGTTTCCCATCACTCATTGGTCTCTTTACTCGCATTCCGGACAGCCTATCTGGACGAGACGCCAATATTTGTTCCATGCGCATTTCTAGTAAGCGATTTCCAACCTATCTCGACCTCCTGGAGGATATTGATGAGGAGGCACGTTTTGTACCTTTGGAATCGGCGAAAAGCCTTCAACGCCTTATCAGAGTGGTTGGTGCAGAAATGCCAAAAAAGAAGTGTACTCGAGACAGTCTTTTATATGAAGCTACATGGTATTACATGCCACTTCTGCCAGAGTTTACCGTCTGCGAAGAATGCTTTGATGAGGTCATCTGGCCAAGTGTTAAGCAGGGATCTCAGTTGGCAGATCGATTCAACAAAGTCCTAAAGCCGCTACCTGCAGGAGTTGCTGTAGAGGGAGCAAGTTGTCAGGTCTACAGTACACGTATGCGGCGCGTCTGGGAGCGAGCCGTCAAGTATGGTGAGAAGGACGGCATGATCTACCTGGCGCGGAAGGTTCGGGAACGGAAGGAGGTTGAGGACGATCTCAGGAGGCATCAGAAGGAAATAGCCAGGCTGCTGGACCGAAGCAAGAAGCTTGGAGGACCCACTGCAGCAACAGACAAAGAGCGACTGAAACGCGAGTTGGAGAATATTGAACGCGAATGGGCAGACTGGGAGTGAAAAGATAGGCTTTGTGAGGTTTGGTCTTCGAGCGTCTCGAACGACTTTTCGTCCGCAGAAAAATTATACCCCTATGCAACCCTGTAGCAGAAATACATGATCCTGAATGAATTGTGTCACAGACTTTGTGCCAACGTCCCCATCTTGTTGCGGAATTGCCCTCAAGCTGATGAAGCACTACGGTATCTAATATCTGGTAGGGGCGTGGCTAACCAGGCTAACCTGATTGGTCTTATCGATTGGCGGTCGAGGCATTTCAAAAGTTTTATGTTGGCCATACAAACCTGAGCAAAGACAACCGTTGCGGAAAGTTCGCGATGGATCCCGCCCTCGAGCAGCGACTGGAGAAGATTCGTTCTTCTCCTAAGCTGCAGAATCAACAGGAGGTCAGTTTCTCAGCGGCGAGGCGAAAGGAGCCAGTACAATTACAACAGCTCTAACATGTGCAACTTAGACCCGCGTGGTCCTCTCAGCAGTGGAGGACACTCTTCGCGATTCAAAATCCGAATTCACACCTACAGCTTACTTTGCTGCTCTTCTCTCGCTTCTCGACCAGTTCATATCTTCGGATAAGAACATCGTGAACAAGGACGTTGCGACCTCCATTGTGTACTTGCTCGACCTCATAACACCAAGCGTGCCGGCGCCGCTACTTCGCTCGAAGTTCACGCACATACTGCAGAAGCTCGCTACGGCACTGACGCACAAGGAGTCTGATGCTCCTCTACTTCGCCCGTCCATAGGATGCCTCGAATCGCTGCTTGTGGTCCAGGACTCTCAGGCATGGGCGCTACCAGCGAGCCAGATCAGCCCTCGCAGGGCTGTCGCTGGTCTCTTGACGATCGCTGTGGACCACAGGCCCAAGGTGCGAAAACGGGCTCTTGACGCGATCACTGTGGTTCTGAAAAATCCTCCGCCAAGCCCAAGTCTAGATCATCCTGCTGCGGACATGTGCGCTGAAAGCTCCTTGAAAACGCTGAGCGAGGGGGTTGAGGCAACAAAAAGACACAGAAAGCACAGCAAAGATGTCCATCAACACACGCCGAGCTTGATGCATGCGCTTCAGCTTGTGAAGACGGTTGCAAGCGCATCCGGCGGCTGGCCGAGCCGTAAACTGGATGCTCTGTGCGATGCACTGCTGAGCATTGCCAGATCAACGAATGAATACCTCACTATTGCGGCTTTTGAAGTGTTCGAGGTAATGTTTTCGGGCATGGCCAACGAAGTGTCGAGCGCGAAGCTACCACATTTGCTGGAAATTTTGGATCAGCTGCAGCCGTCTCCGAGCGATGGGCAATTGCTTCCGCCTTGGATCGCGGTGGTCTCTCGAGGCTACGATGTTTACGCGCAAATGGAACCTGACGAAGCGTTCCAGAAGTTACCGACCGTGTTCACGAAGATCTCAGAATTTCTGAGCTCACCGTCACACAACATTCGTGTCTCCGCCTCGGAATGTTTGATATCTCTTCTGGTCAATTGCATACCAGTTTCTGTCATACTTGAACCGTCTGTTATGGACGAGAAAACTCTCGAGAAGGTGGCAAAAACTGTCACAAATTTGCTGAGTGTGAAGTACCAGACTGCGTGGCAAGAGGTGTTCCAAGTTGTTGCAGCGGCATTTGAGAACCTCCGTTGGCAATCAAATCCAATACTCCTTCCTGCTTTGAAAGCTATTGGAGATCTTCGAACGTTGGACTCGTTTCATGGAAAGAAGGAGGCAGACGATGTTATTGGAAAGGCCATTACAGCCATGGGCCCTGAGGCTGTTTTCAATCTTTTACCGCTGAACATAGCAACAAACAGCAGCGAGCCCGGTAGAGCTTGGTTGTTGCCGATACTGCGTGTTTCGGTTCGCAATACGAAATTGGCGCACTTTCGATCGGACCTCGTACCCGTCAGCGAAAAGCTGTTTCAAAAAGTTATGGACCATGGAGAAAGGGAGAAAACTATGGACATCAAAATTTACGAGACCCTCGTGCACCAAATATGGGCTTGTCTTCCTGGATACTGTGATCTGCCGATTGATTTACAGCAGTCTTTCGATCAAAGCTTCGCGGAGCTAATATCAAATCTTCTCTATCAGCAAGTCAACCTGCGCACGGATATTTGCCGCTCTCTCCAGCTGCTAGTGGAGTCAAACAAAAGCCTTATGCTCCTGGACAATGACGATAAAGCCTTACGGCTGCTCCGCGTCACGAAAGATGACGCCCGGAAGAATCTCCAGCACCTGGCAACGTTCTCAAACAACCTTCTTGCTGTGTTGTTCAACGTCTATACCCAGACTCTACCTACATATCGTGGTCCAGTACTGCAATGCATAGATGCGTATCTAGGTATCATTCCCGAGAAGGATTTGACAGAAACATTTTCTCGAGTGATTGCGTTGCTGGAGTCCTCTCTTTCTGAAGCAGACAAGAATGGAACAGGCAAACAAGGGAATGACCGAATGCCGCCTATGAGCCACACACTCATGGATTTGGTCATCACCATTGCAGCCTACCTCCCACGTGACAGTTTAGGAACTCTTTTCAAGGTCGCCTCTGTGGTGCTGCAAAGAGAAGACTCGAATCTTCAGAAAAAGGCATACAAACTTATCCCTCGACTTGCCGAAACGGATGTGGGAAAATTGGCTCTGCAGGAGCGAAACGAAGAGCTACAGGCTTTACTTCTCCAAACAAGCATCAAAACACAGGCGGCTGCGAGAAGACAACGGCTAGCCGCGATTTTGCAGATTATTCGTACTTTGCCTCCTACAGACTTGTACTTCATCCCAGCAGTGCTTCCAGAAGTCGTCCTATGTACAAAAGAGACAAATGAGAAAACGCGAGCTGAAGCTTTCGACATGCTCGTAGCTATGGGTGAAAAGATAATGGGTGGAGGCACGATCCAGCAGTCGAGGGTACCAAATATGCCTGCCGATGCACCTCCAACGGAAGCCAGTCTGGTCGAGTATTTCACTATGGTATCTGCAGGCCTTGCCGGCTCGGTGCCACACTCCATTAGCGCTACGATCCTGGCATTGACGAGAATCCTGCACGAATTTCACACGAAGTTAGACCGTGAAACGATCACGGAGCTTGTGCAGACGGTCAATATTTTCCTGCAAAATCCAAACAGAGAAATTGTTCGCTCAGCACTTGGCTTCAGCAAGGTCTGCATTATCAGTTTGGACAAGGAAATTGTGCACCCTATGCTGAAAGAGCTCATTCCGATCTATCTGACTTACTCCAAGGAACACAAGGGCCATCTGCAGGCGAAGGTAAAGCACATCTTCGAGCGTCTGATTGGCAAATATGGCTTCCAAGAGATTGAGAAATACACGCCTGCGGAGGACCACAAGCTCATTACCAACATTCGCAAGCGCAAGGAACGAGCAAAGAAGAAAAAGAAGGCAATGGGCGAGGAGAACGATGACACGAAGGAGCGAAGCGTGTCACCGGAAGCGCAGAGAAAGCAAGGCAAGTTTGCCAGCGAGTACGACGAGGCAGTTTATGGAAGCGAAGATGACAGCGAGGCCTCTGATGTCTCCGACGATGAAGTTCTGGGCAGGCAGCGTCGCCACAAGGGAGCTGGCAAGAAACAAGAGACATACATCGTCGAGGACGAGGATGAACCACTCGATCTTCTTGACAAGCGAGCTCTTGGGCACATCTCAAGTACAAAGCCTGTCAAGCAACGACAACCGCCGGCTCAAAAGAAGAAGGTCAAGATGGATCTTGATGGCAAGCTCGTGTTCGATGAGGATGGCAATGTTGAATCGGGAACAGTCGACGATGGTGTCGACAATGATGATGCCATGGATCTGGAGAGTGGTATCAATGCTTACGTCGCAGCGATCAAGAGTCGCGATATGGGCGTTCGCAAGGGTAAGGCCGGAAAGATTAAGTTTACCAACAAGAGGGGCAAGGGGGAAGACGACGATGAAGACGAAGGAGATGAGATGGACATCGATGAGGCAGAAGTGAAAAAGGCTTTTAATAAGCAAATGCAGGGGCAGAGAGGTGGTGCGAATTTCAAAGGGCGCGGTGGTGGAATGAAGGCCGCAAGGATGCAGAGAAGGGGTTTAGGCAGTGAGAAGACGAAGGGAGCGAGGGTGGTGAAAAGTCCTCGGAGCAAACCTTCTCGTCGCTAAGATAGTCGTTGAATCGCCCTGTCGATTGAAATTGATTCCTAATGACGCACTCAAAGCTATTTGTTCTCTGGTCCTTTCGCCCCAATTGGGCGCCGAGCGCACGCTCTTTTCTTCGGATTTGATGGGTCAGCTACAACGCGGCAAAGTGGTTTTGGCACCAGTATGCGTGCATCCCTGAACTACTGCTTAGACTGCACATCGTCCGTATTCAAGCCACAGCTCCATAGCATCATCATATGAATTTCATCAGGGAAGGACGTGGGCGATCCTCAGGCCTCACACCGTCCAATCATCCTTTCGCGCTTCTGTCTTCCGGAGAAGCAAACCAGACATCCCCCCTTCATGCGGCCTGGCGAGCGGTCGCTTGCGGGGTTGACACGCAAGGCTGGCACCATTTATGCATGCATACATGCGCCGACTCCTCCAAAGGGAGTCACCGCAAGGCATGAGAATTGCACGCAGGTTGTGGCAAGCATTTTCGCCGGCATGAACGTTCGTCTTCTTTCACCTTTCCCCACAGCCGTGGACAGGCCGTTCGCACTCAACCACATCACAGAAAAGAAAGAAAGCTACTAGGAAATAAGAGTGAAAGCAAAAAAAAGGAGGAGGAAGAAGAAGAAGAAGAAGAAGAAGAAGGCATTCGAAGCTCGTCTTCACCTTGACTTCTTGGACAATGCCGCCTTCAGGGAGACGGGCGTACGTCGTTTTCAGCGCCATCTACCTCGTCGCGCTGACGTGCGTTGCTGTGTACGCACTCTACACGATCCAAGAGCACCGCTTGCCTATCCCAGCAGCTCTGGCTGCATTCACGCTGGCGCTTCCAGCGATCGCGGGCGTCGTTCTGGAAGCGTTGACGGGCGATGCAAACAAGGGCAATTCACGTTCCACGGTTCTATGGTCACCAAAGGTGGGCTCGAAAGGTTTGCTGTCCCACTATGGGGTCATCCTGCTCTTTGTGTACGAAGCTGTGCTCGCAACTTTGGCAGGCACGCATATTTCGCCGGTGAGCGGGCTGAGGTGCGGACTTGATGAGCGGTGGCTGGCGATGTTTAAGGAGAAGAATGCAATTATCGGTAAAATTCAGGATGCATTCCAATGTTGTGGACTGCACAGCCTTGTTGATAAAGCTTATCCATTCCCGAACAAAGAGAGAGGTGCAGATGCGTGTGTGAAGATGTACAACAGGCAGCGCAGTTGCTTTGATAGCTGGCAGAGTGAAGAGCGCCTCATGGCGGGGTTGTTACTACTAGTCACCATTGCCGTTGCAGTGTGGAAGGTAATCAATGTTCAAACTAGCATTAATCTTCAAAGTATGCTTACGCTCATGGATAGGTAATTGTTATCTACATGCAAACTCGAGGGGTATCATGGTCTGAAGAGGCTCAGGCCTTGAATAGGGAAGAAGATGGTGCCGAAAGACGTGCCCTGGAATACACCAGCGCAGAAACCCCATACCGAGACCAACCAGAAATTGAGGACGGCGTTGAGCAAGAGCAGCTCTGATAGACGGGCAAGGCTCATCCTGCCCTCTCGCAGAGAATGAGCAGAGGTACTTAAATTATGGAGCTGACCGCGGTCACTCGAACAAATTGTGTGATTGGATACATGGTCGAAGAAAAGTGCTCGAATGTGGAACATGGCAGGGTTCATTCGAGGAAAGATATTTCCAGTTCCGCAGGGAGAAGGAGCGGAAAAAGCTCACTCTCACGTTCTTTTCGCTTTAACAATCGAAATTCTTTTCCACAGTACTGAGTCAAGGATCCTTATTCATCGAATTTCGTGAATCCTGCGTGATTCCTTTGTTCAATGGCTTCTAAAAGCACCCGACAGATCGTATTTGGGACTTTTAGGACTCACGGGAGCGTTTGCGGCTTTGGATCCATCGGAGTCATGATGACTTCCGTTGCTGAGCCGAAATACCCTCTTCATACCCTCAACGCCCCGTTGCAAATGAGGATGGTTTGCTAATATACCGTCATCCCGTTTGGATCTGGCAAATTTATTTCCCGCATTAGGAGCTCCCCGCTTCGAGGCAATGCTGGGCTCTGGAGCCGTCCCTCGCGGTGGCCAATTGCCTTCGTCTTTCCATCCTTGTACGATGATGCGTGTCATGTCCGCCAGATTGATGGGAATGGCTGGTGTCCTTGAATCTCGCACGATTTTCCCGTAGAGCTCTGATTGCGAGCGTGAGGTGAGGGACATACGCACAGGGTTCGAAGGTGGTATTAAAGGTGGAGCGAGAGGGATCAGGACATCAATTAATGAGTCGGGATCTTTTGGAGGTTGGAAGATTGGTGCGTGTGAGGGAGGTATCCAAGGTGAAATGCTGGTGATTGAATCCGTGTGCGAAGTTGAGGTGTTTTCAACACCCTCCATAGATCCTGTTGCATTTTCTGCGGGCACCGAAGACACGGAAAGCGGGGTGCCTATGGGACTCGAATCCGAACTCGTCGCTGGCAGGTGTTGCGGTACTTCTGCCGCGTGCTTGATTCTCGTCTTCGGAACGGCACCAGTCCACGCATTTCTTCTTCTTAGAAAGAAGCACAGACCGGGATTGTACTGCAATTCTTCCTGCAATTCCTTCTTCCTTCTTTTCCTTCTCGCAGTGACCTTCCTGTCGATCTCGTCCCCCACAGTGTCTGGTGAGTCAAACGCATACATGCTCTCAATCATATGCGCTTCTTCATCCGATGAATCGTCTGTTGTCCCATAATATCTCTCCCTCAAATTCGGACCATTCTCTGGCGTTCTTGGAGGACTCGCACTGCCATGAGAAGCAGGAGAGATATCCGGATCCTGGTTTTGCAGAGGTGGCACGCCTTGTGGTAAAGCGGAAGGGTCTGGAAATTCCCAGTCGTTCCTAAGCTGCTGTTGCAGTTTGCGGTTGATTTCACGCACGGCAGCTTGCGCTGCCTTATCCAGCTCTTTCATGGCTCGCTTCTTCCTCTTCCTCTTCTTCTTCTTCTTCTCCTTCTCCTCCTCCTCCTCCAAGAGCTGGAACGATTTTGCAATGAGTTCCCGGTTCACAGGATCTTCAACGTGCAGGTGCAGGGTTAGGACGACGAGAGTATCGATCGATCTTGGGAGAGGGAGAGAGTTTCTCTTGCAAAGATAGGAGGAAGGGAGCAGAGAATGGGCGTGCGCAGCGCCGCGTGTACAACTCGTGCGGAGTTTAAAAACGGAGAGAGGGGCTTAGGCTGGTCGTTTTTGCGAGGCCGGCACGCAGCAGAAGGAAGTCACGCGACGGATCGTTCCCTTGTACAAAGACGAGGCATGTACTGCGTGCGCCGGAGGAAAATCCTGGCCAGTCAACAAAAGGACCGTTGAATGCTAGACCAGCAAGCCTGCTCGGGGAAGGGAGGGGATTTGCGCAGGCGTGGGGAAAAAAAGAGGCATTAAAATGTCACCCCAGGTTTCTCGCCCTCACTCACTTTGGTAGACTGTACAGGCAGACGCGCGCCACACCGTCGCGAAACGTCACTTGGTGTGGCTGAAGAAGAAGCCTGAGAGCCTAAGAGCCCAAGAGTGTTCAGCCTAAGAGTGTTCAGCCTTGCTGCCTAAGGAGCACCACGCGATGTTTTACTCGGGATCACCCGACGGCCTCCCGCCCCGTCGATGCCGTCGCTCCTAGCTAAGAGCGCTAGGTCTCGAGACGAACACGCAAAGAGAGCGGCGTTGGAAACATTTCGGGCCTCTCACATTGCTTACATGCAATGTTATATCAACGTTCATCTTGGTTTGTTTGCGTGTATCTATGCTCATCACAACCCAAGCTTCCTACCAGGAAAGCTTCCAAACGTCGCTCCCTTTGACCGTGGCCATTCGTCATGCGTGACTTGTTCGCTGCACGATGACTGGTCTTTATGCACACACACACACGGTTCATGGATCTACCGCACTCTTGGTAGGCTACACGGATCAGAACTCAGATGCATGCAAGGTACGTCTTACTCTAGGCCTCTTACACATCCTTGACCCTCGTCGCTGGTCGAATGTCTGTCTCGACCATCTCCAACCCCGCAAGACTTGGATATCTCCTCTGGAAACTGGCTTCCCAATCTTCATCTGAAGGATCCGTTACCGTTTGCGACGCTCCCCCGGTCCGCAACATTTTCGGCTTTGGTGCAACAATCGGCTTTGGCCCCGTCGAATTCGTTACCGCTGGCTTGGACATGCCGACAGGCTTCCGTGCAACCGGTGGTCGATCAACATGGGAACTGCGTTGCTGACCTCCATTGCCTTCTGTAAAGCGGCCATAGCCTTCAGCCGTGCGCGTAACCTGGACCTCCTTGGTACTCTCCAGAAGGTCTCGAACCCGGTTCTGTATTGCCGAACCTTTCTGTTGCGTAGCTAATCTTTCTGATGGGTTAGCGAGGCGGCTCTTGTAGGCAGCCGCGGCTGCTGCGACTCGCGCTTCCTCGCGTTCAAGTTGCTGCCGCTCCAGTTCACGTCGCACTTCGGGAGGAAGGTCTTCAGTCTGTTCCAGCGGTGCTGCCTCATCGCTACGTCCACTTGTGCCTGTCGCCTCTGACCCGGTGATTGGCGTCAATACGCGATTGCGTACGAGCTCATCTTCACGTGCTTCGCTTTCATGATTCTGTGCGTTGCCTTCGAACTTCTTGAATGCGTCGCTGAACTTGCCGGTAATGATGCTCTTGGTTCCGGAAAGTGATATCGAAGGGATACTCTTGCGATGAGACTTCCCGCTGCTACGTCGTCTGCTCTGCCTCTTGTTCGAACTACCTTCGAGATCGCGTAAGAAATTTATGTTTGAGTCTGGGTTCTCCGGGCCGTCATCATCCGAGGAATCATCCATAACTGCGGAAGAGTAATCTTGCCGATGCACTGCAACAGATGCGTTCTCCCTCGATGATTCGCGCTCCTTCAAGTAGTCTAAATTCGAGTCAAGATAAACACTAGAGGGTCTTGGTCGTGCATTCGCAGATTTTGAGCGACTGATCGGGTCTTCCAGATCTGCTGCTGTTGGCCTCTGGCCTTCCAAAGATGGTCGTGATGAGGAAGGCGAATGTGCATATAATGTTTGTGATTTCGTTTTATGCCGATCGAGTAAGTGTGACCTGTGACCTCCTTTCTCAGGCCTGGGCGGCAGCTCAGCATCAAAGGAGCTGATGGGCTGTCGTGACGTTGGCTGACTTGACGATCGTTCGGAGTCGGAAGGATGCTGAGGAACACGCCAGATTGGAGCTCTGGAGCTGAGGTCAAACCGTTTCGGTGGAGACGGAGAGGGAGGAGGAGATGTCTGGACGCCGGTCGAGACCATTGTTGAACGCTTTTGCACTGGCGCAGGCTCATATATATTTTGAGGCTGCGAACGCGTCTCTGCTAGTGATGGCACGAGTTTGGGCTCAGTTTGCCTAACTGATGTCGCTCGTTTCAGATCAGTGGTGCTGCTTGATTTACTCGTGGGTGCGGATTCTGTTGGTCCTAGTCTCAGCTGATTTACGGCTTGGCCGAACGCTTCGTCTGCAAGCGCTTCTGTCACTCGTTTGTTGATACCTTCTTGCTTAGGTGCAGCTGACGTGAGATCGCCGAATTCAAATTTAGCTCCTTGATCATGTAACAGCGAAAATTCATCTAACGATGGGAATTTTGCCGCGAGCTCATCCGCCGCCGCCGATCGAACCTTGAAGTCCTTGGAATCAAGAGCAGCGAATGGATCACTGCTAGTTCCTCTAGAACCTGCTGGTGTCGCTCTGGCAGATAAACTGAGGGCTTGGCCTGGGTTATTTGGACGGCCTCTTCGCATTGGGGTAATGTCTGGTATAGGTGTCTGAGATGGCAGATCTGCAGATTTCACCTTGGATAATCCCACCACAGGCGGCGAAGTCACATTTGAAGCTGTTGAAGGCAATTGCTCGTGAATTCGTGTCTCCGATCTTGTCCTCGTAGCATATATGTCCTGTATCGGACAATCCACATTCCGCATTGAGCAGACCTCACGAACGACTTGGTAGATATTTGGTCTCTGCTGAGGGTTCTCACGCAACATCGATGCTAGTGCACATTATTAGTATTTGGGACTTTGTTTCCATTGGAGTGCTCACAGATCAGTTTCTTCAGCCTTTCTGAGAACGAAGGATAGCTCGGGAACTTGAAGCTTGCGTTAAGTATCGCCATTTGGCCTTGGTCCTCAAATGGTGTAGTATAATAGCAAAGCTTGTACAGTAAGACACCCAAGGCCCATATGTCGCTCTTCTCGTCAATCGGCTGCCGTCGATACACATCGATCATTTCCGGGCTGCGGTATTGCAGCGTTGTGTGACGTTGGATATCATCCTCAATCAAACGTCCTTCTGCAGCATTTGTCGCCGCTGGTCTGGGTGGTGCCGTACTTCCGAAATCACAGAGTTTGTAAACCCTGCTGTTGCCCGACGTTGTGATGAGGACATTCTCGACTTTGAGATCCCTGTGGAGCAAAGGAGGCTTTAGGTAGTGCATGCATGCAACACCCAGCGCAACGTCCGAGAATATGTTGAGAATCTCAGGCTCTGTGAGCCTGTGTTGCAATCTGGTGTTCATGAAATCGATCAATCCACCACCGTTGCAAAATTCCATAAGCAGAAAGACCTCATATCCCCCCTGTTGCAGCTGGCTCGCATGAGAGTCTATATACGTAACGATGTGTTTGTGGCCCTTGAGCTTCTTCATAGTTTCCACCTCTGTTCTCATATTCGCCAACGCTTCTTTATCCGGCACCGCGACTCGTTTAAGCACCGCAGGATTGAATCGTGGATCGCCCTGTGGGTCGCGAACGAGGTATACGTGGGCAAAGCCACCCTCTGATAGATACTTTTCAACTACCACTCTATGCTTGCCAACCTGGACTTTAGTTCCCGGCGCAAACATGCCGGGGTGCGTCGATGTCGCGCCGGCGCCATGGTGACCGGCTGCATAGTTGAGCATGTTGGGCAGCACTAGGAGGGAGAGCAGAACAGAGGGCCTTCGTAGGCAGGATAGAGAGGCTTTTTGGCTATCTTGAAGGAGTCTTCATATGGGTAGGGGCGTTCAGTAGCGGGTATCGGATCAGCTGGCCATGTTGATATTATGGAAGCCTGGAATTGGAGATTGTGGTCGAAGGACTGAATCTGCCTTCTCGAGATGCGGCGTTGACATGGTCTACGACCCGATCCAGGCGACCAATCACAAGACCTCTAGCACAGGTATGCTGGCACCCAAACTAAAACTTCAGACAAGACACGGTCACGGTGCACGAGGCTACAGCGACAGCATCAGCGGAGACTATGCATGTTCTACTCCCAAATACCTCCGTCAGACCACGTGATGCTTTTGATGGCTGCTCGGATCTTCAACGTTACGTTTTGCTCTCCTAAAAACCCATACCGCCTACGCCAGCGCCCTAGTCTTCATCGTAACTCGCAACACCTTGATTTACGTATGATTGCATAATGTGCAGAGGAAGCATAATTTACGTAGAAGCACGTACGCATAGGTTACTAGATACAGAGCGAGAAGCGAGGCCACAACTACGAACCTTGGTCCCCGAAGAATACAGGATGAATCCAACGAGCCTGAAGAGCCATGAATGCATTTTATACCAATGCCTCAGCAAAATATGCTAGATATCGCGGGCCACTCCCTTCTTTTTCAAGTTAGGACTACGTTGACCGCTCATTCTGTTCTCATCTGCTGAATTGAACCGAACCACATCTTCAACATCATCTCACGCTTCAACGCCTGCCTTCTTCTTGCTTCTCCTGCGCTTCTTGCGAGTCCCATCCTTGATGTTCACCCCATCGCCACCGTCATTTTCCTTGGCCTTGTCCGTATGCGCTGGAGCACCCCCCACATACCAATCGTCCAGCTTTGGTCCGTCTTTGCTGCCAAAGGTCTCTTTTCTCCATTCCCTGAGTCTACCCTTCTTCGAAAGTCGCTTCTTATCTTTTTCCTTCTTTTTCGGATCTCTGAAGGTCGCGAGCTTCTTGAGACCGGCCCACTGGTTGAGTTGGGCATCGTCAGCTGCGAGAATGTCCAACGGTGTAAGCCCAAATGTAGTCGGTGACGTTTCGCGGTATGTGAAGCGGAGGCCATCATCCTTTCCTTGTGGCAGATGGTCAGTCAACGCAAGGGACTGATCCACCAAAGACTCGATTATGCGACGATCTCGTCGACTAGATGCTTTCTTTTCAGCCTTTTGTTGTTTGGCTGACTTATCCGTAACTTCTTTTTCTTCGTCACCCTCAGAGAGCGAAACTTTTTCGTCTTCGACAAAGTCTGGGATCAGATCCTTGATATCGATGTCATCGTCCCAAGTTGGCTTCTTCGGCCTTCGCTTCTTTCCCTTCTTCTCCTTTTCTTCCCCTTCCTTACTTTCGGCTTTATCATCGTCTGAAGAGCTATCGTCCCGATCGGATTGCTGATAGTATTCATCACCAAATCGTTTCCGCATTTCCTCATCAAAACGAGAGTCATCCCAATCTTCTTCCAGAACGTTTGCCCAATCTGTAATGTTAACCTCACGACCACCAGCTGCTTTTCGGATCATTTCAACCTTCTTTTCCATTTGTTCCACCTTAAGCTTTCGTAACCGAGCTTTCTCCGCCTCACGTTCTGCCTTCTCGGCGGCCTTCTTTTCTTGTGCTCGTTCACGCGCCTTTTTGCGGGCGCTCTTCTCCTCCCTGCGCACACTGAACTGCGACACAACATCGCGAGCATGCGATACAAGCTTCTGATTTGATACCTCCGGATCTTCGAAGCGCAAATTGTAAGCAGTCTCAAACTCTTCTGCTCGGCGATCCTCTTCATCGTCATCGGATTCCAAATGCGCGAAGCGCGAATCACTGGTTGGCACCCACGCTCGCGCCGCGAAGAAGTTGGAAAGGTATGTCTCCGGGTCTTTGTCTGCAGTTGCTGGATCTGGTAAGACCCGCTGAACGGTTTCGGCGGGTTTCTCTTTCACGGTTAAGAATTCTTCCTCGTCATCTGATTGAGCAGCCTCATCTGCAGCTTCTTGCAATGCTTTGACGAGGTCTTTCTTGATATCTGCCTGCTCTTGAACATATGTTTTTGGCTCGTCCCCGAGGTCTTCATCTCCATTGGCTTTAGCCAGTAAATTTTGTCGGTGATAATCCTTTAATGTCATTGGCTTTTGCTTCGGTTCTGCTTTCCCGTTCATCCCGTCTACTCCTTCAAAATCTTTATAGAATGAAGCGGTCTTGTCGTATACCCTTGGATCTTTGTTGCGGATAGCTTTTAGGGTCTCGTTGATCTCGGCATCCAACTCAACAGTTGCAAACTCGCCGTCATCATCCTCTTCTTCATCTGATGAAGATTCTGACTCGTCTGTTGCTTCGTCTTGGAACTTGACTGCATTTTTACCATACTTTTCCTCCACTACATATATGTTAGAATTGAGAAGATCAGATTTACGCCATAACAGAGTCGAGAAGACAAAGAGCCAGAGTTTGTTTACAAACGAGCAGTAGAGCTCTGCAACATTCAGGATCTCCTTATGGGCCTTAAAGATACCAGGAGAGCAGTGTTTTGCACAGGCACGTACATTTTTGTAGCTCTTTTCGTTTGTTGTTGTGCTCAAATCGCTTCGCAAAGTCCTCATTGATCTTCAAGTCAGTCACTTCGTCGTCGGACTCATCCAGGATTTTGACTTTTTTTGTTGGATTTGCCTCGATCGTCGCCTCTAAGTTCGGGCGTTTTTTGCCCATATTTGCCTGCTATCAATTTAGATGCAAAGTGTCTAGCTCTTAGATTTCACAACCGGAATAAATTTTGGCAATTGCAACTTTTTTTTTCTGCCAATGGCCGGCGGTGATGCTGAGTGCTGATTGGCTCAGATAACTTTGTCCGCTTTCGAAAGGCGGAGTAGGAGCGGCGGTACTTGCGTTGCGTTTCAACGACGGAACGACCTCAATTTACATCGAGTATGTTTTTGTACGTCCGTTTTGTGCTTCTATGCCTGCCTCTGCGAAATATGATCACGACCGCCTAACAGCTACATTGATCCGGTTATTTCGTTTCCCCCATTCACTATGGCAGAAGACCATGTGTCTCATGTTCCTGCGCCGACGGGAGTTGGGAAGCCACTGAGCTTGATGTATGAACGCCATTATCGATGTTTGTATTGCTGTATGGTCTGTTGGTGCTGACGCTACCTACAGTCCTGTTAGTCTTAAAGAAGCAGCTTTAGATAGTCCTACCTTCCGTGCGACAGTACAACATTTTGGTGAGCAGATTGACCTCGTTGAAAAGTGGCTAGACAATTACGTCAAATCTGCCAGTCGCTTGTCGAATGAAGTCTCTGGAATTGAAAACATAATAAATACATATCTATCGTGGACTATACCCCCAGCGCAAGTTTCAGAAGCCGTTCTTGATCACGACTATACTGGATTGGCACTTAAACGGTACAATGAAGGAGCCAAGGAGTTCTGGTCGTCGACAATCAAATGGATGAAAAAGGTGGAGAGCTCTGTCGTTGATCCGATTAGAGCATATTTGCAAACGGATTTAGCATCGCTGAAGAATTATCGAAGAATCCTCGAACAATGTCAGCGGAACTTTGACTCTCAAGTCGCGCGATATGCCGCTCAATCCAAGACGAAAGAGCCTTCTGCACTAAGAGAAGACGCATTTCAATTGCACGAGGCTAGAAAAGCATATCTGAAAGCTTCAATGGACTTCTGCGTTGCGGCTCCACAAGCAAGATCCGCATTAGACAAGCTACTTGTCAAGATCTTTGCAGATAGATGGAGAGATATGAAGAACACGCGTGATACGCTGGCAGGCAACTTATCAAAGTGGTCTTTTGACATTGACCGCATTCGAGGCTGGAGTAAAGAGATGGAAAACACGGAGCGTGTCTTCAAAAAAGAGTTACAAGAGGCTCGGAAAACTATTGAAGAAGCGGCAGCGAACGCTATCAAGCCGTCCCGTGATCTTGATGACTACGCCAAATCTACTGTGGCATACCTCGGTCAGGCACCGGACACTCGCTGTCAGCCTCGTGACGGAGTAGAAGAGAAGACCGAGAAACAAGGTTGGCTATTTCAAAGGACAATGCAAGGTAAACCGGCCCGCACTCTCTGGATCCGGAGGTGGTATTATGTCAGACATGGCATTTTTGGGTCTCTGTCAAATAATCCACGTACTGGCGCAGTTGAGGAATCTGAAAAGATTGGTGTATTATTGTGTGGAGTTCGCCCAGCATTTCAAGACGAACGCCGATTCTGCTTCGAGGTCAAGACAAAAGATGCCACCATGGAACTCCAAGCCGAAACTCAGAGCGAGCTTATGGAATGGATTGCAACATTCGAAGTCGCCAAGCGAAAGGCTCTTGAGAACCCTGCCAGTACAGAAGCAATAGCTGCAGGCTCAAAATCAGTTGATGCCGCTTTTGCTGTAACACCGCCAATTGCACCTGAATTTGCAGCGAAAAACCCAGAGCTCCGTTCAGAGGACGATGCATTAGTTGAACGCTCGAATACCATGACTCTGGAGCCTCCGAGCAATATTGTATCACGAGCAAGTACTGATCTGGGTGCTCGACGATCGCTAGCAGAAGGTGGTGAGAGCACTCGAGAGCGTATGTTACAGAAGCTTGATCTACACCGAAGTAAAGGTAGTATCAGTCCAGCACCTGGCACTCCTTCGCCAATGAGTGGCATAGCAAGCCTTATTTCAGCAAGTCACACTGTTCTCCCTCTTGGTGCTGCAGGACATAATTTGGCCCCGTCGTTAAATATCTCAACAGATTTCAAGTCAATTCTGGGCAACCAGATCCCTCCGAGCAGCCTCGCTCCGTCAACTTTGGCCAATCCTCCCACTCCTACCAACCTAAGCAGGACTGCAGTAGCGGTAAGCGGGGAGAAAAATCTATCACTTGGCTCTGCTGCAATAGATGGGGGAATGCCTGGAGGAATCATGGCCAATGTATGGGGCTCGAACAACTGGGGATATCTCAACCGTTTAGAGCGTGGTGAGGTGAAACCATCAGTCGAGCGACGTCGAAGCATGTCTCAACCACCAAGCCCAAATATGCCGCAAGATTCAACTGGCACCCTTACTTCAGGAGTTGCATCTGCGAGATCGCCATCACCTGTCTCGGGATCCTCCACGCCCTTGGTGCACCGTAAAACTGTAAGCATGACTCCAGATATCACTCGATCTGGTCAAATTGGTTTGCTCAGCTCTGGAATGGAGTATCCGAATTACTATCCTCTTTCACTAAAAGTCCAGGATGCGCAATTCAGGACACTTTTCCCAGAAGTTAAGCGCGAAGACAAATTGATCATGGTGTTTCGTGCGACATGGAATCCAACGGATCAAAGCGAGTTCCCTGGTCGCGTATTCGTGACCATGAATCATATTTATTTTTACAGCCATCACCTTGGCTTAGTGCTGATAAGTGGCGTCAGCTTCGATGCTATCAGTGAAGTGACAGCAGCGCCGGGCAAGGATAGCGACTTTATATTTCTCCATCTGCGCCCAGATATTTCCGTAGACGGGGCAACTCGTATTACGTTAAGGACGTATCTGGAACCGCTCAAACTACTGCAAAAGCGGCTGACCTATCTTATCCGTAATGCCGACTCTGCAGAGCCAGAAAGTCTGCAAGAAGTAATCAAGAACCTCATCAAGATGGAGGCCGCATCCAATGATGATAGCCCCAGTTTGGACGACTGGGAAGATGTGTCGCCTTTCACGCCTACGGATGGGGCTACACGTTCTAGCGATGGCCGAACAGGATTTCGCATAGACGGCACACTTTTCCCCGATCCGTCAAAACCGGTCAGCAAGAATGCGACAAAGTTCAAGCTTCCTGCACAGCCTGTGAATTACGTGCCACAAGGCATGGTTGCAACACTTGTTGAAAAGGATTTCAATATAACCGCGAAGGCACTGTTCCATGTGCTTGCTGGAGACAAGAGCACTGTCTTTCAGATGCTTAACCGTGAGAACGGTGCTGAAAGTAGGTGAAAGGTTTTGCCGTATCTCTTCTCAATTGAGACTAATAACATTTTACAGATCTGCTGCAAGGTCCATGGGTTCAAACGGAGCAGCAAACCCATTTCCGTCGCGAATTCAAATATACCGTGCAACTAGGTGGTAAACCTCGGGAGATCGTGGATATGCAAATCATCGACGTATTTAATGACCATCTTTGTTACGTTATCACGGAGCGACGAACACCATGGTTTCTACCTTCTGCCAGGAACTTTAGTATCATATTCAAGATGGTACTCACTCACGTCGCAAAGTCAAAATGCAAATTCGCCATCTACGCCAAGATCGAATGGCGCAAACGCCCTCTGTTAACGCGGAGATTGTTGGAAGAGCAAGCCCTTGCTGATGCGGGCCTTTTGGCAAAAAGCTTGGTTGAAATCTTAACGGATCAGATTGCGGCGTTGGGGAGTTCAGCGCAGAATAACTCAAGGAAGGCCGTTCAGATCTATGGGAACGTTGGGCAAAGTAAGGAAATTCTGCGTCCAGCTCCTTCGGATCTGCCGACGTCCTCGCGCGACCACATCAGCCCACATTCCATCGGTGCTCTCGTTATGCGTTCGTCAAAGACTTATGCAATTAATGCTCTACTCGCCGTTATTGGAGCTGTGATCTACCTTGCACAAGCTTTGGCTAAGGTTAGCTCCGCACATAGCATCCTTGTGACTTCTCTTATCTGCAGCAGTATGATGAATTTCTACTTCGCGAACAAAGATATGTGGGGATGGTATAGAGACCGTCAGGCTAGGCACTTCATGAAAGGCATTGGCGTACATCCTAGTACTGGTTTCGGCCACAGCATTTGGCTCAGAGATCTTGACACTCTTGCTACCCCTCAATTATCCATCTCAACTTCCAAGATGAACGGGTCATCAGCGAAGTGGGAGGAGCTCTCACTCTGTCGCGAGAACTTTAACTTCTTGCTTGCTCAAACTGATCCGTCATCCCCACCTCTAACATCGAAGTCCCAAAAACAAGACGTGGATGCAATGACAATATCTAGATTGCAAAAAACCAGGGATAACTTCGGCACATACAGACACAACTTACTTGTGGCATTGAAAGTCATTGAACGTGTGGAGAAAGAGACGATAAGTGCTGAATGGGAAAGCTGGATACGAAAGGAGGTAGGCAGATGCCGGGCTTCGAAGAAGATCGTTCAAGAATCTGGTGGAGATGACAGCCTCAGCAATTGGTGGAAAGAGTACTGTGGCAGTTGCGAGGCTGAAATCGCGTCTGATAAATGAATTCGAAGGTTCTGGATTGAACGACCTTGATACCCACAGTTTTGACTTGTTCGGCGAAATACTTAAGTACGAAATGAAATCTATTTTCTTGCTCTCGTGTCGTCTCTAACGTCTCCAATATATTTTTGATGACTTTCAGTCGCTCGCTGCAAACTGCAGCAGATCTCTGCATTACTCTGCCATGGTATCAGTGGCTTCAGCCAGCTGGGGTTTTTTGACTTCTACCTCGTCTTCTACTATTGTCCACAGTCTCGCCGGTCGTGGCCAAACTCGTTTGTACAGACTAACACCAACGGCGTCCATCGCATCCAACTTTCCATCAAAGACAGCCTTAAAGTATCCGTGAGTTCCGAGCGACTCCTTTATAAATCCTGATCTACCTCTCTTTGTCCACAGTTTCAGCGCCTTGAACCACAGTACATCTTCCTTGTTAAAGAACATGTACCGAACAGTAACAACACGTTTGTGTATTTTGTAAGGATGTCCGGTTAAGACTACACGCTTGGCGATAACGCGTGACGTAGACGGTGGAAGAGAAGTACCGGTACCAATAAGGCTCAAATCTCCAGTCGACTCGTTTCGACGAAAGAATAACGTAGGCACGGAGCCCCAGGTTATTGGTGCAGTGAATGACGCTATAGCTGTATGACCTGGATGGAGATAGCGTTGGAATTTGTGTACATTGTTTGGTGTGTTCACTGTATCGGAGAGTAGAGGCTTGATGATAAAGCGACGAGGACCACATTGCATGATTAGTTCATCCTTAGATCTTAGCGGGCTCGAAACGGTGGACAAGAGATTGATGCTGAAATTTACTGCAGTCCGTTTCTGCTCGTGTCGAAGAAGAGAGAACACTGGTAGTGGCGCTGTTGGATCATGAGATTTTTTCACGGATACTGAAACTGCGGAGATGTGAATATTGACTCTAGTGCCAGGTTGAACACCACCAATAAGCGATTCCCGGAGAACACGGTTACGTGCGCCTTTATAGTCAGAGACTTCTAACAGGCGGGGCCATTCCGGAGGCTCATAGATCTTATCTTCATCCGTGTTCCATTCGCTGGTGCGCAGACTTTTTAAGCCCCTGTACTTGGCCAGACGCTCTCTAGCAAGTACGTTAGGATGTAGTTCTATCTCGTCTGGAAATTGAAGATCGTCCTGTGCTTCTTCTCGGCGTTGCCGTCGATACGCGGCAATCTGCTCAGCTTCATCATCCGGTGAAGGGTCCAAAAAGGCTTCTGACCGCGGATACTCTGACGGACCAGCCTCTGTCATTGCATCACCCATATCCACGTCATCCATTCCATCTGCCGGGTCAAATTCACGCTTTGACTTGACGTCGTCGAACATGTCCTCGTCGAAGTCAGTGAGGTCAGATCCTGAATCGGAAACATCGTCAAGATACCAAGCAGATTGATATCTTGATGTTCCCCGTGGAAGACGCTTAGGAATACGGTCAGGTATTCTAGTCTCTTCGTCCGAGAAGTAGTGATGATCATCCAACAAAACACCTTTTCGATCTGAAGGGGGCAAGGATGTAGCATAATCGCCAGCATCTTCCATTGCAACCTCTTCAGGTGCAAGTTCGTCTAAACCATCAAGATCATCAGTTGGTTCCGCCAATACCTCGCCCTGGCCTTCTGTATCCACGGCCATAAGATTCCCTTTTCCTTTCTTGCTCTTTTCAAGAGGTGCAGAGGTGATTTTCGATATTTGGAATTTACCCCAGTCGCCAATCTGAAGGAGACGATCTGCGTTGAGTCCTTTGCCTCTCACGACACCCGTCAGAACTACTTCATCAAGCGTGCTTGTCTCGGATGTAATATCAGATGAGTCTGACCACATGATGTCCTCGACTAACATCCAGCTGCGATCTTCTCTCCATCTGACCCCTTTTGGGACTGTGGTACACAAGGACCGAATTGTGTTTATACACTCCTGTCTAGAGTCCAGTGAATTAATCTTTTCCACAGAAGGGAAGAAGTGACTCGCGTATGACTTGAGTGAGCTGAGAACCTGTGGTCTTTTTTTTGCTGGCTCGATGCTATCCACACCTTCTGCAACGGCCACCACATTTGAGATACCCTGGTTTTCAACTGCTTTAAGCAGTTCTTCTCCGTACTCGTCTACCTCTTCCGTTGCTGAGAGAACCAAAACAACAAAGTCGGCCACTCTGCATGCATCAAGGACATCCAGTAGCCTTCTCTGCGCACAGAAGTACAGTATGCTTTGCTTGAACCGATCCACATGCACTCTCACCATGCCTTTATCTGGCGAGACGGGTCCATCGATATCAACACTGGCATTTAATTTTGCCACCGCTCTTTCTGAAGCTCCATCGCCTGCCAAATTGACCAGAGCAACAATTCTTGGGGCTGCATCTCGGCCACTGAACACGCTGCTCTTTTTCTCATTTTCTTTGTCCTTTGCCCACCGCTTTTGCTTTGCCTGATTCTTGCGGTCGAGCTTCGACATGACTTGTTGGTGCGGAGTTCTCCTAACCCCTTTTTCGATCTTTCCCTTGGCAATGTCCTTCAGTGCGGATTTCGAGAGGTGCCGTGATTTGAATGGTTTCTGTGATATTTTCGTTGTGCTTCGATGGTGATGCGGAGTTGCGGTCATGGCCGCCATATTGCCGCTGCCACCGGCTTTAAAACGAAATGGGAGTGTTCCTGCCACGATTGAGATCGATTTTCTCCGCAAGATCAAGTCTCGGAGGTCATGTAATATCTCGGTTCATCTGTAAATCAAACAATTCAAGAGAAAACTTTATCGATAAAATTTCTGGCTAGTCCTATCTTGGATTGGCGTAGAATACTGGTTCATATTCAGGCGCTAGCGGAACTCAATCTGTCTCCCATCACGAAAATATCTTGAAAGCAAGCGAATCAGACAGGTAACTATGATCGAAACTAAGTCCATCTGCCATCTGTTTAGATTTTTTGCATATGAAACTGTTCATCATATCGAGCGATCCGTTGCCATGTTTCAACTCGTAGTCGAAAGTATCTATCGTATCCATGGTTACTCCTAGGACCTACGCATCCCACCAGCTGGAAATTTCTATAGATAACTTATAAGAGAATTCTTTCTGCCTCACATAGCTCCAATCCCAAAGGATGACCAATTACTTTCCCAGCTTGGTCAACGGCAGTAGTCATCATGAGATACGGCCGCAGATCTACTAATCCTTCATTCCATGAATTCAGACAATGCTACTTCGTAATTTTCTTTTCCGCGTCGTTAACCTGCTCAACTGAGTTTCATCCAGCAATTAGGATTACAGCCAACGCGAGGTCAAAAAGGCTCTATCTGAAAGCAGTTTTGCAGAAGGGTAGAGAGGGCATCCTGCTGTGTTTCCAGTGCGACACGAATACTACGAAATGGGCACTCTACAGCTGAGCAACAAAACAAACTATTCACTTCGTCGACTCGAATACATGACGCATATGCGCGGCGAAAAGCGCTCGATTGCGTATTGCAAGCGTATTTGTGAACGGATCCGAGAAGAACATGTGCGAGCATAGACGCAAGTAAAATCCCTTAATCCTCGTGCGAAGTTACCACACACCTTATGTTTTCCAGTACTCGAAATAATGGCATCAAGCAAATTTCTTTAGCACTTCAAACGACGATGCGAGAGGAGTTTGTTGTATCTTTCGGTAATCCCCTCTCATAGCTCCGTTCCTGCGGTTCAAACCTCTCATAAACACAACACTACGTTTCCTCCTTCGTTACCAGCCAAGATGTCTCACAATCAACTTGAGGGAGTTGATGGAACACAGCGAATGTCAAAGTTCTGAACGAATGCTGTAAAGGGTGTTCGCCCGAAGAATTACGCGAAGTCGCTTGATGAAGAGAATTAGACTGCCTCTCATTCGATGACGAACTTCGCTGTTCTCAGCACCGGGCGAAATATACTCCGCATGTGAACAACGAGAAATGACCGAGCCGTTGGGTCTGTAGGACTAAGATAACACTAAGCACGTTCCAAATTCCCCTCATTCCCCGGTGATTTACTGATTTCTAGTGCTGGGGGAAGCTTGGGCCGCCGTCGGGATTATGCACATCGTCTAATTTATTACAGCCGTGCTTGCGCCTCTTAGAAACAAAAGAGCATCTTCCCGCCACCCTTATTTTGCCTGTGATGATCTGCGTTTGTTTGCTTGTGTCAGGTACAGCCTTTCGTAGCTGAATGGTTTAGTTGCCTGATAGAGTCACATGAGTGGAAGACAACGTCTACCAGCACTTCCTTTTGCTGCAGCATTTACGACGCTCTATACGAGCCGATGTAGAGCATCTGTTTGAGTTCAATCTCACTGATACGCACAGATGTTGGATTCTAGCGGTCTCGCGCCCTTTGCTATATATAATGGCTAAGAACACACATTCTGCTGCAACCTTCATGTTGATTCATGTGACTCGTGATCCAACTCTGGAACCACACGATGGCGTTACATAGCTGCGACGAGAAATTGTATCCCTTCGTTCTGGGTTTCATTTCAAAAGCTGAGAAAGCTCCGGCAAAAAGCTAACCAAGAATAAGCATCTCACCGTAATGCGAAGAGCCAGAGGTAAGCTCTACAAAACTAAGCATACATATTGTGTGTCGAAGACAACACTCATAGCTTTGGTCTGGGCACATCAGGCCAGGAGAACCTAATGTTATCTTTCTTCAAACCTTCCACGACGACATCAATCCCTCCAGCTCGGATCATGAAATCTAGCCTGTGGTCACGATATTCTCGCTTGAAGTTTGATGGTCTTTTGAATGCATTCCCAGACGGCATCAGCTTCATCCCGGCTTTGGCTTCGTCAAATGTTTGGCGTACAGATGGTCTTGACCTCACACGTTCAAGCCATTGATAAAGACTAGACGCCTTGCTTGGTCCCAAACCGCTACTGATACTTGAAGCAAGAAGAGGTGCGACGCATATATCTGCATACCCGAATTGAGAACCAGAGAAGTATGGCGATGATCCAAGACGTGTAGTGAGCCAGTCTTGCAGGATTTTCGCGACACTTTGAGCATTCTTGATGATAGTCTGGGCTCGCTCTCCTTCTGCTCGCTTGAACATGTGGATTTCACCCAAAGCCCACATTATTGCCTCATATTGCGAGAGAACGACATGCCCAGTCAGCCTCGCCTGAGCCTTTTGAGCAGGGTCATTTGGAAAAAAAGTGGGCGATGGCCATTTATCCTCAATGTACTCCAATATTACAGGCTATCATAGTGTTAACGCAAGCATTTAGCACGTCTGCGTATACTCACCGTCTCAAACAAAGCGATTTCGCCATCAATAAAAGTAGGCACTTCTAGTCTTGGGTTTGCGCCTTTAAAGGCGCTTGCCGGGAGACCTGTCTTTGAGTCGTTGGGAAGAGAGGTGCTAAATGCGACACCTTTCTCACGGAGAGCAATCTTCACTGATTGTGCATAGGGGGAAACTGGATGCTCGTATACGAGGACTTTCGATGACATCGTTATTGTAGTGTAGACAAAATTGGTCCGTACTCAAGCTGTATGGTGTGAATTTGAATCCCCACACTTGACAGATAGTTTTATGATGCTAAGAAGCGCCTTCAAAACATGGAAGTGCTCCTTTAGAAGTTGATAAGTTTTGGGGCTGGCTTCGGTCTGAGCCGATCTCCCCGCAGAAATTCATTCTCCTCGGTACTACCAAAAGCGGGCAGCAAAAGCACGACGTAAACATAGTCTTCAGTCGCCCGTACGGCAGATGAACAGATCGCACTTGGGGATGTGTCTGGCCTCTTCAAAGATCTTAATCTGGATCAGCAGGAGGAGAAAAGCGATCAGCTTGTGGGTCGTATGCTCCGGACGGCTGCCGGGAGTGATGTGAGCAGACGCTTCCTTGGCCAGTGTGTTTGGAGCGGTGCATCACCGATCTCACAATCGACAACTTTACAATACTTTAACGCCTCAATAAATGTTTCCAACTTGGTCCTGTCCCTAGTCAAGCCATTACGTTCGATAATTTGGCGTTCGGCCTGGCTCGCGGAACAAGACATGTGTCCCGTACATGTATCTAGTCATGACCCACAGCCTTGCTTCCCCATCGACTCCACACGGTTGCGCAATGGAAACTGTTCGCAATCGGATCCGGCCACAGAACCTCGGACGCAATGACTGCTGATCACGTCCGTGACAGCTGTCAATGCATCGACGCGGTGTTTCGTTTCTGTCCCTTTTCGTCGGCAGATGAAGGATTGACGCTTTGCTTTCCCGGTTCACGAAAGTGATGAGCAAAACCTCTGACTAGCCCCCTGTTTGCAAAGAGGAAAGCAGATACAGAGTGGTATCAGCGGCCGACACGAATCCACGATATGCACTCGCACTATTTAGGTGGCAGGACGCTTTACGAGAGCACGCTTCTCCTGATCGCTTGCTGGGAGCTGACGAGGAAGACGCCGGTAGCCCCTGTCTTCTTTCTCACACGCATTTCCTGTCCCGCCCAGGCACTGCTGTCGCGTGCGTCCTACCCTTGATCGCGCTCGCGTGTGCGGCGTTCAATTCTTATGCTCTGAAGAGTTCCTAGAATAATGCACGGTGAACGCAGCCATGGAGTGCTGTCGGCCAAATAGTCTGGATCAGCGCCTCGACTCTCCAAAAGCGGCGGACTTTGGCCGCCAGCCGCCCAAACCTAGAGCAAAGTCGCCGATCTGCAATACATCACCAAATTGTCATACGAAATCTGCTTGCTGCAACATCATTTCTGCGTTCGTTGACGGTTCTATCAAGTAAAGTAAAAGAAAATACAGACGGCAGCATGAAAACAGTCGAAATATGTCTCGCTCTTCGTTGGTTTCCAAAGCTGTGTGGAGGGACATTTCGAGCCCACGTGCAGAATTCCCATGATTCCGGGATGCGAAGGATAAAATTCTTGTCAGGGGCATGTGTCAGATCCTAGTGCACAATCACCACCCAGGCTTGGATTTAAACCCATGTGCCTGCAGCGGGTAACTAGTTCGCTGGAACAACGGTGTGAGTGTAGCCATTGGTCTCTAACTCCTTTGGGCACGATGGCCGAAAGCGAGGCTCGAAAGCGACGAGGTCATCACCCGGCCTTCCTGTGTCGACTGGCCTGTACCTCCATACTTAGCTAGAATATGGTGTGGGTATTTGTGAAACTCGACTTTCCTTCTTCGCCTTCGCTCAGTTCCAGGCTGCGATCCTTAGCCGTCGCAGAAGCTTGATATTTGATCAATTCCGTGTACTCACTTTGGATGTTCGACTGATCTTGGTTCTCTTTTCAGCTTCACACCTCACGCTCACTCGTTCAGTCCAATGTGAAAGCATTGTGGAGCTTGGACAAGATGTTGGACATGATGCACGAAAAAAGACAGCTGGGCGGTGTTTTGGGAGCTGCCCACAGCACTTCGACGATTGTTGTGAACGCTGTGTTTCTGGGACTCGCATGGTTCGCGGTTCTTCTGCGCGTGTACACGCGTGTTAGACTGGTCCGAGTCTTCTATATGGAGGATTGGCTCATGGTTTTATCATGCGTATGTTCAGGTGGAATTCGCGCGTTTGGATGCTGGAACTAATACGTTCAGATGTTCTTCACTGTCTACTGTGCTGCAGTCATTAGGCAATCGCAGGTCGTAGCCGTCGGAGCAGGCAAGCTACTCACAATCAATCAGACCATGGACGCAACTGAGGTATACCAGCTTCTGTGTTTTAGTACGTCTTTTATTTTAGTTGTGCTAACATCATATAGCTCCTCATTATTTCTGAGACCTTCTACATCTGGTGTGTCTTGGTTCTTAAATTGTCCGTCGGTCTGTTCTACCTGCGGCTCTCCGTAGAACGCTGGCAAAAACTCGTGGTTTATTTCCTGATGGCCATTTCCACCTCCTTCAGCATCGGACTCTTCTTCTTTGAGGTCTTTCAGTGCGGCTATTTCACGAGTATGCTTGAGTTCGTCCTCAAAAAGGCCGCGGACGAATGCGTGTCAGGTTATACGATCGAAGCCATGACATACACCCATGCGGCAATCACGGCATTTACAGACTGGGTCTTCGTTATTTTACCTTTCTTCATTTTGAAGAGTTCTAAAATGCAGACCAAGGAGAAGATCGTCGTTGGGTCACTAATGGCCTTCGCCTCCGTCAGTGGTATTGCGGCAGTCATTCGCTTCAAGTACGTTCCGGGCATTGCTGTCACACAAGAAACCTTCTTCTCGAGCGTTACCGACATTGCAATTTGGTCCTGCATCGAACCTGGCATTGGTATAACTGCAGGTAGCTTCATCTGTTTGCGACCCTTGTTCAGGAAACCATTGCAAGCTGCCTCTCGCGCCATCGGTTATATGTCTAGCGGCTCGCAGAAGCGAAACGGCTATGTTCACGAACTCACCTCAACGAGCACCTCGCACCTTCGAGAGCCAGTCGCGTACCAGAAGCGGGACTCACGCGACTTGGAAACCGCTTTTGATGCTGACAATACTCCTCCAAACTGGCCCTTTCCAGCTACCACAGCGTCAAATGACATGAACCACAGCGAGAGACAATTACGACAAGTACTTGATACTCGTCAAGTTAGACGCAAGAGCTCCCTTGGATTCCCAATTGGAGGTTATAGCTCCAATAAAACAACACCTGACCGAATTCGCGAAGCCTGGATCGATGATTCTGACTCCCGATGACACATTTCATATAGTGTCATACGTTGGATAGTTTTTGGGGTCCGAGACTATAGAACGAGACTTTGTTCACTTAGTCTGGTGCTTCAACGGCCCCCCGCAGAAGTGCTGGCCACTTCTTCAGGAGCACCACGGAGCCTAATCTGTGACATACAGACATGCTCAAGTGTTTTTAACGTATGCACATCTATCTCATGATTTCTAGACTAATGAACAACGGACCGCGATATTCGGAGACACTTCTCAGGCCCTTTGCCTATCTTGAGGACAAGGCGTAACAGAGAACTGGTTTGGCAGAATTTAGGAATGATTCAATCAGGACTCGACTACAAGTGAATGGGCTGGTACTCGCCGTGGCCCGCCGGACTTGGTTGAAACAAGTGCACACAAAATATCTTTGTTGTTGATGTGCAGAATGGGTGCTGAAACCAGCAACATATGTACGGAGCCACGCATGTGATATACCTCACTGTACAACCACCTTGTTATCACACATCAAATCCGCGAAGAGATGAGCAACTCCAAATCGCGGGTGAATAAAATGTACCATGGAATTACACAAAAGCGAAAGTATCACTCATCAGTTGAGCGGCCGCCTCCGAATAGGTTCTCGTAAAGATCAAACTTCAAATATAATGTAAATTTAACATTTGTCTTTATAGCGCAACGTTGTGAACTATCTACCTATAGTATGTTAAACGGTCTGCGGTTCCCGTGGTCGCCGCTGGGGTTCCGCACACCCCTACGCTTGTCCTTGTCTCATACCCAGCTTGAATCCATCGCCGAAGGGGACATATGTCCGTCGCCGGAATCATGATACGCGTTCGCATGCATGCTCCGTGCTTTCTAGAAAATCCGCCATGATGGAAACACAAGGATCGGTGGTCGCCGACTGTTGGAATTTCGTGCAGCGTAGCAGCCTGTCGATACGCCACTTCGTGCAAGGTCTTTTCCTGTCGCATGCGCGGCGATGCCTCTGGATTGCATCGTAGATATGTACCTCGAATGTGAACTACGTAGAGATGTACTCGAAATTCAACCGTCTTCGTCTTAATTCATCATTTGTCTACAATCGCACTGTGTCGAAATCCCAGCCTGTGTTTCGTTCGTGAGCTTTGCATGTCAAAGGGGATAACCTAGTGATCCCGCGCACGTTGGATCATCGGGAAACCGGGTAGTTTTGGTCCCAAGACCTACGTGACACTGAGGTGCGCGGCTTGTCATGATCTGCATGGGGAGCAGGTTGTCAATGTAACGATGGTATCGTGAGCTGTGCGCAAGTCTAGAGAAGTGCAAATTTATTAAATGGATACCTGCCGACGGAGTTTGCCGACAGCCCAAAGTGGAGAGACTTTGTTTACTTGCAAGTCTTGTACCCCTTGATGCTGATCGAATTTCATGTGAGATGTAACTGATGGCTCAAACATGTAAAGTGGGAGTTTGTTCAGGGTAATGGACAGAAACGCAGAAACAACCGCCAGATTGTGTCGCGTGCGACGTATGGCAAGGCTATTCTGGAGCTCGTACTATCGATTTAATTCTAGACGCAAGAAGCGGTAATTATACACATGCGACGCTAATCCTTTGGTGCATGAATTGCGTCTCCGGCTAAATGGGGATTCGATGTGAATGAAGTCTTGGAGTTATCGTCGATATCGTCGATCTCAACACAATGCAAATCATTGCTATTTTTTTCCAACCCTAAGCTATCTTCTCTGGAGATTTCAATGCAGGACAAGCCTTGTCAAGACATAGGCTAACTTTTCAAAGCAATGGCGTATGTCAAGAATGTGGTGAGGAACAATAATGAGAATGACTATTTCATCGCTTTCGTGGTCATTAACAATACGTATCCCAAGTCATAACTGTCACATTCTCTTTATGCAAACATTCCAGGAAATTGTACGTATAATTAGCTGAAAAAAAATCAGTCGATATTGCCATTTTTTAGACCTTATTTGGCTCGTGTTCGGCATAAGCAACGCCCTCAGCCGCAGTAACGGGTTATATGCTTCTGCGCAGGTCATGCGGCATACAGTTCGATGCCAGCATGGCCCTCGCATGATACCCGTGAGATAAGGAGAACCTGTGTACAGTGTTGATCCGTGGAATCGTTTCACAGGATAATTCGCGTAGCAAAGGATGGCTTGAAATGCTTCCATACGGGATTGTTGTAATGTGACAGTGTTCGCGGTGAATGACGTCGCTGTAGCAATGTGTTCTCATTGCTTCTTGCCACCGCGGGAGACTGCACTCGAACAAAGCCCTGTCCCGATTCCGTATTGCCGCTCTGGTTCTATCACCCAGTCACCGAATGAAGGTGATGTGAAGGCTAGAAATATAGCCTAGTTGGAGGTTGAAGCTGTTCCATTAGTTTTGCTGAATCCCGTGTTTTTTCATCCCCATTTCGTCTTCAGGTCACCAGAACTCTTAACTTGCATCTTCTCATCAGCAGCAAGTTCTTGTGCCTTCCTCATTTCCTCTGGCAATACTCTTCTATCCAAACTGCAGCGTAAGCGCCTTCTCCCGTTCACTTTTCGGCCATTTCCCAAATCATCATCGTACCGATCATAGTACAGAGCCCATTTGAGCCCATCCTCTCGCTCCTCCTCTTCAACAGCGACCCAGCCTTCCCATCCTTCTAGAATGATACCGCTCTCATCCTCTGTCCAGTCCCATGGCCCGACAATGTGTTGAATGGACTGTGTTCGGTTCCCGTACCGAAGCTCCAGAGTGTCTTTGTTAACATATATCCAGTTAAGCATTGGAGGATCTACGGAGATAGTACTGACAAGGCCACGCTCGCGAGGGTTTCGGTCATCGTCGGGGTACATGATGAAAAATCCTGTGAATGGGTGAGGTGGAGGTGCGTTTTTCAGCGGAAGCGGTTCCCCAGTTTCTTCATGCTTAGGTGCAAGCCAGACCTGTAAGACTTAGAAGAGTCGGAAACAAGAAGAATCTCAGAGCGTACCTTGTCATGCTTCAACACTACAGCATATCCGTTGATATCATCGTTATCGCAATAACAGTCCATGAAGAATTTGATCATTCGTGTCTGGTTGGCGGCTTCTTTATTTTGTTCCTTTTGATGATGTACGCCTTCGGCCACACCCGTCACCACCGGAACACCCGTAATAACTCCACCATAAAAGACACCTAGCCCAAGCCAAGCCATGTTGTTCCGTTGATATTCGTGAAACAGAATTTCACCTTTTACAAGGTTAGCAGGATAGCAGGTGTATCTCGAAAGTCCTGCTGGAAACAGAGCAGCAAGGCATTGAGGCGATGCAATCGACGTCATGATCGTCACTGACTCGCGTAAATTACAGGCTAGAGTCGCGTTTAGTGTTTTTCCTGAATAAGTGCTTTTATTTACAACGAAGTCATCAAAATCGCCATAAATAATGCATTGATCTTTCTACTTCAACCAGTGTAATATCGTAAAAAGCATTTGATGGAATATCTGAACCACACTTAGAGCGCCGATATCAGCGACTTTTGCCAATTAGACGATGAAAAGGTGCTTATCGATCCGAACATGTATCCCACCGCCGGCTCCAAGAAAGACAGGAATTCATCAGAAGCGGTATTATGCTATCCAATCATCTGGAGCACCTGTGGTAGAAGTATTTAACAGCAGGGTAAAATGGATGCAGAAGGAAAGGGCGGCGAAGGACGTTGTGACAAGTAGAAAGGTTGACTATCTGCGAGACGAAGTTGCGTTTCGGTTATGCGAACGCTTGCTGGTATGTGCCTAGGAAATGATCGTATACCTTGTGGTCGCAGTTGTAACGATTCATAGGACATCCAGCGGCACTTTCCAAACGTCCTCGACCTCGGAGCCAATGCTTGCAACATTGCTCGCATCCTCACACTACCCGACCCAGACCCGAATTCCTCAAAGCCCGTTCACGCACCTCTTAAGAATCGCATCGGCAGTCTCGTATGCGCTGATAGCTCGCCAACTCTGCTATATCGTGACGAAAACGAACCGTTCAACAAAGAGATACCCATCATTCGGCAGCTCCTTGACTCGGACGAGACGCTTCCGTTTGAGCCGAATACTTTCGATGCTGTACTCAGCTCACTAAGTCTTCATTGGATCAACGATCTGCCATCTGTACTGACGCAGATCAACCACATTTTGAAGCCAGACAGCCCATTCTTAGGCGTCATGCTTGGAGGAGATACTTTATATGAGCTACGGACTTCTCTCCAGCTTGCAGAATTGGATCGACGAGGCGGCGTGTCAACCCACACGTCTCCTTTAGCAGACGTACGAGATGTTGGCGGGCTTCTGCAAAGAGCCAATTTCCAATTGCTCACAGTCGACGTTGACGATATCATAATCGACTATCCTGACATGTTTGCTCTGATGCAGGATCTACAGGCCATGGGAGAGTCAAACGCTGTTCTGGGCAGAGAGACTAGCGGCATCCGACGAGATGTGCTCGCAGCTGGTAATGCTATATACAAGCAATTGCACGGAAATGATGACGGCACAATCCCTGCGACCTTCAGGTTGATATACATGATAGGATGGAAGCATTCGCCTACTCAGGCGAAGCCTCTGGAAAGAGGAACAGGCATGTTCAGCATCAAGGATATATTGGAGAAGCAGGGTGGAAATATCAACTTTGGAGACGGAAACGGAGACGGAAACGGCAATGATAAATCCTGAATAGTGGTGATTAGGCGTGCAACTCTATAAACAACAAATACACGACTACCGCGTGGTCATCAATTGATTGCAAGAGGCCCATCCGGATAGGCGAGACGTTTCATTCGAACCCCAGTATTTTCCGCCGGAACTACTCCGCACAAATGACCTCGTATGAGGTAAGCAATACTGTCGTCGGCAGACGACTTCTGCCTCCGGTGAAGCTGACAAATTTGCCTCAACCTTGATATCTTTAATCCAAACGTACAGCTGAAAGCTTCATTCCGAGAAACAGTTGCGAAAACTAGAAGCGGAAGGCGTGCTTAATCGCAGGCGACGAATTCGGTCTAGCGAAAATCCGCCACCTGTCAATATGGCGACAAAATACACTTTGTTATATCATCCGGGCACACCTGGTCGTGGCGAGTTTATCCGCCTTGCGCTGGAAGCCGCTCAAGTGCCGTACTCAGATCCAGCCAACGCGTCCAAGGAAGGGGCCAAAGAAGTCTACTCCCTCCTTGGCGAGAACGTCACTTATGATGCGGAGGGCAACCCACCGCCGTTTGCACCCCCAATGATGAAGATCGCCGGGGCTGGGAAGAAAGGCGGAGATCTATTGCTATCGCAGACGCCAAATATCCTTCTTTACCTTGGACCCAAGCTTGGTTTGTCCGGAGAGGACGAAGCCGATGTTTTCTTCGTAAATGAGCTTACACTGACAGCGCTTGATCTGTGCAACGAGACACACGACACACACCATCCAATTGCTGTGATGAAATATTACGAGGAGCAGAAAGAAGAGGCTCTCAGGAGGTCGAAGGACTTCCGCGAATCACGCATCCCCAAATTTCTTGGCTACTTCGAGAGGACACTGAAGGGCAACAAAGCTGGAACGGGCAAATACCTTGTCGGTAGCAAGCTGACGTATGCGGATACAACACTTTGGCACGTGGTGGATGGTTTGTATTTTGCGTTCCCGAAGGAGATGGAAGCAAGGAAGGCAGATTTTCCGGTTGTTCTGCAGGACTTTTATGAGGGACTTAAAGAGGAAACAGGAATCAAGGCGTACCTGGCTAGTGGCCGCAGAATGAAGTTCTCAATGTGTATGTTCAGGCACTACCCCGAACTGGATAGGCAGTGAGAGGTTTTGCGAATATGCCACATGGTAGGATGTCTTCAACAGGCAAGCTGATGTAACCAGGAGAATATAACTCAATCTTGAAACAAGTTCGGGCAGTGGCATGAATCTAGCACCCCCTCTCTTCGATGTCTGAGCCAAGCTGCTACGGCAAAATGTCTGAGAGGAGGCCATCTGGTACTGGGGGGTGGTCCGTGTCCTGTTAGTGCACATATCACGCTGCATTTAATGCGCGCAGGCCGTGATTAAGGTTTCAAGGCCAACATCTGAGCGCGTTAAGCATGTTACAAAATCTTTTGAGCCGATTCTAGGCGAGAACTGCGCTATCCCCTTTGAAGGATGGGCTGTAAAGATCGCAACAACCTTGTCTCAGAAGATTCTGGTCGATCAATGCGATCACACCAACCCCACAATTTTGGTGGTAGAGGAACGTGGTTGCGATGGAGGCCATTACAGGATTCGCCATTGAGGCAAGGGATGCTAGGCGCTAGAAAAATTTGGCAAGGCAATTCTTCGGAAGTGACGCGAGGCAATACAACATCGCCATGTTGGGGTAAATCGCTAATGGCAGGTTGTAGCATGGGCTGTGCACAAACATATCCCTAAAAGCAGGAACAGGCGTATACCGAGCCGCGGCATCCCCGTGGGAGTGGTAAGATGGTGTGAAAAATTCTGCTGTAGCGGTCCACCCGGTTTTAGGTACGCCGTGGTTCGGAGTCGGATTCCGAGGAGCAGAGCTGCGTGTCAACGGCCCGACTATGCGGCTCATGGAAGGTCGCCTCGAAGCAGGTGAGGCCAAATCATTGGCTCGCTCTTCTTTTGCCTTATGCAAGAGATGGTAGACGCGTTGCGCGAAGAGTTCTTTCGCTACGGAACGCATGTTGCAGTGTAGCGGCAACCAGAGGCTTAGCCCAGATCATGTGACGAACTAGCGCACCACAATGCGGAGTCGACGATCCAAGCTCAACGGCAACCGAAGCCGGTTTCGCACGGCGCGCTACCGCGGTTCCATACGTCCAGAGGATGAAAAGCAGAGCATAGAGGGTTTATTCGAGAAGGCGACTCCAAGTCCCGAGCCAGCGGAAGCTTGCGGGAGAGACGAGCGCTTATGCAGCTGTTAACCGCGATTGACGAGGCAGCGCTACAGCTCCTCGGAAAAGCAGAAGAATGGCGGACTAGGGCTCCTGCACGTTTGTCACGCTATTCTCCGCAAGGTAAGAAGTTCCGGATGCCCTGCTGGCAGCAGCATGGTCAATGTTCCAAGCTCACCTGCTGACCACCAGCCAACCAGTAATGCGCTTTGCTTTCTGCGTGTGCGTTGCCCGTTCGTCAAGCGAGATCGCCAGAGCACCAGCACTGCTGTCGTTGAGCAAGAGAAGAGCGGACGAAGCGCCCTCGACGTAAGAGCAAGAGCGCGTGTGGACGTGTGTGAAAGTGCGGCGTTTGGTGCCAGTGTGTCTCGTGGCAGACGAGAGACGTGCCGAGCATTTTCGCAATATCCACCGGTGCCACACCAGCAACAGTCGACATGCAGACCAGCCGTGAAATAGGCACAGTTGCGCAGTACAGAGTACAAGCTTCCAAGAGAGGGGCCGGGGAAAGCGGCGGTAGCGAGGCCTGGGAAAATTCTGCTGGCTGATGCTGCTGCCGTTGGCTCACAGTGCAAGGCCGGCTCCCGCTCGCGGGTCGCAGGAAATCCAGCAAAGCGCAAATCAGAACCATTGGCTCGCTGCCATCCAGACTGCTGGCGTCAACTGTCAAAAGTCGATCGTTGTTCGCGATGCACGGTGGTCGGCGTGGCTCGTCGTTGGGACGGCATTTTTCTGTGGTCAGCACCCCACCGTCCACACAAAATGCGCCCAGCGGCCCTGTTCCCGCTGGCGTTCCGTGACGTTCTTAAATCTCTTTTGTCGGTGCCCGCGCGCTCCTTTGTTCGGCCCATTTCTATTACTCAACCGGTTACCTACGATTTTCTCTGCCCGCTATTCAGACGACCTTATCGCTCTCAATTATCAAAACAGCCCACAAACCCCTTCATTCCTGTGCGCCCGGCATTCCGGGGCGAATTAATTTTTACCGCGCGCCAAAATACCTCTTGCAGGACAATTGCGCTCGGGCGGTTTGCACCGCGTCAGCGCAGTTCTGGGGGGGCTTCCGCGACATCCTCCTACCACGAGGGGGTCTACCTGTCAGGAGTGGGTACCTGCAGCAGATGGGAGATAGAGAAGCTACCAAAGGCATGACTTCTCCGACTGTGCCCAAGGCGGAGGAACATGGAGAACACTCGTCCGGCTCCGTTGACTCGACCCCGGAGGCAGAGCCTGTAGAGCAAGAGACTCCCCAAACTCAGGAGCCCGGTCAGCAGCAGCAGAAGAGAAAAGGAGGACGTAAGCCGGTAAGCGCACGCCAGTGTGTGTTCGCTGCGAGCGACGCGAACACATTGATGCCGTGAGTCGAAAGGCTGACGAGAACGTGCGACAGATATACGCGACCTCTGAAGAACGCAAGCAGCGCAACAGGCAGGCGCAAGCCGCGTTTCGAGAGCGACGGACAGAATACATCAAGCAGCTAGAGAGCACCATAAAAATACATGAGGAGAACCTGCAGAACCTGCAGCAGAGCCACAGGAGCGCTGCCGACGAGTGTCTGATGCTGCGATATAAGAACTCGCTACTTGAGCGGATACTGTTGGAGAAAGGTGAATAGCCGTTGTCCGGAAATGACGCCACCCTCTTGTGCTGACCATTGCTGCGCAGGAATCGACGTTCAAGCAGAACTACGTGCAAAGGGCGGTAGCCCGAACCTAGGGCCGATCAGACCACCGGTCTCTGCAGCACCGCTGACGCAGCCTATTCAACGCTATGCAGTCAACAAGTACGCGCAAAACCGCAGATCGTTAGGCAGCGTGCCAAAGGCCGGTTCGCCGACACAACCCACGAACATTTCTCCAAACATTCAGCCTACTCCTACATCACGGATCTCCTCTCCGGCCATCTCGACACACCGATCACCAAACTTCCTTCCGCAACCTAATGGGCCTATATCTCCGGCATTTGGCCCGGGTGGACAACAGCAGATACGTCCACAACCACAGCAGCTCCGGCCTCAATTCAATCCACCACCACCTCGGCCTCAGCTAGCCACAACAGGATATCCGTCGAGCGCGTCTACGATCAACAGTGCTGCATCTGGCGCTTCAGCCGCGTCAAACTCAGGACCGAATGCAAATCATGCGCAGAATTCAAACAGCTTCTACACTTCCCCATTTCAAGCCCATTATGATCAGCTAGGTCAGTCTCCTTTGTGACGATGACGTGAGGTTCAACGAGGTTGCTAACTCAAAGCTGCAGAACAAGAGTACGAACAAGCGGACGACATGTATGAGGATCAAGATTCGAACGATCAGTCAGCAGGCGCAGGCGCCTACCCAAATAGTTTCGCAATGCCTGGTCCCAACATGCCACAATCGCACCCTTCGGCGAACCAAACACCACAGATGTCCACCAACGGACATCATCCACTACAGCCTCAGCCAACACAACATACAGATGCCACTGCTCAATTCGGCGGCGCCGCGATGAACACAGGCTACGATCCGTATGACCCAATGCTCGACGCCGACCCGTTTGGATTGTCTGCAAGCATGCATTTCCCAACTCAGTTTTCCTTTGACACTACTTCAAGATGAGTCGTTTGGTACGGACGTCTTCATCAGCACAAGATTGTTGATATCCCACCCCAATTGTTTGGTCTAGATTTTCGGTATCTTCAGTTCGATACCCACGTCCACGGCGTTCCCGACAGAAGAGGTGCATGCTTTTCGTGCCTTTTGTTCGGGCAAAACAAAACAACCATCAGTAACGCATCTTAATGAGACGATGAATGTTCGCGAAGGCAACAGACTCAATGTGTTGTTGACTATCATGCCGGGAAGGCTTGAATGAACTTTCTGAAGGCGGCCAATGCTTGCGTTGTAATTGCGTTATCTGACCGTTGAAAAAAGCTTCATGTTGTTGCACACCTCGATACCTCACCGCGCACTCGTGTCCATAAGTATTTGATTGCGCGACCCCTGGGATATATCTTTGCACAATCTTAACGTATTGTGAGCAAATGCAAGAAATCAAACGTGATGAAGTGAATCATTGATAGCCTGTTGTTACGGATGACATCTCAAAGTTCCGGATCTCCGACGTGTACTTCGTACCAAAAAACGCCAGTGTCTCCAGCGCGTATAAGTGGGCTTGAGTGGGCTTCGGTACCTCAGATTAGTGTACCTGCTGCAAGGCTGCATGTACCTAGGTCAGAACATCGCACAACCAGAGTCCGTGATACAGATCAAAAGTTGTATTATGAAAGCATTGAGCATTCACTCTGCTAGATATTTACGCGCTTATAAAGGAGAACATGCGATCAATCGACAGCTCGAGAATGCGAGGAGTTGAGTGAAACTTTGGGTGATGTTAGTCGTGTGCATAGGTCGAGACCGTTCGCCCACAGTGACATCAAAATTAAAGCTGCAGGCTTGGCGCCCATTTTCGGGTGTCAACCCTCGCCCGTCGACACTCCAAAACCGTCACCACAACATCCTCCCTTCAGAACATTGCCATCTCTACGGGAGTTCTGATCCTATCTGAACTAGGGTCGACTCTCGATCCTTCTCATCTTTCGTCTTCGGATTGAGCGTCTAGAGGCAGTCGCGCGGGAGCGCTGACAAACAAATTCCTGGTTCCACCATGGCCAGCATCGCATCAAAGGTTTGTTTCCATTGATCGTCATCGCGGCTTCTGTTTGATGCTAACAAGGCGCTGCAGAACCTCTACGAGTTGCTCGGTATGCAATTGTATCTACTTCGGGGCCATTTGGGATGAAATACTGATACGAACGTGTAGGCAACGACCCTGAGCTTGACCCGGACCGCGAGCCAGAGCCTCCTACGAGAGCCATCGACAAGCCTTTGCCACGCTCTGGCAAGCGCGACACCGGCCCCCAACCCCCCGCTGAGCCAGCCAACCGTAGAGGCGGTCGTGGTGGTGCACGCAACAATGCCACCGGCAACGAACGAGGTATGGCGATAACTAGCTCCACTCGTGCTACAGAGTTTCGGCGCAAGCATAACCCCCCCAATGGCCATGAGAACCAAGACAGCATACAGGCCATGTCAACGTCAATAGTTCTTGAGATGGTGCTGCTGTCGAGTAGTTTGATCACGAAGGCGGGCTCTTGGAAGACACTTCTGTGGCAATTTCACAATCTGTTTCGATTTTTTCTGTCTTTTTGCTAACCTAGGACCATAGCATTCAATGATCGCGATGCAGGAAGCGCTCAGAACCGCTCTCGTGGCCCAGACGACAGTGTTCGTCGTCCTGACCGCGCTCCTCGCAGTACGAAGCAATTCAACACTCTTTCAACTGATACTTCTGACTAATACATCCATAGACTCTGAGTACCGCGGACGCGGCCGTGGCGGGCCAGGTGGACGTGGCCGTGGTGGCAGGAGAGGAAGTGCTGGCAACATGGACCGCCATGACAAGAGCGGCATTGCGTTAGTAATGTCGAACTTTTAGTGTTGTGATTAGACTAATCAGGTACCTAGTGAGCACCCTAAGCAGGCGGCTCATGGTTGGGGTGGACCAACCGGCCCCGACGAACTTGCTGACGAGAAGGCTGGCGAGGCTATCGCCAGAGCCGAGGAGAGCGAGGGCTTTGACACGAGCGTGCCACCACCGGTTGGTGCCGATGGTGAGACTCTAGGTGAGGAGCCAGCTGAGCCAGAAGGTCCAAAATCAAAGAGCTACGAGGAGTATCTGGCCGAGCAGGCCGAGAAGAAACTCAATCTGGGCAGCAACTTGCAGACTCGCAAGCCAAATGAGGGCACTAACAAGAAGTTCCCTGAGGGCAAGGCATACACTCGCGATGAGGATGACTACATTGCCGGCAGTGGTGGCAAGGCGACTCGTTTCCGTGAGAAGAAGGAAAAGGTTGCCGTGGACATGAGTGACGTCGATCCACGCAGCTACCTTGCTGAGGGCGATCGTCAGGCTTCTCGAGGTGGCAGAGGCCGTGGCCGTGGCGATCGTGGCAGCGATCGCAGCCGTGGCGGCTTCCGCGGCGATCGTGGCAGCGATCGTTCTCGAGGCGAATTTAGAGGTCGCGGCGGCCGTGGCCCCGCTCCACCTCGCGCTGATGACAACAAGGCGTTCCCATCTCTTGGCGCTTAAGCACTATTCAAACCTATCTTCATGGCGTCCAAACGTGTCGCACTGTAGCAGCGTTGCGACTGTTCATCCAAAAGCAAGGGCAAAATGGCAGGCTAATGGTCTCATTTTCGGGCCAGATTTCTTATAGTTCAATCAGAACCGACCAATAGTAACTCGTTTTTGAAACGTAACAGAACTTCCGTAACTTTTTCTCGAGGGTTGATTCTCTTTCGTTTTCGATCTTGAACATTGTCCTCTATGCTAACCCTTTATTGAGCAAATGGATGAAAGCAGTCTACAAAGCGTGAAACCATGGCCGGAAACGGAGATATGTCTTATGAGCATTGAAGTATCTTTCAACGTTCATGTTGGACTTGTTAAGTCTCATCGTGGCTTCCTTTCAGGCTGTATTTAGAAGGAGGGGAGATGAGAGAGCGTCGAAGGGATCCAATTTGACCATTGATAATAAGGAAACTTACCAGAGAATCAGTCATCTACGTGACATCTGTTGTAGTTGCCATCCTTGCCAGTAACGGCGCTATCGTATCACGGATTGAAGCTCGTCTCAAAAGCACACGCGTTACCACGAACAGAAAGCCTGAATCATGTACTGTTTCCCGACCACAAGCACTTAATTTGTGTGACGGAGAAGAAGCACTCTATGCATCTAATTGTGCTAGACGGAGAGTTGACTCGCAGGAGATAAAAGGTTATGCTTTGCTCCCACTTGCAGTTGTCACATTTGACAATAAGCTGTCTTGACGGATCGTCCGCGCGTCACTCTAATACTCGACGCAAAGATTGAAGATGAGCTTTGTCGAGGAGGGACATTTGCGATTCGACCAAAGGGATACAGTTAGATACCAAATCAAAAAGTTCGTGCTCACGAATGGCAAGTCTATTTATCAAAAGGGTTGTGACGTACTTCTTGAGCGAATTTGCGTGGCATGATGTCAAAATATGACGACTGCACAATCCTTCTTGGCAGCCGACCCGCCCGTCACAACGTGAAGAATCGATTGTTACGCTCAAAGGCTTGCGACTGTTCGGAATAAATTGGTGCAGAAGAGTACTGAGTTGGGGAACGTTCCGACTACTTAAAGGCATAAATCTTTGTGTAGCTAAGGACCTGCTTGGGCAACTGCTCATCCACCAAACAAACTCTAAAAGATATGTTTACAAATTCCTGTTTCACTCGCTCGAGAAACACATTGTATCTCGCTGACTGGAGGAATTCGTTCAGCAGATGCATACTTGATGTGGGTATGAGATCTGCACAGTGGAAGCCAATTGGAATTAAATCTCCACATTTCAGAAGTTGAAACTGTAAACAAGTTGAAAAAGGACTGCTGTTGCAGACGTCCTTCTAGGCGAAGGGGTTTCAAGAATGTCTCTTCATCGCCTTATCAAACTTACCAAGCGACTTGCCCGACATCCACAGCCTTGCTTTGTTCAAGAGAACCACGCGAATTCGAAATACATATCGATATTTGATAAGCACGGCACTAGTCAACAGGGGTTGTAGTCTATAACCGGAATTCATTAGCAATGGAAAAAGAAGGCCTTCGGTTGGCTGTTTCTCCGCATACTGCCTATGACACAATTCAATCGCCTACTAGATCCGGTCGCGAGGGGCATTACCCGACAACCACTTGCGCGGAAACATTTCCCTGCCAGCATTCTGTTTTTGTCATCAGCTGTCTCGCCAGCTTAAAGGACAATCCGAAGAAGAATTCGTACAAGCCCCCCGACCTCAGGTCACAAATCGAAGACCGGAAGCCTGGTTCAAGTCTCGCAGCCGTAAGCCTAAGGCCGAACGATGGCAGCTTCCCGATACGCCTCCGAATATCCTGCAAATCTGCCCTTTGAGGAGCGATACCGCAAATTCATCGAGGAGTTCTACCAGGTTTCGGACACCCCGTCTGCGCACGATCAATATGTTGCCCGTTTCGCACCAAATGCTCGCCTCGTGATGGCAAGCAAAGTGGCTGTTGGCGCTGAGGAGATTCTAGCGCTTAGAAGAGCCTTGTGGGAAAAGGTTAACACACGATCACACAGACCGTTGAAAGTTTTTCCTTTCGGAGCAAACTCGGATGAAGTGATGATCTATGGCACTGTCGAGTACGGATTCAAGGATGGTCGAAATGGAGGACTTGAGTGGGCTGCCAAGGGAAAGCTGGGCGTGGATGAGACGGGAAAGGTAGTGTGGAGAGACTACCAAGTATATATGGTGAGAATGTTGCGCTTTGATGGTAAATAGTCATTGACAGTATCAACAGGACACTGCCGCGCAGAATAAATAGACGCAAAAAAGCAATTCGCTGTTCAACTCAATGCAAGGCAAAGTCATGGCTACACCACACGGGGCCCTTCTATACCAGCTGACACAATGTGGAAACATACCCTCCTTTTGGATCTTGACATAACATCATACATCACCGACCCATCTCAGCAACGCACCATTCAACACACTTGCCAAAGCCCAAAGTGCAGCCCATCCCGCAGAGCCGAGCTTATCGCTCCCTTCGAGAGTTTTCCATGTCTTGATCCACGTTGCGAAAAATACGCTTGCCGCTAGCACAATTGTCCTCTTGATCATGACTTTCGTCCCGCTCTTCCAACCCCACACATTGAAGCTGAGATGCTCTGTCAAGCTCGCAGTCTCTGGGTCAAAGGCCTCGATCTTGACATCTCCCGGGCTGGGCTGAGCGCCGGTGCTGGGCGCAAAGAGCAGAATCTTGGCTGTCCAACCAAGAGGGAAGAACGTGATTACCAGAGCAGGAAGCTGCGAATTATGCGCTACCTCGAAGGTTCGTACGCCGTCGAAGTTGGCAGCTAAGTAGACAGGGAGCCAGCTATTGTAGCTCACGTACAAGATGACGCCGTACACGGAGGCCGCGAAAAGTGTCACTAGGATGCTCAGGGTGAAGTTCTGGACAATAGAACGGTTTGCTAGAGAGCCTCGAGGTGCCTTGGAGCTATGCGCGGGGATGCGGGATCGGAGGAGGGTGAAGGGAAGGGCAGCGCTCACGACATCTGCGAGGAGGGCGACAAGGCATGTTTGCTGCGAGATGGAATAGAATGTTGTGATGAGAAAATAGTACGGAAGGCGCGTTTGAAAGGCAAGCGAGGCCATATCGTAGTCTGAGAACCTCTTAGTTCTAGTCCGTTCAAAATTTGCAACAAGGACTCACCATCAAATCCAGCAAGCCATCCTATCGCTAGCTCTGCGACCCTGAGAGCTGGGAAGATGAGGTAGTCCGTTTCGTCGTTGGAGTGCTTGCTCACGCTCGAAAGTTCGCCGCGCGTCAGAGGATAGACCAGAGACTGGAACAAAATGTAGCTTGTTGAGAAGCTGATCAGCGTCACGAGTAGTAGCTGAACAGGCGCCTGTATCTTCGTTGTCGCCTTGGATCGCGCTGCAGGTTCGAGAGGGACCGCGCCAGTCACGCGAGGCGCCGTCTTCCGTGGTGTGCTTGGCATCGCGTATGTGCGAGGTGACGCGAAGCAGTGTTCTGGTCTCGAAGTATACACGGAGAATTCGTGAAGATAGCTAGGATCTGAGAAGCGATCGGTACAAACTCGCGGTTCAAGGTTTGCCAACTAACAACATTCCGACGTCATTTGTTGTTCGCGCGAAGTGGAACGTGCAACGTCCCTTGTCCAATCAGACACAAGCTTTTCTCGCTGATGATCTGATATGCTTTCGAGCCAAAAGAAGACACTTATTTTTGCGATAGAAACCTTCCACAGAGCTTCTGCTAAGGATAATTTAGGAACAAATTTGGTTCAGGGACGATTATTCAAGTATTTCAAGATGCAGGTGTCGAATTCGAGTGCATCAGAACATCACAGCGAAGATCATGAGAAAACAACAATAGCAAGTCAACGATGTGCGGTTAAAGCAACAGAACTCCAGTCGATGTTCCCATGATGCAGATTTTTTCTTATCTACCGGATGGTATCAGATGCTCGTGCCCGCTCCAGCTAACCGATAGTTACGGCCCCGTCCCAAATCCGTTTCCATACGTGTAACCCCATGCTACATGCGTCGAGAAACAGACCGTACGTTTACTGCTCGGTCTGGAAGTAGTTGAGTAGGATGGAGCGCTCCTGCGATTCTTCACCCCAGTCACGGACAACGACACATGAGCAGTTGACAACCTTGCGGGCATTGCCATCACGGTCGATTTGGCCTGTTGATTTCATTAGTACAGCCGTTTCAACCCCCAAAAAAACATTGCTACACATACACAAGCCAGCCCATTCACCCAGCTGCTTGCCATCTGGCACCTTGATCAGGGGAATTTTGTGCTCTGAGCACAATGCCACAACGAGCTTCTTGTAGGCCTCCTCCTCGCACGCCTCATTCAGCACGCACATGTGTGCCTGTCGTCGGTCGAGTGCCTTGCTGGCCTCACGCAGGCCACGAGCGAGACCGTCGTGAATGAGGGCGATCTTAAGGACACCCTTCAGAGCATCGAGGACCGACATCTGGCCCTTGCCGGTCGAGGCATCAGCGCTGATTTCGACCTCGTCGGCCGCAGCGACTTGCGATTGGGTCTCTTCTCCGTCCGACTGTTGGCGCTCCAATTAGCACGTGTACGCAGTGGAGATGTCCATGGGCTGTAGAGATGAAACAAGACCTACCATGATGACTGCGTTATCAAGATATCGGGTTTTCCTCGAAGAGCGTTGTTGGAAGAGGTTGTGAAGGTGAGAGGAAGCAGAATCGCTGTAACTCTTGGCTTTGAATTTTGCAACCTGCGCACACACAAGGAATGGCGCCCTCTAGTGTCGCGCACTAGCCGCTTTCGGGTGTGTCCCTGGAGGGACAACCCTCGGTTCATCAAGTGCTCAACTGCAGCGCACCATTAAAAAAACTTGCTCTTTGATCTCTTTATGTTTGGGGCTCGAAGATTCTGTAGCTCAAAATTTTTCGGAATTTTTAGAACTCAAATAAGTCACCGAATTGACAATGTTTGCATCTTGACGCTGAGAAGGCTTGACCTCAATTGGTATATCACGTGATCACGCGATACTACATTACTTTCTGGGCATTATCATTAATCTTCATAAGTCCGTAGATATCTGCCACCGAATCCAATGACTTTGTGATATGCAACATGACATTGGTGCTAGTAGAATATATCTCTCATATACTCCGTTTCGTGCTCATAGAATCGTCCGAACTTCCCTTTTAAGGACAGTACAGATACGACGAGTTCAGATACCCGTTCAAGTCGTTCCCTTCCATCCTGAACGCGCAACAAGATGCCAGTTGAGACTTCTGGCACCCACAAGTATCTCCTTGCGGCACTGGATCTGGACACGTCGGAACTGGCCCTAAGAGGCTCGCTGTGACCCAGCACGGTTCCTGGCCGCTGGCCGGATGCCCCGCAAGATATCGGTCTCTACAAACATCCGCGTCAGCCTTATTCCATCGGCTTCTATGCGGGACACTAGAAGGTTTCTGTGAAGCTAGGATGACCTACCCAATAGGCGTCTCGACATAACACTCAAAATGGGCTGAGTAATGACCGTTGTTGAACGTGCTGTTCACGAGCGAAGGCATCTCAAATGTGACTTCGGAGATTGGATCGCTCGTTTTCGTGCATGGTATGTAGTACTGCTCCTCATCGCCTTTGTCTATCGGTGAGCAGTATGTAATCGAATCGTTCGGGGATACATCTCTTGGCTTCAGATGTGCGTGTGAGTGGATGCTGGGAACGGCAGAGGTGAGCACAGAAAAGGCGAGTGTTGTGATCACTGAGGCCAGCATAGTGAGTGTATCTTGCTTGTGGTCTCCTCGGAGACTGTGCTGATGTTTGGGTAGTTTGTAGAGACAAGATAAGCGGCCTGTCCACTTGCTGTGATCCAAGGACTCGAACGAGTGGCAAAGTGCGGCTGAGCTTTCAAGTGGAACGTATCAGCCTAGTGTGCCCAACAAGGAAACTTTCCTGAGAAGGGTTGCAAAAAGAAGACTGAATTTTTTTCTTTTTTTAAAATAAAAGAGAAAGACGAGGCCTGGATAAATGAAGTGTCTTCTCCGCTTCAGCCAGGAAGATGTCAGATTTAAGCAGACAGCCTAGCGTGCGTGGGAGGAAGCGAAAGTCAAAGGTTTGCATGTGGTCGAGACCATATGCAGCATTTCAATAGCCTCACCCTTGCAACCAAGTTAGCCTTCCAGCAAACATATGCGTCATACCCTATTTCGAGGGCTAGACTGAGTGGCTCGAAGGTTCGGATCAGTCTTGGGTCCCGGAAGTATGAAGCGGAGTTACCTTACGTCTTGGCCCTGTGTGATTGGCCGTGAATAGGGAACTGCACCATCCATGTGTCACCAGCTGTGCTTTCATAACGTGGGACCACCACTCAGCTTAGGAAGTCTTTGCCGTGCACCAGTTGTACCGACACTCGCTTGAGATCTGAATATTTGCTCCAAGACATCTGATGAACACCCGGGAAAGAATGGGTGTTGATCATTGCTAAGGAAAACGGAGAACTATTTCTATTGGCGCAATGGCGACAGTAGGAATTTTAAGATCTTATTTTCACGAAAAGAATCATGAACTGTATAAATAAATAAATAATGTCCGACGCAGAAAAACGGGGATCAACGATCATGCAGACTAAAACGTCAATTGTATTGGTCGTCTAAAAGTGTGCCAACAGCATCAAGGCATATCCGACAGTTATCACAACCACAAACGTCAATATACTCGCCGGTACCCCCCTTGTGATGAAATGTTTGACTTGTAAGTACCGTTGTCCCGTTTGACTGTCCTCCATCATGATCGCCGCTACAAGGAAACGACAGTTAGCAAAGTGTAAACAAAGACGGGTTGCGAAGGGTATATGTCACGTACTCATATTGGGGAATCCACTGGTTGGCAAACCCATTGCCGCAGAGCACATCAGCACGCTGCCCATTACTAGGAGATTTGGATGCGGCTCGCTCATTCCCTGACCAACCTGCTGAACTAGAGGGAGAAAAATGAGTGCCGCAACCGTATGACTAATGAACGTCGCTACTACGAGGATGAGTGAGGTGAAAACAACCAGGATGCCGTACAAGCTCATGCCCTCGACTCTGTGCGTGATACTCTCGGCGACAGTGTGAAGCAGACCCGAGCTATTGACCGCCTTGCCAAGTGCAAGCCCGCCCGCTGCCAGGATAATGATAGTCCAGAGGAAGTTGTTAAAATCTTCCTTTGTGAGGATACCTGTGCCAAAAAAGAGGAAAATGGGAATTATGGCCACAACGCCCATGTCACCGAAGATGGGCTGCAGCTGATGACTGACGCACCATAGTGCGATAGTCAAGATCGTAGTGATGCTGATGAACCACTGGATGCCCGAAAACTTGTCTTTCATCGGCCTGATTGGGATGATTGTTGTGCCCTTGCCCGGTTGCAATGTTATCAGCAGAAGCATCCAGATGAGCAAGATTGAAATGATACATATTGGAAGGGCGATGAAAAACCACGTTCCCCAGCCTGGTTCAGGCGACATGTTCTGGAGAGCGATGAGATTCTGCGGCGAGGCTATTGGCGATGCTGCTCCACCGATGTTGGAAGCAAGTGCAATCCCTAGAAGCAAGGCCTTGGACATGTTCGACTCGCTAGGGAGGTTTCGCAAGATGGGCTGTATGATGGAGAAACAGAGGACAGGAGCAGCGACGTTGCTGATCCACATGCTTGCGAACATGGCGACGAACATGGTCGTGAGCAGGACTGTGCGTGGCTTTGTCCCTGCCTTGCTGAGAACAAAGGTCGCCATCATCTTCGCAATGTTGTACTTCGACAGCGCTGCAGCAATTGTGAAACCCCCCAAGAGCAGCATAATGACAGGCGTCCACATAGCAGAGAAGATATAGCTTGCGGCAGCCTTGCTTTCGAGCCTTGTGTGCGGCCGCTCATCCAGTCGTACCACACGAAGTACCACAACCAAGAACGGGACTAGCATTGACGTGACGAAAAGAGGTATGGCCTCGGTAGCCCAGAGCAGTGAGATAAACACCACCATAGCGAGACAGTTCTGCTGCTCCGGCTGTTCCATGATAGGAACAAACAGAAGGACAAAGAAGACCGCGAATATCACGACAAGCGTGTACAGTGTTGGCGTGAAGAGCCACTGTGGGCAGAAATATTTCCCGACGGGGGTGGAGATGACCTTCATACTGACCTCGGCGTCGTCGCCTACGAGACGGCTCTTGGACGGGTCGTCCTGTCCCAACATCGTCTGGCGCAACCCGAGATTTGCGGCCTGCGTCTTGCGCTCGATGCCTATCATTTCACGCCACACAGTGTTCCTTTCCCACACGACATGCTCTCTCAGATGCAATCTTAGTTCGCGCTTCGCCTCCTCGACCTTGCCTTGAGTGACCAGATTGGCGTAAACCTGCTCCATGCGCTCAATGTTTGCCCCAAGTCTTTGCATCGTAGATTTGAGGAACGGATAGGCGGGCTCGACGTGTTCTTTGATGTACGTGTCCTTCAGCTTCCTGTCGAGGATTTTGTCATACTTCTTAAGCACCTTTGAGAAGCCCGTGCGATTCAGTTGGATGAAGGATCGAAGCTCGCACAGACTGACGTACAAGCTGACAATACGTTTCTTTAGGCTGATACCGGAGTCATACAGCACGGAAAAGCTCATGTCGTTGTAGTCGTCAAATGCCATGCTTGTCCTTCGTTTGGAGCTTCTACCATCATTTCGCCAATCTTCGTGACTTTCCGCCATATAGCCCGCCCCCGTCGTCGTTCTCCTCCTGGTTAAGGGCCTCGTTTCTCCATCATTAGGGCCGTCTTCATCACTTTCATCGTCGTCATCATCCTCATCGTCCTCTTGACCCTTGGCACTTTGGGAGCTCATCGTACTCGACTTCCTTCTTTTGCCAGGCAGGAACGAGAAATTCTTGAACGTGCTGCCACTCCTTGGTCTTGTCGATGCTCCTGTTACTGTTGCCCTCCTTCCTTCGGAGTGTTCGCTCTCTCTCATCGCTCTCTCCTCCTCCTCCAACTCCTGCTCGAAATTCTCCTCGTCCCGCAACAGCGCATCCATCTCTCCATATATTTCCAGCTCCTTTAGCTGATAAAAGGAACAGATCTTCTCCAGCTCATGGTCCAACGCATTCGCGAACGTCCTGTCCACGTCAGCTGCCGCATCGACGCCGCCTCCCGACGTCATTAGCAGCGGGCTGCTCTCTGTGTCCTGCGCCACCCCATTTTTGGCCTGGTGGACCTGCCTCTCAAGCGTATAGATGAGCTTCTTGAGATTCGAGTATGCGATGTAGTGGCTGGACCAGTCGGGAACGGCGTTGAATTGCAAGCTATGCGAGAACTTCATGTCGTTCTTCAGGAGAAGCCAAGAGAGCTTCTCCCGGCGCTGGGATGCTCTCTCACGCTCTTGCTCGCACTGTTCTTTGTCCTCGAGGGAGGATGCGAAGTGGGCGACGCGTACTCTCTGTAGGTCGAGGAGTTCGAACTCGTTCTTGTCCCGCGGTGCATCCACGGTGGGCAAAGATCTATGGCGTTGAGCGGATATGCATGTGCAGTGGGCGTGATTAATTCGGGGCAGAGCGTGCGGATCGGAGTCCACTGCGCCGTAAGGATTGTAACAATTGGACGTGGTTTTGACAATTGGTTACGGAAATGACGCAGGTTTGCAGTGGTTCACTGAGCGCCAGTCAGTGGTTCCTAGGCTGACGGGGATTTGGCGAATCCAAGGCGAAGATGGGAAAACATGCGGGAGCTAGCGAGCCGATAGGAGCACCACGCCAAACGTCAGAATAGAACACGATTCTTGACTAATCGAAGCACCGGTAATGGTATTGGTCATGTTTCAAGACTTCAAAATTCCCAGCCAAGACCAGCGACTGTCATTCTTGTGACGGGCCTTTCTGACTATTACGAACAGTAGAACATTTCTTCGAACTCCGCGCTGTGGAAATGCTCTATAGGAGCCGAATTTTGGAATTCGAGGTCCCAAAAATTCATCTTCGCCCATCTTGTCTCACCGCCTCAAGCACATACAGGATAGCTTCGGGCTAGTCCATGCCACAAGTAGATCCATTCAGATTGGTGGTCTTATGCTCCGCTGGAGATGCAGGCGGATGGATAGGCCGGGACCCGTCTTCGCAGAGTGCGTATTGCATATAATGTACATCAAAATACTCTTAGTATGAAACATGCATGGAAGCTAAATCACCAACCGCCACCACCTGCTTGTCCAAAGGGTGTAATGGCTCCTCCATAATTCGTAGCGCCACCCCACTGACTGGCTGCACCACCCGCATATGGAGTTGTAAAGCCTTGATCGCCTCGTCCAGGGCTCCTGGGCACGTAATCTTCTCCATTTGCGTTCCCGTCACCTCTCAGTGCCCCTACAACCTCAGCGAGTTTTTGCTGTAGGACTCTTATGCCGCTCTGGAAACAGACATCTGGCTCCATCGTGCCCACTGTCTCGAGATTGAAGTAGAAGCGTGTCGGTTTGGCATTGTAATCAAACGGCGCGCTCGGATCCGCCGCGTCCTCCCACTGGGCATTCTCACTGAGAGGCCACTCCGCCTTAGCGTCGTTCTCGTACCAGTAGTCTAGATGCTTCAGGTTGTTATGCGGATCGTATTCGAAACCAACGGCTGCTGTCGGTGCCCACTTCGCATGCTCTTTGGCAATACCTTTTTTTGCTACGCACTTCATCCTGATCTCTTGCCCCTTCCGCAGCTTCGCGATTAAACAACCCTTGCCCTCAGGATCCGTGATCACAGGCGCCCCCACAAACTCATTCTTTCGCTGTGACACTATCACCAGATCGCGCGCGTAGATGTGCATGATGTCGTCGCCAGTACATTTCGCGTCCAGTCGCAGAGTCACACTGCAGTTGTCGCAGTAGGATTCGCACTCGTCACACTCGCGAGAATACGCTACTGCGTCGACGCCCTTGGCGGACAATGGGATAAGACCCAGCCTGTGGCAAATGAACTCGTCTGCTAGCACTGAAGTGTTGGCTTCCACCTCAACGATGTCGATTGCCATCGTAGGGACTTCTGAGAGAAGGACCCGCCGTAACGAGTTTGCGAAAGCGAGGTCGACATTCCGTAGGATAAAGTTAACGTGGTTATCTGAAGTCTGTTGCTCTTTGTCAGCCAGGCGCGAAAAGCGCAATCGGTAGCAGCCTACTTCTCTTATTGTAACGCCTGGTCCTGAATCCGAACCATCGAGATTCATCGGTTCGTAGTCCATCGCGGCCTGCTGGAAAAAGGAAGTGATTAACAAACAGCTTCAGACTTGGCTGGCAAATTAAAGATGCTTAGATCCAACCAGAAGAGGTCTTTGTCGCGCACGCGCGTAGTGTGGATGTGGGTTGAGCGCGACAATGTTGGAAAGTTCGCTAAGTCTTTTGAGCAGCTCTCTATCTGCGGCCGCTTGGGAATGGATCACCCCCGAGACTCAGAGGCGGCCTCAGGCGGTTCACATGTTTACGTAAGAGATCTTGCTAAGTTGTGCAAATAAGGCACGAGGTCTTCTTTTTTTTTATAAAAAAAACTGTCATGGTCGAAGCTAGAGAATAAATTTTTCAATGAAAGCGATCATGTAGCAATTCATCAGCTTTGTGCTATGCGCAACACGGGTATCCTCGCCTCGTCCCTTCACCCAGTCATCCCATTCCATCCTTTTCATACACAGGCTAGACCCAAAATCTGAGTAGCCTTCACTTTCCCTTCGGCCTCTCATACAGCCATGGGGTAATTAACAATGAATGCAGTTCTATCCGCCTGTATTTTTGGTGCTACTTTTGCTTCCCATTGCCAGAACAAGACTTGGAGGAAAATCAGCAAACGCAGTCTCTGTCCATACCTGATTGAAACACAAGAGGGAAGTGTGCCGGTCTTCATGAATAGCGAATGTGCCAATCCAGTGACTTTTCCTGTTGATGCATAGCATAGAAATTGCAAATTGGCGTCTGTCAAATGATACAGTATTTCCCCCTCTTCGTGTCAATGCCCTTCTTCGAGCATACCTTCCCCGCTACACCACCGGTGTTCCAAGACCTCGCTGATTGTTATCCGTTGGTCAACATCTCGGTTGAGCATTGCTCGGACGAGGTCGATGCTTGCTTCGCTCATTACGTACGGAACGCGAAGATCGTGGTCCATGATCTCATCAATACTGTAGAACGGATTTTCTTTGTAGATGATCGTGTACAACAGAATTCCGAGCGCCCAGACATCCTGCTCTTTTCCGCGGTAACTTTGGCCAGCAAGAACCTCTGGCGCTGCGTAGTCTGTCGTTCTCTTAGTTAACGTAGTACTTTGAAGAAGCCGACAGAAGCTAAGCTTACCAATTGTGCCCACAAAAACGTCAAATGGACCACTCTTGATGTACGCTGCGCTGCCGAAGTCAATGAGCTTAATGTTACCCTCGCCATCCAAAATCACATTTTCATCTTTTATATCTCGGTGGACGACTTTCGCCTTGATATGCAAATGGAAAATGGCTTGTGCTACTTGTACAAAGATCTTCCGACATTCAACCTCGTCCATGTTGACTCTGAGCTCGATATAATCGAATAAGTCCATGCCAGGGAGACCATGTGGCACCATCTCGATGTAGTAATTTATATCGTCTTCGAAAAAGTCCGCCATCTCGACGATGTTCGGATGGCGTAGGTCTTCACGACGGAGGTAGTTCAGCACATGAATCTCAAGTGGAACGGTGCCGAGTTTGCGATCGCGTGTCCATGTGTCGACAAGAATTCGTCGTTTTGTGACGTATTTGATGACCATCTTCTTCGAATTTTTCTTGTACCTGCAAAGTTTGACTTGTCCGTAGGCGCCTTGTCCCATGTCCTCCAGAATCAAAAAGTCATCAATGCGTTTCTTGCGTGGTTCGCCGTCAGATTCGGAAGGGCTGTGTGATAGCGCTCCATCCACAGGCGTAGTGTTTGAATCTGACTGAGCCTCATTTTTGAGTTGTGTCGTCAAGAGTGACGCGGGACCCTTTGATTCTGTTTCATCATCCACTATCATGGGTGTAGGCATAGCTGAAGATTGTCCAGGTGACGGCTGGTGTGGCGGAGAAATAGGCTTTGTCAAGCTAAGAGCTGCTGACGTTGTGTTATAGCTAGCGGCATGCAGTTGTCGTGAATACGTGACCCACAAGGCGTACACTACTTCCGTCTCGCGTTTCGACGCAACCTTCTCCAGCTCTTCGTCCTCTTCAATGACTTCTTCCTCAATCTGTGGGGCTGACTTTTCGCTTTTGACCACTCGCATCTGCACGTCGACCATGATTTCTGACCCATCGCGGTGTCGTGCAGGAAGACCTGTCGGACGCAGAAACATCGACTCTGCCTCTGCCTTACCCTCTCTGAACGCCAGGACAGCTCGTGCTCGACGAAAACTGTGTTCGGGTATGACGATACCGTCGACAAGCTGTATCTGGTCCTCCGCTGTCAGAAGATCCAAGATTTTGTCGAAGCCTGGTAGGATGTCTGTGATATGTAGCCCATCTGGATTTGCCTGGCCGAATAGTGCACTGGAAAATACGGCATTTGAACTAGAGATCTTAAGCGTTGCGCTGTTCAGGACCATAATTCCAGCGATGTGGGGGAAGCTCGACACGCGGAACACGCCCTCGCCGGAAAGCTGCTCGACAGTGATGGGAATGCTTATGTTGTTCTTTGTCTTCGCTGTGTACGTCTTGACTTCTGCAATCGCATCGTAGTCCAGAGCACCCGTGTACGTTCCAGTTAACTTGGGTAGGTCTGGTATCAGCCGTTTGACATCGGTGCCTCTTCTGATGTTTTCGAGTTCCCAGATCGGCTCAATCGCACCCTGGGCTTTTGTGATGCAGCCTATCTCGTCGATCTCAAGGTAAGCAATGTCTTCAGCAATTTCTTCTAGAACCCATATTAGGCCACCTTTCTTCTCCTTAACCCATAAGCTAGCAGAGCCAGACGCGCCGTTGCGTTTTTGGATGGGTACAACATCACCGCAGAGAATGACTCCTCGGGATTTATGCGCTGAATGATTGGCACCGCCCTTGCCCTTGCCGCGCTGGCTGTAGGATGATCCGCTGCCGTCGTCTGTCTGAGCTCGTCGCTTCGCGGCAGAGCTAGAACTCGATCTTGAATTAGGCTTGCTGAGCAGCCGTGCAGTTAATCCACTTCCGACATTCAGCGTTGTCGTGTGGTTGGGACTTGTACGCTGGCTCTGGCTGTAAGTACCTTTGCCTTTCATGGAGCCGCTTTCCGGATCTCGCAGTTTCTCTTCCAGCCACTTCCTTCTTTCTGGCCGCACAACCTCCAAAATTCCAAGCTTGCGCACTTCAGCTTTTGTTACGCCAAAAACCAAACAGGCAAGGTCATTAGCGGCGGTGATGGTCCAGGGGGATGTTGCTTCAGTTGTAAAGATTGCCTGTTGTGCTGGAGTCCACCTGCTCCCATGGCCGTGTGGTGCTGCAGTATGCGGCGCAGCACGGGAATGATTGACAGCTGAAGCAGGCAGTATCGGCGTACTGGTGCCGGTAAGTGTAGGTAGCGTTCGTGGTGAGAGAACACTCTCCGGATGAGTTTCCTCGACTGAATACGGCTCAGCAAGAGTGTCTTGCAACTTGGACTGCAACGTGAGGTCGTCTAGATTTGTGTACGTCCTTTTCAGAGCAGCTCTCGGATGTGGCGGTCGCACCTGTTTGGTCGATGCATCCGTCGCTGCTTTGTTCAGAGCTTCCGACGAGGGTGTGTCCTCAGCGATGAATTCGTTTTCCTTCTCACTGTGGGGCACGACTGCAGATTCGTTACGATCAGATGAGAGCAGTGAATCGTCTATGCCCAGCCCGACCGGACTCTCCGCTTGAGGGAAGTTGAAGCTCCTCTCAAACACGTTTTCGCCGGATAGATCCGCAGGACCCGTCATAGGGCCTGCACCTGCCAATCCATGTGCACCTTCCGCATCACCGCCAATGAACTGTGCTTTTGCTAGCAATTCAACCATGCTCTGCACGTCTCTGTCTCCGCTAAGCTTAGCCTGTGCGGCTACCAATCCCGGATTGCTGGCAGCCCAGCCGAGTCTGTCCCGGAAGAAATCTGTAGCTCTTTTCAGCACACTCTGCCGCCTGTCCAGGGATTCTTCGGATTGATGTGCAAAGGAGAAGGAATGGAGCGATTCGGTGGGAAATCGTTGAAGGTCCTCGATCGCGTTCAGAGTTGGAGATACGGGCCCAGACGACGCGCCGAGAGACACCGTCCTTTCTATGGGGATGTCGAGGTTCATGGAGCTAGATCGGGACGGCGGGGCGGTGGTGCTACCTCTGCCTGGGGACGGACCGCGGCTGAGCGTAGGCGGCTGTCGAATACGGCGAAGACCTGAGAGACCGAGTCCATGTTCACCTGGATGTTCTGGTATTATTGGGGATCTGTGTCAGGGCACGGGTCAGCGGACAGCTGTCCATGGTTGCCTGGCATGACTTGAGTCGAGACATGCCCACTGTGGCTGGACATTCCAAAATAAAAAAGAGAGGAGATACGGCCAATCGAGACGTACTTTGACATGCTGGCAAACTCCAAGGCGGTATTTGCGTCGAGCGAGTATCTTGCCTTCAGTTTGGTGTTGAGACTCAAGGCGGAGCTTTCAGCGCGTGAGAGCAAGTTGCTCGTGGAGAGATTTTTGGTGAGGTGCGAGGATGCATCATCGCGGGCTGCGGATGACGGACTGAGAAGTGATTGTGTGGTCTCATGATTTGCATCGCCTGGAGGAATTTGAAGGGTCAGCACATGTCGCCGCGTAAGAAGTTGCACGGCTCGGACGAGCGAAGGGCTGCCAGTTGCCTGGTTGCGGTACATGCAGCGAGCCGGAAGGCCGTTCCTCGCATGCCCACGGCTGATCCGCGGTGGCCGTCTCTTGCTCCCGCCCGTTGAACAGCTGCTGCACATGGCCGTCGCTCCGGTTCTGAAAAGCGTGCGTGGTTGCAGCGAGGGCTGGTCGACACGATGGCCTGCATCGAGCTCAGGCGTTGCAAAGGCTCACGCACTTGGCCGCAGCCATGCTCGGGAGACAGGAGCACTCACCATGATCGTCCTGCGTGCTCATCACCATGGAGAGCTGGACGTTGACCAGCAATCGACCAGAATAGGTAGGCTAAGCGTACGTGGGATTGGGGAAGCGGAGCAAGAGCACTCAAGGCAGAGGAGCCCGTCGAGGGAGCAGGTTTGGGATCTAATTATGGAAAAGGACGATTCTGGGAAAATTCGCAGTGGAGGCTCTCACCTGCGCCGGACTCGCAGCGGTCCTTGGGCAGGAAAGACGTTAACGAAGTTGTGGAGAAAGCCCGCTGTCGCTGGTTGGGGCAGTGATCGGACGCGGGATCGCGCCAGGTGCTTTTTTGCTCCAGATCTCGTCACCTCGTGCGCGCCGGCTCTCAACAGCTTTTGTTGGTCCCCTTTGCGCTTCTAGACTCGCCGCAAAAGACGCAGCAAGGTGCTGGCATGCAAGCCAGGCCACACGCCCGTACGATGCCGCTGGCCGGGCGAGCTCCACGCAGACCAGACTTCGTTCGCCGTGCTCGTCTGGCGTGGTGGAGCACGTCCGCCCGCCGAAGCCAGCGTGCACCAGCGTCGCCAGCTTTCCACTCGCCAGCCTGCATCGCGCCCCCGCTGAAGGCCACGCTGACATCGAACTTCCGCTGGCCACTTGTGCGCCGTAGCACGCTGAACGGCGTCCATGCGATACGAGAAGCTGGTCCTTTGTGCCACCTCTTCTTCCAGACCTACGCCGTCAACCTCTTTTCCGTGGTCACGCTCCAAAAAGTCCACGGGTCATCAGACACGACCAACTGACGCAACGACCACGCTTGAACCGGACGCATGTCCGGCCTCGATCGCTCTCGTGCTGAGGACATGTCCCGTACACATCCAGGTGTCTGAACCTATGGCATGTGAAGATCACATAGCTCTGACATGAAACCATGCCTGCCCTACAACCCACAGGTCTTGGGCTTTGCTGGTGGGCATGGCGCTGGCGCGCTCCTCGCCTGCTCAGCAAATGCGTCCTTTTTGTAACAGTGAAATCATCGATACGAGGACTTTTGACACAAGACATCAGCCTTCTGCTGTAGGAGGTCAATGGCAGGGCTCAGCCATGCTCAAGCCATCGAACTTCTTGAAAATGTCGTTGACCATCACCGTAAGCCATACCAACAATGAGACCACGTCAACTAGTCATGTGGTACCATACAAGAGGGATGTGTCTCTTTGTGGTTGTGTTCTCTTTCCATCTCCAGCGACCTAGACTCGGCCGTAATCCGAACGACATTTCAAAAGTCGGGTAACAAAGTCAGTGTAACCCCCGCGCGGTCAAACATCTCGAGAACACGAACAAACGAAGAACGCACTCAACCCGGGAGATGTTTGGAAAGTATCTAAAAGCTACGAACTCCAGTTCTACATATCGTTGACTCTAGCGTCCACCTTGTCGGCCCACGGAAACATTTCATGTTTGAATGATTGAGCGAGGAATCCCTTTTTTTCGTAACTGCTAGATGTCCTTCAAAAGTGTTATTGTTTAAGTTAATGAATGTTAATAGGGTGGAAATCAGCCCTGCAATCTGCGGTAGTAAATCAAGATTGTGGGAGGCACATTGCCCTCGTATTCGCCATGAAGCACTTCGACTCCCGTGCTAGATAAGCTGAATTCAGACGTTGGGAGATCTGCCAGCAAACGCCTCGAGGCATCCGGATGGATTTGCGCAATAACTCTGCTGAAAGGCTTCCAATATGCACAGAGAAGTTGACATTGATCCAGAGTCTCTTCGAGAATCACATTTCGCGACCCAAACTACCACGTCTCTTCAGCGCGACGCATTCAAGGACTGATATTGAATTCGAATCAGGTGGAGAGCCTTCTAACGTGTTTGCATGTGTTTTGTTCCTGTGTCAGATGAAGCGTATGTCTTTCAACTTAACTTGCGTTTCACACAGTAACGCTTTCGTAATAACGCAGAAAAACTTGAGGACCTTTCAACTTCGCCTTCGCTTTACGAACTCAAAGCCATGATATTGGGTAAATCTCCCATATTTTTCCTCAGCCATATCTGTTGTACCTGGAAAGAGCCAAGACAAACCACTAAGGATCCGCTAACCCCCAAGAGTTTGCCATTCTCTTGTACGAATCATGCAGAAGTGAATAGTGAAGTACAGGGCGATCTTCGCAAGATCCTTGACGTCGAACTGATTATTGAGCTGGGCGCTGGTCAGACCTGGAACATGGTACGATCAATCAAGGGAGTCAATGAATCTGCCCAAACGGGGTTATCGCCTCGGACTCGACGTCCTCTTCATCAAATCTAGAAGCTTGTTACCCGCCTGTCGTACCAGGCCCTTAGCTGGTTGCGTCCGCCCGAGCCCGCTATCCTCTCTGGAGTACCATTGTTGTGAAGCTACCAGCTTCGTCGTCCTCAAATCCTCGGTATCGGGTGAGAACTGGGGCTCTGGCTTTGGTTGCACAACGTGGCATCGGCAGACGATCCGCACGGATCCCTGTGTGAAGTCAAGTCGACGGAAGTGCCTTGAGCGAAGGTGACACAAATTTGTGCCCCGGGTCTCCGAGGTCATATGTAGGCCTCACGTTCACCCCTCGAATCGTTCGGATCCGTTTCTGGAGCGGCAGGCTCGATACGGGTCTCCAGGCCCGCTCTACGTTGCTGCCGGCCTTGAACACGAACGGCTCTCAAGTTGCCTTTTCGTTCATGTACATCAGGAAGTCTAGCAAAGTCAGTGTTCACCTGGCGAGGGCTCCAGGCATGCGCCTCCTGCATGCTCGGGACTGAAATGGCTATGCCGCTCTCCAACTCGGCAAGTGTTTCCTCCCGACGTGCTTGGATTTCTTTTTTTTTTCTTTTTTTTTGGGGGGGGAACGAGTCGTAGTTGCCGCTTTTGAAACAAGCTGGTCGGACGCCGTGGGCAGTTTTCGGGCATGGGGCAACAGGCTTGAAGCACAACGGTAGATCTGTCGAGATTCGCTGCAACGGCGGAAGAAAAGATTGCGATCCAGCACCATCGTGGCTTTGATTGGATGTTGTCCTGTCCAGATGGCTCTCTGACCCTTCGGAGCTGCCGTCAAGGGCGTCAAGTATGGCATAGATTCCTGCTCGAATGACGACCTCGTCTTTCTCTGGCCACGCCGCAAGTCATGTTACCAGTCGTCCAAACTAGTGAGCTTGGAGTTGAGCCATTCTCAGACCGAACCGGCTAGGCTGTCTAGGAGAGAGAATCTCCACAGGACGGGTCTCTTAACCCCACAAAGAAAAAAAGGCTTCACGTTTATACGTTGACGTCTTCTCTAACTAGTCACAGATCAGATTAATAAAAAGATATTTCACATCTTTCCACGCTTATATTTACAGAAAATTATGAAGTCACGATGACAGTTGGGCGAATCGCCCACCGACAAACAGCCAGAGTAGGATAAGCTCGTTGTAGTTCTTGCCCTTTTCCAAATCATAAAAGGCGGTCAGAACGTCATCCTTCGCCGGCTGTGCGATTGCCTGTCCCCGGGCTACGGTCGAGAGAAATGCTAGGGTGATGCAAAGCGCAGGTGATCGATGGACTCTTAAGATCTGTGATGCGTCGTTGGTAGGTTTGCGTGCTCATCTGCATGTTTCTCGACAAACGGACGTATTTGTGAGCGTAATGAGACCTTGCCTGAGCTGCGAAGGCATCGATGTTGCGGATGGTGGTAAGGCACGAGCAGGTAAGGCAAGATGCACGACGGCAGACGCTGCGGCTTGGAGCTTGTAAGGAAGTGGAAGAACGGTAGACAAAACAAACACGACCACGACAGAGCACTCTTTTCAGTTCAAAGGTTCTAAGCGGATCACACGTATGACGGAGCAAAAATAAAAAAAAAAAATCTCCAAAACACGTTTCCGCGCAAGTGCGGTCGGGTACTCTATTACACGCTCGCTTTAGTTGGTACAGAAGCTAAGCCCCTGAGTGTGACTCCCGCGATGGATTTGAGCAGGGGGCCGTGATCGTTCAGGAGACCAAAACTATAGAACGCCGCTTCGTGAGCGCTCCTAAAAGTCCATTCCCATTTCGTGACTGTTCATTGTTAGCAGCACGCAGCGAAAGGCCCCGAGGCCAGCGAACGCACCTCTCGTAGATCTTCATAAATTTCGCCACAAACGCCTCCAGATGGAAGATGAGTTTGCTGCCCATCCGGATCCTGTGCTCGTAGTGGGCCGACCACTTTATTATCTCTGACTTGAGCTCGTCGTCGACCTTTGGGATCAGCTTGAACGTGAGCGTCTTCAGAACGAGCGTGGCAGGGATACAGTGCGACAGCAAATCGTACAGCTTTGCCCGAACCTGCAATATCCGGGCCGGTGTGCGCTCGGCTATGATGTCGTCTGCTATCTGCGCGATAAGCTCTTCCCAATCCGGGGGCGGGATCGGCGTCTTCTCGTTCGGTGTCTCGCTGGTGCTGGGTCAGCCTTTTTGTCCGTCTAGAAGAAACGGGAGGAAAAAAAAAAATAAGGACTCGGGCCTGCTCACTTTTGGGCGTACACGGCCTCGAACATCAGCAGCGCCTTCCGGAGGTTTCTGCCGCTCTCCCTCGCGATCCTTTGCCGCAAAGCTGGCACGTCGTTGAACCTCTCGCTCTTGCCCACCTTCGCAAGCACGTTGCAGATGTCCTCTTCGCTCGGGGCAGCAACACGAACCAGGAGCGTCCTCGACTTGATAGGCGCAATGATGTTGGCGGTGGTGTTTGCTAGAAGAATCAATCTGACGTTTGCGGAGTACTTCTCCATCGTTCGTCTCAGCGCCGCCTGGGCATCTCTCGTCAACTGGTCGGCCTCATTGATGACCACGACTTTGAACCTTTGCTTTGCGCTTTGATCCACCTGCTGCGTCTGTGCCACCTCTTTCAACAGATCCTGTATGACGACTCTGTCGTAATTGCCAACGTCGCTAGGCGTGATCTCGAGATGGTAGATCGAGGCGACGATGTTGAATTCGAGCTTGCGGTTTGCCGTCGTTTGAAAGACGCGGGAGTCGATCTTGATTTTCTCCACGCCTGGACCGTACAATTCCTTCAGAGTGGCGACAATGCGCGTCTTTTTGCCGGCGCCTGACGGGCCATAGACAAGTAGGTGAGGAAAGTCGCCGCTCTGTGCCTGGTCTCTCGTGAGCAAAGTGGCCCCTCCCTCGAGTTAGGTTTCGTACCAAAGCTCTCAATTTTTGGGACAAGTCTTCATGATATGATAGCTTGTCCAGCGAGCGAGGCCGTTGCTTGTCCACGAGCAATGCCATGGTTGTGGTTGGCTTCCGAATTGTAGGATGGAAAGCTCATCAAACGCCAGACTTCGTGTGACGCGTGCACGCCGGGATTTCGCGTCGCCCATCACTTTGCCCAGAACGGACGCCCCCCAACCTCACCAGGTCACCTGACCAAACTACTGTTCTACGAGACCAGAGAGAAGAGTGAGGAATCGGTTGCTTTAGGATGAGGGCGAAGCAATCCATCTGTTGACGGTATTTTATGCCAATGCCTGCATTTAAGAAAGTTACAACTGTCGTTAATCCAACCCGCTGCGCAAAGTTAAGAGTACATCTATTTTTTTTTTTTTGAGCCACAGCATCAACAGAGCGAACATCGCTGAAGTGCAATGAATCCTTCTGTTCCTAATTCCATGCCCAGAGATGGAGACATAGCCACGATGTTTTGCCAGTGCGTGCCGAAGAAGGAGAATGAAGAAGAAGAACGGTCAATCTGGAATGCTAAACACTAAGCGCGTCCGTGGAAAGCGCTTTGAGGTTTACATAGGGTTCTGTCACTCTCATTCCCACATCGTACGTTCGCACAACTTTTGCTCTGTAGTGAAAGATTACTGTGCGCTGCATCTGCGTACGGTGCTGTGCGTCTCTTATGTCGTCCTGATCAAGTCGACAATCGAGACGCGGATCTAACGCTGGTTCGGCGTCACTCCGCTGTTCTGAATCGATCACATATTCTTACCTTCAATTGCTATATATACGCACATTCAAGAAAAAAAAAACCCGTTTCGAGAATTTGAGAGCAATGATTGGAGACTCAGATGGCGATTTCTCATCTGTTACCGCTGCTGTTTCAATTCGTTTCATAGTCACAACAGCAAACGCATGGGTATCTCGGGTCAAATTCTAGGCTTCAACAAAACCGTGCCTGGGAAACCTTGAACGCATGACGTCCAGTGCTATCCGCCACCATAAAAAACAAGTAAACTTACAGCATTGTTAGATCACAGACCTTAGCACCGCGCTGGGTCGACGGGGCATTTCCATAGATGGAATTTCGCCGTCCTTGCGGTTCAGATCCAAAGCCGAGCTTTGTACGCAGAGGTAAGTGTTTATATACACGAAACAAGACGTCCTGTGCAGCTTTCCAAGTAAAGGGCTTTGTTTTTGCTCCATCAGATCGCGGGCCAAGTTGACAAGTCATCTCACCAAGGCTTTTACGACAGAGCTAGCAAAGCGACTGTAGTGACGCGCGTGACTTTGATGTGTGTAGCTACTGCTTCGATTGCATCCGTAGAGGGTGACGCTCACGCCACAGTCTACACACGGCCATACAAAGCATAATTAGCTCATCCCTTAAGCCATCGCGAGACATCGATCTTGGACCTGCGTCTCAAGCTTTGAGGGACCCTGATGCATCAGGGCCATCCTCTTCTCAGACCCCTTTTCGGTTGTGTTGCTCAAAGAAGCGTCGGCTTTTTCCTGAGATCGCTCCGCACAAATCAGCGCCTCGAGAACCGCGCATCCTTCGCTGTCCGTGTGTTTGTAACGCGTCCAATGGAATGCCCATGGCAGTTGACCGTCGAGTGATCCCGTTCAGCTCTCCTGTTGTTCGGAAAAAGCGCTCTAAGGGAACGAAGAACATGAAAAAAAAAAGAGGAGCTACGTGTGGAGAAGCACTGTAGATATCCCCCAAACGCCAATCTTCCCTAACCTCATGAAAGGACGAACAATTCGACGTAAAGCAAACTTGGATGGAATTACCAGACCTGCAGAGACGCTGCGTGATCACATCACTGTTCCCAGTTGCAAATTGGACAAGTGTCAAAAAATTTTCGAGAGAAAAGTCCCAAAGATGGCGATTTGTTTTTTTCCCTGGACTGGTTTATTGGATACTTTGGATTTGCAAAGCTGCGGATTGAGTCAAAGTCATAGCCTCATGCGTGTCGTGGAACACCACCAGGATCAAAGCAACCCGCTCTTGCGCAAATGCTGTGTGGATCGATGACAGGCGAAGCAGTGTCTTCCTGCTCGTCATTTACGCCAGCGTGCGTTGCAAGACCTGCATCATCATCGCCGCTCAGCAAAAGTTAGTGCTCGTCAAGGCGGTCCGATTTCATTTGAAAAGCACTCGGTCATTCTATGCGAGTTCCTTCGCAGAGACACTCGAACGTTGTGTTTGCTCACGAACACGTAGCAAACGGCGCAGCCAGGCCTGCAACCGCGATGACCATGCGGATAGTTGACAGAGATGGATCTCGCCCTCATCATGACGCCCGAAGAGCAAAAGTGTTGCCAGACACCTTTGGCAGCCGCAATGGCACGGCTCTCACGCGAAAGGCGGGCTGGTTTCAACCGGCTAACGCCGGCCGACGGGCGATTGTTACCGTTGGTACTTTCGTAGTCCACACCCAAATCCACTTCTGTGGCGACAAGCTCGGCAGTGAGAGTCGTTTCGTTCAAGACGGAGTCCTTAGCTCCGCACAATGAATGCGAACAGGGTGCGGTGATTTTTCAACTCTGGATCCAAGTCTGGTGCTGCCGAGGATGAGGTCGACATCCGGGGGCTGGAGCGCCATTACTGGACAGTCCAGGAAGACGACTGCTACTTGCTCACGCAAACAAGAAACGGCAGCGTCGGCGGACCTGAAATGCGGCCGCCGAAAGCTTCGGGTGCTGCTCGTCGCTACCAAGAGTTCGACCGCCGGGGGAAATTTGGATTTCTCGACGTCCGGGATCGCGCTGCGGCTCAGGCGTAGATCGAGATCGGATGCGTCGAACCTGCGACTGGGTGAAGCCCGTCGTTTTGCGGTCTTGCCACATTACACATCCAACCGATGTTGGACTTTGTGTGCCTTCTTTTTTTCTCCCGTCTTTCCAAGTTTACGTGTGGCTTCCGCACAGTTCTTGTTTTTTATTTTTCTCCACGGGCCGTTGCACATTGGGCCATCGGAGAAGCTGCGCCGAGCGTCATTTGCCATCCAGCTTGCTTTGGGGTCTTGTTTTCTTCTTTGTTGGGAATGCTTGCATTACTTTGCAGCCATTCACGCGTGTGTAAAACTTTAAAAAAAAAAATTCATTCCAACCGACACAGCGTCATGGTTAAAGCTGGCAAGAAACAATGACCGTTGCGTTGTCCAACCCATCTTTTCTTGGGCTGCGTCCTGCTTTACGGCACACGATATTCTTTCGATCCACGTGTCGTCCACTTGCGGTACACGTTTCATCATCAGCGTGACACTTCGATGACCGGCATAAGCGTCGGATCTTACGCGTACCTATACACGCAAATTGCTCGCTTGTAGACCCTAATTACCTCAGTGCACTACATACCCTGCTACACAACTGCGTTGATTCAAAGGCTTGAAAAGAGCCGATCCTTACTCGTAAGGGTGAACCGTTGATCACGGGTGAGCCAAGTTCCCCGTAGTTAAAGCGATGATGATCGATTTCGTGCTGGCGCGGAGTCAGATCCGAAGTCTCGAAATTTTTTTTTTCGAGCGAGGAAAATGATCGTCTCCACAAATTCGTTGTTCACAGATGAAGCGAGCGCAGTCTCTACTTGGTGCTGACGCTTTGTGACGTCGTGCTTCTGGTCAGGTTTGGTGGACGTGCTTGGGCACAGGCAAGCAGGTAAGCAGGTTGTTGGGAGTCGGCACAGCGCCGTTCACAATTCCAGCGGTTTGCAGGACGTGGGCGAGGTACCCGCGTCGCTGAGGGCGCGGAAACGATCTGGCCGCGCCGTGGGTTGTTTTCCTGGCCAGGCAGTTTGCGATGTCGATCGCAGCATGGCCAATTCTGAACACCGGGCGAGAAACAAAAGAGCGAACACCGTCAGGGGAGCGTCTGTCGGGGCCAAGGACAAACAATAGTCTGGTCATTACAACTGGCAGCCGAGCTGGTGCGTCCTGGCCTTTATCTGAGGCAAGCCCTTTGCGCCCGGTCTAACACGTTTCGAGGTAGGAAGGCTTGCTTGGGACACAGACTCACGGGCCGGGTTGGCGGCACTGATTGGCACGATAGGGAAGAGAAACGGTGAGATTGGACTTTTTTTTTTTTTCGCACAGGCGTGTCATCTCCAGTCCATCTCCCAGTCATACGTCGATCGACGGGGCTCGGGCGATAAGAGGACTTGATGCGGATCCGCGCGCGCGCGCGAGAGCAAGCACACCACTCTTTGACGTGCGCAGGGCAATAAGGTACGGGCTAGTCAGGTCGCGAAAACGCGCCTTCTGTTCGGCGCAGGATTCGCCCCCCGAATTGTGGTCAAGACTGCGACTGAGCACGCTGGCGAATGGAGCACAGGATAGCTGGTCCCGCCGCGACCCCTCCTGGAGGGACGGGAACGTCGTTCACTTCGTCGCAGGCCGTGAGCGGCTGACTTGACGGTGCTCCACGTTTGGCAAGGCGCATATACGTGCGGAGGTGATCTGCTCGACGGCCAGGCACGGCGGATAGGAACGGGCCCAGCACTGGGCCGCTGCGAGGGGCGAGCTCTCTCGTCTTTCGTTCACTCGTGCTTGGATCACGGAATCTCGTGCGAAGCGAGTTCTCGCTCGTGCCGGACGGGGCGACGCTGCACGGCAGCAGGAGCTCGAGCGGGCGGAGGGGAGGGCAGCGGGCTGGCTTTTCGCGACGAGCGAGCGCAGAGTGCGGTCGTGCTTGACGCTGGCCGATGGCGCACGAGACGCACGAGACAGGCGCGGCAGCCAGTGAGGACACCGGCCGTGCTGGCCTCGAGGAGGGCGAGCGAGGGCCAGCGCGACGAGAGCACAGGCGGCGTCCGTTGCGCTGCGCGGTGTCCCGCCACGCAGCCGTGATGCGCGCTGGTACGGGGGATCTGAATTTAGAACGTGATTTGCCATCGCAGCCCAGTCCTTGCGCCATCGGCCAGGGTGCAGCCGCCGCCCGGTGCTTTTGCGCGCTCCGTCGCTGCGAGCGCTGGCTGGCTTCTGATCCCGGAGCCGGCCAGCTCGTCGCGCTGCTGGGCGAAGGCTGCCCGTGGCTGAGAGGTTGTGGTCAGAGGGCTTCATCACGAGAGGGGTGGGTTCACTCCACACCCGCTTGTCTTACACGACAAAACGCCGCCGTCCCCAAAACCTTTTTTCCTGTTTTGCGTTTTTGGTTCCTTCTCGTCGGACGTTGGCAAGATCCGTCTCTGGCTTTTTTTTTTTCTCGTTCCCCCACAAGCACGTCGAGGCAGCCACAATCGACAAGAATCGCTGTCGTACCGGGGCGGGCTTGTCGCATAATTTTGTTTGAGGCCATCTTTGAGCGTGCCCGACTCTTCCCCATCCAGCCAACGCCATTGTTTTCCCCGACCTTGGGCTGCTGCTGCTGCTGCTGCTCTCGCCCTCGCGTCGCAATCCACCTTCAGCGTGCTGCCACCGCCGTCCTTCTTCGTCTCCGCCGCTGGCTCGACAGCCGCTGTCCTCCGCCTTGGGTCTCTCCACCCACCCGCCCGCACGCACGTACGCCCGCTTGCTCAACGCACACACCCACCCCCAAAGCCGCCGCCTGCGATAATCGGCACCCAGGTCTAGGCCCCGTTCTCCTTCGGCTCACCCTCAGCCCTGCGCACAACACATCCAGTTCAGGTGCCCTTTCTTCTTGACGCTTTTCCGCGACGCCTGACCTCTCTGCCCTCCCTTCTCTCATCTGCTGAACACACAGGAAATTTTTTTTTTCTCTTCCTACTCTTCCACAGGACGACCTGAGAATCAAGCCTTTTCCCAACGAGCCTGCGATTCGAGGGTCTTCTGGCTACTTGGCAAAGCACACAATGACCGCTGCAAAGGTACCTCCTCGCCTTCGGCCCACTCAGTCACCACGTGAAGTGAGCAGCGAATTGACACTTGCAGGACTCGGTTTTGAACCGGACATCCGCTCAGAATCGACTGTCCGTTGGCTCGTCTGCCAGCAATGTGTACAAAATGCACCCGCGTCCGCACTCGCACTCCCTCTCCGTCCCGTCCATAAATGCCGCCCACCGTGTTACCCGCCGGAAGTCCATGTCCTCCACCGCCGCCAATCGTGAGGCGGCTGTTTCCGCACTCTTGAAGGAGAACCCGGCCGCCGGCGGAGACGCCGCCAGCAGACGTGGGCCGAAGGCATCGAAAGGCACTTTCCCCGCCAGTTTGCCCGACGGCTCGGCGTTTGGACAGGCCGGCTACGACGCAAAATACGGCAACGCAATCACGGACACCAACTTTCTGGAGGTGCTGCCGGAGGACGTCAAGGGCGGCAGCAGCAAGGCGCGAGCGCGCCGGGCAAGCGAAGGCTCTCATCTCCGCAAGGAGGGGAAGAGGGTGGCCGGCGGAGAATTGAGATGTGACACCTGTGGGAAGGGATACAAGCACAGCAGCTGTCTCAACAAGCATCTGTCAGTAACCCTTCGTCAGCATCTCTGCCCTGTCTTCGTATGCAGGCCATTTACCTGCCATGGAGAGACGCGTCGTGACAAAAAGTGCTTTGGTCCCGTTTTATTAACGCGTAGACAGGTGGGAACACACTCCGGAATGGCAGATTACGTCTAAGCTGCTCATTTCGAAGCATCAGCAGGTGCAGCTTTTGGAGGCAGCATCCGTGCTCGTGTCCATGAACTCGGAGGCGCCCTCCGGCTCCGCTATTGATAGCGACGCCTCTTCGCCCGCAGCGTCTGGTTCCTCGGACCCGCAAGACAGCGAGATGAGCTCGATCGAAACGACCCCACCCCCGCAACTCGACGACGCCGGCTTCAGCTCCGCTGCACGCACCGAGTTCAACTCGAAGCGTTACAGCACCAACAGCAGCGCCTATTCGCAATCCTACCAGTCCTCCGTGTTTTCCGAGAGCGCTCCTTCCGGTCGTCCGTACATGTCGCACCACCGCCAGTACAGCACAGACGGTCGACCGACAACTTCGGGCACCTCCGTCAACGGTGGGGATGACTTCGAGCATGCTGATCTGACTGCTGCTGTTGGTCTCCTTAGCTGCAGCTACGGCACGCCAAAAAGTGGACCGGTCATGCTCCCGCCGGACGCGCCGCCTGTTCCCCCCCTGCCATCGCGTTTCTTAGGCTCGAAGGCAGACCATCTGTCGCCCAGCACATTGACCTACAACGCGTCTCAAAACTACTCGTATCTCCGCGAAAAGAGGGATGTTGACATGGACGCCGAAATGTCTGACGAGGAGCCTGATCGTCACCGTGGTCGCAGCGATGACGACGATGAGGGCATGTTTGGTAAGATGGAAGAATGATCGCGACCCCAGTCGGCAACAAAAAAAGTCTACTTGGTTGTTAAAGACGATGCCATGCCGATTGGTCGCAAAATGCAAAATGAGAGAGAATTAAAATACTTCCACGGCCTACTTGACCCTTCGTCGACTTGGGGTCAGCCAGTCGAACCATCCAACGAAACCCTTACCTTTATCCCTCCAGCTTGAAACTCCGCACTCCACTTCAACACCGATGAGGAGATTCTTGACGATGAAACGTCCTGCGATCTTCGAGGTTAAAGTCGAGGTGGTTATATTTTTTTTCCAGCGTTGAGTTCTCTGGACAAAGTCAATTTTTTTTGAGCGCAAAACATCTGATGCTAGTATCTTAGCCTTAGCTACATTGTTCATACGTACCTGATGAAAATGACACACTCTTTTGAATCATGACGCTTTGGTCTTTTTTTTTTAAAAAAAAAATACACTTTTATTCAGAGAAGAGAAAGTCGGTCTAAGCAGCGACAGGTGAGAAACGAATTACGCTCCAGCCTGGCGAGACTGACGTTCTTTCGCGCGTATAAGCGGTGGGTAAGGTAAACAAACGTATTCAAAAAAAAAAAAGGGTAGCAAGCAGAGGCTTTGTTTTAGGTCACTGCAGGAAAAAAAAAACCAAAAAGAAAAATAGTAAGACGTCACATTGTGCCAATCCCTCGACGGATGTATTTACCCAACGCGCCACAACGGACGATCGGAGACGATTCGCTATCGATGATGCTAGTTCTTAACTTTCGCCATGAAGCAGAAAGATAGAAGTTGATAGGGAAAAAAAAAGAAAAATGAAAGGGTGTGGGGAGAGGGGGGGGG